TAATATACCTATTCTATACCCTACTATATTTTTAGACGCGCTAGTTACTCTAGTAGAAAGTACCGGCAAAAAGATTATCCTAGTTAGCCCGGGTTTAACTCCTTTATTACGTTAGTATAGTAACTCTCTATAGTATATAATCTATTCTCTAGTATAATATAGCTTAGTAATTATTATAGATAATATATTACTAATATAGTACGTAGTCTATACTAATATACTAGATAAGTACCTATTAAAGATTAAATCTCTAATATCTTTACGGTTATTAACTATAAGGCTTAGTAAAGTATATATAAAAGACTTATAAAGATCGCCTTAATAAGACTACGACCTTAGTTTACCTATTTAGGCCTAGTATAGCTAGTATAGCTATATTACTATTTACTACCGTATATTACTATTACTACTTTACTATTACTATACTACTTACTATTACTATTACTAGAGCTTTTTTTTTTTTTTACTATTACTAATTACTATTACTACTCCTTTTTTGGCCGATAGTAATTACTATATTGTTACTATTACTATAGTAAATAGTAAGTGCCGCACACTGGGAGGGGCCCAAGCTTCTCCCATTGGAACCGGAATCTCGTCATCGTCACCCAAGAGCTTGCCGCGTCGCGCAAATCCCGCTCTTCGCGAAAGACGCACGTCTCCATGACGCCTGCGATGCTGCAGAAGGTGCAAGCACTAGCCCATTCTCCTCTGCGCCATCGAGGGAGGTGATATGCTGTCTTCTGCTTTTACGTGGCAGGCCACCAGCTCGAGTCGTGGCGACCAGTTGACTCGCGCATGCCGACGCGTAGAAGGTAGGGAGTATACCGTGGACTCTAAAAGGGCATGATGATGCGGAGCATGATGCAAGAGAAGCAAAGGCAAAAGTGAGGCAGAAAACAAAAGTCAGGTCAAGGTCAAGGCATGTGCTGTCTGATTAGGTAGGTACATGTTCATTTCCACCTACCCACCGTGCGGCAGAGTTCTCCAGGAAGGCAGGACCAACGCACCGGAGCGACCGTGCATAAACCGAACAATTTTCATAAAGTATCACCACGGTCCTCCATGCATGTTGATGCAGCACCAAGAGCGTAACTGATTGTCTTGGACTTTATTGGCACTGAACAGCAACAGCAACATGTTCATGACGACGATAAAGCTGTGATGCACATATACAGCTGGCCTTTCCCGACGCGACTATAATCATCTTGCCAAAAATTCTCCGCAAATTCCCAAACGGGCGAGTGGAAAAAGCCATCATCGAACCTCTCATCGACATCAGCAACACATTGAATTTGTCAGCCGGTAGCTTGGATATCCGTAGCTGGGCAGGGATGGTCCACGACAACAAGGAGCCTCCGAGAGATCGTGTGGTATAAATCTCAGCAGGAGCCCGACAACCGCAAAGATTGTAGCGAAGTCGACCATGCATATACTCGTGCTAGGAGCAACAGGTAATGTAGTCGTAAGCTGTTCACGGCTGACGATCTCTAACATTCATCCCAGGCCCATCTGGCATTGCCTTTGTTGAAGAGGCTCTCAAAGCCGGCCATGAGCTTACTATATACGCGCGGAACCCTTCCAAGCTACCAGAAGATGTGCAGCAGAACTCGCATGTCCAGGTGATTAAAGGCACCTTTGAAGACATGGATACAGCGACCCAAGCCTTGCATACTGGCGCCACAGCTTTGGTATCGTTTGCAGGGCCTGGGATGCCAGCGAAGGGAACGGTAATACATTCTGATTGTGACAGTGTGACCTGTACTGATGGATCATGCAGCCGGTATCTGAATTCTACGAGAGACTGTTCTCAATCATCAGGAACGACAACTCGACTAGTATTCGTCGCTGCCTCATCCTTGCGACCCCCTCTTTTGCAGTGCCGGAGGATGGTTCGTCGTGGAAGTGGTGGTTTGTTGTACGGCTGGTGAAAACATTCCTTGGAGATGCATATGCAGAAGTTACGGGGATTGGTAGAGTTGTGAGCGCCTTGCCGGTCGATGAGATTCAATGGACAATCTTTAGGTGGGTGCACATGACGTGTTGTTTTTATGGCTTTTGCTGACAGTAGTAAAGAGTGCCCGGTCTAACGAATAAGGGATATCTCCCTGTCCAAGCAGCAATGGTTGGTGATGGTAAAGACGGTATGCAGCTCAGTCGTAAGAGCAACGCCGTTTGGGTACTTCAAGAGTTGCAAGAAGGAAAGTGGATTGGCAAAGCACCCGTGCTGTCGAATCCTGGGTGGATGTGAGGACTTGGGTGCGGTGGAAAAGCTGAACTTACAAAGTAAAGTATTGGATAATGGCAATGACCGGTACGTTCCTGTGCGGTGGATGTAAAATGTTTCACGTATTTTCCTCTCATCATCAATGCATGCTACGCAAATGGGGCGTACCCCTCGGTGCAATGTGATCCGATTGATTGCCGAGCGCCAAAGACTATCTGCATTCGTAACAAACTGCAGCCTTTACTCAACAACATCTCTGCTGTAAGACCAAATCATTGGATAAACATACCGTAGCTTTGCGGGGACATTTCCATAGCCATGCCGATCGACAACGAGATTCCTGGAAGGCTTGCGCTGGTGACGGGTAAGAATATACATACACGTCTTTCTTTCATGGACATTCTTCACTGTTGATGTGACCATATGCTGACTGGAGTTAGGAGCGAGTGGTGGGTAGGTCTATTCCCTGACATATTAGCAGTTGCTATATTCACAACCAATAGAATCGGCGCAGCTTGCGCCCGCGACCTCTTTGCACAAGGGGCTTCTCTTGCCTTGACGTACTCTTCGAACAAAGCTTCCGTGGATATTCTAATCGAAGAGCTCAAGCCAAACGCGAACGGCCGGATTCTGTCTTCACATAAAGCCGACATGGCATCGGACGATGATCTCAAGAGGCTCTTTGACGAGATTTACTCGGAGCACGGCCAGGGTGTGGACATTCTGATCGCCAATGCTGGCCACGGCAAGCGAGTGAGTAACATCCTCGACATTGAGATCGAAGAATGGGACTACACCATCAATGTCAACCTTCGAGCGAGCTTCATCCTCACCAAGCTTGCTGTAAAGCACATGATTGAGAAGAACTGGGGTCGGATCGTGTACATCTCCTCCATCGCCGCTGGAGGAACGTCAATAAATGGTTGCCACTACTCGGCAAGCAAAGCAGGTGTTCAAGGCCTGTCAAAAAACCTGGCGTTGAAGCTTGCAAAGAATGGAATCACCTGCAATGATGTGAGGGTGCTCGCACTGAGGACTAATTTGAGGCTAATCATCTCAACAGGTCGCCCCTGCGATGATTACAGGTACAGGTATGATCCCGAATGAAGAATTCTTGAAGGGAACGCCAGGAGATGTGAGTCAAATGGAGTGTAGAGTATATTTGAAGCCTGCATACACCCGTATTGGTATTGAAAGACATTGGAGACACATGCTTACCTTCCATGCTTCGTTTAGGTGGCAGGGATTCCTGTGGGAAGGTCCGGTTCGACTCAAGAGTGCGCCAATGTGGTGACGATGCTCTGCAAGACGGGCTATATGACAGGCCAATCCATCTTGATCTCCGGAGGGCTGAAGTGAGCGAGACATAAGAGGACGGCGACCGCTGGAGATCTGATACGATCTAGCTGGAGCAAAATGTACTCTGAGTAGCCTCATCATCGCATTAAACAACTTCGAGCTGTTAGGAATTGAATGGTAGACGCCGATGGAATGAAGTGTTGTCAATAGATTGGGAAGCAAGTGAAATTGAAAGGACGCCGTTGTGTTTTTCTTGACAAGCTCGTATTCGTCTCGTATAGAAGCGACCTCAAATATCCACGTCACGAATGCGCCTCCGTTGAGAAACATCAATCAACCATGGCAGACTCGCTGCCAGCAGCGCTTGAGAGCCTCAGACTAACATCTCGAAGCTTTGATGATGATATTGATGAGCTACTGGACCAGGCAAAGCCGCGCAAACGCGTTCGACAAACTTCGGAAGAGGTCAAGACTGAGCTTGAGAAGAGGTTCTTGACGCCGTCCACTTCATTCAGTCCGGAGTGGCTAGATCGTCTGCAGCAGCGATGGGACACTCCCACCAACTACAATGAGCTTTTTGCTATTGGTCCTACCCAGACAAGAACCATTATTCGCTTCACAAGAGAAGGACTCGAAGGCCGTGTTACTGGCTACAAGGAAGTCACAGTACCTGCTAATAGTGCTACTGCAAAAAACTCAACCTCGATACTCCGAAAGCCAGCAAGTCGCGCGGACTTTGTACGAGGTGCAGCAGGGTTCTATCCATTTGCCCCTGGCGGACTTGATGCGGTGGAAGCCACAGCTGCTTACGAGGATGAATTGCTGCAGAAGAAACAGCCGAATGGTGCTGGAAAAGTTGACAAGCTCAGTCGAGTCATCAACTTTGCAGCAGAAGGCGGTTTGCTTACCGTGCCTCCAGGCTTCACCCGAGGCCTACGAATCAGCGAGAAACCTCAACAGAATGACGAAAAGGATGACGAAAAGGAAGTGGAAGATGTTCTAGAAGAAGAATCCGATCTCCCAGACGGCATGAATGGCGTGCCACTTCCCAAAGAGGATGCAGATGATGAAGACGAAGTTTCAGACCACGGTGAGGACGAGCTAGATGCACTTTTGCCTGTCGAGTTTCCCGCCCTGGCACCTCATGGACCTCTGGCTTCGGCTAGGAACAAGCATGGTGGCCGCGAACGAGCACACATGGTCGATGTCAACCGGGACATCACCAACTTCAGTGAGTTGGTGCCTGAGATGGCGCGCACCTGGCCTTTCGAGCTTGACACTTTTCAAAAAGAAGCCGTGTACCACTTGGAGAATGGCGATTCCGTTTTCGTTGCAGCGCATACTTCTGCTGGAAAGACTGTCGTCGCCGAGTATGCCATTGCGTTGGCTCAGAAGCATATGACAAAGGCCATATATACTTCGCCGATCAAAGCATTGAGCAACCAAAAGTTTAGAGACTTTAGGTTGGAGTTTGATGATGTTGGCATCCTAACTGGAGATGTCCAGATACGACCCGAAGCCAGCTGCCTGATAATGACCACCGAAATCTTGCGAAGCATGCTCTACCGCGGCGCAGATCTTATCCGTGACGTTGAATTCGTCATTTTCGACGAGGTCCATTATGTGAACGACTCGGAGCGAGGTGTCGTTTGGGAAGAGGTCATCATCATGTTACCAGAACATGTCACCTTGATCATGTTATCCGCCACTGTACCGAATACCTACGAGTTCGCATCCTGGGTGGGCAGGACGAAGCAGAAAGACATTTATGTCATCTCCACACCGAAACGTCCCGTTCCTCTCGAGCACTACCTCTGGGCTGACAAGAAGATGTTCAAAATCGTGGACTCTGCCAAGCATTTCATCGAAAAGGGCTGGAAAGATGCAAACGATGCTTTGAGTGGTCGCGATAAGCTTATAGAAGCCGAGAAGAAGGCCAAAGAGAAGGAAGACGCGGCCATTGCGGCTGGTCGCGGTGGGAGAGGCGGAGGTGCCGCAGGACGCGGACAAAATCAGCGTGGTGGTCAGCCGCGCGGAGGTGGTCCTCAACGGGGAGCGTCACAGCAGCGCGGCCGTGGACAGCCTGCAGCTCGCGGACATGGCAATATTGCTCGGACTGGCCGTGGAGGTGGACGGACTACAGCTGCCCAAGATCGCAACATTTGGGTCCACCTAGTACAGCACTTGCGTAAGGAGGATCTTCTGCCAGGCTGTATCTTTGTTTTCTCCAAGAAGAGGTGCGAGGAGAATGCAGATGCCCTGTCAACTCTGGACTATTGCACGTCAACTGAAAAGAGTGCCGTGCATATGATTTTGGAAAAGTCGCTTGCTCGATTGAAACCAGACGACCGGCAATTGCCACAAATCCGTAGAATGCGCGAGCTGCTCAGCAGGGGTATCGCAGTGCATCATGGAGGACTGCTCCCGATTGTCAAGGAGTGTGTTGAGATTCTTTTCGCAAAGACGCTTGTAAAAGTGCTGTTCGCCACCGAGACCTTTGCCATGGGACTCAATCTACCCACCCGGACAGTCGTCTTCTCTGGGTTCAGGAAGTATGACAACAAATCTTTCCGAGATTTACTCCCGGGAGAGTACACGCAGATGGCAGGCAGAGCAGGTCGAAGAGGTCTCGACTCGGTAGGGTCCGTCATCATTGTGGCGCCCGGAGCTGATGAAGCGCCACCTGCTGGCCGTCTACGGCAGATGATGCTAGGCGACCCGACCAAGCTTCGATCGCAGTTCCGTTTGACCTACAACATGATTCTCAACTTGCTGCGGGTAGAGGCACTGAAGATTGAAGAGATGATCAAGAGATCGTTCTCGGAGAACGCCACTCAAGCTTTACTTCCAGAGCACGAGAAGCAAATCAAGCTATCCGAAGCAGATTTAGCCAAAGTCACTCGCGAGGCTTGCGATATTTGCGACAAAGATATCGAGGCTTGTCAGCAAGCCAGTATTGACTACCAGCGACTGACGGCGGACCTTCACCTAGCCATGTTGGGTACCCCGGTGGGGCGTAGAATGTTCCAGCCAAAACGCATCATTGTCTTCAAGGGGAGGGATAACGTGCGGACAGCTGGAGTCCTGCTCCGTGAAGGCGCCAGCAAAGCATCTCCTCCGACAGTCCAGGTCTTGGAGGTTTTCAGCAGCAAGCCGAGAAAACGTCAAGATCCAGACTTTCTTCCATATCTTCCTCGACTTCGCCGCTTCTTTGTTCCCCTGCCGCAGACAGAAGGCGAGATTGAATTGAGGACCATCACCATTCAGTTGGATGACATCGAAGCACTTACCGCGACACATGTCGCCATGGATCTGGGTGGCGTGTTGCAGAAGGAGCCCGATGCTCTGGCTGCTGTGAAGACTGAGCTTCTTGCAACCTGTTCATCATGGACTTCTTCATCTTGGAATGAGCTGGATTACTACAAGTGGCTCAAGGATATGAATGTCCGTAACATCATGGACGCGAGAGCCAAAGCCGCCAGTACTGCCCAAGACCGAGAGTGTATCCACTGCGGCAACTTCCCCAAGCACTTTGCAATGGCTCACGATCAATGGGTCATTCGCGACAAGATTGACTCCATTCGTATGCTCATGTCAGATCAGAATCTTCAGCTTCTCCCCGACTACGAGCAACGTATCTGTGTGTTGAAAGAGCTTGGCTTCATCGACGATCATACGCGTGTCGAGCTAAAAGGCAAAGTGGCATGCGAGATCCACTCTGCCGACGAACTGGTTCTCACGGAGCTGGTGCTCGAAAACGTTTTGGCAGACTACGAGCCGGAAGAGATTGTGGCATTGCTCTCCTCGTTTGTCTTTCAAGAAAAGACGGACATAACACCCAACATGACTCCCGCTTTGGAACGCGGGATTGAGACCATTATCAAGATTTCCGAAAAGGTCAACAAGTTCCAGACTCTCCATCAAGTCATCCTAGCCTCTGACGACTCAAACGATTTCGTCAGTCGTCCACGATTTGGACTGGTCGAGGTAGTCTACGAGTGGGCTCGGGGAATGCCGTTCTCCAGAATCACAGACTTGACTGATGTGTTGGAGGGAACAATTGTCAGGGTCATCACACGCCTGGACGAAACGTGCAGGGAGGTGAAGAATGCGGCGAGAATCATTGGCGATCCGACACTCTTCACCAAGATGCAGACCTGCCAAGAGTTGATCAAGAGGGACATTTGCGCCACGGCTAGCTTGTACATGTAGAGATGAGATCTGCAGGCAGTGGTAGGCAGGGAAGGCAAAGCAGCCCGGCCGCATGAGACGATAGACCTTATGGCTGAAGGGGATAGTCGATATCTAGTAGAAATCAACTCAATCTTCAAATTCCAGATGTTGAAGTGTTTACGGTTGGATGAACTTAGACCGAACCGTCGAGGGATATTGATAGACGTTGATACACTCACGCAGCAGCAAAGAACACCCCTCCCTTACGCCTTGTGCTTGCACATGATCAACTGCTCGCCGTGGTACCTCAGTGTGGGAAATTGGGCAAAATCGGATTTCAGCTGCCCAAGTTACAACCGAAAGGTCATACTCATTCCTCACGATGATTTTCTATCCATCCATGGCTTTGCAGGGCGATGATCAGTGATCTTACCTGCTAAATTTGATGACTTCAAATCCTGCCTTCGATGAAGTGAGTGAAGTATACCGAGCACAGGTAAAGCATCCCTGTTGTCCACGCTTGCAGTGTTCCCTCTTGGCCCATTTTCGCATAGCATTCTCATTGTGTTTCGTCAGTCTGCCTGGACAGAATCTCAGCGCCGCACGCTGTTCCTCCTACCAATGAGGTTCCTACAGAGAACTGCGACTTTTATTCGTACAACTGGGTGGCCCAAACCGGGCTGCATCGTCACTTAAAGGCAAAGGTTCAAAGGTATGCGTATTCATACTCGTCACACTTTCTACCGATATCATCCCTCGTTTTTGATTCGTTCCTCCATCACATCACACTCAGTTGTAGCAGGCAGAAGTCGGGTAGGGCTTGCCATAAAAAGGGGGTATCAAATCTCTCCGCGTGATGCAAATGCATGCAGAAAGAAWCCATGAACAATATCGCCCGAACCTCCATCACCATGTGCACGTCCACGAGTCTCGTGAAGTAAGCGAGCGCTATCCTCGATATGACCCATCGCTCACGCTCACAGTCCCGCCCGCAGTGCAAATTGCCTAATTGCACCCGTTTTGTCGACAGCGTCAAATGGCCACTAAGCAGCTCCATTGGCGATCTGTGGTGCGCCAGCCTGCTGCTCCTGCTGTGCAATCTGCTGCTGGATCGTGTCGGCTTGGGCTAATGCTTCCTTGAGCACTTGCTGCTCCTCGGGTGTCAGTAGCCCGGTCAGTTGGGTGTAAAACTGAGGTTGTTCGACGCTCATCTGCTCCAAAGTCCTCTTGAACAAGCCGTACGGCTCCATAGAATCCAGAGGTGTCTCCAGCAGGCTTTCTTCCTCAAGCTCATCATCACCCTCGTCGATACCGACGGCAGCGTTGAACTTGCTTGCTTGTTGGCTGAGGAAGTCGAGATAGGCCGTGCTCTCGTCTTTGATGTCGGAACTCTCCTCGGTCTCCTCCGCCGCCCAGTCTTCGCCCTCCCACTCCTCTTCTTCCTGTTCATATATTAGCATGCTTCCACAAACAGCCACTCACCCAACACCACATACCTCATCGTCATCATCGTAATCACCACCCAGCCCAAAGTCCTCATCCCTCTGTGCCTCTTCCCGGTTCTTCAACGCGGCGGGTAGGGTCTGGAATAGACGCACAATGCCCTGAAGCAATCTAGGCCAGCCATTCTGTACGCTTTGTGGTATTTCATCAGCTCGTAGCGTAAGAAGCTGAGTGATGGCACCAATCGACAGCTTCTTGTCGTGGACACGAGTGAAGTTGTCAATGCTGCCGAACCACAAGCTGAAGAACTTGTTGGTCCATCCATTGGCTTCAAGCACTTGCAGGGAGAGCTTTGGGTTGTAGTAGATGGCGTTGATAACCATCTCCATCAGGTGTGTCCTGTACGACTTGATCTTGAGGTCTTCAGCCAAGAGGACGTTCATGGCCAGGGAGATGAACTCGGGGATGTAATTGTCGATGCCGCCCTTTACGCTGAGCATGAGAATCTCGGCAAGCTTGCAGCCACAAATGCGATCCACACCACCGACTTTGTCGTCCTTGAAGATTGTTCGAACCATGTCCACGATCGCATCGAGGTGTGCCGGACTTTGCATCAGTTGCTGCCAWCCATAGTTGACGAAGTTTTCAAGTGCAGGAAGCATGTCTTCGAGATAGAGCTCGGCGCCAGACTTGAATGTACGATGGATCAGCTCAAAGGCCTGCCACATGGTCGGAGAGATCAGCTTGGCAGCGAATGTGCAGGAATCAATAATCTCAAACACCTCATTATACAAGTCGTAAAGTTTGTGCTCAAGCGTGATGGTGATGACGGGCATGAGAATGGTCTCCAGGTGTGCGAGCACGTCGGGTGTGCTTTCGAGGGTGAGGATCAAAGTGCCAATGGTTTGCAGGACACCAAGTGCGGTAATGCTCTTGTCATCCAGGAAATCTCCGTAGTTGTCCTCACCCTCCTTGTTTGCGTTCCGCTCGATGAGTTCGCGGACAATACGGATGTATGTATCGCGCAGCTGCTCGCTAAGCGCCACAGCGAAWGGGGTGAGTTCAGCAGCAAATACCTCCACGAAATCTTCCATGACATTGGCAAGGGCATCGACATCAACCTCGTTGGCGAGCTTGAGCAATTGCTGCATGATTTGTGGGATGTTTTGCTGCATCATCGTTCGGATAGGGTCGTGGCGGATCAACGGTTGGAGCGCGAGTGCCGCCTCCACACGTACAGGCAGGGCGGAATCGGCCATGCATTCGAGGATGTTGTGATAGATGAGCGTAAGGTTGTTGGGGWCCTTGAAGTCCAGCGATTCAAACTTCTCCAGTGTGTCACAAGCACGGGCACGAAGGAATCCGTGGGGACTGCGGAACTCGGGGAATACATGTCGCACGAAGAAGTATTCCACCTGGTCTGCGATTGGACTCTTCTTTCCGAGAATCACATTTGCCAAGGTTCCAATCATTCGCAGGGCACCCTCCTTCTCGCGTGCGTTCTTCTGATCTTCCGGTGCAGCTTCGTATTTGTTGACGATCTCGTTGATAAAGTTGAGAATTTCAAATGTCTGCTTTCGGCGAGCCTTGGTGAGGGTAACGAGGAAGTTGGTCGCGGCCACATCGGGGGAAGAGACCTCCTCATAGAAGTTGAGCTTGCGATGGAGGTACTCTGCAGGCTCTTCTTCAAACTGCTCGAGGTCCTCATCCGTCTGGCAAAGTACGGGGAAGATCAGGTGCTGGATGAGGATTGGCATGTGAGGCTTGAGATGGTCCCACATCGCCTTGGGCTTCACGCACTCGTCCAGGAATCCCAAAGTTGAAGACAAGCAAGGCTTGCTCATCCACGCCTGCTTTTGGACCCACTTCTCAATCTCCGCCAGGTATCCCTTGAGTATTTCAGGAGCAAATGTCTTGATGAAGCTCTCCGCCACTGCCGAGTAGTCTTCTCCATTCCCCTTTTGCAGGCTCGCTGGGTTGCCGTACCTCACAAACAGACGGTTCAGGTTGACATATGCCCACTTCTTACACTTCCACCAATGGTTAATTTCCCGCTCTTCCAGATCCTCCATCATCGAGTTTTCCGGCGCTTCCTTGGCGACAATCCGCAAAAACAGCGTGCACCAGTCCACCATGCTCTGGTGGGACCGCAACTGCATGGGCAGCTCAAAGTAGATTGCATGTTTGTACGCCTTGAGCACCTGCCTCAGCATCTCCCCTGCCTCCAAGCTGCTCTCATTCACCAAGCTATTGCCAATGCTGAGCAGCTGCGGGAAAGTGACCTCCACAATCTTGTCAAAGTCCTGACGCTGGTCGCCCAGTTTGTAGCGGTAGGTCCGGCATATTCCCAGCAGGCATTGCAAGCCCGCAAAGACATGCGGTAAGTCCTGGGCATTGAGCAGCTTTATGGTGACATCGACAAAGTCTGGCCACTGCTTGGGGAAATCGACGTGCAAGATCTTTTGCAGTGCAACGACCAGCTGCGGTCTGACGTTGGACTGTGCGGAATTCGCGAGGACGGGGACTAAGCGCGCGCGGACCGCGGCCTTTTCGTTGTCGGAGATGGCGTTGCTCGAGGTGGAGACGCCGTCGCTCCTCGCCCAGCCCTTGTTGACGCGGTTCTTGAAGTAAATGGCGGCTGCGAAATGTGTCAGTGCTGTGCCAACGTAAAGGCATGTCCTGGATTGGGGTTGGAGTCACGCACTCGACAGTCGTAGTCCTGCATCCTGCTCGGCCTCGAGAATGTTCAAGAGGGCATCGAGGAAGCCCGGTGTGTCTTCCGCCTGTGCGGAACACAACATGTCAGTTCCTCAACTTGAATCCACTTGGACGGATATCCCCTCCGCAATCTCTTACCGCCTTGAGATCAAGCTCTGCCTGCCGGCGAACGTCCGCATTTGCATCAAGCGTGGCTTGAATGCGGCTCCTCAGACCGGCAGCATCCATGGTGAAGAGTGCTCAGCCAGTGCCGCGCTAGGTAGGAATGGTGATGCCAGACTCGTGGATGATCGACTGGCGCACGGTGTTGATAGCTAGCTATTAGAAGATCACGGTTAGAAACAGTGTCCAAAGCAAAAATTTCCGGGAATGAAGTTGTCTGAGAGGACCAGGATCAAAGTTTAGGTCAGAGATACAAAGCCAAACGCCAAGATTGGATTAGGGCGGTGGGATGGACGACGATTGATTGCATTTGCAAGTTGGATCGAGTGAAAGATGCCGCATAACTGGAAGAAAGCTGTTGCAAGTGCATGCTCTTGTCACTCGTGCGCTGCAAGCAAGGGTTGCTCAAAGATGACACCGAGCACACATGTTACATACGTTACCTTACATCAAGAGGCGGCCTTTTCACGCGAACTACACCGAGGAATATGCACATGGACGACTCGTGTGTAGACACTCCATTTGTAGAGCTATCTACCCCCCCTTCCACCCTCCCCCCTTCCACCCTCCCCTCCCCTCCACTCGGAGCCACTGCTTCCCTTCCACCAAAAACAGGTAGCAGTCGATAGACCACCACCAGAAACAGTATTGATGTTTACCATTTCAAATCGCAACCTGTACGCCAAGGTTCAGTAGCAGTCGATTGACCACCACAAGTGACGGCTGTGCAAAATGTTTGCTCAGCCTGCGCCTACACCACCGGAGATGGATTCATCCTCGTCGCTGTCAGACGAGGATCCATCACCAAACACCTCGACAAGCCTCAAAGTGAATGGCTTAGAAGGCTCCTTCACTCTCCGCGCCCGCTCCTCGGCGGCCTGGGCCTGGGCCTCGGGTGTCTTGTGCGCCTGCGCTGCCTTGGCGTTCTCCTTTGCGAAGCCGTTCCGCGATGCCTTCGACGGTGGTGAGGTGGTCGCTTCACCGCCGCCGACCTCGACGTCCATGCCTTCCGTACCGCCGGCGAGGGCGAGAATTTTGGCCATGTTGTTGCCAACTTGACGCTTGTCATTCTGTGCCTTGATCTGCTCGGTGTGTATGCGCTGGCGCTCAAGCGCTTCCATGCGCTCGCTGTCTGCAAAGACACGATTCTTGAATGCATCTGTGCCCTGCTTCAAATAGACGACGAAGCGTGGCTCTTCACTGGTCTTGTAGCCGTAGTCTGGCTTCGCGTTGGGATCCAGTGCACGACTCTTATCAAATGGGAGCGCAGATCCGACCGGAGGCAGCGATGACGGTGTTGTTCYCCACTCTCTGGGCTGGGTTTTGTATTCTATCGGGTCCATGTCGATTGTGCGGGTTCTGACCCACCTGTCGACAAAGTCCCTACCCGAGTAGCCTTTCGTTATCGCAGCCTCGATGATGCACGCTCTCAGTGGCGTGTGCATCTTGTGGCAGTTCTCAAGATAGCAGTCACTCGGGTGACTGCACACCGCTATCTTGCATGGCCAGCCTTCTTTCACGCATGGACCACATGGGACATTATGGTCGCACGACTTCTTGAGAGCTGTGCATTGCGCACACACGATGATGTTCTGGTTTTGCTCCCACCACTGGTTGGCGCTATTGTGGCGAAGCTTAGGATCCGTCGACACAGCATCTTGGTAGTAAGTCTCGGTGATGTGACCAAACAATGGCAGGTTGTGCTGGTCGGTAACGAACTGCTCCAACTCTTCTGATGTTGTTGGGATCTCAGGATCSGTCACGGTGATCGAGAGATCGCGATCGTTGGCGGCGACATACGCCATTCGCTGGAATCTACCAGGCGGCGTCATGGTCGATTGGCCTCGGGTGGATGTGGTGTGGGCACCTCGACCAGAGCGGCCACCTCGCTGAGCCTTGGCATCGCGGGCAGCCTTCTTCTCCTCTTCGGCGCGGGCAGCGTTGGCAGCTGTAGTGGCATCAAAGCTGTCGAACCTGCTGGGAGCGGCCTGTTGAGTGGCGGCGCCCCGGGCACCTCCACGACTGCCCAAGCCTCCGCGACTGCTGGGGGTCTGCTGGGAACGCGGTGCAGTATGTTGCTGCTGCTGCTGCAGTTGCTGCTGCTTTTGCGACGGTTTGCTGGCTGGTGGAGGCACAGGAACCTGTGACCCGCTGTCCTCACCGCGAGTGTCGGAACGACCACGAGGCGCAGCAACGCGCCGTGAAGCGGCAGGCAGACGATACTGAGACTCATTCATGACACGCGCTGTGCTTCGTGGATGAAGTTGACTCTGCTGCTGCCAGGCGTTGGTTCCAACGCTCTGTGGTTGCTGTGGGCCCTGCTCAAACATGTTTGGGTATTGGCGATGACAGCCGCCTCGGGTGCTTAAGCTCTGCGATTCGTCCTTCGGTTGGCCGTGCTTGGCTTGAAGCTGATGCGGAGACGGAGGCTRTGTGAACTTGGTCGGAGGCTGCTGAGACTCGGGCTGGCGCTGCGATTTCCTGCCACGCGAAGTTCCTGTGTTCTGTGGTGGTGAGGAATTGCCCATGCTGGTTTGAGACACCTTACGCTTCATGCGGTTGAAGTCTTGAGCCATCTCACGCTTCATGGGTTCGAGATCGGCTTCAAAATTGGTCTCTAACTGGGCGACTGGGCCGACCGGCCGGGCCACTTCTTCGACCCATGTGCGTTGATCGACGTCGACGATGCGCCATCCATGGTGATCAAAGTTCCAGCCGTACCAGATGTCGCGAGCCTCATCGCGGCGCCACTCTCCGTCGCGATGGCGTTCGGGGTACTGGCTGCCTTGCCTGTTGTTCTGTGGGGTGTTGTTGTAGTTCTGTCGTTGTCCATTTTCTCGTTGGTGTGAGAATCTGCCCATGGTATTCTTTGCCGGCTGCGAATGCGTGGCGAGAATCTTGGTGATGATGGTGAAGCTCAAAAGGCATTTGCAGAAATCAAAACAAAAGGCATCCCATAACAAATTCGCCACCGCCAAGACTTTTCGTTGGAGTCGCCAGGTAACTACTCGACGCCGGATGCTCGACGCGTGCGGAAACATCATCTTCACCTTCACCACAGATAGCATACGAGCATCATGGCAGAAGAAAATCACCAAGATCGCCGTCCTACTCGACAGCATGATGGTGGTAACGACGACAAAACCCGACAGAACCCACAGAACCAACAAGACCAACAAGACATCATCAAGGTAGAGCCCGCCGAAGATGACCTGGCTGACGGCGGCAGCGAGCCCTCCGATCGACCGAGTCAGCGCGACCGGACTCGAATGCAAGATGGCAATGATGACCGCGAAGGCAGGTTACCAACCCATGGCGGTGGAAGCTTCGACGGCAGGCACTTTGAGAACGGCTTTCAACCGTGCAACAACTGCGTGCCGAAGGGAAAGCCTGGCAGGTGTAGTGGCAATGGCTTTCCGTTCAGTCGAACGAATCCCTGCGATGAATGCAGCCGTTCAAAGGACAAGAATGGCAATCCGCTAGAATGCGGTGCCCTCAAGGGCGCACGCAAACAAGGCTTGGTCAACGGTGTCTTTGATCCGAGAGACCGCCAGCCGAACGGGCGAGGACGCGGGCGCGGGCGCGGGCGCGGGCATCACTACTCACAGCCCATACATGCCTCACAGCCCGCACATGCCTCACAGCCCGCACATGCCCCATGGCCCGCACATGCCCCATGGGCCGCACATGCCCCATGGGCCGCACATGCCTCACAGCCTGCACATGGCCCACAGCCTGCACATCCCGAAATGCCCGCGCAGCCTCCTGGAGGCGTTTCTGAGGAGAGGATGCAGGCCATGCTGGACAAGCAAGCCTTTCATCTCAAGTTCGCAGAGCAGGAGCGCAGGCTCGCAGAGCAGGAGCGCAAGCTCGCAGAGGATGAGCGCAAGCTCGCAGAGCGGGAGCGCAGGCTGGCAGAGCAGGAGCATAAGCGCAACATGGAGATCGAATTAGATCGCCTCCGAGCAGATCAAGATCGCCAGCAGTCTCAACGCGAACTAGAGTTTGGTCAGAGGATGGCCCCATATTCGGCTGGGATGACTTCCAGGAAACGTGCTCGCTCCCCTGAGCAAGACGACCGACAGCAGATGCACATCAAGCCCAATTTCGCCGCGAATGATCCGAGGATTCGTGCCGCACAGAGCATGGGACCAAACAGTCCAACCATCGGGAGCCGTGGTAGTAGTCGCGGTCAACGTGCACCGCCGTCCTYCTACCCGAACGATCCTTCTTTTGGTCGTCGGGCACCGCCATCGATGGGACCAAACGATCCTTCTTTTGGACCCAATCAGTCCATGCTGCCACCGAGTTTCGATGAAGCCGAGGAACTGTTCAACATGAAACCATCCGTATCACCACCACCACCATTTGCACAGAATGCTCCGCCCACCTCAGGCGGCAACCCTACCACGCATGGAGATCCTCCACCATCAGAGAATGTTCACGGACAGTCTTTTGGCGACGCTCGCGGCGGCACAGGTTCCCGCGGCACAGGTTCTCGTGGTGGCCTTGGTTCTCGTGGTGGCCGTGGAAATTCTCGTGGCCCTGGCAATGGGGCAGGTCGCGGCTCCGGCGGCGGCGCGAAAAGGCAGTAGGTGCCTCCAGGCAACATTGGTAGTCTGTTCCACACGAATGGATACCCGAAAAAGAGGTGCTGATCAAACACTCTGATTGACACCCAAGCTAAGCGTGCTGGCTGCCTAAAGCTGGTACTTGGTAGTGGCTTCGGCTGCTCGACAACAGGAGGCTGGCCTTGCAAGGTTGGTTCATTGATGGTGGCTGCGGCTGCTGCTTGAAAGCGTGCTGCATAAAGCTGGTACTCCGTGGTGGCTTCAGCTGCTCGACAATACTGATGGTGGCTGCGGCTGCTACATGCCGACCGCTGACTCCGTTCTGAGTGGAGCTGGCGCGAACGGTAATGGCTGCGGCCATTATTGTTGTTGTGGGTGGCGCATCTTGGAGAGATGCCGGCTGCTTGCTACGGACAGGGTGTGGCGGAAAAGAAGAGTACGGGAGGGATGTAGACAGATATATCTCCCCAAATTGAACATGCCAAAAGAACTTTCCCAACTGACTGTAAAATGTGGCGGTGAAAATGATATTTCTTACGACGCATGGCTTCGAGGCCATAAGGTGAAGTTGACTGTGAGGTGTCTTGATCGGATCGCGAAGGCGGAAGGTTGGCCGAGGATCTGCGAAGCTTGTTCCGCGCGTCTTCTTTCTGCCGACCAGACAAATGACATATCATCATCCCATCTTTCCATTGTTTGATACTGTATTGAGCGGGACAGCTCGAGCTCCGCGACGATGAGTACGGCGCCGCCCAGTGACGACCAATCAAACGTAGCTGAGGCTACCGCAACGAAGATCGATGCCGAGAAGAGCGACTGGTCCAATCTCCCCAAAACTCATCCTCTTCACCATTTCGGGATCGCTTTAGGAGGTACGGAAGGCATTCTTGCAGGCACAGACTACAATGAGATGTACGGTGTGGAGCTTGTGCCCGGCACGGAGGAGTAAGTATGAGCATGAGACTATGTGCAACACAACACGAGAATGCTAACAGCCTTCTAGCAAACCAGCACCGCACACCACTCTTCTCATCTTGCAGAAGTTTCTTCGGGCAAACACAGGCGATCTGGACCAAGCAAAATCCCAGCTGAGCGCAGCTCTCAAATGGAGGAAAGAGTACCAGCCTCTCAAGGCTGTGGACGAGGCGTTTGATGGAGAGAAGTTCCGTGGACTGGGCTACATTTCGAAGGTGAAGGCAGCTACCGAAACGAAAAACGAGGAGGACGTCGTTGCATACAACATCTACGGTGCTGCAGCCAAGGACAGCAAAAAGGTTTTTGGCGACACGGATGCGTGAGTATTGCCCTGTCACAGTGCTTGCAGAATCCAGAGTGCTGACATCGATCAAAAGCTTCGTCCGCTGGCGTGTAGCTCAGATGGAACTCACTCTCGCACAGCTCAACCTCAATAATGCTGAACAGACCATTCCCGATTATGGAAAGGGACCGGATCCTTACACTGCGATCAATGTGCACGACTACATGTCCGTCTCTTTCTTTCGACAGCCGGCCGAAATCAAAGCATCAAGCAGCAAGCTCATTGATCTGTTCCAGAGGTACGCTGATGCTGCTCTATTCGCCAACTCTGACTGACAAAATCGTAAGATACTACCCCGAGACCGTCTCGTACAAATACTTTGTCAATGTCCCAATCGTCATGCAGTGGATGATGGGAGCCATGAAAGCCCTCATGTCAAAGGACAGCATACAGCGGATGACATGGATGACCTATGGCAACCAGCTGCATACCTATTTGGGAAGCGATGTTCCCAAAGAGTACGGGGGCACGGGCCTTCCTCTGGAAGGGAACGCTATCACGCCGAGATATGCACCTGTGGGGGCTGCTGTTGAGGCGACCTCCACGAACCAGACTGACGCCACGCACGCAACGCCGCCAGAGGTCACAACAGCGTCCACTGCCAAGAGGGCCGGTGAGCCGCCAATAACGGCTGAGTAGAGCACGCGGATTGCCCATGTTTTGCGCCCTATACCCAATGCTACTGCGCTGATTGATGCTGATATAGCCAGCTTCTAGACAGATTCATAATAATAGTATGTTTCATACTAAATCTCCACCACCTGCGGTCTGTTTCTTATCTTTCCCGTATCGCAGTACATCAATGCTGCATTTACCATGAATGTACTGGCAGGCCTTTGACCCAACACGCGGTCCTGAGCAACGGCCAAGGATCCGTATATCACGAAAGCTAACAATCGGAACCAGGCTCCAAGATCCAGAAGACCAAATATCAGGCCAAGCAGACCTTCTGCAGAAGCCCCGTTCATAATCTCAGCGAAACACCTCTCTCCTTCATCCCACCACACGACCTCTCTCCCGCCCTTTATCAAGCCCAACAGATCGCTTTTACCGGCATGGATGTGACCGAAGACCTGTAGTACGGGCTTCGTCCGCCTGATTTCTCGTAGTAGGAATGGGTTTCCCATGGCCTTGACTCCGGGCAAATCGAGATGAAATTTCGGTGGCGAGTGTGTGACTACGATATCTACATCTGGTGGGATTTTGCCTGTCCACACATCTTCCTCGATTGGATGCTGGAAAGCATGCTCGGGACCGCCGACAAGGGGGACATGAGGACCTCCAAAGACTCTCAGCCTGCCGCGGCCCGTGGATGTCAGATCGAGGAGAACGGAGCTGTCTTGCAGGTAATGAATGTCTTTCCAGTCAACGTGGCCATTTTGGTCAGAAGGGGATAGTGTCTCCCGGCTCTTGGGATCGAGCCAAGTGTCGTGGTTGCCTGCAATGGCGATCTTGTATTGATGGGGCAGGCTGCAGAGCCAGTCAATTTGAGCTTGAATCTCGTTTGGAGTTCCGGCATTTGTTAGGTCCCCAGCATGGATGAGAATGTCGCTAGGATTGTCATCATTAAAGCAACGTATGAGACTGTATTCAATCCAACTCACCCATCTGGAACATCATCAGGGATGAGGGTATGGGTATCAGAGATACAAACCACCTTCACCTTGCGTAAGGCTTCAGGGGCAGATCGAAGGAACGAGAAGAGAAAGTCCAGCAAGCGAACAAGTATCTTGACGGGGTTCAGAAGCTGGCGGTAGACACTTGGAATGTGGTATGGATTCGCCATCCTCGCATGATGATCAAGGCATAATCACAGTCCAAACATGGCCGTAGAGTTCGAGTCATGTTCACCGCTCTGACCAACTATTTTCGAGTGCCGATCCCGTCCGACGCATGTGCCATGCGTGAGCTATCCACCGCCTTGCTTCTTTTTTAGCTTATTCGGTACACATTCTGACAACACCACTCTGCTGCTATGGAGCATCCGCATGACACACGTTCCGTGTTTCATACTGTAGCCTCACGGGATCCGCAGTGTGATGCCATAGTCAGCAGACTCAATACTGGCGTCACCGCCACGGCGGGCGCTACCCTGAAATAAGCCGGTACAGCGATCGCTACCGTCGTACCGTTGGGGGGATTTCACCCTGCATTACATCGACTCCAGGCGGTTTTGATAAACATCGGGCTACAGACCGATTGTTGCACAGACTGACAAGATGGAAGTGGATCCCTGTCGAATTGTCGCGCTTTGATCGACGGCCGATCGACTGCCTGTCCATGTAACACAAGCCGAGTACTTTTCACAGTCACAGCACGAGGAAACACGACCTTTCGCCGGCCGACCATGGCCCAACACCACCCGGCCCAGTCTTCCATCGAGGCTAAACTTGTGGTGCTCGGCTCGCAAGGCGTTGGCAAGACATCACTCGTGCATCGATACTGCAAGAATACCTTCATCCCGCACAGCAAGGCGCAGTCGACCGTCGGAGCCTCGTTTCTCACCACACGCGTCAACGACCCCGAGTCTGGGACACAGATTCGACTGCAGCTGTGGGACACTGCTGGACAGGAGCGCTTCCGATCCATCTCACGATTGTACTATCGCGGCGCCAACGCCGCCATTCTTTGCTATGATATCACCAGCAAGAAGAGTTTCGATGACATGGGCGTTTGGCTCCGGGAATTGCGCGAGAACTGCGGAGCGGGCAGCGAGGATATGATTCTACACATTGTTGGCACAAAGAGCGATGTCGTGGCAAAGGATCCATCGTTGAGACAGGTGCCGTTTGAGAGATGCATCGGATACATTGCTGAGCAGCTGTACCCTTCCTCGAATGTCTCTGCAGCCGTGACTCCTGGACCGATGCCTGGAGTAAGCTATGGGATTGGCAGTCCGCCACCCTCTTCTGGCCAAGGCATGTCACAGCTTCATCCGAATGCCGCTAGACCCATGAACAGCCCGAATAGCAATCGGAGTTCATGGTGGGGACAAGAGACTATCTGGGACTGCTGTCATGAGATATCCGCAAAGGATGGGGAGGGTATAGACGAGGTTTTCCGAGTCGTGACGAGAAAGCTCATTGAGCAGAATGCAAAGCGTGCCGAGCAGCAGAGACTGTTGGAGGAGTATCAGATGCGGACTCCTGGCGGTATTGATGGTGGTCCTGGAACAACTGGATACTTTGACTTACCAAACGGTGGGAATGGAAGCTTTAGACTCGGACTTGGAGATAAGAGACGAAGCTGGCTTGGAAGTCTCGCGACACCTGGAGGATTGACCAACTACGGTGACGACGAAACTGACGATATTGCTGCCAAAGCCCGTGCCAAGGGCAGGTGTTGTTGAGAGGCGAGTGCGAGTGTGTTGGAGACGATATCGACAGTGACGGCGTTTTTTGTTTTCTATCTCATGGGTAATGGGTGTTTCGGCGGCGTGTACTGATATGGGGTGTGGGTTTTGGATATTATAGCTTCGCCGCCAGGCACATATACCCTATTTGCGTCTGTGGGGGTAGAGGGACATGGAGACCGGTGTGGAGAGTTTCGGGATGGGATGAATGGTTAGGATTTTTGTAATTGTGTATGAATTACGTGCAGTCTTTTGGAACGTTTTGGCAGGTCATGTGCTTCGAGCCTGTAGCATGGTGTGGTTTGTCAACATTCAGTACTAACGAGTCCTCCAAATCGACATATCCCGTCAATTCACTTCCCTCCGCGCCTTCCTTCCGAAGACTCGCCGAAAACTTCACTTGCCCGACAAATGATCAAATACATCATACATTAACGCTGACATAAGAGGAGATCTAATATCATTAATCATTGTACCGACATTCACAAACWGATATATACCTGCCTCGGTGTTTAGCACGTCTAGTTGATGCCGCGGTCGAGCTTGGCCAAAAGATCCAGCACCGCAGCCCCACCTCCCTCTCCCCTCTCGCTTCCCTCTGTATTCCTTCGTCCCCGACTATTCCCCCTCTCCGCTCGCTTAGTTCGCTCTTCGGCCTCATCCTTTAGCTCCTCGGTGATGGTCTGAGCCCGTTCATAAGCAAGCTGAGCAGCCTCATCTTCAGGCCGGAGTTCCCATTCCTCATCAAAGTCATCCTCATCGTCAGAACCAGGGGGTGAATCAACAACTCCAAGCTCTGGAGACTTGAGTAGACGACCAATTTCATTGCCATTACTTTCATCTGCGGAGCGAGCAGATGTGACGCGTGAAAGTGAGTTACCGCGAGATGTAGCACGCACATTAGAGGCTGGGTGAAAGGCGCTGTTACGATATCCGATTGCTTCGGCCACCCTCCTAGCTTCGTCATCCGGGTTTCCTGGACTGCCAAGCTCGCCCAAGGCCCCGAGGTCCGGTCCAAAGAGGGAAAGACGATTGTTCGTATCCAGTAAATGTCCACCTCGCCCGCGAGCCGCATCCTCCGACTTGTCCAGAATGTCTCTGTAGCCACTCCTCGCGGGATCCTGCAGACGCTTCCTCTTCTTGGCTTCGCGCTTGCTGCTAGGCCTGACTACAATGACAGGAACGGGCGAGTATTGAAGGCAGTATTTCGACACACTGCCCGAACTTAGCAATCCCTGATAGCCGGTCAAACTCTTTCCTCGTGTCCCCACAACCAGGATCGCCGGCTCGTAGATTCGAATCATTTGCTGGATGGTATCTTGCACTTTACCAATGCTGAACTCCAGAACCAAGCTAATAGCGCGATCATCTGTGTTCTTCTTCTCAATCTCCTCAAGAAAGCGTTCCGCCTCTCTTTTGTATCCACGAGTGCCTTGCCCTCTGCTCCAAATGGATGCTTCTTTGCTATCCTTCTCCACGACTCGCAAACACACGACTTCATCGCCATCATCTACCAGCTCGTCAATCAACCACTCCAGCGCAGTATCGCTGTAGTCGTTTGTGTCGGTGCCGCAGAGAAAGGTTCGTGATCGTTTGGTGTATTCGTAGTCGCGGTRCTTCCGGTTCAAGGTGAGAGAAAAGTCGGAAGCGGAGGGGTTGGCGAAAGTGTCGAATGACACCTTGGGCCGGAATTGTGCAGGTGGAGGCGGAGAACTCATACGTCTCGACCCTGGTGCAGTTGTCGATGGTGTTGCGCCGCCCAGGCTGCGTCTGATTGATGGTGGTCGCGCGGAGGAAGAGCGTGAACCTAATGCGCYTTTTATGTTGGGCACAAACTGGACCGAGGGACGCCGAGCGCCTTCAGCATCGCCGTTCAGTGCATGTCCCGCCATGGTTGGTCGGCGCCAGGGAGGAACAAAGGTCGCGCTTTGCGGCTGTGGTGCAGTGCCGCCACCGTCAAGGGTGGTTCCCTCAATACCACTTGCAGCAGCGCGTGGCGAGGATGGGGCCGCTGACCCCGAGCGTGGTGAGGGTGAAGGCTCGGCCATGAGTGCGATCGTTGCGCGATATGTCGTTTACGTGCAGGAGTGCATGCGCTGGATGCGCTTCTTTCGTGATGTTGTGGTGCCGATACCTACGTGTCTTGCGATTCCTCTTCTAGAATGGAGGAATAAAAATGGCTTTTCTCAATGTCAATGTACAGATGCGGATGTTTCTTCTTCGCAAAGTTCAGTACGTCAGTGATTGAAGAAAGATGCCGTGGAGGGAAAGCAAGCTTCCATTGACCCACTGCAGAACCCCAATCATCCCCGCCCCCAGTCATGCGTCCGCCCCACCGTCCACTTTTCTCCCCTCAAAGTCATGAGATGTGATGATGGGAGTATCTCCACGCGAAGTTACCGCATCTTCTAGTATATTGCAACCAAACCCCGACAATGATGTCTCGTCCACGTGTTCGCGAGAAAAGTTCGAACGATCCTAGTTTTCCACGTGCGCGTGTTCCACGATCGGCTCAAAGTTTGTACTCCATTGTCCACGCATGTACATTTACATTGATTCATGCTGCAATACAAGACAAGCCAGTACCGGACTTGTTTCACGATATCCCTCGCCACTTATTCATTGGAGATGCCGACTCAGACAATAAAGATGTGAAAGGCTGGGGTTGTAGGTGCCGTCTAAATCATCACTTCACGTGCACTTCTCGCAAAGTAGTTACACTCATCATCTTCCGCAAGATAAAGACTATCCTCCCTTCGCTTAGCTGCATGATATATCCATCTTTTCCAACACGGTATGTCTGATGGACTGCTTTGCAACAACCGCAGCAAAGCAATCACATTCTTAGTCTCCTTTTCAAACGTTCTCAACGGAAAAGGGGCATTCTTTGCATTGAGCGGCGAGCGCATCTCCCTAGGATCGCAATTCGATCCATCGAGGCGCACAAACCATTGATCAATAATCGTCTGATTTCTCACCATCWTCTGCGTCTGTAAGGCTCTGTACGGACACATCGCCTTGGGATTCTTGGGCAACACAGTTTCGATAAGCTCCATCCGGTCGTGGAGAAGTTTGCGCCCAAATTCTCGCATGTCCTGATCGACGGGCATTCGCTCCAGTTGTGATGAATACCCGCCACCGCCTTTGCATCGATGGATGGAGCTGATGAATAGCCGTAATTGGACCAGCACAGTCTGAGGATCGACTCCGAGAGCGATAGCAGGCTCTCTAACCTGGTAGCGGATCGGTGGCGTCATGATATCCTCTGTGAGATGACTGTCGCTGAGATCTTCGTTCGCTGCCGAACACGCTTCCGCCATCTGCCGAGCTAGACGCACGAAGTGAGCCCAGTCAGATGCAGAAAGTCTATCTGGTGTGGCGTTCTGTAAACCATAGTCGATCGCTAGGGAGAAGGAGAGGAATCGACGAAGACGCTCAACTCTGGGATTGGACTTTCGAAGGTTGGTCTGCCGCGCTGAAGTGGGAGAGCGAGGTGGTATTCGGCGGTCTTCACTGMGTCGCGGAGCATACGGTGGTGGTTGTTGCTGAGCCCCGCTTGTAGCAGCGAACTGGGAACGTTGCTGTTGATGAAAAGCCCGTGAAGAATATGGCGGCGGTGAATGCTCTTCCCGCATAACACAGTCTTGTCGCCGTGTCCGCGTTGTCCCCAAGGCCGAGAACATACGTTGTGGAGATTGTGCGCACCGTATAGCCGCTGGAATGTGTGGGAACAGCATTGTGGGCTGGTATTAGAGATCAGTATGAGATGGTCTTCGCTTTGACGAGTGACTGCAAGTTAGTTGAGCTCAGTATGTAGAATCTGCAATGACGGGCAGCGCAATAGATCACATTATGCCTTGAGCTCGACTTAAGGAGGAACAATCTAGGTCCGTCACTGTTCGGAGTCCGGCTTACCTCAAGACGCGGGTCAAATGGTGTAGCTGRGAGTAAGCTGGACGTGGGTTTTGATTTGCCATGATAAAGGTTGGTAGAGATGATGAAGTTGGGGAATGAAAGAATGGAGACTGAGCGCCGCTACATGAGCGGCATGTGAAGATTGTTGCTGCCGAGCTTGTTGCACTGGTCGCTCCAAGTCGAGAGGTTCTCGTCGATTCCGTGATGCATGAGGGAGGAGATGATGTATACCTCCTAGCTGATCAATATCTCCCTGCCATCACCATCACCGCGTGCCAGCTGCGTTCCATCAGTCCATCATTGAAATGCCAGTTTACCATTGATGAGAAAATGATCAGCCGCTGGATGATTCTTGCTGATGCTCATGCTGATGAGTACCTCGTAGTTCATTTACATGGAGTCCCTTCCCCGGGCGAAGCTAAGCAAGGTTGGATATTCTAGTTCTAGCGCCGCCGAGACCTCGCGTCGCAACTCAACTATTGGCAGGGAGTCGACAGCCCCTCTGTCACGGTCCATTCTGCCTGTTGGCACAACAGTTGACTGGTCTGGGGAGCAGTCGATATACGGCGACAGCATGTTCTCAATACGAAATTAAAAAGCACACAACCACATTCCGCGATGGAGTCCGATACCGAAGACAAGTACCAGCGATACGCTAACATCCCTATTCCCTCGTACGATGAAGCTGTGGCCGACCGACCTGGATCATCGCAAACACTCCGAGGTGCACAGGAAGTGAGCGACGATGCGGAGAGGCAGGGTCTGCTAGGTGTGAGTGCGAGGGACTCGCATCGTCAGCCGACAGTGGAGAGTCCGAGGGCGAGTGAGGATAGCGATCTCCACCTGCCTGAAGTGGGAGGCGATGATGAGCGGAGGCTGGATATTGAAGAGCTGGACTATCTGGACCCATCTGCGCCGGACCCGGACAATTTATATCACCGTCCAAGAACACGATCCAAGTTCACGCAGCACCTATCTTCCCTCGGCGCGACCCTCTCTTCCCTTCGCTTACCTTCTTTTCGATCTTTATACACACCCGTACAACCACGAGATGCCGCCGATCCCGAGACCAACGAGGAACGACCGCCGACGTCTCGATTTGCTCGCTTCATCCCAACGATACCCACCGTCCCCGAGCAATACCGCATGGGATTGCCCACTGCTGCACGACTTTGTGCCTTATTCACCATTGTAATCGTAATCTACGTTCTTTTCATCTTTGACATATTCCCCGGTGGCGGCAGGGGACGATATCTTGGCCGTGGCTTCAACCCCGAGGCGGTTCGCATGTTTGTGCAGGACAACGTCGACCCAAGGAATATCGAGGATTACCTCCACCACATCACGGCGTATGACCATGTCGCGGGGACCGAAGGAGACTTGTACATGGCCGAGTGGATGCGGGAACGCTGGCTGACGGAAGGATACTTGGACACGGTGGAGCTGAAAAGCTATGACGTATATTTGAATTATCCAACTCAGGAGGGACGGGAGGTCAGCATTGTGAGTCCTGAAAACAAGCGATGGACTGCAATGTTGGAAGAGGAGAGAATAGATCTGGGCAAGGTGCAGACGCTGGCATGGCATGGACACAGTAAGAGCGGGGATGTCACAGGACCGCTGGTCTACGSGAATGGAGGGAGCAGGGACGATTTCGAATGGCTGAGGCAGAACAACGTCACGGTGAAGGGCAGTATCGCGCTGATGCGGCAATATGGCACCCAGGAAGACCTTGGATTGAAAATCAAGGCAGCGCAGGATGCGGGCTGTGATGGTGCTTTGATCTACTCCGACCCTAGCGATGACGGGTCCGGTAGAGGATCAGTGTGGCCTGATGGACCGTGGAGACCGGACGATTCACTCCAACGCGGTGGCGTCGGCCTCACGAGCTGGGTGGTTGGAGATCCGCTTACTCCAGGCTACGCTAGCACGAAAGACGCACCTAGGATAGGAAAGGAAGATAATCCAGGACTCGTCCAAATTCCATCTCTTCCACTTGCCTGGCGCGATGCCAAAGTCCTTCTCCGCTCCATACAACACATGGGCACCCCGGTTCCGGATTCGTGGATTGGTGGTGATGGAGACCTTCCTTTACCTTGGTATACTGGAGGCTCGGTAGAGAATGCCCTGATCGTCCATCTCAAGAACATGAATGACGAGAACGACAAACAACGCATATGGAATCTTCACGGTCGCATTGAAGGCGTGGAGCAGCCGGAGAAGAGAATCGTAATTGGAAATCACCGTGATGCATTCTGTTTCGGATCCGTTGATGGGTCAGGTAGTGCCGTAATGATGGAGATTGTGCGAATCTTCGGCCAACTACTCTACAACAAATGGCGGCCTCTTCGCACGATCGAATTTGTTTCATGGGATGCAGGAGGGTACAACTTGATCGGCAGCACAGAGTACGTCGAGGACAACATGGACGATCTTCGCGAAAACGGGGTCGCGTATATCAATGTCGACGTGGGTATTGGAGGAAGTGCAGAAGATCTCGACTTCCGCGCTGCAGGCAGCCCAGTTTGGAAAAGAGCCCTCATGCACGTTCTCGATCGCGTCGATGCCCCGGGAAGAAATGCCAGTCTGAAGGATATCTGGGAGACCAAGGGCAGCACTCTTGAAGGACTGGGCGCCGCATCTGATTATGTTGCATTTCAAGATATGGCGGGCACCTCGTCTGTCGACTTTGGGTTCAAGGGTAAACAACATGGATATCCTGAAAATTCCTGTTACGAAAATTTCGAGTGGATGAAGCAGTTTGGAGATCCGGACTTTCAATGGCACAGGGCTCTCGCGCAGGTGTGGGCGTTGATGATCTTGGAGGTCGCAGATCATCCCGTGCTGCCATTCGATCTAAAGGCTTACGCGGATGCACTGAGAGGACCGTACGTCGATGGATTGCAGGAGTATGCCGAGGCTACCTACAAGAAATCAGGGGGGAAGCGCTCTGGTCTTGCGGAAACAGGATTTAATGTTGATCCTCTAAGGAAAGCGGCTGGGTTTCTGACCGACCGTGCGATTGAATTTGTGCATTTCGAAGACCTCTGGACAACCAACGTGCTCACATCTGGCGGCTTGGAGAGCACTACATACGCGCTTCATCGACTGAAGTACAACAACATCTTGGCGGATTTTGAAACCGATTTGCTAGACCTACCGACAAGTAAGGATGACAAGGGACCCCACGGCATGCCGGGCAGGGAGCAATTTAAGCACGTGGTGTTTGGACCTCAGGCTTGGAGCGGAAACGATGCTGCATATTTCCCTGCCGTGAGGGATGCAATAGAAAGGGGTGACTGGAAGGCCGCGCAGGAATGGATTGTGAAGATTGCAGGCATTCTGGATAGGGCTGCGGGCAAGCTGCAATTGGATTGATGGACTACTCCCATGACTGGGGTTCTCATTGTCTTGCATAGCGGCGAGGCGTTGGAAGGATTGTTAAGAATAGTGGGATTCGGATAGTGTGTCTGTACAGCAACGTGGATGCCTTGCATGAACTCAGCCCGCTTTTCACGCCCCTGCTGGTCGCTTCGAAGCGAAGGGCGATTCCCAGCACGTGGTATTCCTATACCATGCAACTATTTCTGCTCCAATCAACAGCCAAGGTAAGCGAGGCATTCCCAAATGGGAAAAGCAACTACCACCAAAAGCTTGGCTGCAGATGCGTAGCCTCACCTTATCGCAGAGAAGAAGGGAGTCTCGTCTGACTTTCTTTTATCGATCACTCCACTCATAGATCTACGCATCAGACCCTCACCCATCGTTGCGCAGGAAGCATGCTACCGGAATTGCAGGTCCTCCTTTCTTTGGTGACCATCGCCTACTGCCATCCAGATGCCAGACCACTGATGACTCCTGCGCCTGCACTTCCCGATCCGTTCCTCCATCCTCGGCAATTCGATAGCAGCTATTTGGCACAGACCTGCGGGTACATTGATGCATATATTCGTGCGTGCGGTTGAGAATGGTGAATTTCTTCGTGACTGTACTTACGAAGCCATTAGTTTCGCCTCTGGGATGCTACCAAGGCAGCGTCTGCGTGGAGGAAAGAACTTTAGGTCTTGCTGGCGGATGCTGTCGACTCGCAGACGTGAGCTCGAATTGCTTCCTCCCCACAAGTTGCGTGCCTCAAGCGAGTTTATCTGCGAGTTGTGATTCTGCTTGTAGTGAGGATATCAGGGTGACGAAATGGTTGATCATCTTGAGCTTACTGTGTGAATGGGTACTAATCGGTCTGTAGTGATGACGCTCAACCATATTGCTATACCAACTACTGGTAGGTGACCCAATGTGGGATGGCTGTGACTCAAACCGCTGACTCTCGACTCTTTTGAATAGGGTAGCAGATGGTAGCACGCCGACAGAAGTAGGGTGTACTTCAACACAGGGCTTCTTTGCCTATGTGTATAGCAGTTACACGAAAGCTGGATCAAACTTTAGCCCTACGACGAGAGTATCTCCGGTTCCGCAGACTGCAACGTCCAGTAGCGTAGCTTCCAATACCGGGACTTTGGACAGTTCACAGCAGATATCCGGCAATGGCGAGAACGATCAGACATCCAACCCTGGATCCGAAACCACCACCAACAATTCCAATGGTGGAGAATCGGTACCTGTGGGAGCTATTGCAGGAGGAGTTGTAGGAGGAGTGGCCGTGCTGGCTATTGCTGCCGGGCTCATCACCTGGCTATGTCTGCGCCATCGACGCGAGCAAAGGCGCAGTGCTGGGCTGAAAGCTGGTGATCCTACTCCAGGGGCCATTGTGAGAAAGCCGGTTCCAGAGCAGCATATGATTTCGCCCGTCGGTTCGGCGGAGCTTGCCCACGATCAGAATTATCGACCGAGTGAGGTCGACTCGAATGCCAAGACACATGCGCATGAGTTGCTTGGACGCAGGGCAGTGCCCGAGTTACCCTGACTGATCGAGTGGTGAAATGGCCAGTGGAATCGAATGTTACCGCGCTACCTGTTACGATCGCAGACTTCGTCCTCCCTACGAGGGCGGCAACACAGTTTGGAAGATGTTGTTTGACAAGTCATTGAGCTCTCCGCAACACTGCTTGCTGTGGTGGTTGCTCAACTGAGAGCCGGTAAGCCTCAATCTCCTCAGCCCTCGCACGTGGCCATGTGAAATTCAGCATGGCTGAGCGTCTATGAGAGAGTCAGAGGTCAATCGATGCATATCTTCTAGGCTTCAAAGGTTTGATTATACAGATCATTATCTTAGGTCTCGTATTGGGCGACTGGGTTCGCAGACGGAACTCTGTCCGGTGTATCTCTAAGAAGCTGTCTTCCAGCTTCGTGCAGACAAAAACTCCTCCAATCCAGGTCATACGCCTGACACGCGGCGTGATTCTACTGGTGCTTCCGTAGAACATCTACGTCCATTCCGGTCATAGGTCTCATTTAGTGTCGTAAGGGTTCCATCTTCGAATGTGACTAGCWCCTTGGTTGTCCAAAGCAACTCTCTCGTTTCTCACCATTTCTCGGTCCGTGCATGCTTCAGGTGAACCATAGACGTCTGGGTAAAGAGGTGCAAGTGAGTTCATGCTCAGTCGCTTCCCGCAGATCACCACTGCCCGCGGTACTGATTATGTCCAGCTCCGTGCCATGATTTGGTGAATACCGGATTCCCGACAATCTTGCTAGTCGGCCTGCATCGAGGGGATAGAGCACAAAGTCCCAGTACATCCTGCTCAATGCAGTCCCCCTTCCCCAGAACTGTCGATCGAAAGCATCTGCATCGTTCGATGCAGCGCGCAGGAACGACAGATATGTCTTCAATGTCCTCTTCACGTCATTGGTCTTGCAGTCAGGCAGTTGGTTCTGCCGAATCCACGAAGCCGTCTGGTGCCAAGGGTGCTTGACTTCTCGAACGTTGCCCAAATCGCCAAGCATCCAGTGGCGGCTATCTTGGCCAATAAAGATATTGTCAGGTTTGATATCGTCGTGACAGATGCCCGCTAGGTGAAGGTCTTCCAAGACCGACAGCAGGCTCAAGAGAGACGGGCGATAAAAGCGGTCCAACGACTCCAAGGAACTGGGATTGTAAGCAAGTCGTTCTCTCTCCGCGAGGCTCAAAAGGGTACCACCCAATTGTAGAGGCGATGCGAAAGCCCAGGTCCAGCCTGCAGGCTCCTGAAGAATGAAGTAGTCCAGAACAGGGACAAATGAGGCATCCCTGAGGCTGTTCAGTAGGACACCAGCTTCGATCTCGGTCGGCCAGGTGGTAGTGAGATCGATAAAGTCCTCCACGAGCTCGAAAGGAATCTGATTGCGAGCTGCGAGTGAAAAGGTCTTCACTGCGACAGCGGTACCTTCACTATCCTCATAGAGAGACACGGACCCTTCTTGACCAGTTCCGAGATGACTGATATACGTGTATCGATCATCGATATGGGTGCCATTGTTGTATCTGATCGGATGCGAAGGCGGCCATACTGAGAGGTTGAAGGCCCGAAGACGGCTAAAGTCTGTGGGATGAGCCTTCTTGACTTGATCCAGGAGGTTGGCCCGTCCACGTGAAACCCCAGCAAAGGCACAGAGCGACACGATTGTGATGAGTAGAAGACGAACGGATTTCGGTATAGCCTGCAATGTATGCAAAGCAGAGCGTTGCGGACTTCGATGAGGGTTGCGTCCTTTCCTGTAGTACCCGTCTGGGCCGATGCTCTGCATTTCCTATCCGCTGGGTCTGGCAATGTGTAATGTCATGGCAGGCGAACAGCAAGCGCCAACGAGTTTTATGAGGTTCGTTAGTGACGAAGTGTGCTACATAGTACAAATGTCTGTGCCACAAAGACAGACCTCGGTGGCTGTCAGTGTAAGCTTGCACAAGTGCAAGTTTAAGAGGCAGGAGTTGTCATTTGGGTTTCGCTATTGGCTGTTTTGAAAGGGAGATGTTTACCAAGGGCATGCCAAGGTGCCGTGGTCCGGTATACTGCTGTGATTGCCATGCTTTCAAGCCACTCACGAGACATGGCGCAGCATTGCCAGCAAAGACAGCGTCACATTCCGGAATCCTGATGGATTCCACTGCCTCGATCATGCTTCTGATTCGACTGAGCCAACCACCGGTGAACCGTGGTCTTTCAGCTTCATTATGCGAGTCCTATTATTAACAGTGGCAAAGTCAGCCGTGCTGCGCAAAGCGCTGTGGTCTCGCTACCAGCTTGCATAGTGATGAATGAGAGACATGGAGTTGATGTGGCGGAGAAAACCTGGGAGAGCCCAGACGGATGAGAGGCACCAGCCGCATCGACCGACTGTGGACCGCTCCCCGCGTTTCCCGTTTCTTCCCACTAGTTCTAGTTCTACCTCCAACCTTGACTCGTGTGCACGCTCCGGAGTCCGCCCAATGCTGACGTTTGATTGGCTCAAACCACCTCTTCYCCAAATAACAGGTAAAGACAATTCCGGGACGTAATTGCGAGTCCGATCAACAGAGATGCATTCTGATGCTGTCAATCTCTGTCAATCTACAGCCCTGCCAGCCTCTTGCCGAACCGCCATGTCAAGACCATGACTCAAAGCCTGTAGCAACATCTCTTCAAGCTCATGCTCAACATCTCGCAGCCGCGAGCGGTCTTTCCGAATCATCCGCGGACTCCAAATCTCCCTCCAGAGCCCAATCTTCTCCTCGAGCTGATCCTTCTCCTTCCAAAGACTTTCATACCTTTGATGACCCTCCTCCTGGCCCGGAAAGCACACGCCATACATTCTGCAAAGCGTCCGCCATTCGCTGTTACAGTCGATCGCCCGCTTCTGGAACAAGTATGGCCACAATCGCTCCCATGGCCTGCCCACCGGCTGATCTGGCCAAGGAGAGTCGATGAGATATTGAGCTGATCGCTGGTACTGCTCTATAGGTCTGCTCAAGACGGCGGCTTTGCTCACGGCGAATTGTGAGCAGCATGGTCCTGCCAATATTTCGGGCAAGTCTTCCCCAGGGAAATTCGCTAGGAATACAGGCGCCATCAACCGCTCTTCTCCCTTCGGACTGTCCAGCGCGGTCTTGCTCGTATTGAAACCATTTGGGCAGTCGTGCTCTGGGTTGTCTCCTGCCCAAGTTCGTAGATTGAAATATCCCCTCTCGACTACTTGCGCAAGGTCGAGTTGCGTGAGAGCGAATGTCAAAGACTTTCGGAGAGTCGCATCCATATGCCAGGATCTTTCGTCCGCGTGGATGAAGATGTTGATGTCCGCGAGATCATGGTAGAAGTCTTGTAGGTACGTCAAGTACATGAGCGCTTCACGGGCCTTTGGTCTCGCTGGATGGTATTGAGCGGTTTGGTCGTTGCTCACATAGCGGATAATCCTCAGGTTCGGTATAAGGCCTTGCAATCGAGAGGTCCATGAGATGTCATCGGATTTTACGCTGGCAATGACCAGGTTTGTCGTGAGCCTGCTGGTCGATGAATATGGAGAGGTCAACCTTGCTATATCCAGCCGCTGTGGCAACAGAGGTTGGTATTCAAACAGATTATGCTGGAGTGCAGGTCCTATATGGCGTAGTAAAAAGTACAAAGCAGAGAGTGCTAAAATCACTCCAAGCCAGAACTTGTTGCTATGACTGTTCCACCGCATGCCGCGAGTAAACGACATGTTCAATGCGGTACGGAAGACTACCAAAGCTACAACAATTGGGAGAACTGGGAGGTCGTCTTCAGGCAGGCGCAGCGGCGCACAAGCAAGTTGCCCAGACCTGCCAATTCGGGGGGATATAATGATGATCAACGAGCCCCGCTCCATGTCGATGCGAAAATAACCGCAGGACTCTATTGAGTCAGGGGAAGCATCATGTAGTATCGCTAGGTATTCCTTCAGGACACGTGCAATGTTCCTTTTGCACGACCTTGTTCCGGCATTCCGCGGCTGACTTAAACGCCTGCAGCAGCATCCCTGGCATATCTTGAGCGCCAAGTCTGTCGTGGTGATGTTCGTGCTAAATTGGACAACGAATGAATACTCGGCGTCGCACGCCGTGCTCATGACATCCCGGAACGCACAGTATGTCGCACATGTACCAGGATCTGTAGCCAAGACGCTTGGGAATGAACTTGGCGTAATGAATAATGTGGAGAACATGGGCGAGGTTGCGCTCGTTGATAATATAAAGTGGCTCACGACCTGGTGAAATTGAAAGTCGCTGCCCTAGTCATTTGCAGCGATTAAAGATGTCGTACCTTCTGCAACGACCGTACACGACCATAAGAGGATTGTTCAGTTGAACACTTCACTCTTGGCGAGCACAGCTTATTTTGGGTGGCATAGCTACCAGTCGGCGAGGGTGGTCGTCAATGCACAAGTAGGAGAGCCGGCATTCTCCAAATTTTCCAACTCTCGGTTTTGCGATTCCCTGTTACGCATTTGTATACCAAGGCCAACAACGCTGGTGTTTGGCATCCAATAAGGCGGATGGACAGTCTCTCTTCCGCATACGAAAGACTTGGCGGGTCCTTTGATTCGGAGATTCATAATTGGCGACCAGCATTTCGATCGAGTTATCAATTCAATAGGTAGCTGACAATCAAGCTTATCGACTCGTAGAAGAACGTGGCAACTGTCGTGACTGGTTGAATAGCATTGAGTTGTAGAAGACTTGCTCGGGCAAATTTCTCCTACCCATGCATGTTGATCTTGTTGTGGATAATGGCATGGATCGAAGATCACTGCTGTGTTATAGTACACTCGTGATGTGACTCTCGAAATATCAATGCCAGGATCAAAGCCGCCGGCCGTAGGAGCTACAAATCTGTGCCCATATCTGTGTGAACATTACCGCATCTAGAAATCTTCTCATCAGTACTCCTGCCAAGCATCCATGTCACTTTAGATACTTACCATTGTCTGTCGTGAATGGCAGGACATAATGACCGAAAACGTCGCGAGGCGGTTCGTAGTGTGCAACGAAGACATAGGGAGGCGGGCGAAAGGCGGCCAAGCTCACGACACCGCGTTCGAAAGCGGCCCAGTCTGGGTCGCTCGCATACTTGGTGATGAACGCTGTCCACAATGGAACATCCCTCTTGCTGCCTATTTTTACAAACATGTTAGTCTGCATTGTCGATATATGAAGACACTCTTTTGGTCTTCCTAATCACTGCCCATTCGGTGCACKGGATGTTCCGAAGAGCATGTGCATCACTTCATCTCGTACAAACGGAACTTACCTCGCAGAGCCGCTGCTTCCACTCGAATGACGCCCGACCCACGATCTCGAAATATCCGAATAGCGTGCAGCATACCATCGTGTTTGATTTGACCGGAGAACTGACATTCCTCCCCTTCCTCATTCTCCAATTCGAAGTCGTCGATAAGCTGAGGATGAATGGCACCTGTGCGATCCTGCCTTTTCATAGCGACGAATGTCGAGTAAAAGAGAACCATTCGCTCGTGGAAGTAGAAATTCAGCTGCGCCCAAAGTGTATATTGACCATCATGGCGGGCACGGCACAGCTGAAGACTGGACTTATTCCGAATAATCTTCAAGTTGGTCAAAGGCTGGCAGTAATGGACCAGATTTCCAAAAGCGTCCTTTACAGCGAACAGGATTCTGGCACGATGGTCAGTCGGTCGCCAGTAGAGTCGAACGCTGAGGTTATCTCCTTGAAAGTCCACTCGCAGAGCTGGTAGGAATCCATCAAGGGCAAGATTTTGAAGAGCGTCCGGCTCGGGCCTACCGCAGCAGACTGATCGCTCGTTGGATCGGAATTCTGGTTGATATACTGTGGTCGGATGTCGTCCATCAAACACACGAAGCGACCAATGAGTAGGAACAGAGGGAGATTGCGGGAGGTATACACCGCCTGAATAAGAGGTATGACTAGACCCCATAGTATGCGACGAATTGGAAGTGTATGTCGGCGACAATGGCAATGGTGGTTCAGGAGCCGGACCACGAGGTCGATTCAAGTACTCGGTATCCCATTCACCAGAGTAGACAGATGGAGACACCGGAGTGTCTGGATTGTACAGGGGAGGACCTGGTGGACGACGCGGTCGTGGAYGAGGTGCATCCGGGATATGATGGTGGCGCGCACGTTCTTGGGCTTCCAAAAGCGCATGTAGGGACCGCCTCAGTGGCTCCGGGTTTGCCGTTGCTCTGCGTTCGACTATCCTGAGCTGAGCATCAAGGTGATCGTGGTACAGCTTCAATCGCATCGCCAACGAGAACGATGCCTCCAACTCCAGTCGATAATTTGCTTCTGCCCAGACGATATGCTCGGGCCGATCTTGAACCTTGACGAACAGCTCGAATATGTCATCCAAGGTGCACCGAAGTGAGCGCAAGGCCATTCCCAGATCCTCATGAACCTGGTAAAACGACGAGCCATGGTTTCTGTTGCCCTCTTCGCCATGAATTCGCCGAAGCACTGCGCTAATGGCAAAGAACTCGCTGACAATGGTAGCAATACTCGAGGCATTTTGTGAAAGATTGTCACTAAAGCGATGAAGTCCAGAAGCTGCGTCCTCGCATCGTTCGGCGTATTGAATAAGTGGCAGTGGAGGCATGTCATCGGCTGCTGGCGAGTCGGCAGGTGTACCGCACCGCAAGCGCTCGCCTCATTGGCCCCGCAAGGCAAGGCAAATCTGCACGCTTCCGTTCGTTCACAATTGTTCAAAAGCAAGGGAGGACGGCAGCGAATGACACCAGTTTCGGATCCTTCCTACGAACCTTGATCAATGCGATGTGCGGCGATGTGGGTGGCGTGTGTCGCAATACACGGCGCATGAGCTTTCGGGTGGGGGAGGCTCACCGGTCGAGATGACAGCTCCTTGTTCCTTTCGAATTTCGATTGTGCGTGCGACGCAAGAGCAGAAAATATAATCGTCGCAGCCGTATATGCTGCAGACTTGAAGACTGCGAGAAGTGGAAGAAGCGAAGCCGTGAAAGCGCACTTACCTTTGGCCGGTCGAGCACATGCAGACGTGCAGCAAGATCCCATTCTTGTGTTACTCAATGACCTCCAGGATCTTACCCCGTTCGGAGCAGCAACTGTCAGCAAGGTACAGTGGGTGGATTAATGATGAAGTGAATTTCAGAGGGCGCACGAGGACAAAGGTGAGGTCGAAGACCTAGCACCTGAGGCATCCACCCGCCAACCCACACTACGCAATTTCGCGCTCGTAACTTCCTCATCGACACTCACTTCAACACCCCACAAAGTGTTGATCGACATGTTGGACCAGATGTCCGCTTCCCAAAAGGTGGACCTTCGCAATCGCGTTGAGCATGCTCCATGATCAACCAAGGTAGGTCTACTACGAGTACTTTCGCACAAGAACGCCAACGACATGTACGATCTCATCTATGCGTCCGTCAGTGCGTGCCATGGCCCGACCGCATCTATACACTATTGGATATGCCTGGMGCTGGTATTCGCTCCGAGGATAGCAGTCGGGAGGCGAGGGAAGGACACCAATTATGCCTGCAGCAATWGACTGCAGCACATCTTGTCATTCTACARAAAGGCAGCACAGTGTGCTGCGCAACTAATCAACTCCTAACTAGGACTTGCAGTTCACGTCCTCGAAGAACAAACGAGCGCCAAAGGCGATCCCATTCTCCTCGTGACCATGCCGAAACGCCGCATTCATGCTCGTCGAACGACCCTCATGCCGATGAAAGAAGATGGTACAATGCAAGCAAAGGAGTCGCTTGAGGAAGAAATCATTACAATCGTCATCATGGCTCGATCCAACGCCGCTCATTATCAAATGCACTCTCCGACGTTGTCTGGGTCTACACAAATTCGTAGTCCTCATCGCCTGCATCTGGCATGGTGACGGGTGGTTCGGCCTTGGACTTGTTCTTGCGTCTTTTCTGGGTCGTTGGCTGAACGACCTCCCCATCGGTATCCAAAACGGCGTACTCGCTCTTAACCAGCTTGACTGTTTCACGCTCTTCGAACTTCTCAACAGCCTTGGCGAGGGCGACGTTCAGAATCTGGGAGCCCTTGGATGGACTGCAAGCGGCGTCGAAAGAGTAGGTGACTCCAGCATCAACAGGCGGTGCGGGAGAAGCAGCTTCGTCGTACTCATCGGAGCTACCACAGGAGTCGACTGCACCTTCCAGCATATCCTGTTTCCGTGCGACTTTGGCGCCATGTGCAAGAGACGCCACTGCGCCTTTCTCGATGCGGCGTGTGAAGTTGTATTCTCTGTTGCGCTGTCAGTTGTGAAAGAGGGGGCGTGTTGATAAAGAGAAGGAAGGCACGTACGTTTCAGAAGGACGGCGAGGACGAGGCTTGCCCTCGGCGCGACCAGAGGAGATAAGAGCTGGCCCGAGGGCCCACTTCTGCTTTCGAATAGCGTCGCGTTTGTAGTCTTGGGCAGTGCTGCGGAGGTCGGCGTTGGAGGAAGACTGCTCGGAGGACATGACTGCGGTGTATGGATAGTAACGGTTGCGGGTTTGAGATGGGCGGTGTTGGGGCGGGATTTGCGTATGAAGTGGTTGCTGGTTGGTATGAGTGGACACCTTGATGTCTGGGTTGCGTTGTTTGGGTAGAGTCGATCGTAGGATGACGAGCAGGTGGATGATTTGTTGGACAAACAAAGAGGCAACAGCAAGACTGTTATGGTGAAGAGGGCAAGTATGACACCGGAGGCGTGATTGCTGTCTAGCCGTCTGAGTCACGAGGTGAGTGAAGTGGATTGGGGCGCGGTGTCCCAAAGGATACGGCAGCGGGGCTTCAAGAGTGGCTTGGTACTTGTCGGTTTGGGAGATGAGGCTGCAGGTGAACGATGTTATCAATCAGTTGAAGGTGTTTGAACAGAGCACAAAGCACGTCAATCGGCATTTAACATGGACAATGAGTTGCTTTATTCCACTGAACGGAAGCCGAAGGCAGCGGGAGCTCTACCTAGCTGTGCACGCAGAGGCGGATTAGCTGATAAGCTCCACATGTTTATCGCCGCGTATGACCATGCGTTCCCTCGTCATGCAGAACGTGCTGTCCTGACTGGCAAGCAAATCTGGGGATCGTAACCCCTTGCTGACCGAGGTTGACACAGAACCGGGACAAAGGGAGGGTACTTTGTCTCTGATGGAAATAGTAAGATCGTCATCGCGATTCCGGAACCTGTCATGCGATACACGTGAAGGCATGTGCTGGCTAACGCGCGAGATCGTTATGTGCAAAATATGCCTGTACCTGCTGCTGATATGATCTTGCTTTTCGATCATCCGATTTTGATGGAAAGTCAATAGAAACGGTGTATATCCATCATGGACGGATGTCAGCGGACATGACCGGTATTCTTAGCCGGATCCATCCTCATCCTCAGCTTCACCTTCTTCCGAAGGCAGCCTGGCAGGAAACCAACCGAAAACGTCAAAGTCAACTATACGTTCGCCTAAGCTTCCACGCCCAACAGTGATGCCCTCTTGTATGAGAGCTGCTTCTTGARGGGCTGCTCCGTTGACTCCTCTGTAAGGATGCGGGTCAGCAGTGCCGCGATGTCACAGGAGTGGGTGGAGACGGACCTGGGTGAAATGACTCCTTTCGAATTGATGACTCTCTGCCTCAAAACGGAGGCTGTCAGTGTGGAACACTGACGAAGGATTTCATACTGACCACGGAACGGTATCGCTATTGTGGCGAGCACCGGGCTGATCCGTCGCGGATGGCAGGTATTTCAAACACATACCCACCTGGCTGTCGGGTGTTAGGTAGTGTTGTCCAATGGTTTCACATCATCTCATACCGTGGGCGTTCAGCTAGAGGACATGATCACATGAGTTGACATCCTTTCACGCTCCTGATGCGACTCACGGTATCCGAGAAGTAGTGCAATGTGGCCGTACGAAGTGACACTTCCAGCTGGGATCTCTCGTACCGCTCTGTAGACGGCAGAGTACCACGAGGCAGCTTCTTCTGAGCGAGGCATGTTGATGCCACTTACTTGTTATTCTGTGATGTTGGTTCACTTGGATGTACGGTGCTGTAGATGTGAAGCCGCACGTGCCACCTCGATCGACTTGAACTTTACGAGGTCGAGCTTCTTCTGGAAGATCTCACAATCACAACACATCACCATGCCTCTCGCCGATTATCTCGCCAAAAACTACTTATCTGCAGATACGAAGCCCGCCAAAAAGCGAAAGCGAAAGGACGTAGCCAAGTCAGACGGTCTCGTCATTGCCGACGATGATGCAGATTCCTGGAAAAAGCCCACGAGGAATGGAACTGGCTCCGACGACGAAGATGGGCCGGTAGTTGTTGGCCTTGCGGGTGGTTTGAATAAGCCTACAAAGAAAACAAAATGGATCACTGTCGGTTCGAATGCGCCCAAGGATGCAGATCAAGCGGCAGCGGATGCGATTCTTGCAGATGCACAGGCGGAATCCACAGCGAGAGCGCAGCAGGACGATGATGACCCCGCGATTGTGGATCAAGATGGTATGGACTTGAACGGGCCCACGATGGCATCTGGAGCTCTCGCAGGGCTACAAACTGCGGAACAGGTTACCAAGGCGTTAAAAAGGAAGGAACGGGCGGAGATGAAGGCTATGAAAGCTGCGGATCTGGATAATGGAGGACTGGCACAGCAGACCATCTACCGTGATGCTTCTGGGCGTATGATTAAAGTGGAGGAGAAGCGGGAGGAAGTGGCAGCAAAAGCGAGGGAAGCGGAGCGGAAGGAAAAGGAAGAACTGGAAAGTCGAAAGGGAGATGTACAACGGCAACAGAAGGAGGACAGGAAGCAGCTACTACAAGATGCAAAGGTCATGACTGTTGCCAGGCATGCGGACGATCGGCAGCTGAATGACGAGATGAAGGAGAAAGAGCGGTGGAATGATCCCATGGCGAAATTATTGACTACGAAGAAGACCAGCAACGGCAAGGCCGGCAAGAGTAAAGCGAGCGGGAAGAGTTACCAGGGTGCCTTTGAGCCAAATCGATATGGCATACGGCCGGGATGGAGATGGGACGGTGTGGATCGATCAAATGGGTTCGAGAGGAAGTGGTTTGCTGCGCGTAACAAAGCCAAGGATCGCGAGGCACTCGAATACGCATGGCAGATGGATGAGTGAGATACTCGCGTCTTGAGATGTGGTTGTAAACTCAACCTCTTTCTCTTGCACTGGCGTTTGGGCGTTGCAGTGCCGGCCTAGTGAGTTGGGGAGCCAATGATTGTATGCCTCGCCGAGTGAGCATATGCGCTCTTGTCACAAAGAAGCGCGTCAATGCAGGAATGTACGGCAGTGTACAAGGTTGTCGCGGTCGACCATCACGCGACGCTTCGTTATGGGCAGCACCTTGCAAGCACCAAAGACCGATCATGGCTGGGAACTGTGCACACATTGTCCGTTACAGCTATCTCAACAGATGCAGCAACATGCTCTGGATGGCTTATTGATCAAAAGGTACGGATCCTGTCATGTCCCGCCTCTAACGACGGGTCGTGCTCCAGATATCCTTCATGAGACATGTGGCCGCCAACCTTCAAAACTTGATGCGGGCAACACGAAGGAGTCTGACGTCTAGAAGAGTCAGCCGGGAGGGCAACGAGTGTTCCTCACGCCCGCGAGATGATATGCTCACAGAAATGGCCATAGAATCATGCACGAAGGCGATCGTTTATATGAATGATCAAACAGAATTTGAAAGAAAATGGCTCCTGTGAGAGCTCGTGATTCCCTCCCTCCTACAGAATGACGCTTACTATCAGCCTCGATTCCGCTCCATCAGCAAGGCTGTCTCTGCAATGTGCGTGTAGTGACAGCTCGCATACGAGGTCCACTAGAGCGGGAGAGAAGCCGGATATAGTATGACCCTTTGATCGCGTGTGGCGTAGAAGTACCTAGCGTGGCGCATCGCGCCTTCTATAATCGCCAACTTGTGATAGAACTTTCCCATCTCCATCACCTAACAAAATCTTCACTACATCCACCTGGCAAACAAGCGCCCCACAAATCTCATTGCTCAGACTTTACGATAGCGACAATACGAACATGGGCTGGTTTTGGGCAGATACAACGCCCTCGCGACCCGTCGCCCCTCATCCTATTCCCGCGAATGCAGATGCAACACCACCGGTAACCCTTTAACGAATATGCACGAGATGAGCACTGCTGATGGTTTTTCCAGCCATCATGTCCCATGCACAACAAGTCTGTAACTCCGCTGGCACCCGTACCTGCAACCCCCGCCGGCGCATGTCCCTACGTCCCACCGGCCTCTGCCTCTGCCCCGAACAATGAGGAACCAGTCAGCAGCGCCGCTCCTTCGTACGTTTCCAAGTTGAATCCCCTCAATTGGATGCCACACTCCATTTCGAATACTCGCGAAGCAGACGAACAAATTATCGACCTTCCCCTCGAGCGCGAAACCTCTACAATTCCCCGCGGCGATGGAACCGGCGTTTGGGAGTATCCCTCGCCACAACAGATGTACAACGCCCTACTGCGAAAAGGATTCAACGATACACCCGCCGAGCACGTCGAAAGTATGGTTTCTGTTCACAACTTTCTGAATGAGGGCGCGTGGGATGAGATTAAAGGCTGGGAGGGACGATTCTCGTCTGGACTACTAGCAGGCTGGAATCGCTGTGCAAAGGGCGAGGAAGGATATGAGCGACAAGTTATGCTGGAAACGCTTCGCCGYAGTAGAACACAGGAGGATGAGCCAGATCAGCCCAGCCTGATGCGTTTCACCGGACGACCGAAGGAGATGACGCCCAAGGCACGCATGATGCAGTTCATGAGCAAGGTCTTTCCAGATGACTACCCAAACAACCCGCCTTTTGATCGCCATGATTGGTTCGTACAGAGAGTCATGCCAGGAGGGAAGACGAAGGAAGTGCGGTATGTCATCGATTACTACAGCGGACCGCCGGAGCCGACGGGTGAGCCGGTCTTTTACCTGGATGTTAGGCCCGCTGTTGATGGACCTACGAGCGCATGTGAGAGAATGATGAGGTGGGGCGGTGATGTGTGGTGGCGAGCAAGTGGAGGTAGTGTAAGGGAGGAGTTGGCTCGGCAGAAGAAATAAGCGGTCAAAGAGAGCGTGTACAAATGAAGGTAATCCGGATCATGGATGGATGATGTTTAGCGTTTCATTTTGGCTGCATTGCATTGCATGGGAGTTTTATGGCACCTAGGATTGAACAGCGTCTCACCGGATCGGATTGAAATGCCAGAGGACTACAATCTAGCAAGGGTCTCGGCCAATCCAGTGGAGAGATCATGCGAGTCCGCTGCTCTGTCAATTCTGCGCCGATGCGTGGAGACGCTTTAGCACTCTACTCTGTATAGTATGAGAATTAATGACAGCGTCGTGGCGATTGCTGAATGAAATGCCTATGACGAAGACTAATTTCCCTGTTGTCAGCCCTACGTTATTGTTCTCCAAAGCTGGAACTCCATCCGTTGAAGATCAACATAAACAAACACAAGATGCAATRTCTACTCACCAAATTACGACTCTCCTCCAGATCGCCGCTAGCGATTTCCATCAACACTCCATAGATAGGGCCTCGCTCGCAAGGCGGAAACGATACGGAACGTAGAATATGTCATGTGAAGTTCCTTTCGCACTACGTAGGTAGCGTTCAATAGAACAGAGCTCCTTCGTAGCAGCTGTGGTGAGACATGAACGCCACCCGCTCGACAGCTCAAGAGCTTGTCTTCGACGGTGCTGCCGCGTTCCAGCTACACACTTCAGGAGATCGATTTGAACAAAACGATGGAATCCCCCCGCCTCGGCTGTTCGTTTGTGGAACTGCAATCATCAWGCAATGTCCACTGGCAAAAAAGATGTTCCGGAAGGAAAACAACAAGGCCGGGAAACGGATGAGGAGATAGATATTGGCTACGCGGCGGATTGCAGCAGCGAGGGCTCAGTAACGAGAAGCTCGAAGGATCCTCCTGTTTGCTATGGCTGTGACAGAATGTTCTGTTTTGGCGGCAATAGATGCGAAAATCGAGAAGTAAGAGGAAGTGGAACGCCGGGGTTTCGAAGCTGGCAAAGCAAGGGCAAGAGCGAGGAAGATGTGAAGAAGAGGAGCTGACATCCGAGGCCCATGACAACTCATGCTACCGCACTGGTCAGATTCGAGGGTGTTAGATCATACCTCTTACCAGAAGCCGCCATCAGGGACCACACGTGGTCGTGCATGATCGAGGGACGAAGCGGGTCGTCACGCACAATAGCATGTAGCTGCCGTGAGTTCTACAGGCCACTCCTCGATCTGCGGGCACTCTGACATGATGTGGGTGGATAAGCTGCTGAGTTCATCTCATGCAAACGAGGATCGCGGATGTTTGAGCTCTCGCTGCGAATGGAACCAGCCCACCTTCACACCATGATGAAACTGCAAGCCACTGCCAACTTCGATCTTGGAAGACCGGACACTCTTTTCGCTACTGGATCGTGTGCAAAATGCCACAAGATTCCACGAACGTACAAACGCATCTGGAGGGGCCAAGCCAACCTGCTCGTGGAAGGATGGTCACAGGTTAACGCAGCATGAGGGACGGCCATTGATCTGGGCGGTGAGTTCGGGAGAGCTACCGCACAACGTCCAGCAGTCTGCTCAAAACACTGTCAAACAACTACACCGCTGTGTGTCGGCCAGACTAAGCGATCCTCCAACTGCTGACCCTGGAGAAGAAATCGAAGGAGCTCAGTCGGAGACATCGCCGCATAGTGGCCTTTGAGCATCTCTTGGCGTGCACGCTGAAATCGCCTCCGTTGGTTGCAGGTAGATGTTGAGTAGACGGAATGAGAGAGTTGTGTCGTACAAAATCATCTGCCTGCGGGTACAGCATCTCTTTGTAGCAGAAATTGTTCCCCATGGCCAAACGATGCCCTTTTGACTTGATTCGCTGCCAACGCACGAGCGCTAGGATAATCGAGAGGACTCTGTGGGGCTTAAAAGCCTTCGACGCAGGGCGACGCAGGCCATCAGGAACTGCGGCGTGTCCTCATATAAAGCCGGGAAGGGTCGTGGAATCCTTGGTCAACGCCTTCGAAAGAGCAGCGTCCCGGTTGCCGAAATGCCAACCCTGATGAAGAGAGTTCCAGATCCGTGGATTCTAGAAAACTGGTACCGTATGATGTATCCCCGCCGTCAGCCAGAACGTCCGATCCAGCGTTCTAAAATTGTTGTCTTACTCCTGAGAGGCAGGGAATCMATCACTCCAGTCCACCTCATGCCAGCCGCAGACCCTTTCTTCTCACACTGAGAAGAGATGCCCAGTCAATGCTCGGTGTCCCGATCGATCCGGAGCAAAAAGGCCAAACATGTCTGCAAAGATGACATGCGGCTATTACTTTAGAGTTCTGCGATCTCCAGCCAATCACTGCGTTGCACACTCAATCCGAAACGAACCTCACTCCAGTTCCCTGCGGATGCAATCAAAGGCCGTCTGCCAACAACACCTCTCACACAACCCACCACGTGCCAGCCCGCATTTCCGACGAAAGCGGCTTCTCGTTGGCCCGACGGATTGGATGTCCCGATGTGCTGCAGCGTCACAAACGCCCYCGCATCGAGACGTGCTGACTGCCTGCCCGGACTCATCAACGATGCGCACGGCTGCCAGTCCACGTTTGTGGAAGCGCATCGCGTTTCGAAATCAAAGAAAAAGTGGGCTTGAATGGGGCCATGCGGCTGGGCGCTGCTGCGGACCAGCCTGCGGTGCGTCGATGAGATTCGAAATTATTACCATTTTGGTGCGCGTAAAGAGCCCTTGTTCTTGTTCTGCTTTCTGCCTTACCCCGTCCCCGCTTTGATGTACCGTCTCATCTTGCGAAATTTCGTTTCCTGCACCGTTTCAAGTCCATGAATTTCCCTGCTCTGCTTTCTTTCGCATTTCTGTCGTACCTAGTTTCTCTGCTGCACTCGGAATTTCAACTTCCTTGAATCGAGCGACCAAACTATCAACCAGCAAAATCAAATAGTTACTGCTGGAATTCCGTGGTTGGGTCCCGTTGCAAATTCTGTCAGCCTCCAAATGGCTGGCCCAAACTGTCTTGACGAGGAAAAAGATGGAGGCAGTGCAAATGGACCGGGCGGTGGACTGGATGATGAGGTGCCCGCCTCACTCGATCTTAGCGTCGATCAGCAACAACCAACTTCCACTCCCCCAGGTGTCGAGGATGGGAACCGGAAAATGGCTTCCCAGGAATCTTTCTTGACTGCCACAGGGCCTAGGTGCAGCGACGATTTACACGCAGGCCCCACCATCGAGTACAAGTCTGGGCTTGATACTTTCGTATTTCCGACACCTTCACCACGACTACCTAATCCTTCACCCAGACTGAGTCCTTCTCCTCGTCCGCCTACTTCTTCATCTCGGCTCTCACCCGAGTTAAGATTTCATAGCACAACACCTCAACAGACAACATCAGATCCTCGGTGCACCTCTCCGCCGATTGGCATGGCTATTGGGTCGCCATCACACGCACCACCCAGCTGGGCAAGACCGCAGACTAACGATTGCATCGACACGAGAATGCATCAAAGACCCCCGGCGCGTGCCCCACCAGCGGTGCCAGCAGTGCCAGCGGTACCAGAAAGGCACGGAAAAGGCAACACGATCAAGAAACAGCAACGTGCGAAGAAGACGTCAAGTTGGAAGGCGTTTAGCAACTTGTTCAGAAAATCGACCAAGCCAGCTCCCGCGACACCAGAACCGATCTACAAAGAGAAACCAGAAGAGGTAGCTGTTCGCCCAAGATCTCCACCCCTTATTGCACCTGATCGGCCCACTTCCACACTGCCGTTATCAGCAAGATTACCGCTTCCGACGCCAGTCTCATCGCAGCAGTCCCTCGTAAGGACGCTGTCTGAAATCCAACCGCAGCCACGTTGCGAGTCTCGTCAACCGGTCAGGATGTCATTCAACCGATTATTGCGATCGCCATGCGAGAATCCCACACACTCATCGAGTCCGTGGCGCGGAAGCTTCTTCCGTAGCGACCAAAACCAGCAAATCGCGTCACCACCTCATCCACCGACTGCCACTTTCGCGCGGACACCCCGAGTGGATATAGATCTACCTAGTCCTGAACTGGRGCGGTTCAGCGTCATGTTTTCTGATCTGCTGTTGCCAGGTCCATCGACCGACTCTAAACCTACCCTTCTCGAGCGAAGGCTGAGTCGCATGTCTGCCAGCGCGAGAGCTGCGCACGTTCTCAACACCAAGGTCGATGTCCAACCAGAAATACCATCGCGATATCAAAACAGCCAAACGTCAACGCAACCCAAACGGCCGCTCTCTATCAAGGTGGATCCAAGAAGGCATACTGCTACTCCCACGACAGCAATACTTCGACCACCACCTGTCGTCCGGTCCCACACTGCATCCATATATGACGCATCTGAGCAAACTAACAGCTCGCCCGAATCGCATAGTGGGTCCACTTCGCACAGCGAAACATCTCTTCCCGATACCCCGACTACGCTCTCCAACTGCTACCGGCCAGTATCCATGAATGCCAAGCAGCAGGAGACTTCAACATGGGACATGTCTCATTCACAGCCCGAGATCATGTGCTCGCCGGATTTCATGAACTCGCGCGTGGATCACTCCATCGATCTTGAGCGGCAGATGGTACAAGTGAGTGTTGCCAGACAGGTTAGCATCAATCAGGCGAGATCCCAGGTCCGACGAACAGTGTCGACGAGGCGACCGAAATTGGTGAATCTCGCCATGGCGAAAAATCGCAAGAGTGAAGCTGGAGTCTTTGACTCGGTTGAGAATCTGCATGACGAAATGCCAGATGCAAGGTTGATCAAGGAATACTCATGACTTTGAGATGAGCAGTTTTTACGAAATAGATGTTTTTGACCTGAGAATAGCATAGAAAGCTAGAACTGATGACCTTTGCCATACAGTCCCTATCTGCCACTCGATATGTGACCGCGCAATCAAGCGACATGTTGATGTTGGTGAGACGAAGCGTGAGGACACTGTGAAAATGTGAAAATGGTGTCGCCTCGATTTGTGCCACGTCGATTTCCCTTTATAACGTCTCCAGACTCACAGAGTCCTGGCGAGCATCCTGGTGCCCCCTCACTGGAAGCGAATTTATTCATGTCAAGTAAAGTGGACCTCTCGCCATCGAGAATGACTTGTGATGTAAAGAGACGGTGTGTTTGCATGTGATCGTCTATTCGCATTGTGCATTCCCGGAGCTTTACCCGATACAGCATTCGACCTCACAAGCTACAAGCTCCAGCGTGCAACACCTACAAGCAGACAATGAGCTAAGTGATCTCCTCATGCATCATTGACATGCCTCACTACACGCTTCCCATCGAAAGTCAGGCCGGGCGTAATGAGCTCAAGGACCCTCCGTCAACGATATACAATGTCAGTGAWCCGCCATACCACGGCCAGCTACCCGCGGACAACAACGCATATCGAAGCACGACACGCGACACGGCAATCGTCATCGACAATGGCTCATCGGAGATTCGCGCAGGCTGGCAGACAGATGCTRCGCCGCGCCTGCAATTTCCGCCATTGATGGCACGGTACACTGATCGCAAGCTGAACCGCAAGCTCATGTTCATTGGGAGTGAAATCTACTTTGATGGTACAGCTCGCGGGCAGGCGAAGAATGTGTACGAGCCGGGAAGTAATATTGTCAACAATTGGGACGTGCAGGAAGGGATTCTGGACTACATTTTCTTGAAGCTGGGTGTTGATGGATCGCGTGGTGTCATTGACCGGCCGGTCGTGATGACAGAGCCACTGGCAAATTCGGGATACACACGTAAGGTGATGAACGAGATCATGTTTGAGCTGTACGGGGTGCCCAGTGTGGCATATGGAATCGATTCGCTGTTCGGCTACAACTACAATGGAGGTGACACTGGCTTGGTGGTGTCAAGCGCTAATATGAGCACACATCTCATCCCTGTAGTAAACAAGCAGCCGCTCATCAGCCATGCGACACGTCTGGATTGGGGAAGATCCCACTGCGTGGAGTATCTCCAAAGACTACTAAAAGCCAAGTACCCAGGGCTYCTCACTACTGGCAAGGTGACCGAAACACAGATTGAGGATTTGGTGCGGTCACATTGCTACGTCAGTCAAGACTATGATCAGGAAATGGTGCGTCTGCTCGATTGGACCGGGCTCGAGGATCGCGACCATATTGTGCAGCTCCCCTTCCAGGAAAAGGAAGTCATTCAGAAGACCGAGGAGGAAATTAAGCGTGCAGAGGAGAAGCGAAGAGAGGGCGGACGGAGATTGCAGGAGCAAGCAGCGAAGATGCGGTTGGAGAAGCTCGTCAGGAAAGAGCAGGAACTGGAATACTTCAAGCAATTGCAGCAGCAGGTCCAAGAAGCAACCACCAAGAAGGAGGTGAGGGCGTTGTTGGAGGAGGATGAGTTCAAGGATGAGAATCAGCTGGATCGTAAGATCAAGGAGATGGAGAAGAGCATTCGCAAACAGCGAAACAAGGATGTTGGTGATCTGGAGGAAGAACCAGAAGAGCCGCCTACCTACCCACTTCTCGACATGGCAGATGAGGATCTGGACGAGGATCAACTGAAAGCGAAACGCGCTCAACGACTTCTCAAAGCCAATCACGATGCTCGTGCTCGAGCAAAGGCCGAGAAGGAAGCCGAAAAGGCTCGCCAGGCTGCGATTCAACGCAAGGACGACGAGCGCCGCGAGGCAGACTTGGAAGGCTGGGTTGAGGAGCGAAGGGCGGCACGAGCGGCCACCATCCAGAAGATCAAGGAGCGCGATCGCCTGAAAGCTGATCTGGGAAACCGAAAATCGCAAGCATCACAAATGCGGATGAAGCACATTGCGAACCTTGCTTCTGATAATCCCAACGGGCGGAAACGAAGGCGAGGCGGTAATGACGACGACGGCTTCGGAGCCGACGATGCGGACTGGGCGATTTACCGTGAGATTCAGGCTGGCAAAGACGATGACGAGGATGATGAGGAAGAGGATCTGGGTGCTCAGCTGAAAGGTATCGAGGCACAATTGCTGAAACACGACCCCGACTTCACGGAGCAGAGTACACAGGAAGCACAGAAAGATTGGACGAAGAGTTTGCTGCATGCATTCTCAAGAGGACCCTGGCCATTCGACTCTGAGAGTGCAAAGGAGAGCAGTCAGTTTCATTTGAATGTCGAGCGAATACGAGTGCCAGAGGTGGTCTTCCAGCCAAGCATCGCGGGCGTGGACCAGGCTGGTATTGTCGAGATTGCAGAGGATATTGTCAGCCAAAGGCTAGGAGCTCATCCTGCGAGGGATGCGATGCTGAAGGATGTTTTCATCACAGGTGGCTACACACTGTTCAAGGGTTTCGAGGAGCGGCTGAGGGATGAATTGAGAGCMGTGTTGCCCGCTGATTTGGATCTGGGAATTCGAAGAGCGAGAGACCCAGTGTTGGATGCATGGAAGGGCGCAGCGAGATGGGCGGGAACGGAGCAGAGCCGGCAGAGCTTTGTGACCAAGGAGGAGTACGCAGAGAAGGGTGGAGAATATCTCAAGGAACACAATCTTGGGAACGTTTACTCCTAGGACATTTTATGGATCATGGTATGGGAGAGCAAAGTTTTGCGGCCAAACGGTGCTTGAGGAACCCTCACACCGGACCCTATCCTATTCAAAGTCCGTTTTGTTCCGTTGCCTCTATCTGGCACTTCTTTGTCAAACGACAATGCAATTATGGCAAGCAATCACAACCTTGCGCATCCTTCCAACAGCCTCGATGGTTCTTCAGCATCCAAACGCCGATGCGACTGTTTGATCGAGCGAAACAGCCGCCAATGCTTTCTAGGCTCTGAACGCAATATTGTCGTCTCTGTGCTCGCACTGTTGCAGAGGATCTCCCGCCTTTGTACATGAGAGACAAAGATGCAGCATACCACGCTCCAACTTATCGGCGAATTCTTCAAACACCTGAGCTATGCTCTCTGGAGTTCTACTAGTATAGTCGCACTGCTGCATACGACCTCCCTTGTGTGCCGGGCAGCCCTCGTCGATGCTCCGAAAGCTAATCATGCGCATCGCTTGAAGCACGGCCTTGAGCTGAAGGTCCTCTGCGTCTAGAGACCAGAGCTTCCAMTGCTGAAGGACCTCAATGAAGTTGTAAAGGTACTTGTAACGAATATGGCAGTTGTGCGAATCGGTCTTGCCGAAGCGTGTACATGCAAGGGCTGTGCGATCTTCCAGTAATTTGGAAATCGACATCACCATGCCTATACGTTGCATCTCAAGTGCGCCTGGCATAAATTAGGTTCCGTATAGTAACAAGAGCGAATTAGGAGAAGACTCACGGCAGGCGGGCACTAACGCATCATGTCCTGCTCGGATAGTCGATGGGCTCTCGAGGATAAGCCGCAAGCCAACTTGTCCAWATAATTCATTTTGATCCAGGAGATAAGTCACATGAAGCAACTCGTTCAACTCATTGAAATCGCACTTGGTCGCCTGAAGTCTAGCTTGGACCCAGTAATATGCCATGGGTGCCAAAAGTCCTGCACAATCATACTTGTCCACAGCCAGTGCAAGCTGCTTGACACCGGTGATGTCCAGCGATGATGGGAGAGAGCTGATGCGCATATGCATAGCCTTGAAGATGAGTATCATGGCAGATGGTTCGTCTTCTGGGAGGATAACCTCGACGTTGGACGTCATAGCGAGTGTATTTCCTTCCTGCGAGAGCCAAGACTGTCAGCAGCATTCGGATTTGCGCAGCGAGGGAGTCACCTTGAATTTCGGACCAAGCATCGCTTTCAGCACAGGTGAGGCGGTAGATACGAAGAGCGAGAGAACTTTGATGCGCACCCTGGTTGGTCGATTAGCGGCTATCGAGGTATGGAGATGATGCGCAGTACGCACAAATGGCCATCATCGGCGGTGCAGATGAAAACGACGTCTCCGCCGGGAGCGATGTCAACTATCTCCGGATCTTCCATATTGAGTGAATGTTTGCAGAATGTGAGTCGTCGTTGAGGGACTTTTATGTGATATGCGAGCAAACATGTGCTGGTTTGATGCCAAGAAGCTAGCGCGTAAGTGAATGAACTTCACCGTGGCAGGGCGGGTAACCGAGCAACCAAGCAATCATAGGACAACGAGACATCTAGAAGAAGCTGAAGTGGGATCTACTCAGCGTGAATGATACGATGCGAGTATGGACGCCCGCAGCGACTGAGGCCTATCCGCCCGTGACTAGCTACGTCTAGATGGCGCAAACACGATAGCTCTCAGAAAGGCGGGCAGGGCCTCTTTGTAACAATCTGGTCCCGTCTTGCTGAGAATGACGTCGAAAACGAACATCGTCGACCCGTGACGGTTCCGCTCCGCCCCCGCCGGACCCCACTTTTATTCAGAATGACGGTTCTTTTTTTGACAACAATAAGAAAGAATTTTGTCCAATCGGGTAAGATCTGCAGATGGTCAGTTGATAACATCAACTCAACTCGCCAAAACATCTCTTCCGCATCCACGCGACTTCAAATATGAGCGAGAACGCGTCCAAGAGAATGAGGGCGGATTCCGGACAGGCACCCATCACTCCGATCTCGCCGATCTTTTCCAAGAGCCCGCAAATGCCCTCGCAGGTCATTACTATCTGCCCCGAAGGAGATGCGATCATCGTTGCCAGCGGTGTCGGTGGAAGGGCGGTCTCGTAAGTGCTCGGCGTCCTTGAATCACAGCTTCACTAACATTCTACAGAATCGGTCTCCGCGCGTCCACGGAGTTATTGAGCATCTCATCTCCAGTTTTCAAGCGTCTCTTAGCCGAACAGCAGCCTTTCCAGGAACAAGGCGCACTTTCCAGGCCCACGAGACTCATCACGCTCACAGCCGACCCTGGAACTGCCTTGTTCACCTTGCTCAACGTCCTCCATCTCCGCAATGAGGTTCTTCCGGCTCGAGTGGACCCGAAAGAGTTGTCACAATTCGTCGAGATAGCCGCCAAATACTCCTGCCTACCTGCTGCCTCCCGCGCAGCTTCGCCATGGCTCGACCACATCTACCATCGATACCCCGACCCACCACTCTACCAGATGGCCAAAGCAGCCTTGGTCCTTGGCGACGCCATCTATTTCGCTCGATTCTCTTCTCGCTGGGTCTTGGAAGCAGATTTCAGCCAGCAATCAACACCCACCATCCCCATGAATCATCCTCACCACCGCCTTTCCAAAGCTCTTCTTCAGCGACAGATGGACGGTATCCAGGCTCTCCGCATCGATTTTGATGACATACACAGCCCTCTTGCAGACGCTCTCTCAAGCCAGTACAAGCACTACGTCGATACGCCTCCTGGAGATGACGGCACATCGATTGCGATGGGAGGCGATCCAGATGCAGAATACTGCGTTTCCGACAAGGAAGGTGCACTCGAATACCTGGCTGCCCTCCGCGATGCCAAGCTGTGGCCAGAGAGCCTCTGGCCCAGAACCAACCTCGCAGCAATCACAGACTTGGTGGCGAAATTACGCATCCCAGAGTATGATGCTAGTGACGCCTGCCATTTCTGCGCACATGTGGATGAGGAATTCGCAAATGCGATGGATGACGTGAGGCTGGACCACAAGGATCGTCTCTGGGGACTTTGTTTGGAGTGCTACAAGGCGGGTGGCATCAGGGCAGAAGAATGCACCTACCAGCACGAGAAGCCGAGTTCTCAGGTTTGGTTGGTCAAGCTCAAGGGCAACGTCAGTGGACAACATCCGTGATAGATGGGCTCTTGCATGGAACGATCAGAATCGTTAGCATGCATAGGTCGTCCGCATTCCAACGCGCGAGAGCTTCTTCGAGATAGCAGCTGTAGATACATCATGAACAGAATTAAGAAACGAGAGCGTAAAATGTTCATTACAGAGCTGTTGATATGGGAGATCACCATATAGAGCAGCTCCTTCGTGCGTTCTCCGCTAAGGACAAGCGATTCTGCTAGTATGGCTCTGGTTCCTCGCACACTTTCAATCAATTCGTCGATGTTAGGCTTGCACTGCCACCATTGCATCGTCGATCATCTTCTCGCCATCATCCTTGCCTTCGTCTAGCATCTCCACATCCTCATTCTGTTCCACCGCTGCCACAGACTTGTTACGCTCAGCTTCATCACGCCTTGCGCCCTCCTCCTGTTTGCCATGAGCCGTAATACTAGTCAAGCCTGGAAACGTGGGTCGTAGCGCCGGAGCTTCATTTGGTGCCTCTTCATCATCACTCTCTGGGCCACCTCCTTCATCATCACCTTCCTCTTCCAATTCGCTCAACTCACTCTCGTCATCAGCACTGTCGTGCACGCTTCCCGGCGCACTCTCCGGGACTGTCTGTAAATCCAGCGGTCGATGGCGTGGAATGACCACCTGCGCAGGCCTGATGACTGTGGCAGTGACTTCATCTTTCCTTGATTGCTGAGCACTAGACTTCTGGAAGCCGGCCTCAGCACAGGCTCGGATCTCCCTTCTTCCGACCCCAGTCTTTCGTCCCGCGCCAATCTTCTTCGAAGCTCCAGAAGCAGGGTCATTCACAACAGTTGATGCCTGTGGGGGAACCGCCGGCGGATGCGCATCACTAGCGCCATCGGTGTTCATCAAATGGTTGAGACTCATCACTTGACTTCGAGGTGGGCTGACAGGCACTTTTTTCGCCTCTTCTTCCCGCTGCTCCCGCTTGTATTCCTCCCACAGCGTTTTCCCAATACCGTTGAAAAGACTGGCATATGAGTCTCCAATGAGGTCATCAATAGCGCTCGGCTTCATCAGACCTTGGTTGATTTTCTTCAGCTCCTGCACATCACGCATAACATCAAGCGCGGGGAGAGTCCCTGGATCCTGCTTCTCCATCCACTTCTCCAAGGGCTCTTTGCGGGCAAGAAATTCTTCGTGTGAAATATTACTGAATGTGCTGGTCTCCAGTCCCTCACTGAGCTGTCCGTGTGCGCGGAGCATGGAGAGGTATGCTGTGCAAATGTCCTGCCACACAAGAGAATGCTCAAAGATGTCGTGCGGGCGACGCCTGACTCGTCGCGCCAGAGTCTCCATACTTGCTCGATCGCGGAGTTCCTGGAGGATCTTGACCAAGAAACGTGTATAGCGAGCGGTGTAAACGAAGTGGCGCCCAGCACGCTCTGCCTCTGGGCGCCAAACTTGCAGGACCATGGTCTTGGTGAAGAGGTCCCCCATCATCTCATTTCGAGCCGCATCCACGTTCGGTGTGGTTCGGTACGCGGGGTTATAGGGTGTAGTGTATTTGATATGTGCAGCCCGGGCAATCATACGGTGGTACCAGTTTGACTTGTCGGCCGCACGAATCCTCTTCAGCACGGTAAGAGCATACTCCGGCCAGTCTGCAAGTGTGTCTGGGCCAGTTATGAGTCGTGAGTACTGTGTGCGATCCAAAGCTGCGATGCCCTCTTGCAGACTGATGCTACCAAGGAGCACCAATTTGTGCGTGATGCTGAGGAGCTTGTAGTGCGGTTCCAACACCGGTTCCCGCTTCGTGTCCTTGCCTTCCTTTTTATCCTTTTCTGGCAACAGCTCAAGAGCCCTGAGAAAACATGCGAGTACGTCGTGGCCGGTGGGAGGGACTTCACGCTTCTCGCCAGTCAGGCGAAGTGATTCTGGAGCGGAGTGCATCTTCCATCGACATTTCCCAACCATGTAATGTAGCATCCAATTGTCTGGCTGCCTGGCAAGCGCTCTGCCGAAGAGAGCATTGGCCAGCTTCCATGCGGCGTACAGCCGCAGTGGTCGGAAGGATTTGTCTTTGCATACGTTGTTCGACTTGGTGACGAATCTGTCGACTTCTTCCTGCAGCGCAAAGGGTTGCATGCTGAACGGTTCGCGAGAGGAACTGTACAGTCTTGTAGCGAAATCCTCATAGAGCGAAGCCATCTTGTCGGAGGTCTTGAAAGCCAGGTCCGCACAACGATGAGCCAAACTGGTGGCCATAGTATAGCAGTGTATGGCGTTCTTCTGAAGCGCGATGATCTCAGGCATTTGACTATTGAGCTTCTCGGCCGACCACACAACATTCTCCTCAATCTTTGTGTCGTACGCCTGACCCAGACGATACCATGTTTCCCAACGCTCGGAAGAGTATTCCAGATCCTGTAAGAAGAATGCAATGGCAATTTCCACGTCCTCAAGTGGAGCGGGCGCTGTCCGCTTTTGACAGCGAAACCTTGTAAGAGCCATTTGTCCCATGAGAAAGTACCAGCCTTTGGAGGCCAGTAGCACGTCATTCTTGTCAATTGCTGTGACGGGGAGATGGTTGCCTTCGCCTTTCAGGCAATCGAAAAGGTCCAGAGGGTTGATTGGCGAGCGAAGGTAGGCACGATATGCGTCCCTATTCTTGACAATGGCCTCGGTGGATTTTTTCTTCGGTAGAGCACCATGAACCTTTTCAATAGTATCTTTCAACGAGTGCTTCACCAACTCTCTCATGGGCAATTTTGACGCTTGTGCTAGCAGCAGATCTGTGGATTGAAGTGCCACTCCACGGTCCAGAAACGCGTCCCGTGTACACCGGTGCTCGATAAGCTCATACGATGGGTTCAGGAAGCAGTTGATGCCGTAGAGATCATACAGGACTTGTGCTTGTTCGCTGTCATATCCTTCGACATGGGTCATTTGAAACAGCTCGTCCTTGAGCATGCGGACGAATGCGCGGTTGGCAACGCCACAGATCCCGCGAAGACCAAGATTGCGATGGACGGTACGCAGGAAGTCGAATCGGTCTTCCAGCGGAGAGGGATAACTTTCGGCATTCTGCAAAATGGCCTCCTTGAGCAATGCATAGAGCACAATCCAGAGCTGGACTTGCATCTCATGAACGATAGTGGTAATTGCTGCAAACGAGGGAGCAGGCAAACCGCTTGGCAATGATGGGGGGTCAGATTTGCCTACGTGGATGTTGTCGTGAGCAATGTTGAAGACTTGCAGCAGCTGCAAGACCTCGCCGAAGCTACTGACTGCAAGTCTCAGACCCGGCTCATCCACACATTCGAGGGCGCTCTTGTCGGTCTGAACCAATGTGTATAGCTTAGTGACCATTTCCCGCACCAAGCGCAGACTTTCAATGACCAATACTTGACGCTCACTTCGTGCGAGGTTGATCTTGTCGGAGGACTTCATATCTTTCAAGACCATCCGAATCATGCGCAAATAACAGTACGTCACCATCGGGGAATAGTCAATGTTGACGTAGGCGTCTCGCAACCGCTGCCAAAGAAGCAACTTTACGGTGATGGGGCTGCTCTCCAGGAAGGACACAAGTTCAGGATTCGCTGAATAAGGCGCGGGCTTCCCTGGGGCTTCATCTACTTCGTTGTCTGACATGTGTCTCTCTGGCATCACGCACTCCAGCAGTGGCTCAAGACTTTCGATGACTGCCGCAGGCTCTTCTTTGACATCCTGGTTTGTGATTTTCAAGAAGAATTCTCGCGTTGTCAGCTTCGACACCTCCCGATCCAGCGCCGAGACGGACAATTCTGGCATGATGGCATTGTTCTGAAGTTGCAGGCAAGGCTCGCCCGCAGCCACAAAGATTCTCCGGAGATCGCTCATGCACTCCAGAACATGCTCTTGCGCTATATCTGAGGATGCACCGATGTTGCAAGCCGTCGCCCAGAGGAATCTCAGAGACAGGGCATCCTTCAAGCTCGGAGTCCCATTTTCATCTACATCCGCCTCGCGACAGACCTGCATGACTTCCCTCGAAAGCTCTGCCCATCGGTTCAGCCGCTCGCCTTGACTTATTACAGTTGCGCTTTCCACGCCACTGTTTGGTGATTTTATCARACAGTAAATGTCAAGGTGCAACTCGAAAATGGTCTGTGCCATCTCGGCAAGTGCTGTCGCTTTGAGATCCTCTTCGTTCGTCACACATTCCCTTAGCTTGTTTAGCTCGGCAGCCGTCTGCTTGAAGATGGTCTCGTCAAAATTGACGAGGATTCGTACGACCATCGTTTTGAGGCTTTCGGGCCAGAGAAACTGGATGTAGCTGTTGCCCGGCGATGAGGACGACAGGCGACCAGGAATCAAAAGTGCGCCGATGAATCTCCAGGCTGCAGCTTGGACCAAGGTCCAGTCATCGTTCAGACTTTGGATCAGCTCATCAAGTCCATCGTTTGGTAGGAGAGGTGTTTTCGACGGGCTGGTCGAGGTGCCACCACTTGCAAACAGGTTGCCGGCAGCGTTCATACTTTGACTGATGTCGAGGCTCTCGCTGCTGTTACGAAACAAATGCGCCAGCTGTTCGTTGTATTGGTGTAGAAAGGCGTGGAGGTCTGCTCGTGCACATCTCAAGTCCGGCTCCGCCGTGGGCTCTGTATCCGCTGACGCAGAGTGCTCTCCAGGTGATGCGATTTGCAGTTCTTGACGAATGTTCTTAGCAGCGCCGAATCCAACAATTCCGACCTTCTCAAAGAGATTTCCGACTGTCTCAAACATCCAATCATCGGCAGCCTGGAATTCATTCAATTGCTGCTCATATTCCCACTGGATGTTGGCTTCGATGAGGGCTTTGCGCGTGTCTCCAGTGTCCGCGTTTGACTCTCGAGCACGGGTTCGCCTGCTTTTAGAGCGGCTTTCTTCTAGCCCATCGTTGAGACCTGCCGCATCGCCCGAGCGTTTCCGTGAAGGTAGCGTCAGGGTTGGAGAGTCCATCATGTTTGCATCTGAATCGGAACGAGGCCTTGTCTCGAGTCGCATGCTGGGATGCGCAGGTGCTATCTGCGGTTGCGTAGTGGGCTTGCCGTAATCGAGTCCGGGAAATTGCTCATCAATAGAAGAGGGATACGCAGTCAAAGCTGATGTGTTGACGGGAGACGGTGGTTCGTCAGGAGACATCAGCTGCTCGACGGCCATCTCGTCTTCAGATTCTGTCGTGCTCAGGTCAAAAGCGACCGCTACGCCCGGTCGAGCAGATGATGTGCCATGTTGCTCGGCAAGGAGCTGTCGCAGGAGAATGTCGCCCATCTCAGCCCAAGTTTGTGGACGTTTGAGCACAATTCGGTCTGGTTCCTGTATTGTKGCTTTCTCTTGCTGCTTTCGCAGTTCGGATTCGCGCTGCAGAATATCAAAGTAGGGATGCAGGCGCTCTTTCAAAGCCTTTGATAGTACCTTTCGCTTGTTAATGAGGAGTGGACTTTGCAGTAGAGACAGCTGATCCTGCATGTCGCCAACCAGCTCCCGTAGCTTTTCGGCGGCGGAGCCCTCCTCAAGTCCCGGCAAAGAGAGCATGCCACCCAGACCTTCTTCGTCGCCATCGAGAACAGATTCCAAGCAGTAGCGCGCGACACGTCCGCTGTCAAGTATTTCCCCAACTGATGCAGTTCGCCGCCACAAGTCGATATCACTATCATCCTTGTCCAGCGCCTGAACGAAGTGGTTCAACGCAGCAGTAGCATCGGCCAGAATCTGATTAAGAGTGACGTTGAAAATGTCAAACTTCGCTTCCAAGGCATCCAATTTGAATTGCGCATAGTTCTTGTGTGAAAGGTGCAGGACTTGAGGCAGCGTACTTGGCCCAGTATCCAGGCTGTTSGCGGCGGTTACAGATCCAGGTACGACATCGTCCCAGATGGTTTCAATCTCGGGGGAAGCGCCATATAGCTCGATGCGCTGGAGCTCAGTCTGTGACTCGGGATATTTAAAAATCTCAGAGTCGAACAGCTGCTGATATGCGATGGACGCTTTCTCATACGAATCAGGACCTTCCGAGTGGAATCTCAGGGCAATTTGATAGAGCTTGAGAGCTTCCTCGATTTGGATCTCCTTGGTGTCGTCGATTTCAATGTCGGACTCATCATCCGACTCGATGTTGAGCGCGTGAAAGCCCGACATGGTGTCTGGTGGTTCATGAAGAGTCAGCGCGCTCCATACAGACTTGAGATGTCATTTGCATGGGGCAGTAGATGGAAGGGCACGTTTTGCGATTGGTGGTGATGTTCAGTATTGCGCGCGAGTTCGTGGAAGGCGGGTCGACGCGTATCGAACTCCAGGGTCTGGGGAGCGATCTTGGCCTAAGCTACTTTACCTTAACCAGGAGTTATTGAGCGAAACTCACAAATCTCCGCCATCCATCTCACCTGCCAATTCGCTCTGCGCAAGTGAAGAAGGTGCTCAGGCGATCTCAACCAACCTTCCACCAACCACCAGAAGGATCCGCGACGATGGTGGTCACCGGAGTTCCCGAGTAAGAAAGACAGCTTGCACGCAGTAAACACAAGAACAGCTAGCTGAGACATCATCCCTACAGGCTCTTTGAAGACGAATCGCACTCTGTTATCGACACTCGCACCGAATCGTTGCACGTCCTCCGCGAGCTCGGTCCGCCTGATCTCGTCCATTTGGTCAAGCAGCCGGCAAAGTCCAACAGCTCAAAACAGGTAACCACATAATGCTCGGTGGATCGTGCAAAAAGTTGCTAAGCTAGGTACAGTTTGGAGTATACCACCATGCAACCGGTATCGATGCATCCTCGTCGGCGAGCTTAGCGGCGTACATCAACACCCTCACGTACTCGCCCTCCAACAACACCAACAAAGTCACTTCTGGGCTGTACTGCTGCTACAATGCCTTCTCGCGGGTGGATATGCGCGTCCAGGTTCAGATTCCAGGCACGGTAGAGAGCTATTGCGTGGACGATCGGGGCAACAAGCTGGAAGCAACAGAAGAGCATTGGCTGGAAACATACCTCTGCAGCGTGCTGAGAGCATATTCGTATGCGGACACGGGAACCGGCGATGTCATGAAGCGTATAATTGGCGTGCGGCGATTCAATCCCATCACGAGCACGGAGCAGGAGCACAGATTTCTTGACGCTGCTGAAAAGCTGTTTTTTAGTGGTACGTGTGGCTCAAGAGAAGGAGAGCGATATGGCAAGGTAGCATCGCAAGGCAGCATATGCTGACGTGAATCTAGGCTGGCAACTTGGCTCAGATCCAGAGCTGCAGGTGCCCAATCTGGTGTCAAATCACTTGACTTCAGGCCTCATGCACTACATCAAGACTACAGGACGCTTCGCATCTGGCATTAACCTATTTGAGAAGCTGCGTGAGCGAGATCCTGAGATATCGTCTCTGCTCGCACGTGTCTATCTTGCAGCTGATGAAGAGGTAAAGGCAGTCAAGCTTCTCCACGAAGCTGTCGAGGAGCTGCCCATGGACTACTCCATTCTGGACTGCCAAGCCGAGTTTTGCAGCCGGAAAGGCAGAGGTGACCTTGCTCTGGAGATTGCAAAGCGTGGCGTGGTGGCAGCTCCTAGCGAGTTCTGCACTTGGGCACGGCTGGCGGAGATCTATGTTGCTATGGAGCAATGGGATCTCGCGCTTCTGACCCTCAACTCTTGCCCCATGTTCACCTACCAAGACAAGGACGCTCCAAGACTGCCAGAGCCATCGAAAATATCCCTCCCCCTCGCACCTGAAACCGTTTGCGACGAAATCGACGACGCAGGTGCGACGCCAGATTCGGAATCGGTGCATCCGACTCTGCGCAGACTATCCGCTGCCAACTACAAGGGCACTTTCCACAAAGCCTACATACTCTTGACCGAAATCACCAAGAAGATTGGGTGGGATCAGCTTCTAAAGATCAGAAGTCAAGTATTCGTGATGGAGGAAGAGTATCGGCACGAAAAGCAAGCACCACAGAACGCATCAAGGAATGCAAGCACAGTCGCTATAAGGAATTCGGACACGCCCCAATTAAACGGTAATGCTGCTCACTCAGAAGAGACACCCTCGAATCCCGATACGGACGACATGACCAACGGCGAGACAGAGGCCGGAAACGAGATCCCAAAGCCTTCCGTCTCAATCACCAACCGAACCGGTGTCGAGAGCCCTCAACCTCAACCTCCTGGAGATCCATCTCACCAATCATACACCCAGTTCCAGCACAAGCGACTTTGCGAGCGCTGGCTCGATAATTTGTTCATGGTTCTTTATGAAGATCTGCGGATCTACACAATCTGGCGCACTGAAGCTAGCCAGTACAAGTCACAGCAGTTGGCGTACAAGAAGAGCGCTGAGGAGTGGGAGATCTTGGGTGAACTGGCTGAGCGACTGCACCATCCGGAGGAGGCGATCGAGGCGTGGCAGGGCTGCCTTAGTATGCGATTCAGCCCCAAGGCTATGAAGGGTATCTTGGGCTTGCACGAGCGTCAAGGGGATGGGAGGAGCGCCATTGGTGCTTTGATTAGGCTGGTCGCCTGGCAGTTCAGGTGGTACTCAGAGGTGGGTCGCTCTCCCTTTCTCGAGTATGTCTAGCGTTGAGCTTGCTAACATGGATTGCAGTTCTCCCCGGATCTTTTGTTTGCCATCAGAAAACTCATCGAAGATGAAGGCGCGGTCAAAGTTCGAAGCATCATCCAAGCAACGAGCTTACCCCAGCACATCCTGGACTTCACCCATCAGTACGCCGGGCTTTGCGCCGCATTCAAGAGCGACGGAAACGACGGCTGAGCGAATGTGGCAATAACCTAACAGTTCTGCAGTAAATGATTGAGGGTCGCCGTTAGCGGGAGCATTTCAGGGAAGTCAGCGACGGCGTTTGCAACGATTGTGAAGAATCATCAAAAGCTGAGTCGAATTAGCTCTTACGCGGAACATGGCCCTTTCGTCATGCTGTGGCCCAAGTTCCATCTCACACTACCCACGGCATGCAGTTATATCAGTCGCATCTTCATGATGGGACGTCTCATGCGACGTAGTTTGCAAGACCAAAGCCCTCGGTTGTTCTCAAATGATACATCACTTGTGTCATTCCTACTCAGCTAATTGGCTTTGTTGGCACTGTTGGCTCTCCGGGGCGCAACGCACTATCTCCCATGTCTTTCTCCGTTGACTGTGTACACGCTGGGCCTCATTGATGCCCTCAATCGGCATAGGGGCCGGTGTAATTGAACGTTGTCACCCTATCTGCTGCAATTAAAGACTTTGTCCTCTCCATGAGAACGACATCAAAGTTTGGAAGACTTCTTTTAACAAGACATTCAGCTCTCTAAAACACTGCTTATTTTTGTAGTTGTGGCCCCCCGTCTACGAGCGTGGTCGTTGCTCAACGGCAAGTCTCAATCTCCTCGGCTTTGGGCAGCATCGAAAGATCCAACGAGAACCCATCTGATCGCGTTCGTGGGMCTTCGCCACTCCATATGAGGTTGTTCCTTTGCACGCAAGGTGTACTCAATATGATTGATATGTAGTATTGAATGACGCTTACCTCGGCAACTGCCTTTGAAGATCGTCTGAATATATACTTTTAGAAGACCTTCCATAGGTACCTTACCTATCAACTTTACAACTTCACTCTAATGTTCCGGCGATCATTTCGACCAGCAAGTATAACGCGGTTCTCTCCCGTAATCAACTACTTCAAGACAATACCTCGTTTACAATTCATCTCCACCATGCCGCCCCCGAAACTCGAGAATGTGGCAATCGATATTGACAGCGAGGCAATCGCTGTCATCAAATTCAACCGGCCCAAGAACGCAAATGCTTTGAACACGCCGGTGGTACAAGTAGGCATACCAATCATGATCACATTGGAGCCAGGCTAATATCCTTACCATCAGGACGTCCTCTCAGCCCTCAAATGGGCCAACGCAGAACCTCAAATCCGCATCATACTCACAACAGGAGAAGGCAAATTCTACACAGCGGGCCTCGATCTTCTAGACCCCATAAACCAAGGTCCCAACGGCGAGACCATATCCGATGAATTCATCTCTACAATTGGCCAAATTCATGAACTTCTGATCAAGACTTCGAAACTGGTCATCTCGGCTGTGAACGGCCCTGCCCCAGGTTGGGGAACCACATCCATCGCCCTCTCTGATCTCGTCTATACGGTCCCTTCAGCTATATTCTTCACACCTTTCGTGCAGTGGGGTATTTGTGCAGAAGGCTGTTCTTCTTTGACTTTTCTCCGCGCAATGGGGAGGCAAAAAGCTTCTGGGTTGATTCTTGCGGGGCAGAGATTGAGTGCTGCGGAGTTGGAGTCTGCTGGGTTGGTGACGAAGATCTTACCTGCGGAGAACTTCAGGGAGGGGGTTTTGGGGTTGGCGAGGGGGATTGCGAAGTTGCCACCGAAGAGTTTGGTAGTCAACAAGGAGTTGATGATGAGGACGCAGAGGGCGGGTTTGTTGGAGGCCAATGAAATTGAGTTGAAGACGCTTGCGGAGCAGGTTCGAGGGGAGGAGAGTAAGAGCGCTATAAGAGGTTTTGCGGAGGAGACGGAGAGGAAGAAGAAGGAGAAGCAGGCAAAGCTCTGAGAGCTGTGGGGAGATGCTTTGCCATTGACGAGGGAGTTATGAAGAGACCTGTCAGCAAGAAAGTTGTGTTGGGTGCAAGGTATCGTGAAATGAAGCTCGCTGGCTCTCATTGCAGTCAATCGACGACAACGCTCGCAAACAAGTCGCTCTAGGCAGAAAAAGAAACGGCCTTGAGGAGAGACGATCGTTTGTTGAAGATCTTCATCTCATCCGCGTCGTCCACTCATGCAAAGGAGGTAGAGAATCTTCGATTGCTGCTGGTGGGGATCATCTCTAGATCAAACGATAGACAGCATTAACAAGAAAGTCAAGACAAGGTGGATATAATGACGGGAAGCGATTCTTTTGTAGACGTGCTTAGCATGCGATGAGCTATGCTACTTTTCAGCCATGAACATTWCCCATGCGCCTGGCGTTCCGTAATGCCTTGGTCATCATTTTCCCCCCGCCAAACGCCATGCATGTAAAGAATCACATTCCCGAAGATACAGACGTCACATGCGTAACAATCTATTTCTTCTTGTCCTTCTCCTCGTCCTCCTTGGCCTTGGCACGCTTCTCGCGCTTGCCGACCAGGCGGGCCTCGGAGCGAGCATCGCGCAACTTGCGGTAGGCGTTCTCGGTGCTTGGGAAGTCGGCGATCTTGCCCTCCTGGATGGTGACCTTGTTGTCGATGGGGAAAGCCTTGTTGCTCTGCTTGACCTTGCCGTCGTAGAGAGTCGAGCCGATCTGCTTGGCGGCGTCGACCTCCTTCTTTGCGGCATCGCCGTTCTTTGGTGCCTTGGCGTTGCGGGGGAAGAGGACGAGGCGCTCCTTGTATGCCTTCAGACGCTGAACGTTGGCGGCAAGGGACTCCTCAGAGAGGTTGGCGCGACGAGGGTCAACAGAGATACCGATGGTGGGCGCAAGCTTGCGTGGGATACCAGCCTCCTGCAGCATGTGTCAGACTTTTCCTCTGTAGTATTTCCATCTCTTTGATAGCCTACCTTCAGCTCAACGAGCGAAAAGCCGCGACCAGCACGAACACGGCGGTTGTACTTGATGGTCGGGCAGCGGACGATTGGGCGAAGCTTGTCGACGGGGCGAGGAGCCAGCTTGGCGGCCTTGTCCTGGCGCGCATTGCGTCTGCGGGTCTTGCGACCGGGCTATATCGAAGGTCTGGTCAGGACATTGTTGCTGTGCACTGCAGGCGCCACTGCTCTCAGGGAAATGAGAGGGGAATTACCTGGTCGAAGTGCACGCGGACACGGCGTTGCCAGTCCTTGCGGAAATCTGCGGATTGTCAGCAATGTCTTTCAATGTGCGATTTTTCATGGATGGTGTTTCGTGGCTTACGGTTGTGCTGGATCTGCTGATTGTGCTTGATCGTCTAGAGGTGGGTTAGCGATTGCACGAGGATACCGTCGAGGACAGCAGCGAGCATACCATTTTGGCGGTTGATCCAGTGGTGTCGTCGTGACCTGAAGATCCAAAAGCTGAAGTTCGAGGTGCGAATATTTGCGGTGTGCGTGGTGGAGAAACGGCGCCGGCCGAAACCTTATTATGTAATGATCGCGCGGCAGCGAACGACACGCGCTCGCGCTCCTGCCCTCATTTCGCGTCAAGACTTTGGAAGCCGCAACACACACATTCACAACGCATTGCACTTTTCCGACAGGATGTTACTGGCATAATTGTTCACATTTCACATCACTTCTCTCTAACCTCCCTCCACAATGCCGCCGTCCAAGTCGGACCGTTTCGCCCAGATTCGCGCTCTCCGTGCGGCGGGCAAGACTGGTTTCGACGACTACCAGGTCGAAGAGGCCGAGTCGATCTACGAGACGGTCGACGATGAAGGATACAAAAAGGTCGTTCGCAGCCGTCTGGACCAAGATGACTTCGTTGTCGACGACAATGGCGAGGGTTACGCCGACGATGGACGTGAGGACTGGCAGGATGAGCGACAGGCACGAGATGAGAGTGACAGTGAAGAGGAGCTCCCGAGAAACAGCAAAGCAGGTTCGTCTCGTCCTACAACGACAATCGCTCAACCACAACTACTAATCCACCCCCAGCCAAACGCAAGCGGGTAGACGATGCCGATCGAGCGGATAAGCTGAACAAGGGTATCAGCAAATACTTCAATCAGAAGCCAAGCAATGCACCGAAATCAAAACCTGTGCGAACCGCAGAAGATGACGAATTCATGGCCGGTCTCCTGGGCGAGGTCGACACGAACATTCCTTCGCGTGTGCCTTCTTACGGAAAGCCGCTCAAGAGCAATGATCGCCGCAAGACGAGAGTGCTATCCCCACCACTGGAAGGCGAAGAGCGGATTGCACAGCGTGCCAGGAAAGCGGGCAAAGAGCAGGTCGCGGAACTACCTGCACCAGACGACTATTTGATCCCACACAACGATGACGACGACGACACAATCATGAGCGATCCGCTGCCTTCATCCCCAGCTGTCAAGGCAGTGGAGCGCAAAGAGCAAGCCATCAAGGGTGAAGAGCCCGAGGAGGAGGACCTGATGGAGATCGCGGAGGTGACTGGCAATGCGAAGCTGAAGAATGCCAGCGTCAATATTCGCGGAAGTCGTCCAGTTCCGAAGCTCGCAAAGCCCGTATATCCGACACCCAGCAGCTCTTCGCCAGTCCGTGCTCCGGCAGATGATGTTGACATGACGGCCATCAACAGAGTCACTGACAACCTGAGTATCTTGAGCAGCCCGGTTGCTGAAAGCGCCAAGGTTGGCAAAATGGATAGCAATGATGCCATCGAGGACGACGGCTCCCTCCGCTTCTTTTGGATGGACTACACAGAGGTAAATGGCAGCCTTTGTCTGTTCGGCAAAGTCAAGAGCCGAAAGGACGGAAGTTTTGCCTCTGCGTTTGTCAAGGTCGACAACATACTCCGCAAACTCTATTTCCTGCCTCGCGAGTTCCGCCAGAAGCGAGGACGGGACACCGAAGAAGAGGTCGAGTTCAAGGACGTCTATGAGGAGGTCGACAGCCTCATGTCACGACAGAAAGTCACAATGCACAAGATCAAGCCTTCTTTGCGAAAATACGCATTCGAGCTCCCTGGAATTCCGAAAGAAGCGGAGTATCTAAAGCTGATGTATCCATATCAGAAGACTTCGGCTTTGATGATGGACACAACGGGCGAAACATTCTCRCACGTCTTCGGAACTAACACCAACCTCTTCGAGCAATTTGTGCTTTGGAAGAACATTATGGGTCCTTGCTGGCTTAAAATTGACAACGCCGATTTCAATGCCGTCAACAATGCCTCCTGGTGCAAATTGGAACTTGCGGTGTCCAAACCCAACGATATTGTAACTTTGGGCGACTCGGACAATCTGGAGGCTCCCCCGTTGACTCTGATGTCGCTTGCCATCCGCACAGTCTTCAATCAGAAGGAGAACAAGAACGAAATTCTAGTCGCCAGTGTCCGATTCTATGAGAATATCTCGCTTGCAGACACAACTCCTGCAGAGAAGATCCCCAGCCGCCTGTTCACCATCATGCGGCCACATGGCGAATGGCCAATCGGCTTCAAGACTGAGGCAGAGAAAGCCAACCACTCGATCAGACTGGAAAGAAACGAATTGGGTGTGCTGAGCATGCTCTTGGCCATTATTCAAAAACACGATCCGGATGCCATCATGGGCCACCGACTGGACGATGTTGACTTTGGAATCCTCATGAGCCGTATGCGTGAGCGCAAGACGCCTGGGTGGCATCGTATCGGTAGACTGAAGCGGAACGACTGGCCCAAGAATGTCGGCAAAGGAGGGGGGAGCTTCTTCGCAGAACGTCACTTAGCAGCCGGACGCCTGCTCTGTGATTTGGGCAACGATATGGGTAAAAGCATGATGACGAATTGCCAATCGTGGACTCTCGATGAAATGGTATCGCTCTACCTCAATGGCTTCCGCAAGGAGATCGACAACGAAAAGGCGCTAGCAATGGCCAGCAGCAAAGAAGGCCTGATGAATTATGTGAAAATGTGCGAGGTCGATACCTACTACATCGCGGCTCTCGCGTTGAAGACGCAACTTCTGCCACTCACCAAGGTCCTGACAAACTTAGCTGGAAATTCCTGGGCACGAACACTCAGCGGAACACGCGCTGAACGAAACGAGTACATTCTGCTTCACGAGTTCTATCGAAACAAGTATATATGCCCGGATAAGGTGTTTGGCAAGGGTGCCTCGAACAAGAAACTGGAAGAAAATGGCGACGGCGACGGCGAAGAGGGAGGTGCCGACGCGAAGAAGAAGGACAAGTACAAGGGTGGTCTTGTGTTCGAGCCTGAAAAGGGCCTCTACGACAAGTTCATCCTGGTCATGGACTTCAACTCCCTTTACCCCAGCATCATTCAGGAGTACAACATCTGCTTCACCACGGTCGATCGTAGTCAGATCACCGAGGAGGACGACAAGGTACCCGACGTTCCCGATGACACTCAAAACAAAGGCATCCTGCCGCGACTGATTAAGACCCTCGTCAGCCGACGACGAGAGGTTAAAAAGCTGATGAAGGACAAGTCTGCTACTGAGGATCAGCTCAGGACTTGGGACGTGAAGCAGCTGGCCTTGAAGCTTACCGCCAACTCCATGTACGGATGTCTTGGTTACAGCAAATCCCGATTCTATGCCCGACCACTCGCCGCCCTCACYACATCAAAGGGACGAGAGATCTTGCAGTCAACCAAGGATTTGGCCGAGTCTGCGCACGCTCTGCGAGTCATCTACGGTGACACCGACTCTGTCATGGTCAACACCAACGTGGACARCATTCTAGATGCCGTGAAGATGGGCAAGGAATTCCAAAAGAGCGTCAACGAGCGATATGAACTGCTCGAGATCGAGATCGATCACATTTTCCGACGCCTGCTTCTCCACGCGAAGAAAAAGTACGCCGCAATTCAGATGGTCCAGGTTGATGATACAGTCTGGAAGGAGAAGCTGGATGTCAAGGGTTTGGATATGAGGAGACGAGAGTACTGTCAGCTTTCGAAAGACACTTCAACGTGAGAATCAACCCTGTCCTGGCACTTTACGCATACTGACAATCTTACARAGAGCTACTCAACTACCTTCTCTCCGGCGAGGAGCCCGAAAAAGTCGTATCTCAAATCCACAGCTATCTCCGCTCGCTGGGCGAGAAGATGCGCAACAACGAGATTGCGAAGCACAAGTACACGATTTATACTCAGCTTGGCAAGCACCCCAAGGACTATCCCAATGGCGGCCACATGCCTTCTGTACAGGTCGCTCTCAAGCGTCTAGCCAAGGGCAAGCAAGTCAAAGCCAAGGATGTCATGGCTTTTGTGATCTGCGGCAACAATGCCGGCAACAACGAGAGCGCAGCGAAAAACGCCTATGAACTAGACGAAGTCATGGCTAAAGACAGCGAGCTCGTTCCCGACATTGACTATTACCTGCACAAGCAAATCCTGCCACCCGTTGAGCGTCTTTGTGCTCCCATCGACGGCACGAATGTCTCTCTCCTCGCCGAATGCCTGGGTCTGGACACAACCAAGTACCGCGTCAGCAGCGCCAGTAAATCAACGGAGCAAAGCAACGAGATCACGACACTTGAAAGTCAGATTCCCGACCACATCCGCTTCAAGGACTGCGAAGCTCTTGGCCTGCTATGTTTGGGCTGCAAAAATCATTTCGAATACCGCGGCCTCAACTACAGCCAGACTTCAGACGAGACTCCTCTGACACCTGTGGGTGTTTTGACCAACGATGGGCTGGCCTGTCCTAGGTCTGAATGCAAAAAACGTATCACAACGCTGGCAATGTCCGCGCAGCTCGAAACCCAAATCCGGAGGCATACAGCTCGCTACTACTCTGCGTGGCTGGTGTGCGACGATCCGGCTTGCGGTATGCGCACACGACAGATGAGCGTCTACGGGCATAGATGTCTGGGTCCCAGGGGTTTGGCTCATGGATGTTCGGGACGCATGGCGTTTGAGTATTCCGAGAAGGCACTGTACAACCAGCTGCTATTCTTGCAAGGGCTTTTCGATGTCGACAAGAGCGTAGAGAAGATGTCTTCGGGTATGAAGATCGAAGGAGATGGAGAGAAGAGGGAAAAGGTCAAGATTTTGGCTGGTATGAACAGAGACCGGTTCGCTGTATGCTGGGATGTTGTCAAGGCATATTTGGACCGAAGTGGCTGGGGTTGGGTCAGCATGGATGCACTATTTGGATTTGCCATGAAAGGATTGGTATAGGTCGTATGTTTATGAATAGCGGTGTTGGCGATGGCACTCAATGACAATCAAGGGTTCAAAGTTAGTGTTTTCAACATTTCAAGAGCAGGTACGTCGATGCGAAGGTCATACGGCTGATGATGAAAGATCTCATGATGGACATGAAACTTGCCGCGATGTTGACGGCGTTGGAAAAGAGGCATGATGGGATTCAGGCATGCAACCAAGTGATAGAAGAGTGATTGAAGCTATGAAGTGTTCAAGTATTACTGACAACTCCCCCAGAATGCGTGGATCTCGTTATATCATCTCCAATCCCATATCGCCCCAACGCCAAACATCATGATCAAGTCAATCTACCAGGCCAGTCCTTCCGCAGCAGTCGAGCAACTCAGACCGGCGCAGAAATCCATATCCTTCTGACTTTCCACACTCGAAGATGGTAAAGTCTGCCGCGCAGGCCAAATCTCCTGTTTTGCGCTCTGTTCACGGGCGTAGTGATCCATGACCGTTTCCCTGACTGTCTTCTGGAAGAACAAGGGACCTTTCTCCATCTTGGGGTGTAATTCGCCATTGACGAAGACGCCGGCATTGAGGTTCTTTTGTGCCGCTTTGCAGAGTTCCTTGTCTTCGGACATGATGCGCTTGTAGATGTTGTTGACGAGTTGGAAGTCTTCTTCGGAGGAGTTCTTATTGCGGAAGACTTCGTAGCGCATGGTTGAGGTTGTTGGAGAGTGTGGGATGAAGCGTTGGATCATGAAGAAGTGTGGTCTGGTAGAATGTTAGCGGAGGGTGATGAGGATGGACTGACTAGAGGAGTGGAACTTACGAGACGTTGGTTGAGACGTTGGGGAAGTAGTATGTGCTTGCGACAACGAGACCATTGGCACGTTGCTCGTCGGTGGTGGCGGCGTCGTGGATTATCTGTGCCCCCTTGGTCTGTACGTCGTAGGATTGTAGATCCGCGAGTGCTCCAATATCGGGGTGTGTGGTTGCGCAGTGATAGCACTCGTTGTAGTTGTCGGCGAGAATCTTCCAGTTATAGTCGCCGTCCATCGACCAGACGTGATCGAATTGGTAGTCGTCGAAGTTGAATTGCTCATATCGTTTCTGAGTGTCGACACCAGCGAAGTCTTCCTCCCAGGGCACTTCAGGAGTCTTCTTGCCATCCATGTTGATCCAAACGAAGCCAAGCTTGTCGATACGGACGTGAATGGGAAAGAGACCGTTCTGTTCCTTGTCGAAGCCTGCTACCTTGTCGTAGCCTGGTGCCTTTGCTAGCTTGCCGTTGATGCCATATGACCAGCCGTGGTATTTGCATGAAAAGATTCTTGATGAACCTTCCTCTCCACTTGTTACGACCGGGTATGCTCGGTGTCTGCATACATTGTGAAAGCCATTGATATTTCCCTCGCGGTCTCGGGCTAGCACAACGCTGAAGCCAGTGATTTCATACTTCAACCAGTCTCCTGCCTTTTGGAATCGGTTCTTGTGGGTGATGAGCTGCCATTTCCGGGAGAAGATAGCACGTCGTTCAAGTTCATACATCTCAGCTGACGTGTACCAGTTGGAAGGCAGTGCTCTGACAGCGGCATTTTCGTCATTCTCCTGTGGGTTGGCCTTTGCACCTACACCGAACCAGCTCAGTACGCCAACTGAATCTTTTCTCGACATCTTGATGAGCAACAAGTAGATGAATGATGGAAGGTGAAAGGTGAAAAGTGATAGCAGCGTTGTACACTCGCAATGTGAAGTCTTGACAGCAAGGTCTGACAATTCGATGAAGAAGAGAATACAAGCCGCCTTCGCGAAGACATATATGAATTGCTGTGGCTATTCCTCGTAGCGAATAACGCTCGCAAATACCCCATGGAGGTAGCACGTCCAGATGCTCACCAGGGTGACAAGATGCAACCAGTGTATCGTGGACTTGATATCTTACGGGACTAATTTAGCCGCATCCCTGAACGTTTCCTGATGTGGCTGTCCGTTGCACGGACGTGAAAGCAGCCTATCTTCACTACCTTTGTTGGCTCGGGAGATAAACGCACCTGACGACACTCACCAGACGTTGCTTGGATGGAATGTCTGCCCAGAGCGCCTTGTCAGGGGCGACAATCCGGCATGCATACGCGAGCTGCATCACGATCGTGAACACAAACCGACTTTGGGAAGGCCACCTCACACAGAGTGGTTGCATGATGACTTGCTCCATCACACCAAATCATTACTACCGGCAGTTCAGACGCTTCATATCATACTTGACAGGCATGATCTCGATTGGTCTGTAGCGGCCCCATGATGAAGCGACTCCAGAACTTCGGGGACTGATAAGGCAACAAAGATGGCAGCGCATTCGAACGCTCCGAAAGCCTAGATTTGGATTCTCTTGCCTTACAGCGATGACTTCGGGATCATCAGGCGTTGTGGGTAGAATGTCGCGGATCTAGCCGTGGTGTGTAGTCCCGGGCGACAAACTTTGGGCTGGATCATCGAGCCTGATTTGGGAATAGGGATCCCCCAGACCAGATTCCCCAGAAACGATTAGGCCGGGCACCACTCCGCTCTATGCAGTGTGCATGATCAACTCGGATCAAAAAGTCGCCGAATCTGCTTCGTAGCGAGTTCGTGAAGCATGGCTTCGATGTTGTTTTTCGCATCGCATTTACAATCGCCAAGACTTTCAGGTGATGTAGCAGGACGCAGACTCCAGAAGCATCGCAACGGGAGTGACAAGGAAGCGATTGGATGTCTTTTGCGCGCGCTCTTCTCAGTGGCATGGCCAGGATCCTTGCTACGCCATGTCGCTCTAGACCTCTCGTTCCACTTCGATACGTCGATCGAAACGCGGTGTAGAAGGTCACACGTGAACCCACGGGCCGAATACACAAGGTACAGGAAGATTGGTCGAGAGTTGCTGTATGAACAATACCGAAAAGTACAGTAACGTCCCAATCGCCAGCATTGACAACAATATGTTCGTCGTATTCGTTCAATTGTACCTTCCACTCATCATCACGTCGTCTGATCGTATTCAGCTTGATTAGCAGCGCCATTCCCCATCACAATCGTGCTCTGACTTCAACGTTCTCGCGCGCTGCTTGCGGTCTCCAAGCATTAGGGCTTGCTCTTAGAAGGTTATCAGGTGACACTGTGGCTTGAATCCGGCGACCGAAATATTCCACTTCGACGTTGTCACCTTCGCGGATGTTGCTTGGAACATACGCGTATGCAACGGGCTTCCCAATCGTGTAGCCGAAAGCAGCACTAGTCACGTAGCCAACCACTTTGCCTTGATGGAAGACAGGCTCTTTACCAAGCACCACCGAACGTCCGTTGCTGATGGTGAGGGAGCGTAGACGTTTGGTCACGCTCTTCTTGGCCACCTGTGATAGTGCCTTTCTTCCGACGAAGTTCGGCTTCGCTAGATCGACAGTGTGGTCCAGACCGGCCTCGTAAGGGTTGTGTTCGGTGGTCATGTCGGAGCCCCAGTCTCTGTAGCCCATTTCCATGCGCAGTGCGTTGAGAGCGATGCGTCCGGCTGCAATGACACCGTGCGGTTGACCAGCTTTCCACAGAACGTCCCATAGCCGCTGGCCAYTTTCAGCACTCGTGTAGATTTCCCAGCCCAATTCACCAACGTGAGTCAAACGGATCATGATGACCGGAATACCAGCAATATGAGCTCTCTTAACTTGGTGATGGCCGAGGCCGGTGTCCGTTAGGTCGTCCACACTGATAGCGCTGACCAAGTTGAAGGCTCGGGGCCCCCAGAGACCGATGCAGCAAGTGCCGCCCGTGATATCGCGAACCTGAACCCAGCGATGGGGGCACTGCTGTGATTGTTGTCTCGCTTCCCTGGTCAAGTAGACTAGGTCGATACGGCTGTTAATTCCAACGTGGAATAAGTTTTCCTCCAGGCGAGCAACCGTTGCATCGCTGCGTATACCTCCCTGCTTATCCAAGAGCAGCGAGTAGGTGACAGCCCCCGGACTCTTAGCAACGTTGCCTGTAGTCAGACGCTGCAGAAAATCCACTGCACCAGGACCGGACACGTCAACACGACGCAGCGGAGTCATATCGTACATGGCAACCGCTGTCCGAGTCTTCCACGCCTCTACCGCTGCAATAGGCGAATAGTATCGAGCAGACCACGCATCCCGCTCCACTGGCTTCCATTGAGGCGGCAAATCTTTGACGAGCGGCGCATTCGCTTCATACCAGTGTGGACGCTCCCACGCCCTGGACTCGAGGAACACAGCTCCAAGCTCTTGTTGTCTGGCGTGGAATGGGCTGACACGCAGATTGCGGGGCGACTGCCTAGGCTCCAAAGGATGCAATATGTCGTATACCTCCACAAAGTTCTGCTGTGAGGTCTCACTGATGTAGTCTGAAGCGAGCTGCACCTCTTCGAATCGCGTGAGCTCACACTCTCCTAGGTCGATTTCGGAGCGTCCTGTGGTCAGAAGTTGCGCGACAGATCGTGCAACGCCAGCCGAGTGTGTTACCCACACCGCTTCAGCTACGTAGAAGCCGTCGAGCGTCGGCGACTGTCCAACAATCGGACCGCCGTCGGGCGTGAACGAGAAGATGCCATTGAAACCATCTGCGATCTCGACTTCCCGCATGGCAGGCAGCAACTTCCTTGACTCGTCCCATGCAGGCGCAAAGTCTTCAGGGGTGAATGCTAGACGGGACGGCATATTCTTGTCGTTGACGTCCTTGGGCGTCAGGCCCAGAGATGCGGCGTTGACTGGCATTGGCCGGTGGCCGTAGTATCCAATTCCATACTGGTCTCCGTGCTCACGATAGTAAAGATCCTGATCTTGGTGACGGWGCATTGGTAGCTTCGCCCAGTTGGGTGGATTATCATGCGCTTTCAATGCAGGCACGGGAGTCGTCTTGACATATTGGTGAGCGAGGGGAAGCAGCGGAATGGAGAGGCCGACCATGGCACCGATTTCAACACCCCAAAACCCTGCGCAAGAGACAACAATGTCGGCTGGAAAGATTCCACTTGGTGTTGTCACTCCGGTGACACGGCCATTGGCGCGTTCAATTCCAGTGACCGGAGTCATGTCGACATAGCGAACGCCAGACTTTTTCGTGCGTTCAATGAGAAGTTGCACCGCACGCGCAGCCAGTGCCAGGCCGTCGCTAGGGATATGTAGACCGCCAAGAACCATGTCTTTGTTCAAGAGGGGGTACAATTGAAGACACTCCTCGGGGCTAATCAGCCGTGCTTCAATGCCCCATGAAGACGCCCAACCATGCTTTCGCTTGAGGTCTTTGAGACGTGCAGGAGTTGTAGCAATCTCCAAGCCGCCTACTTGGTTGAAACAGTTTTGACCATCTTTTTCCAGAGACTGGAGCTTTTCCACGGTATAGCGTGCAAACTGAGTCATGGTCTTTGAGGAGTTCGTTTGGAACACCAGACCAGGGGCATGAGAAGTTGAGCCCCCCGGCATTCCCAATGGCCCTTGGTCAATGACGGTGATGTTGCTCCATCCGCGAGAGACCAGCTCATCTGCAAGGTTGGTTCCCACTATTCCGGCTCCTATGATTACGACACGCGGGTGGGAGGACGCCATGATGTATGGAGATTCTGGGAGATTGGATGGGATGGAACCCGATGATGGGGACGCGTGCAGCGACTCCAGGCCTTTCCAGTGTGGCATTCGATTGAAGTCAGATATTGATATTGGCAAGCATTCAAATTCGAGTGAAGCCGTATGTGTCGGAGGCAGTTCTGACAAGAGAGCAATACTGAATGGGATATGGTCTGAAAAGCGTCGAGTGGGAGGACGCGTGCCTAAGTTAGTGCACGCGATGGTGGACGCGAAAACCGTTTTCGGAGGTCATCCAGCTCCATCTTTCGGCGAGCAGAGTAAGCTGCTCTACTTCCCATCCAGAGGTCCATGTGAGTGGTCCCCAAGGGTTAGGCTTTCCAGATTTGGTAGACACATCCATCAACCGGCCGGCTTATCGCAAAGCTATAGCTCTTGCACCCTGGACGATAGAACAAGTCATCTCATGCAAAGCTCGGCGCATACTGTAGCGATACGGGGTCGATTGATGGCAATCACCTCGTGATGTTGCTGTACATGAGGGAGTCGAGCGTCCGAGCGGCGAACATCAACGCTGATGCAAGTTGACAAGGTTTGGAGACGGGTTGAAAGTCCCGAAGCTTCGCCGACACCTTGATTTGTCTCGACTGAGGCGTTGCTTCCCTTGTCTCCACAACGACTTCGATCCGCGTTCAAATAATGGCACATGTCAGGCCATACCGCCACCAGGACTTTGACAACTGCATCAGGATATTCCGCGAAACAGCCGATGAGTCTCTCCACTTTGAGCCTGGCCTGACGATCGGCTCATATCTGTGGTGCCGCCCGTATCTCCATCTATCACCCTCCACATGCTTTGTGCTCGATGACGGCTCGGGACAGGCGGTGGGCTACTGTATAGGAACCGAAGACACTGCTTCCTTCTGCCAAGCGTGGCGAGCGGACTACCTACCTTCCCTTAGCAGTGATCTCGATCCATCGGTCTTTCACCACGCTGGCCTGGAAGATCAGCACCCTAAGGTTGCCTCCCTCCTCGACTCGTTGTGGAATGATGTGGAGGGAGGTTGTAAGTGCAGTCGATGGCAGAAGGCATCCTACTCGGGGATTCGAAGACAGTGCTAACATCGAGACCTACACGCGTCTGTGGACTGCTGAGGTCTTGGAGAGAGCGCTTCGATTCTGCTTCCCTGCTTTGGATGTCTGTGACATGGCTGACCCTTGCGCCCTTCACTTTAGGCAATGGATCTGTGGATGGCCTGTGGAAGATGTACCCCRGCCACCTTCATATTGATATATTGTCTACTCATCAACGGATGGGCCATGGGCCACTCCTCATCCAGTCTTTACTCTCTGTTCTGAAGGTCAAAGGTTGCAAAGGTGTTCACATGGGTGTCGTGGCTAGTAATGTTGGCGCACTGAGCTTCTACGAACGAAATGGGTTCCGGAGGTATCCTGCAGTGGCGGAGGGAGGCGAAATCGGGAGGGTAGGCGGTACTGTTATTATGGTTGAGAACTTGTGAGTATAGAAAATGGCGATGTCAAACAAAAGATCAAGGTCCGGTGACATTGAAGGTTGCCGCCCTACCTGTAGCAGGCAAAGATCTTGTAACTTCTCAACATCGACAGCATAATCAAGAAGACACTCTCAATCAGACATACGATCCTCCTCCGTATCTGATCACCTCAAGGCTGCTGATTTTTGTGCTTGTAGGTACCTGTTCCTGAGGGTTGGCGTCGATTCACGATAAAGAGAGGCGGCGGTCTTCAAGTTCGCCGGCCCTTGGATCCAGTACGGCGGTCAACCTTGACCTTTATTACCTTGGCCATCGTATCGGGTCAGATGCCTTGAAGTCGTTGCGCGACCATAGTTTCTAACACCAACCCTAACCCTAACGACGCTTCGTCTGCCTGGATCGCTTCGACTGCATCGATATGCTCCTTGAGAGACTCTTGCTCGACCGCTTCTTTGGTCAGCTATTGACTGAATCTCTCGTCAATCTGTTCAACGGCAGCGAAGATGTCATTGTACTCATCATCCAGCCACTCAGGTGCGGCTGGTGAGCCAGCTTGCGGCGCTTGGCTCTTGCACGGAGCGAAGGACCACCATCCTCGTTGCTCTGCAATGCCAGATTCTTCTCGGCCTTGTCCTTGGCGTTTTGTCTTCTTGTTCGTCCTCCACTTGTATTCGAGCTCCCCTTCCCCGTAATTCTCGTGTGGGAAGTCTGGATGCATGGTTTGTATGTGTGTGTGTTCGTGTGTGTAGTCGAACCGCGTGAAAGTGTGTGTTTGAACGTGAGTGTGTGAGTGTATGAGAGTGATGAACAATGGAATGCCGCAAGTCGCTGTCAGGCAGGTCGGTTTGGTATAGGGAAGGCGCACATGAGGAAAGAGCTGGCAACGATACCACGTACCCAACACAACATACCACATTACAACTCTTCGAACAGCATTCTTCATTTCACTCCATTCTCGATGGCACTTCTAGAGTGTCCCAGTCACAGCAGGAAAGTGAAAGTCACAAGGTAGAATCGAGTGAAGATTGGTTGGATTGGGAGCGAGGAGTATTTTTAGGGCAGAGTTTTGGAATTTCCAGAACTTCTCTTCTTCACATCTCATCCAAACACATTCAAGATGGCTGTCATACAGATCAACGCCGCCACGCAGGCTCTACCGAGCGATTTCCCCGAGAAGGGCTTCAAGGCCACCGGCAAGCTCTCTGAATACACCAAGCGGGCCATCTCGCCCGTTGGTCCATACCACCTGGGTACGTCTTTCGTTGGAAGGGGGGAAACCCTCAGCTCATACTAATTTCGACACAGCACACGCCCGCCGCAAGCTCCACCGTCGTACGTTTTCCGAAGACGAGCGCATCCAGGCTGCCGAGAATGTCAAGAAGGTCGAAGTGGAMGATGATGATGAGTTCGAGACGGCAGAAGACCCGATGATGCTGCAACGTGAGGCAAAGGACTGGAAGCAGCAAGATCACTACGCTGTATTGGGCCTACAGRAATACCGCTGGAGGGCGACTGAGGATCAGATCAAGCGTGCCCACCGCAAAAAGGTCCTCAAGCATCACCCCGACAAGAAGGCTGCCTCCGGTCAGGACGAGAACGACAACTTTTTCAAGTGCATTCAGCGTGCCACCGAGGTGTTGCAGGATCCCATCAAGCGCAGACAATTCGACTCCGTCGACGAGCACGCCGACCGGGAGCCACCTAGCAAGAAGGATGTGCAAAAGAAGCCCGGAAACTTCTACAAGCTCTGGGCACCCGTGTTCGAGAGTGAGGCACGCTTCAGCAAGAAGCAGCCAGTTCCAAAGCTTGGGGACGTAAACTCGAGCAAGGAGCACGTCGAAGAGTTCTACAACTTCTGGTACAGCTTCGACTCATGGCGATCATTTGAGTACAAGGACGAGGATGTCCCTGACGACAACGAGTCGCGTGCCCAGAAGCGACACGTGGAGACCAAGAACAACAACCGCCGCAAGAAGCTGAAGAACGAGGATGTGGTCCGTCTGAGACAGCTTGTCGACGAGGCACTGGCCATGGATGAGCGACCTAAGAAGTTCAGACAGGAAAGCAACAAGGAGAAGAACAAGAAAAAGGCCGACAAGGAGGCCGCGGAGAAAAAGGCCAAGGAGGATGCTATCAAGGCTAAGGAAGACGCAGCCAAGGCGGCCGCAGACAAGATTGCAGCTGAGAAGGCTTCTCGTGAGGAAGCGAAGAAGGGCAAGGAGGCGGCCAAGAACGCGGCCAAGAAGAACAAGCGCGTTATTCGTGGTGCGACCAAGGACGCTGGCTACTTTGCTGATGGTGAGGCAAGTGCCGCACAGATTGATGGTGCGCTCAACGATACGGATGCTCTCATCGCAAAGATGGACAATGAGGAGGTCGCGGCGTTCACCGCGAGCCTGCAAGGCAAGACAGAAAAGGCAGCCATCAAGGCAGTCTTCGTTGCGGAGGTGCAGCGTCTGGTCGGTGCTGGAAAGGCGAAGGAGGGAGAATTCAAGACGTTGGCTTAGAAGTGAGAGGCAACTGATCAGATAGACTCGCGGTGTTTGACACTTGGCACGATAGATGAACCAAATACCTGTATCTGCAGGATGGCATGCTCGAAAGCCCATTAGCAAGGTCAGGTCACCATACGTGCAAGGCTCGGTGAAACTGAAAGGTGATGTTCCTACCTAGAGCAGCTAAAGATGTTTCACTTTCTACAACAGCGACAACATGGTTGAGGAGGCACCATTCGACAATACATCGGACTCTCCGCAAAGCTGTTTCCTGCCGTGATTATAGCTACCTGCTCGTAAGCGTTGTGTTCGATTCACGACAAGGAGAGTTTCCTGACCATTGAATTGGCTGGGCCCGGACATGTTCTCTTGCCATTTCCGACGACGCGGCACCTTCAGAGTCCAGTAGAAGCCACAGCCATTTCAACAAAACGCTCATTTGATTCAAAATTTCTCTACATATTCCTTCCACCCGTGACACTTAGTGTCTGTCCGCTGACATAGCTGAACAAAGGACTGCAAACCGCCATGACAGCACCAGCAGCCTCCGTAGCGGTTCCAGGTCTCGCGAGAGGAATGTCTGCGAAGCTCTGTCCCTTGTTCTTTTGCGCCTGGGGAATTCCCAGCGCAATCTTTGATCCATCGGGCGCGGTCACAAAAGCACCCTCTTCCTTCGCTGCAGTCAACCTCGTCTGGATGTGTCCAAAAGCCACCGTATTCGCCCGGACACCAAACTTTGGGCCCCACTCTTTCGCAATAGCCTTGGTCAGGCCTACAACACCAGCCTTGGCGAGTGCGTAGTTCGCTTGTCCTGCGTTTCCGTGAAGGCCGGATGTAGAGGAGATGTTGACAATGTTGCGAGGTTCGCCGTCTGTGACACGGAAGTAGGGTGCCGCAGCGCGAATGAGCTTGAAGGGAGCAGTGTTGTGGAGAGCGAGGATGKTGTCCCATTGCTTGTCTGTGATCTTGTGAATCACACCGTCCCATGTGAATCCCGCATTGTTGACAATGACATGGACCTTGCCACCTCCAAACTCAGCAGACTTCTTGACGAGGGTGTTGATGTAGTTGTCGTCGAGAATATCACCAGCGACTGAGATGGCCTTGCCTCCAGAGGCATTAATCTCATCTGCGACCTGTTGGGACTTTGCTGTTGATGAAGTCAGCATCTTGTAACGATGATCTGGTAGAATAATTGCCTACCTGCATCGATGTCGCTAACGACTACTCTGGCGCCCTCCTTTGCGAAGAGACGAGCACACTCTGCGCCAATACCCTGCAAAAGACGTTAGCAATGCGGCAAACAAGAACTTGCCAAAGCCGTGTTTATACCTGTCCAGATCCAGTGATGATCGCCAACTGGCCAGGAAACATTCCTTGAGGATAGACAGGCATGATTGCTAAGTTATGAGGAAGAACACTTTGTGTGATTGGTGGTCCGAAATGCTCGTTCGATTAACAAGAGTTGTTAYTCTCTAAACAGATACTCTTAGCTGATCGGATGAAGTCACTCTAGCCGGCGACCTCGGTATTTGCATTGTCTCAGAGTGCAGACCAGAACCACGTGGTGCTGAGTAAGGTGAAATCGGATCGGGATTCGACGGAATACCCACTTTGGCTACCTCAATTCCATCCTAGCGGTAGAGAACGTCCAGCTCCTCGACTGGGACTGAGATATCAGCTCTGCGCGTAATCTCAGAGCTCTCATTCGTTGAACTCACCCACAACATACGCTTCACCGTCCGGTCATCAGCCATGGCCCCAGCATTCGAAGACGAGAACCTGGGCAGGGACAATGTCAACGGGAACGGGAAGAGCGTCGCTGTCCCGCGACTGCTTATAATTGGAGCAGGACATCGTGGAAATGCTTACGCCAGAGCAGTAGTCGACTCTGGCTTGGCCATCGTGGCAGCTGTCGCAGATCCTGTAGACTTCAGACGCTCACAGCTGGGGGCACGTTATATCTGGGCAGATTCCGACCCATCCCCAGAGCAAGAATTCAAAGGGTGGAAAGAGTTCATCAAGTATGAGCAGCATAGAAGAAAGGATGAAGCCTCCGGAGTTCCATGTCCGGCGGGGATTGACGGCGTGTTCATCTGCGTTAGGGATGAGCATCACATCGAAGCCATCACTGCAATTGCTCCACTTGGCCTTCATGTTATGAGCGAGAAGCCACTGGCAACGACACTGACCGATTGCCTCAGGATTGAGAAAGCGCTCAGCGCGGCCCCAAAGCGGGTGTTCGCTATTGGACATGTTTTACGGTATTCGCCTCATAACATGCTCCTTCGCCATCTTGTCAGAGAAAAGAACGTGATAGGTGACGTCCTTTCGATTGAGCACACGGAGCCTGTTGGTTAGTGAAACAATCCCACAAGAATGACAGACTCAGCACTAAATATGGATATCAGGCTGGTGGCATTTCAGCCACTCCTATGTCCGAGGCAATTGGCGAAAGGAATCCACGACAGCAMCCAGTCTGCTGACAAAAAGCTGCCACGATATCGATTTTATCCTATGGATGCTATGCTCGCCTGGTCCGGGAAGCAAATCCGGTGCCCATCTTCCAGCGCGCCTGAGCTCGCATGGGTCATTGAAACAATTCCGTCGATCTCAAAAACCCGAAGCCGCAGGAAGCTCAACGAATTGCCTGTCTTGTCCTCTCAAGGAGACCTGCAAGTTCTCCGCCGTCAAGATCTATCACGATAGACATCTGGCACAAGGTAAAGCTAAATGGCCCGTGGACGTTGTGAATGCAGAGATTGAGAGCATCGCATCCAAAGCTGGCCCAGAGCTCGCCAAAGAAACGCTGATGAAGTCTCTTGCGGAAGATTACAATGAGACAACCCCATTGCCGGACATTGAAAGCAGATCCTGGTATGGGCGATGTGTGTGGGAGGGCGATAATGATGTGTGCGACGATCAATTCGTCACAATAGAATGGGATGATGATTCAAAGCACGGAGGCGCCAAGACAGCAACATTTCACATGATTGCGCAGACCCTCGCTCAGTGCGAGCGCAGAGGAAGAATATATGGCACTTCAGGCGAGGTTGCATACGACAGTAAAAGCATCACAGTGCACGACTTTGAAAACGACACGACGAAGACRTACAATCCTGAGGTGCCAAAGAACTCTCATCATGGCGGTGGAGACGATGGGCTGACCCAGCAGTACATCAAGGCTGTTATTGCTTGTATGGACGGAACAATGGATGTCGAGGAAGCTCAGGTGGAACATTTGGGATGCACGATTGAAGAGGTCATAAGGAGTCATGCCGCCGTTTTCGCTGCCGAAGAGGCGAGAAGGGACAGAAAGGTTGTGGATTGGGCGGAGTGGTGGGCTAGAAATGTTGTCAGCACCCCCGATGGATTGGAGTAAGAAGCTCGACACATACTCACAGAGTTACGAGAAACCGACCAACATGCGAGGTTGAGATGCACCAAAGGATAAGAGGTGGCCAAGACGACATTCCGCTCAGAGTATCGCTCGGCTTTGTGAAACCTCGTTCCTGTACTCTTTCCCGATGGACCCAAGAGACTATCGACCCTCGGCAGATACGACACTTCTAAGCCCGAGACCTAGCTCCTGGTTCGGGGAGTTTGTAGCGCTCGCAGCAACTCGATCGATCGCCAAGGCGGCCCGTGGTGCAGCAAGAGATCTTGACCCGAAAGAGAAACTGCAGAGCTTCTCTACGCTAACCTGTATTGGAACAAACTACAACATGGTGAYATGGCTACAATCTGTCTGATGTTTCAACATTCGGGCATTCCGGGCACAGAAGTGGTGCCTCAGCATAGTCGCTTTTGTTACGTTTTCACATGAATGCCAACCAAGGCTTCAGACATCAAGGGTTTCTCCCAGAACAGCTCTAGCAGCTCTAGAGCAGTTGTTGAAGCTTTCATGCACTGCGTGCTTGCCAAATATGGCAAAGCCCGTCTGGCCTAGCTGCACTACTGTACAGCTCCCTCCACTCAAGGCAGCAAACCCACACACGTACGTCTTCGAACCAGAAACCAGGTTACGGCTCACTCGCGCCACGTTCGTCGAGCTCGATCCGCCTTCTTGGCTAAGCCACCGGAGAAAGATGGCCGATGATGCCGCGGCCAATGAAGAGCTTGGGAACATTCGAAGCAACCCAATGCCATCTATCATGATTGGACACCCCAATGAACTCAACCTTCCTGCGGAGGGTCGCCGATAGTATTCCCCTAGGTTCCATCCAGCGCCTCAACACGGAAAAGACAATCATCTACGAGAACTCAACAAAGAACTGGACATAGGCTACTGCGTACGGTGGGGACGACACGACATCTGATCTGCACGGTGCATTCTCTCGAAGCTCCATTCAGCCGCCTCAATGGCGCACTCTGCTTGACACGGGCGGCACCGAGGAGGTATGGAACCGTTCGACGAATTGTCGTTCACTACAGTGATATGTTCTCGCGATCTGCTAGCTTACCTATGTGACCGGAGAGCACAGCCATCACCTGGCACACCACTCATCGAGAGGTAGAAACACTGCTTGTCTCGTGTCTCATTCCGGCTGCCATCTTCCCTCCCCCCCGCCTTGACCTCCACGAACCTCTACCAATCTACTGCAGGGCATGCATAAGGTTTGAATGGAGGGAGAGCTCAGAAAATGACGACCGTGATGCAATCCTTGCGTGAACACATCATAGAGGAGGAGGAGCCTGCAGCTACAAAAGACCAGTCCCTTCCGCAAATACCAAGGTCGATGTCTGCTCCTGAAGCTCCAGACTTTATGGTTGAATCGCCCTCATCATCCAAACTTGCACGAATGTCGACTTTTCCGCATTCTGCATACATTGAGAACAACATGGACTCCACTATCAACCATTCTCACCACGTCGGGTTCTCTGAGATGACGCCCGAAAAGTTGGCTCTCATGCGACTCAACAATGCTGGAGATGATATCTTTTCCGACCCAGGATCTCCGGAGAACTACACCAAACATCGCACCTCCCTCGGACGGTCTCTTTCCCAAGCCCAGTCTCACTCTTGGGGCGAGGGAGGAGCGAGGTCGATGGCGCGGTCCACTCGCCATGTCAGTGGTGCCAGCCGCCGAACGAGCTCTTTCATGCACTCCCATCGCAGCAAGATGTCTATGGAGTTGACCTCCCAAGCCGAGGGAAAGTTCTACAGTTTGATTGAATTGATGACCAATGCCTCCAAGGAAGCATCATCCTTGAAGGAGTACTGGACCCGATTGATGACAGAGCGAGAGGGCTTCGAGCAGGAGAGAGAAGAACTTCTCGCGCGTATTGAAGAAGTCACCGAGACGCTCGAGCGCAGGGAGAGCCAACACCAGCATCATGGTCGAGAGCTAGGAGACAGGAAGAAAGAGATTGAAAGGTTACTCATCGAGCTCTCTGCTGCTCTCAATGAGGTTAGCCAACGCAAGCACGAGATTTCTGAGCGCGACCACGAATTGGAACGCGTTCGTGCCAAGTTCAGTGAGACGAGTCTCGTGGTCTCTCGTTCGCAGACTGAAGGAGATGGCATCAAGGTGGACCTTGAAAACGCGTTGGCCAAGCTCAGACTCAGAGAGGATGAGCGTGACCACGCCAAGCAGGATGCTGAGCGGTTCCGCGATGAGCTGCGCTCGGTAACTCGAGAGCACACCGAAATCAAGGCGAAGTATACCGATATTACTTCAAAGTATGAGTCTACTCGACGAGAAATCTCCACCTTGTCCGACAAACTCAAGGCTTGGGAGCGTAAGTCACCCCACAAGATCTTGTCGAGTCTCGCTAACGGTTGGATGTCCCACAGACGAGCGTGCGGACCTGATCATTGAAAAGGACCGTCTGCATGACGATCTCAAGAAATCGAACATCAGATATGATGATATCCAGCGGGTGAGTGAATGTAGCCCTTAATCAGAGCTGTCGATATGAGAAGTCATCAGAAAGAGCCGCGCCCTGAACTGCTCTCTCGATTGATCAAAGGGCCACTCTGCTAGTGGTAAGGATTCTAGCAGGCCTAGAATCGTCGAGTCTGCAGAGAGCGAGGCCTTGGGACATTATGGGGATGAGAATGAGGATGTCTTGTTCCGATCAATACTCCTCATATCGACAGCTCTGCCCTTAACAAATTTCAACTCGACTTCCGCTAACTTATTTCTTCACCCCACAGGAACTTTTCTCAATCACCGAGCTTCACGAGCGGACCCAACGAGAGCTGAGACAGGCCAAAGAGGCCGTCCGCTTCGTCGAAAGCGAGCGTGACGAGCACGTCTCTACCATTGAAAGACTGCGCTCTGACGTCAAGTCAAAGCTCCTCAGCATCGAGGAGGCCGAGGGTCGTGTCACAGATAGTAACCTACGTGTGGAACAGTCGAAGAGAGAGATTTCCACCAAAGATGAACGCATCCGAGACTTGGAGAACGAGCTTTCCGATGTTCGCTCGCGCCTCGAGCGTAGTCAAGAAGACCACCGCTCGGTAATCATTGTCAGAGATCAGTACCAAGAGGATCTTGAGGAAGAACGCCGCARGGCCACTCACGGCACCCGCGAGATGACGACATTACAGGAGACTCTCAGCAAGGTTGAGGCAACTCTTTCCGGCATGAGATCTGAAGTATCAGTTACGAACGAGCGCATCAAGCATGTCGAGAGGGAGCGGGACGAGTTCCGAGACAGAAACGGCCATCTGGATGTTGAGGTCCACAAATTGAAGGAGAGATTGGCCCTTCTGCAAGCCGAGATGCGTGGCATCACCGACGCTCGCGATCGTGCTCGTAAAGATCTAGACGAGTTTCGTCGCCGCTACGAGGAGGTCACCGAGACAATCACTGAGGTATGTCGGTCCCATAAGACTTCGTGTTGTGTGCTAATATATGACAGTTTCAAGGCGAGACCGGCGAATATGAATACGAGATCGACAGTCTGCGCATTATGCTCCGAGAGGCCCGAGAGCAGAAGGAGAGAGCTATTTCCGCCCGCACTGCCGCCGACCGTGAGCGAGACGAGTACATGTCCAAGTACGAGGAGAAGTGCAGAGAGATGGAAAGATTTGAGGAGAGTCGTGCTAGCCATTATCGTTCGCAAGCGGGGGGTGGGGGTAAGTCGACATCCACTCGCACTGTGACGAGGAATGGCTCATCGTTTCACGCTTCCTCCAAGCTGGATGACGGCGAGTAATGATGAACAAACTACATGGTGTGGTGACGGAGCACTGGACTAATTGTGAGATTTGAGTCTGAACGAAAGTATTTTATTGCTGTTATAGCTTGAATGACACGTAACGCTGGTCGGCTTTTTGATACACTGTCCATCTGTGGAGGACGAACACTGATGTGAAGTGTGCTCTGCCCTTTGAGACTGAACATGGGACAACRATCTTTCCGAAAGTGAACAGGGTGGCRTGTCCATTGAAGCCGTGCTCGCCGCCAGGGCAAGTATGCTCAGAACTGCTTGCGTATAACAAACAGTACATGGATAACTGTCCACTGCTCCAGTTGCCAACATCTAGTAGACTGTAGGCGGCATCACACCAGAAGACGCAACAGGCGCGGCACCAGTCGGAACCGCAGTGGGAAGTGCGAAGACAGGCATACCAGTCGGCATGGCAACCCCTTCTCCAAAGCTGGCGGATGGCACAGGGTACAAAGGCTGATCGTTGTACTGGGCCTTGCGACGAGCGATCTCAGATCGAGAAAGACCCGTAGCGGCAGCACTTCCAGAGCCCATAACTCCTGAGGGAGCAGCGACACCAGAACCAGAGCTAGATCCAAGAGCTCCTGATGGAGAAGCAGAGCCAGAGCCAGAGCCAGAAGATGCTCCGCCTGCTGGAGGAGCTACATCAGGAACAGTGGGGGTAGTGGAGCCCGCCTCTGCGCCTGGTTCAGCTGCTGGAGGAGCATCGACAGATCCAGAGGTAGTTCCGGTAGTTCCAGTAGTGCCAGTTGAAGGAGTAGAGCCGGCTTCAGATCCTACTTCAGCTGCTGGAGGAGCATCGACGGATCCTGAGGTAGTTCCCGTGGTTCCAGTAGAAGGAGTAGAGCCTGAGTCAGTTCCTGCTTCAGCTGGTGGAGGAGAAGTGACAGAGCCGGAACCAGAGCCCGCGTCGGTGCTGCCAGAACCCCCGAAGATAGACCCAAGACCAGATCCAAGGCCAGAACCAGACCCCGAGCCAGAACCAGCACCACCCGTACTACCTCCAAACCCACCAAAGCCTCCAAAGCTAGGAAGATCGCCAAGTTGAGCTGCGCGTTTGTAGGCGCCGGCAGGGGCATCATCTGCCGGAGAAGTGGGAGAGGCAATCACGTCCCCCTCTTCGGTTTCCTCAGTCTCTTCGGGAAGAGCAGGATCCTCGGTTTCCTCCGTCTCTTCAGAGGGAGCAGGGTATGCAGGATCTTCAGTCTCCTCAGTCTCTTCCGGGAGAGCAGGGTCCTCGGTCTCCTCTTCCGTTTCTTCAGACGGAGCGGGATAAGGAGTATCTTCGTACTCATCCGTCTCTTCAGGGTCTTCGATCTCCTCGGAGGGAGCGGGATATGGAGGATCCTCAGATTCGTCAGGAATAACAGGAGATGCAACCCCAGTAGGCATCGCGACGCCTGGTATCTGGCCACCGGAAGTACCGTTGGCGGGTGGGCAGGGCATCATAGGGAACCCAGCTCCTTTGGGTGGGAATCCTGGCCAATCAGGGTGAAGAGGGGCGGCTGCGACCAGCGCAGTGAGGCCTGAGAGGATAGCAAATGTCTTCATGATGTTGAGTTGTTGTGGGGAAGATCTTCTTGTTCGGTTTTGGAATAAAGGGATGCAGTGTTGGAGAAAAAATGCAGAGGTGAGTGAAGGGATGCCAGATCCTCGAAAAAGACAGAACAGATAATGCAGCGAGAGAATGAGCTGAGGAGTGATGTGTTGTTGCAAGGACGTCGACAGCATGTTGTTATGTACTCACAGGTCTCTGAGGCTCTTCCACAATGCACTTACCTGTAACAGCACCCATATGGTCGGCACGTCTCAGTCTATACAGCTCGGTTCCACAATGCCGGGGTTTCGAAACTGGTTGAACCGCGGAAAGCAGTGAGAACGTCATATCAGCGAGACCGCCAACGTCTGATTCCGATCAATTGTGTATTGATGTGCATGCGATTCCCAAGTCAGCAATTGTTCAAACATCGGAGCAAGCGCCGTTGAGAAGAACTTTATTGTGGTAGTTCGGACATGATGCAAGCGGAATTTGCGTACACGCCGCGAATTTTGTCGTTGGGATGATATTACCCAGTTCGTGGGATATTGTATGATGTTAACGACATTGAGATTGATGACAAAGGTTCCGCGCGTACAGCTTTGCGAAGCATCTGATCGAGACGGCTAGACGACGTACAAAGCATGGGTGCATATGTCAATGATAGATGGTCGAGATAGACACCTCACCCATCTGTATCGTAAGACGTCCAATGCTCATGGGAAGCGGCGCAAGGACGAGGTCGCAAGTTTTCCACCAATCGAGAGCGAAGACGAGGTCTGTAGCAAAGCTCTTCGCGGAAATACAAGCATCAATAGGTCGCATGGCTGCTTTCGATGTTGCTTGCCTTGTCAGATGGATGAAGATCGGTGGACGATAGTTGAGAAATGATCTGAAACGTGGCGGCGTACACATGTCAGCTCTCCGTACGATTGGTACGCTTGGGATGTGTCAGCGTGATATACATGCTACTTGTGAGCGTTGTGATTAAAAAAAGGATGGGTAAAATACTACCCTCGAACAATTATTCGCACACCATTCAACGCCGCCTTTACCGTGACCGTGGGTATCTGTAAAATCGCGAGCATTCCAAAACAGTTTTTCCGACGCCAACGCTGTGGAACAAATTCACTCATTCTTCAACCTCGCCTTCTTCGCTGCCAGCGACCGAGTCGGGCTTATCGCTCAGTCGGACACGCTTAGCATCCTGTTCATCCTCGGCCGAATCTTTTGCAGCATGTCCATCGGCAGCGGTGGCTGTTACATCTCGATCGCGCTTTATGCCAATACTGCTTGTGTTGCTCGTCCGTCGTTCACTCTCAGGTGCAGGAAAAGGCGAAGCGGACGCAGGCGCACGTTCGCGTGCACGGGTACTACCCATGCCTTCATCCACAATGGGAGTTCCGAGACCAGCATAGATTGATCCATGGCCGTCTGAGCTGCTGCTCACTGATGTGCCGTTGATCTTTTGTGCGGTTGGATCATACTGCGTGACGATGTAGTCGAGTGCAAGGCGCATGTCCTTGAGCCGTACATGTGAGGCTTCCCACCATGGACGTCCCTTGCTGTCGTCGTGTATTTCGACCTCGCAATACCTGCAAGCGGCATAGAGGCTTGCAGCAGCAATGGTTCGGCTGTTGAAGAGCAGACACAGTTGTGTATTATTGCTGTCCGTCACAAAGCCCCAGGCCGAGTTCCGCAGTCGTTTATCGTGCTCCAGGCCGTGAAATTTCAGCATGTCGTATAGTTGTCGATGCGGCGATTCGACCGTCAGATCGAAGCAAAGAGTCTCCAACAAGAAGTCCTCCTCCTGCAGCACCCAGTCCCTCCACCTCCAGAAGTCCTTGCTCTGCTCATCGATGACCAGATTGGGGTTCTTCTGCGCCACACGGCAGAATACCAGCATCATCTCCTTCATCTTGCGACAGCTCTCCTCGACTTTTGTGGCTAGGAACAAGCAGGTGGCTGCAGATGAATAGTGATGAACGGGCTTGGACATGCCGCCCCGCGGCTTCTTCAAGCTGGAGCGCATGAGATATCGCTGGAAGAAGATGGCTGCCGTGCTGAGGGTGAGTTGTGGCAACTTCAGCATGACGCCGCATTGGACGATGAAGTTGATTCCCTTTGCACGCAATTGACGCTCATCGGCGACCGACATGCCGTCTTGTATGGAGGGCGTGTTGGCCAGCTCCTCCTCGGTGAAGATCCATTGCGCCTCTGCTTCCGCAAGCACGCGATTTGGCGATTTGGGACGCTGGCGGGATGCTGGATGCGAGGCCGGCAAATGCTGAATGTTCGAGGGAGGCATCTCGGCTGCGCGATACTTTCCGGTCGGATCAGGTCACGGCGTGTGATGTCGTTATCATGGGTGTCGCTGGAGATGACAGTTAACACATTGATGTTGCCGCGGCGAACAAATTCAGCCGTCAATAGCAACAATGGCGGAAAAAAAACGAGAGGATAGGACCACCTCGAGGAGATGGTTCCGAAGTGAATCAGATACCTTAGTTCTAGGAAGGCGGGCGGGCAGACGCGAGACCCCTCCACCTTTCCACCCATTATTTGCGCATCGATATTTGTTCTCCAGAGTCCAGACAACCTAGATCAGTGAACCTCACATCCCTCCACAACACTTCACAATCATGCCTTCAGGTCAAGGAGGTACGCTCTCCACGATCACGAGCTCTTGTTTCATCCTACTAACCCATGCATCACTCCAGCCGGCACGAACCCAATCCACAACAAGAAGCCCAAAAAGGCCGCAAAAGGCGAGGAAGATGAAGAGGACAAGGCCTTCAAGCTGAAGCAGGCAGCTGGTACGCGAAAACAACACCCAGAGAACGCGCAGTACCAGACCCGCTGACCACGTCTCAATCAGACAAGAAAGCTCGCGAGGAAATGGCAAAGAAGGCGGGCGGCAAGGGCCCGATGAACACGGGCACTCAAGGCATCAAGAAGTCTGGCAAGAAATAAGCGAGTTGAGATGATACCAAACGGAGGCTCCACGGCTTGAACAGGCTGCGATGTCATGCAATACATCACGGCAGGAAGAACTTGTAGGAGATGAGAAGCACATGGCGTTGGGGTGATATACCACAAAATTTTCAGATTCTTCGGGCACAATATCCACCTTGGAGGCGCTTTCACAAGGATGCTGCAAGACTGTGCTAGTGAAATTGGCTTGCTAAATGCACAAGATCGATTGATCTCGGCGAGAGTATACTTTTGCAAGGTAAGCTTGAGAGGCATGAGGCGAGAGATGAGCCAGCAGGTGATTATGGATCATCAACAGCTGCTCTTCACAACCGCCACGAGCGCATGACTTTCAGTCATCGTGGATCCGAGCTACGGAGGTGTCAGAAGGTGGTATCGTTAAAGTATGTGGAATCAAGAGGTCAATGTCACTTCATGACACCCGCTGATGGTACGGCGGCCAGGAAATGTGGCATTTTTCACCGCCATGATATGCAAGAAGTACACAAGGACACGATGGCCAATTGACATCAGTAGACAGGCTGATAGAGGCGACGTTAAGAAAGCGAGGAACATCAATCGAAGCCAGCGTCAAAAAGCGCGGCAAATGGATTAAACCCCAACTACTTCATCCTCTATCTTTCGCGGCGGTGGTATCGAAAAAAGGCAAACCCATCCAAGCCAGCCCCAAACCCACCCAAACCATCTCGTTAAAACCTTTCCCAAAACGACCGTAGCCGCAGAGCCATAGCATCTTTCCCATGCATGCGGCCCAGATATAACACAGCAGAGGACGAAGCGCAAAAATCCCCAATCTCTAGGGGTATCCGCAAGACAACCGCAATGCTCGAAAAGACACCGTAAACCTCATATGCAAAAAAGTCAGCCATGCTAGTTCGCCACGCCGAGCGTAATTTTTAGTAACATTTTGCAATTGCCCGTATTCCATTTCAAAAACGCCTTGCTAGTCCCAGAAAGAGTGATAAAGAAAAAAGGATACCGAGGTGATGGAGAGATCATCTCCTTCTTCCCCGAGTAGCGGGGATGGCAACCAGGAGGAGATCGAGACCATTGCCATCCTTCCCGTTGCTACTTTGCGCGGGTACATCGGGCCAAAGACCGAGCATTGAGCTCCAGTGGTCTGTGTTCCGAATCTGTAAAAGGAGCAAGATCTCTCGCAGGGTTCGGTTGCCTTGCCGCAGATGGGCAGCCAGCGACAGCAAGGTGAGACCGCAGCTCAAGGCGTATTGTTAAAACACAGCAAGACCGAGGAGACAGGTGTTGATGCCTTTTGGGGGCCAAAATGTCGTCGGTCCTTTCGTAAGAAACTTTTGAACGGGCACAAACGCTTGCAGGGGAATATTTCAGAAAAGACGTTCCGTTGCGCCATCATGCATTTTCGAGGAAACGCATCGCCAATGAGAGGTAGACAGTACGACAGTCGAACTTGTCCGACAAAGAAAGCAAGGTTTCAATGAAGGGATCTCGTGGCGTGCTTATCCCATGACGGGCTGTGGGTAGTTGGTTGCCATTTGGTATGGACGATAGTGCTGTTGACACATGCATGTCGAGCAGTTGCAGTCGTAGCGGTGGTTGGAGTTGTTCCAGGCGTTTTGATCCCATGAGCTGTATGTGGGCGTCTGGTAGTATGACGGATGGGCACTGGGCGCGTAGTATGCCGTCTGCGGTGGAGCCCGCTCCGGTGATACTCTACGCGAGATACTGTCAGCCTCCGCGAACGATGGGTAGCGCTGCGGAGGTTTGTAGTAGTCGTCCAGACCTTGCCGCTCACTTGGCGCCCATGGGTCACTGGCGCTATAAGGCGTCGAGAATTGCGAAGAACGAGACGAGAGCGGAGCGTCAAACGACCGTGCTGTTGCCGGAGCACTATAAGATGGCGTCGGGTATGGCGAATACCGGTCACGGGAGCTGCTTGTGTGGCGGTGCACATTGGTCGTGTCGAGCGGTGAAAGTCTGGCAGTTTGCTGCTTGGCCGCATACTCTTGCTTGATCAACCAGTCGGCATTATACTTGTGCCAGGCGTCCATCCAGGCCTGTAGTCCATTCGGGGCGGTCGGCTCGATGTGCAATTCGTAGTGAATGAGATGCAGCCACTTCGTCTCCAGTGCGTTCAGCTCTGTGACCTTGATGGCAGTGACGTCAGACCACGATCGATTGATGAAGGTGTTGTCGTCGAGGAACTTGCTGCCGAGGATCAGTGCAACCGCAAGCAAGCGGTATATCTGGTTCTCGCCCTGAGCAATCGAGGCTGGATAATTTGCGACTCGGTCGTTGAGGTAGTGCAGAGCGAGAAGAATCGTCGCCGACGGTAGTCGCGTCGCGGAAAGAACCTGGTGCACCCACTTGCGGAACGAGGGGGTGCTTTGCATCTGATGCTGGAAGCTTTGAGTCATGTCAATATCTGCCAAGCAGATTGGGGACAGATGGATGGCATACATTGACTGGGCAGCCTCAGTGACGAAATCCGTCATGCGCTCCATCTCATAATCAAGCTTGGCGGAGACGCCGCCTGTCGCCTTCTCCTCCTTGGTGGCCTGTTGGCGTTGCTGCTCGCGTGATATGGCTTCCTGCTGGTCTTGAGCATTCTGCTGTAGRCGACGCTGATAGTCGTCGGCGAACGGCACACCATCCTGAATTCTGAGCGGTGGAAGGATGGGCGCTCCCATTGGCTCATAGTAGCCCTGAATCGGTGGAAGGGTGGTCGAGGGATACGGATATGCTGGAGCAGCAGGTGGTGGGAGGTACGCGCCCTGGAAATCGTACGCGGCATCTTGGCGACACTGCTGGCCGGGCTGCATGTATGGCTCCTGGGAGTAGTGCATGTTACTGTAGCTATAGCCGGAGCCAGAGTCAGGAGGAGTGAGTGGCATCTGGCTCGCCAACGAGCGCTGGTAGTAGCCGGGCATGATTGCAGGAACCGCGAGGGCAGAGAAACGGCGTTGACACTGCCTGGGGGGAAATGTCAGCACTGTCGAGCCAATTTGACGAAGCAGTATCGCTGATAGACACAATGTCTCTCTCAAGTGTGTCGGAATGCGCACGACTGACCGTTTCTTCTGAACGCTCCGACCCGACCAAACACCTACGAGAAGGTGTAAAGTTACTTCGCGTCGACCATCAATTAATTTGCGATTACAAGTGTCGTAGGTGTCGCGGAAGTGAAGTGTTTGGCGGTGGTGACTCGTTTGCTCTCGATCTCGCGGTGGATCTGACTGCGGCTTCTGCGGAGGTGTCGTTTGCGTCAGATGCTCGAATGCGCAAAGTGCTCCAAAGCGGTGRGTGTGCAGACGATGAGCCGGATCGCGGTGTCAGTGGACGTTGGCTTAATGAAAAGATCGTCCAATCCAGGTGTGGTCGGCGGAATTGATCGCAGCCTGGCTGTACGGAGTGAGGCGGTCGCAGAGGTCGCACGCAAGGCTCCTAGGGAGTCGGAGTCGAAGTGTCGGTGGCCTGTTGCCGTCGAAAGTCGTCTGTACGCCCGCACGGCACGGTTTCCGAGCAAGAGCAACGACAGCGACAGCGACGAGGCGTGGGACAAGTCGTTGTTGTGGATTGAGTGGACTCGACAAGCGCAGGAAAGGAGCGAGAGGGAAGTCACAATTTACTGCCGACTCATACGCTAGGCCCGATTGAGTCGAGGGCCGGAAGCGTGTGCCCAGCAAAACACTGCGCTTTCCACTGGCTGCCGGCCGAGTGAGAATGACCGATCGATTCGCGTGGATTTGCTGAATTTGCTTGCTGCTCTCGTAATAATCACGACGCTTGTTGGAGACCCTCGAGGAGGCTCGTGTCACACTCTCCCCGTCCACTCCAGTCCTTTTAGTCCGAGGTTACCAACACGGCGTGCAAGGGCAGATGAGCAAGGTCGTTGTTATTGGAACGACAGTTGTTCGTCTCGCCGGAACGAGCAGATGGAAGGAATGCAGCACTCAAGATGGTAATCGACAAAGGACTGACAATTTTACGATTTTACATTACCCACCTTGTTCCAAACCACACTTTCCGCATCTCACCGTTTTGACGCTTGACGCAGACTCGTTGGACGGGTCGCCTCAGTCCACGGGTATGTCTTGTGGGAGACCCTGGATTTTTTTCTGCTTCATCGGTACTCGAGGAACGTTTTGCCGCGACCCGCGTTCGTCRTCCGCATCGCCGGCAGAAGATACGAGTGGGCGGTGGATCATTTCTCCTCCCAGCGCTCAGCATCACATCTGCATGATGAGACGCCTAGTTACAGTCATGACCATCGATGCAATTTGTCCGGCCAGAACACCACATCACATGTGCCCTGCTCTCTTCTGGTGGTGATGATCGTGGTCTTTTCGCGTCGGTGTCATCATCGCTTCCGGGCAGAGCCAAAAGCAAAAACTTTCCACTAACTCAAGATCCTGATCTTACCGATCCCACTCCACGGATCACGACGGCGGCCGTGACACATTTGTTGGAGTGGAGGATGGGGTCCGGGAACCTCGATACATGTCCCCACCGCGATGATGCTTCCAACACTGCCCAGTGGGACTAAGGTACTGCATGCAAACCCTTCAGGTCAGGCTTGCTCCCTCGGCAGGTCGGCCCTGCCCTGCTGAATGCAAAGACGTTCCACTTGCTTGTGACTTTCTCGAACCTACCGGAATTTCCACTGTCTGCCGCAGCTATCCGCCGCCCCTCCGTTGAACAGTCATCCTCATGCGTATGATGTCTCATCAGAATTGCAAGCCTTGCACTGCCAGCAAAGCGGAGACCACGGCCACCGCTTATTTGCCCAACCAAGTTATGTCCATTTTCAGGCAAGGCCAAGCCCAGTGGATGGAGCCTGAATTTACCGACCTTCCTTTCGCTCAAAAAAACTGCCTGGCACAGTGGTTGGGAGTGGCCACATGCATCTCTCAAACCGGACACATGTTCCGAAGCCAACAATCCTGCTACCCAGACACAGACCTGTACCGTTGGCAGCACGAACTGCTGATTACCATAATCTGAATCGCTCTTAACACCTGCGCTAGTCGACCGTTTGGCACTGCCATTTCTGTACAAACGCACTGCATCGTCGGCTGAAAGGTTGTCGACAACGTCTCGTTTGCGCTGACACTTGCACAAATTTACAACATTCATCGCCTCAATTTCACTCCGGAAAAGGGGTGTCTCCAACCTTTCGTGTGGCAAGTGGGAGGCGTCCAGGCGCCAGCTTCGCACGGAGTGATGCACCGAGCCTTTCCGACCTGCTTTTTCGAGGCTGCTGACTGCAGACTGTTGCCCAGTAATAATGCGGCCGAAACAATGACTGGGCGCGGTAACCGGCCTTCTTGACGAAGGTTCAGCCTCCGATTGGATGCCGTGCATACATGCACGCTTTGCGAGAGCTGCGTTGRCAACATCTTTATGAGAGTGAGACATTTACTCATGTCGGCAATGTCGGAGGAGCAGACCTCACGTTGCTTTTCCTCGGGCATCGATGTGGAAGGATGGACGTCCTTGGGGGCGGGAGCCTGATGAACCCGCCACGGCCTGAGCCTCCATGCAACAAATATTGGACACCTGCACGCTGTTCCGTGGCGTGGGTTCTTCTGTGGGATGGCTTCCGACCAAGAAAGCAATCGATCGACATGCAACGAGAGTCGAGACCGCTGACTGAAGACTTCACATTGCCCTCACGCAGCGAGCACGTTCTTTGCGTCCTGTGATCTGCTGTTTATCATATGCCAGTAATGGAGTTTGCAACACGTGGATAGGAGGCAGTGTCTTGTCGCGATGCCTGCACGAGATTTCGGCTGCGTCTTGGTTCCGGTAGTCCTAATTCATGGAGTCTAAGTGTACATGCAGCAATGTAAATGTCTAGTGATGGCCAGAGGAACGGGGCCGCACCTGTTCTAAATTTCCAATCCTTTCTTCGGACGAAGGCAAATCCGTCGAGACGGGAGAAGCTGCGGGATCGGCCGTGATTAGTCATCTGCTCTTCRTCCCGTGACACTAGGACTCGTAAACGATATGATCGCGATATAGAGCTCGTCGAGCTTAATATCTATAATAATGCTGAATTTCATCGTTCCCTCGAGTCTCCCTTCGAATCGTAAGATGACGCGTCGCGCGTAATCTTATCACGATTCGAAAGTTCTCCCTCGAGCTCTGTTTGACCACTTTGCTTTTAGGCTATATAGATTCATTCCCCAGATTTTCGTCACAAGTTTACCGCATGTTGTACACCTTCAAAAAAGGCCTTGTGGCCTAATGGTAAGGCGTTGCTTTCCGGTCTTCTCGTCTGGCAAAGATTGTGGGTTCGGTATGTTTATAGGTTCTCCTATAGTTGATATAGAGAGGGTTCTAACCTGCCATATAGAGTCCCATCGAGGTCGCATCAAATGCTTTTTTTTTGCATTTTCGTTACTACCAGCTAGTACCTTTGCCCATCAGTACTGCCGACAAGTCGATTTGCCATAGGGATCGCATAGCATGTTCCTTTGTTGCATTTCCATGCTGCTGGCAAGTCGTTTTACCCCCTGCTGGCWGGCACTTTCAATCAATGGGAACAATCAGCTCATTGCATGCTCGACATCATTTCCTCATCAACAAAAATAGGGCAATGTCGAGGCACCAGGTTTGAATACCCCGGAGCATCGTRGAATCGCTTCAAAAGATGATAGGCAGGCGAATGGCAGACTTGCATCAGAGGAGGTTTATTTCCCAAGGTACCAAGTCGGTTATATACATGAACACGATGCTCAGTATGCGAGCGGCCAACGTGCTTGTGTCAAAGCGAGATCCTGTAGATAGTCGATGAGGAGGATGTCCATCTCTGAGAAGTGAAATATGGCAGTGAAACATGACACATGAAGCAAAGATGGTCCAGTTTGGGTCGTTGATACTTAGGAGATAATGTACTTCTCGGATATCTGACGACTTGCTGCTTGTGGACTCAGGCGTTTGGTTCATGAAAGCGGATGGTTGCAGAACATACAACTCTTTCTTTGTTGTTGCCAGATCGAACATGATCCGCACAGAACAGTATCCACTGCCTGGGCATTCCCCATTACCGAGTGTCAATGCTGTACCTGTGTTCTGGGACCCAGGGCATCGAGAACGCACCGTGGCGTAACAAGACCACCTCCTGACCAGCATCTTTTCGATGGCCGTTCGCTCTCCTTTGCTGATCGTCATCCTCTCGTTCCACTGTACAACTTCTGCCTCACTATCATACAACGAYATTTCCTGCCCGTAGAGCGGAGAGGTGTCCCTTTTTTACATCAGACCCAAATCTCACATGCGAGGAGCTTCCCGCCATGTCTATGCAAATCCCAATTCTAAAACGCCGCGCTATGACATATGATCGTGGGTATTTGTGCCTCAACTGGGAGGCGTCTGTGGTGGCTCCTGGGGCGGTGGAGGTGGTGCTTGCTGACTTTGCGATTTCAGTCTTTGGGCCTGAAGCAGAGCGTAGTGTCAGCGAGAAGAGTCCACATACCCTCGTGTCTTCAATTGTTCAATCCCGGTAGAGCTTTGGCCGCCAGCCCTGCCGTAGCTCTTCCTCCCTTTCTCGTGCCAGCTGCGCTTCACGTACCTCCAGCTCCAGTCTTTCTCGCGCGCGCAACACTTTGCTTTGTAGGTAGAATGAGCCTCCCTTCTTGGGATCATTTGTGTCGAATAATCGCTTGAATTGGTTGTGCACTTTGGTAAGATCGGCCTGGCCTTGCTTTGGCGGCGAAACATTAAGGATTCGGCATGCTTCGTCGAGGGTGAGACCAGATGAGGAGAGTGTATTGGCGCCCGTCTGGCTCGTAGCTGCAGCGTATTTCTAACGGGTTTGGTCAATAAGAGTTGATCTCCAACGACAGGCAGAATCAACATACTTGAGACGCCGACGCCTGTTTGTAGGCCTCAGTGAAGGCTCGACTCAGGACTCGAGCGCCTGTGAAAGCCAGCTGGCTGATGATACGATGAGCCATGATGCGCCGCGAGGGAGGGAAGGCTGGATTATGTGAGAATGAGGATTATGTTCGTCGGCGATGAGGCGAAGACGACCGGCGACCGCGGTCTCCACTCAAAAGATCTCGAGAGATCGGCACGCGCAAGGGTCTGTGCGCTACTATAGACATCTCGATCGTCTTCACTTCAGCTTCTTTCCCTGTCGTTACATGCACCACGAGCCATACGCTCTAGAGTGTGTATTTGTTTGCCGTGAGATGAGCGTTCTCACCCTTTGGAGCAAACCACTCAGCAACTTTTGATTGCATGCAGAGATAACCAGGACAAGGAAGACACTGGTATGGGCGGATCGAGAAGGGCTGTGTTCATTAAGAGCTGGCTATTCCGCTCTATCGCTCGACTATGACTTACGATTAGCACTCACCCGTCCCGCTTTGAGTCTCGCCTGGGAATAATCGGAGCACTCAGCCTGGCATGGTACGATGACTTCTGGCCATGCCAGTGTCTCGCGCAAGAGTAAAGCATGAGCCTCGAAGGATTGAATTCCAAAGGCGGTCATGCTGCGAGCAGACCCCAAGACGGTGCTCTGAGCCTCTCCATGGAGCAAACCGACGTGAGGAGGACCGAGATCCGCTTCATAGCGAGGGCCCCTGCCACACCAGTCGAGATCAATGCGCAAAGGGCGTCAATCCGATCTCTACTTCGCTGTAACCATACTATGGGGTTGTCATAGAGGTTTCTTTGACAGAGCAATGTCCTCTTGCAGCTTTATTATGATAGTCAACGAACGGGGGATCGATGCAACGTCTTATCGAGAAGACATAAGACAGCAAGACAATGGATGAACAAAAGCAACAGGACATACCTTCATTCTCGTAAACTCATATCAGTTGTCGTCCTCACTCTCACAGCATGCCCTTCCCAACCTGCTCTCTCCGCTCCTCCCACACCGTCTTACCACTACAGCTACAAACCGTCTTATCATTGTCCCAAACCCCAGCACTCCTCGCAATGACACCAACCAAAGTATGTTCATCCTCCCGCTCAAAAGGACCCTCCTTCTGCCGACTCACCACAACACTCCTCCCAATCATCTCCCATATCTGCACCGGCTTATCCAAAAACACCGATCCCAATCCACTCGGACCCACCTCAATCGTACCAAAAACACCCTTCACCGCCGTCCTCCCTTCCTGCTTCGCCTGCACTTCATCCCACACACCACCCGTTCTCGCCGCTCCTTCAGATATATCGCCCGTCTCACGCACACTGACATGATAATTCCCCGGCTGCACGCCTTTGAGTGTCATATCCAGAATGGTCATCTCTTTGCTGACCTGCACCATTCGAATCAACCCTCGAACATGATCCTTCACGCTGCTTGAATGGGTCTCAAGAATGCACACTGCAGCGCTTTCGGCTCGTCCGCTGCCTCGAAGAATCGCATCCCGGCCTGTGTCTTGAATTGCGGCAACAATGGCCGAAGGGGCGGCATTGCCCGTTATAGAGATGAGTTGGGAGGGTAGATCGGCGGTAACATTCTTAATGCCWTCGGTGAGAAAGTCAGTACTGATATCGTACATATATGAGCGAACCATTGCCGTACCGTCAAGTTTGTAGAGGGATGATGAGACGTCCTTGATACACGCTTCGCAGCTTAGCGGGACCGCGAATGTCGTCTCGAATGGAGGAATCATGGCTGCACGCGCTGGTCGATCTTGAGGATTCGTGATAAGGACCTTGATGGAAATGACATGGCTGTGAGTTCAGTCGAGCTTCTGACGAAGCGATTTCGGACCCGCTTGCCGATCACAACATTCAACGCGGCATTTACAAGTCCCACGCCTTTTGGAAACCTGCTCAGCACGTGTGACTTTGATGGTGTGCTTAGATATAACAGGTTGCTAGGCACCTCAGGTGGTAGCTGCATTCATTCCTTTCGTAACCTATTGTGACTGATCATAACTATCGCACTTCGCTCCTTTTCCCGCCTTGGAGCCTTTTTCCCATCAGCCACGCCGCGATGACCCGAAAATGCACTTGCACATGGCCCTGTCTGTAGGAACCCATCATTCGCACCGTACGCCGTCAAACACCATTCAACAAGCCATGTTCACAACTTAGGAGGCCTTGGGGCAGCTAGCACAGGCACACTTGCCAGCTTCACAAGGGCAAGCGGTCTCAGAGCCGCCGCAGTTGCACTTGGTCTTCTCCTGACCACCGACGGTGACCTTCTCCATCTGAGCCTCCTCGGCAGTCTTCTTGGTGGTGGCCGGAGCGTCTGGGTTCTTGCCGCAGTCAGAGCAGGCACACGCGCCGGGAACACACGAGCATTTGCCGCTGTTGGCCGAGCACTTGCACTCAGTACGCGAAGGGTTGCCCTCGACTGGGTGGTTCTCGGCCTTGCCCTGTTTGATGGAAGCCAGGTGCTTGGCCTCATTGTGGACATCAAGGACTTGCTTCTGACCCTGCTCGTAGAACGCGCGGATCTTTTGGCCAGTTGGGGTGTTGGCGGCCTTCTCGAAGTACGAGTTGAATCCAGCCCATGCCTGGTTGCCCTTGGCAGTGATGGCGTACTGCTGGTCAACAGCCTGAGCGCGCTCGGTGACCTTGTACTTGGCGTCGAAGTTGGTCAGAGCATTCTGGAACTTGGTGCTGACACCGTGCTGCTGGTCAAGAGCGAGGGCACGCTGGATAGCTTGGTCGCTGATGACATAGCCGTGGGCCAACATCTCCGCAGCGACGCGAGCGCGGGGCTTGTCCTCCTGTGCAATATCGTCGCCATCCTTCTCCTTCTCGTCGGCTGAGCTGGCGGTCTTGCCACTTGCGAGCTGGTCAAGCGACTGTGCGGAGGTGACGTGGACGACGGATGGGCCGAGCTGCGTGTTGTCGAGCAAGAGGGCGGTCTTGGCGGCGGTCTCCTTCTCGAAGGTCACCGTCGCCGACTGAGCAGAGCCGGCATCGCCAGTCTCTGGCTTCACGGAGAGGGATTGGATTTTGCCGCTGATGATGGTCAGCATGTGTTGTTTATATTATCTTTCCAGCTGTGGACCTACCAGAAGGAGAAGAAATCCTTGATCTCAGTCTCGCTGCTCTGCGCGGAGATGTTCTTGACTTGGATGGTGGTCGACATGTTGGGTGGTGTTTCCGATGGTTGAAGGAAGATTGTTTTTGAAGAGGCAGTGTTGTAGGTTTGTTTGTGGACGTTGACAGAGCACGATGGAAGGAAAGCTTTATACAACGGTTGGGATGGGTTGATTCCTGCCTGTCCCGCGACGATGCGATGAGCTCATGGCGGGGACCGCACCGCCACACGCACAAAACGCGCACAAATTGGCGCGTGCCTGCAAGGTTTCTGGGCGCTTCGATACGCTCGTGCTATCTTGGATGCAGCATCAATGGAGCGATGACGAGTCTACCACGCCCTCCAACCGCTTGTTGAAGCATCTGTGGGAAATACATGGACAATGGGCTGGCTGCGTGCTGGCATCGCCACTGCCCTGCCCCTCCAAAGTCTCTGTCCAACGCCCCACTTTCGCTTTGCGGGTTCCCCCAGAGACCATGCCACAAGGTAGGGATGGCCGCACTGACATGGATATGGAGCCAGTGCATGCATTTCAAGGCTATGTAACCGTCAACATTCTTGTACAGACACCTACACATCGCCATCGCTGAACAAGTAGGTATTACAAACACTCTGTGCATTGCGCCGCAAAAGGAGGCTCTGCTCGTCTTTTAGATTTGTATGCTCGAAATGGTGGAATTTCAATGCGCATCTACCTACACCTTTTTGACCTTCTTCCGCAACATTGCCCAACCTATCTAATAAAAAGCAAAGCGACAACCGACGGTCCCAACAGCTTTTACGTCCACTGTCTTGTTCATGTTCACCTAGGTTCGCTACGGGTAGAGTAGTGCTGTGGGAAAAGGAGTTGCATTACCAACATCTGTAATTCGCCAGACCGTTTTCGGGGATCTCAGTAGCACTTTGCATGATGCTAAAGGCGCGTGGTAGTGCTGGCCTGTTCCAATCGTGAGGTCGACGTATCGAGAGCGCCGGCAGCGTTTGAATCGGAATATCGGCATGGTTGATCAGCCGCTGAAGGATCCGCGTCGCAGTGAGGTCCAGCTTGTTAAGTGCTGGCCGTATACCTTAWGAACCTCGAGGCTGGCGGTATGGTTTTTCGCTGAGAAACGTCACACGGCAAATCCGCTCAGTTCTCGGGCCGCTCATCCAAACTGACTGCTCTCATGTGATCCTCGGGCCTGCATCTACAAGTAAAGCACATAAAGTTAGTAACTTTCAGAGAGCATGGACTGCATCAGCGCTCTCCCAGACCGTGTCCATCAATCACCACGTCGGGCACCCCCAATTGGCATGGTCTTTGATACAAAGTCGTGAACCGATGCCTTTTGCCTACTTACTTGTGCGCCATACTCGTCAGGGTATCCCGCCGAGAAGCCCTCGCCGCCATCGGGAACGGGCAAATCTGAGTTTTGCATCTCTGAATGATGCCCAGGAACAGAATGTGTCTGCTGATGATTGACAAAGTAGGGAGAATCGTTCGCAGCTGCTTGCGAAAGCGATGGATCTATAGCCCACATGCTGGGGTCGAGAGCCATGTCAGGGATGCCATTCGTCTCGTTGGCAGCCGGGTTGGCGAGCGGATGCTGCTCCGGTAGAAGATGATCCTGCGTTGGAGTTGTTTCGACATTTGCGAGAACTTCGCTCTCCTTGTATTGGTCTGCATGTAGAGTTTTCTGGTGTCTTGTGACGAGATCTCTAGATTTTGCTTTAGTAGTGGACGTGGCAGTCAAAGGTAACACTGGACTTACTTCCTACCGAAACGACTCGGACAGTACTTGCACGCATAGGGTTTTTCTTGCGTATCTAGAAAAAGAATCAGTAAGATATCGCAGCATCAACGGTCCGCGCATCAGAGCAAAGTGTTTGTCGTCGTGCCTCGCGTGTACTCAGCTACAGCATCTCTTACACATCGAAGATACCGTCTCTCGACGCAGCTAGGATTTGAGAAGGATGTGGAGAAGTTGCAGCGCTCCGAAGCCACGGGAAGCAGGGGATCAGAAATCCATCTTCCAGTGAGGTGTGACCTCGATTGCGATAAGACGGAAGAACTCTCAACGATGCACTTTCTTCCGACGGGCGCGCGCGCTCTGAAATGTACTTACGACTTCTCACGTGCCGCAGTTGATGCTCTCTTCTCTTGAAGGATTTGAAGCATGTTGGGCACTGGTAACGTCGATTCGCCGAGGGTTGGTGCTGTATAGTCTGTGCCTGTGACTGCGAAGCCGAGTCGATGTTTGAAGATACCATTGTGATTGGACGGTGGTGAGATCTGGTGGGGATGATGTGGAGGTGGTCGTCGGAAGAATGCGAAACAGCGGAAAGCGACGTGATGAGATGTTCTCCGTCTTGCCGCTCCCGCCGGTCGATGCTTCCTCTTCTCAAAAGTGCTTCGTCATTATTCACTCCAACACACGAAACCACGCATTCGCTCCCAAAGTATACGCGCATTCATCTTCAAGATACACGGCAATGGAAGTCGCAGCTTCTGGAAATCCCACAAGGCTCGAGGGACGGGGAACGTGAACAATGCCGGGTCCCCACGCCACGAATCGATGGCCACGCTCACGACCAGCTAGCTATGACCACAAAAGCGAAATATCTTGTTGAGAACCTCGTCCACCTTCGAATGCTGTCGCTCCTATGATGAGTCGTCCTTGTAGAATGGACGACCTCCGCGATTGTTGTAAACAGGGCGGCAAAGCTCAATTCCGCTTGGCCTTGGCCGCTCGAGAGACACTCGCTCTAGTAATGAAAACATTGAAGCGACGTTAGGAGAACAAGAGTAGGCAGGATGCGGCATGACCAGAGAAGTACCGCGGACCATGCACTTGTGTTCAGGTGGGAATCTCGCGTGGTCGTCGACGTCGATCTTGAATTCATCCACCAACCAAAAGTTGGCCCATGCCACTCCGCACTTCTTCCCTGCCCATGCAGGCCGATCTTCACCTTCAGAGCGGGGGAACACATGCTATTTCCTGATGTTCTCCATGTGAGGACATCGCGTTTAGCCGGATCTGTTGACCTGAAGACAGGAACGACTGCTTAACATCAGGACTTTGCCAATCCGCGATTGGAGAGACCGAAGTCGACCAGAAATCATTGAATCATGATTCCCAAGTCATTCGTATCCGTACTGTCCTTTACCATACCAGCTGCATTTGCTCTGGACAATGGCTTCGGCAGGACACCAGTGAGTGTAAGAAGTCAAAGCACCCCGAATTCACTAACAATCTCGACAGGTCCTGGGTTTCAACACCTACAACGACATAGCGTGCTCGCCAAACCAGACTTACATCTCGGCCACTTTGGATGCTTTCAAGACGAAGGGACTGCTTGCCGCGGGATACAAGTACTTTCAGCTTGATTGTGGCTGGCAAGGTTTCGAGCGCCAGGCCAATGGTTCCATCACCTATGATGCATCTGTATTTCCTCAAGGGATCGCCCCCTTAAGCAAGAAGGCAAGAGGTAAGAAGCATCAATTTGCGGGTGCTGTCCATCATTGACGTTTCGCAGATCTGGGGTACCAATGGAGCATGTATACCGATCAAGGTGTAAATTCCTGCGATACGATACCAGGWCGGCCAGGGTCACTCGGCTTCGAAGTACGCATGAATTGGCATATTCGTCGCCATGAGATCACTAACCCCAGGTAGGAGCAAGACGCTGCGCAATTCGCAGCCTGGAATGTGGCATACATGAAGGTAATCCTTGCAATTGCTCCCATGCACGTCGCTTCAACTGACATTGCAAGATTGACAACTGCTACATCGAGGCTGGACAGAATGCGCCCAAAGATCCGCGAACTGACTTCCCGTCTCGGTTTGGCAAAATATCAACTGCCCTGCAGAATGTCGGAATCAAAGGCATCAGTATCTGTCAGTGGGGAACTCCATACGCAAGCCCTACTGGCCTGGAAGGACCATCTCAATGGACGGCGCCTATTTCTAACGGGTACCGTCTTTCAGACGACATCATTGATTCGTGGCAGAACATCGAGCGTATCTACAACCAGGCCATCCACATCATCCTTCTCGGCAGGAGCGGACCTGGTCGATTTGCTGACATGGACTTGCTGGAGGTTGGGAACGCAGGACTGTCTAGCATCGAGCAAGCCAGCCACTTTGCGATATGGGCCATGTTTAAGAGCCCTTTAATGGTATCGACTGCTGTGCCGACCATGAGCGATGCTACTGTTGCCATACTTTCGAACAGGAATCTTCTGTCCATCAACCAGGACCCGCTCGGTGAACCTGTGAAGCTTGTCCAACGCTTCACCAACGATCGTGATGTTTTCGTTGGGAACCTATCGAATGGCGACAAGGCAGTGCTGGTGGTAGATCATTCGAACACTACACGTACCATGACTATTGATTTCAAAACGCTCGGTATCCGCCTAGCGAACGTGAAGGATGCTTGGACAGGCCAGACTCAGGCCGACAGCAGAACTTACTCTGCGCGAGTCGGTGCACATGGCAACATTGCTCTTCGACTCAGCAACGTTCGCTTGCAGACAGTCACGGAGCCGAAGTTGACTTGGATCGAAGCCGAGAGCGGTACACTTTCTGGAAATGCAAACAAGCAGTCGTGCACAGGCTGCTCCGGATCTTCGAAAGTTGGCAATGTCGGTAAAGATGGTACGCTGACCCTGAGCGGTATCAAAACAAGTCAATGTGAGTATTGCAGTGTGCTGTGATCCCGAGATTGCCCGCTGACATCATTCGCAGCTACTCAAGACGTTCGTTTCGACTACATCAATTGTGAAATCAATTATACATTTGCTATGACTGGACGCAACGCACGAGGTGCCAGTATTACCGTCAACGGTGGCGTTGGCCAATCCGTACTATTCCCAATCACAGGATACAACTGGGATCGAGACGTGACCAAATCGTATCTCGTGCGGCTTGCTGGTTTCAAGACAAGCGGCACAAACACCATCTCCATTACGGGCCTTAGCGAAGATACGACCTATGCTCCTGATTTTGACAGGATTGGTGTTGTTGCATAATCGTGTGTTGGAGCGTCAGAAAGCCACGAGCAGTCGGCGTGATGATACACCAAGGGCCGCCAGAATTGAAGGTTGCCGCCTCTCCTTGTGCCGAATCGATGACAACGCTTACGAACAGGTATCTATAAGCATAAAAAGCAGTAGCCTTGCGGAGAGTCAAATACAAATTCCCACTTCGACGGCTCGACGCCAAAGGGACACACGGGACTCGTCGCGAGAAGATGGGCGAACTGGTTACCGATCATCTGACATTGATGCATTCCTTCGTATCATTTGCGAGTTTAACCCTGGGTGTATAGCATGTGTTGGCCTGAAGGATCAGGCTAAGCGAGCAATCCTTCATCCTGATGCAGCCATGGGGCTGAATTTCAGCCAGTACATATTACAGCCATCACCCTCATGCTACCAAAATTGYTTCCCTGATCATACGTCCCAAAGCCACTGACCAGCAACTTCGAACTAAAATGAGCGTCAAAGAATTCTTCTTCGGCTTCAGCGATGATACCAGTAAGTAGCACCCAAGACCGTCTCCAAGAATCTACTGACGCTAGGCAATTCTGTCATAGAGGCCCAGTTTCCCTGGCTATTCGTTGACTATGATATTGATCGACACACATGCCGTCGCACTGTACCCATGCAAGTTTTGAGCCTAGGAATGAGTAGAACCGGCACTGCTTCGATGAAGAAAGCTCTGGAAATCTTGGGGTATCCGACCTGCCATGGCTTCGATATGCATGCCAATGTGAAGGACGGCAAGTCGATGACGTTAATTCGACTGCAACAAGCACTGACAGTACCTGTAGGTGATATGTGGGGCGAGGCGTTTGCGGCCAAGTACTTCGGAGATACATCTACAGTGCTTGACCGTAATTTCTGTGAGCTTTGCTCTATATCCGCGTAGCAAAATCAGGAAGCTGACCCACGTTTCGACAGGGGACAAGATGCTAGGTCATGTCTCGGCAACAACTGACACACCGGCCAATTGTTTTGGACCTGAGCTCATAGCATCATACCCAGAGGCCAAAGTGATCCTCGTGGAGAGAGACGTCGACGCCTGGTATACATCGTTCGACCAAGCTGTGATCGTCTCGAACGAGATACCGCATTGGTTCAGGGCACTACTGGAGCAGCTCAGCGAGAAGGCGTGGAAACTTCGTCATATCATACCTGGAATCATGAAAGGTCAATTCCAGGCTAGAGACATACCAGAATGGCGAAGCAAAGCCAAGACGGTCTACAAAGAACACTACGCCGAGATTCGTGGTCTGCTGGAAGATCAACCAGATAGACTACTGGAGTACCAACTGGGTAATGGCTGGAAGCCTCTATGCGAATTTCTCGGTAAAGACATTCCCGATGTTGAGTTTCCAAGGATCAATGAATCGGCACAGCATGATACCATGATCAAGATTGTGTTCTTGCAAATGGTAAGCAGATCGTAGCCCAGGGCGTGTCTCAAAGTCTTTCCCATCAACCCAATGTTTGAGAACGACACTGACATTGCACTTCGCTTTGTAGGCTCGAAATGTCTTTATCGCTTCTGTCAAGACGGCACTACCGGTAGTGGTTGCATTCTTCCTATGGCGAGATTGGTCCTAGTTCGACCGAAAAGCAAGGCTGAGAGCCTTTTACAAGTACACTGTGCTTCACGTAGGCTTGCACAAGACAGAATATTATCTTAGATGCGAAAATTGGGCTTTTGGCTACCGTGCTCGGATTCTCATCAAAGGAAAGAGTCTATGGGTGCACAAAGAGCCGTGAATCAGTCAACCTTATGGACAAAGGGCCATGCATTCGGTCAAATTCTTTGTCCATCACATGTCGAGATAGCCTCGTAAGATCGAGAATGTCTCTGATAATTCTGCGATGAGATGAATAGGTACAGCAGCCGGGAAGCTGCCCTTGAGGCAGGTCTTCATCACAAAAGAGTATTCTGTGACCTGTGGCTCACCGACGCAATCAAATTCTGGATGTACAGGCAAACCGTCGCAGAGAACAATGAATCGCCAGTCGCAATCCGTACCTCTGCCCTTGGTCGCCAAAGGAAAGCCGTGGAGAGCGCGCCAGGCTCCGGCCATGAAGAACCTTTAAACCAGCAAGATGGTCAGATGGAAAGCGTTGCGCTTCCGCTACTCGATCTCCACCATTCCGCAGACAATCACGAGCCATCTGCTGACGAAATCACCCTCTCCTACCCTTCAGGCCACCGCGAACGTTTCTCCTTTGGCAAACGTAGTCAGAAACGCGAGCACAAATACGCCCGAACCCAAGACCCAGCTGAAGACATCATCAGGACGATCGAAGTCATCTGCATCCAGGCTGGAATCAACAAGGACAACGAACTCAAAGTCAAGCGCGCAATCCTTGAACTTTCTCTAAAGAATCGAAAAGATCTCGATGCCGTTAAGCTCCCACCGTTACAAACCATCATTCAGAATACTTGTGGGTGGAGCACAGGTATGAAATTGCAGCGGTTTGACTGTGGTTTACAACCAGAGCTTACCGAGCATTTCTTCGATCAGCTACACGATCGATCTATCGCCGACGTTGCTTCACTGCTCGAACGGACAGGCGAAAAGGCTAGAGACTCAACGTACGGAGAGCTCACGCCACAGTTCTTGACCTCAATCTTCCTTAAGACGGGTCTTACTGCGTCATGCACATATCTTGATCTCGGCTCAGGAGTTGGACAGACATGTATGCAAGCCTCACTTGAAACGCAGTGCACGTCTTTTGGGGTTGAAAGAGAGGGCAAATGCCACACTGTAGCGATCACGCATCTCAGCCAGTTCAAAGCAAGAAGCAAGCTATGGGGTTTGAATCACGGCGACGTTTATTTACGCAAAGGAGACTTCTTAGTCAGTGTCTTTGTGGGCGAGCTTCTTCCTAAAGCAGATGTGGTGCTGGTGAACAACCTAGTCTTGGGACCKGAGACAGATTTGGCACTACGGACAAGATTGACGACTTCCTTGAAAACTGGAACTCGAGTAGTGAGTACGAGACCTCWGGTACCCATCGCAAGGCCAGCTAGAGCGCAGAGAGTGGCAAAAAGAAAGACTTCCAACAATGACACTTCCACGACTGGTGACGAGGAGTTGATAGAAAGGAGTGGGGAAGATGAGAATTGGACGTGGAAACAGATGGTCTTTGATGCAGGTAGTGTGAGCTGGAGTCACAAACAGGGGCTCTACTACATCTCTATCAGAAAGTAATGCATGCGAGTTGCGTTACAGTCCTACGATACCTCTCTGCTTTTTGTCCGTGTCAAAAATACTCTCCATACGACTCCAAATTGACAACGACATTGTCGAGCAATATAAATGTGTCTTGACTTTGATCCGCTCTCGAACAAAGAGAACAAAGGAGTCTCCGAGGTGTCTCACTCTTTGGACTAAAGGCTACCAGCCATAGCACTGTCCACAATCCCATTCTAAAGACCACAATGGCCTTGTTCCACTGCAATGGCCCTTGGGAAACGTCTCACATCCATGCAGCATTAATGTAGCGATTCCCGCAGTTCCAGCATCTTTCGGACAACAACCTTCGTAAACACTATCTTCTGCAAGCAATCTTGGTCTTTGAACAAGCTTCAACGCAAAATCTGCACCGTCATCAACGTCTGCTATCCCTACCACATTACACTGCACCGGTGTGACAACAAACCTCCATCTTCAAACATGGGTTGCATCCCAAGCTCCCCTCGACGTAGTCGTAGAGCCTCCCACCGCCACCCTAACACTGCATTTTCTGGCCCATCCGTCTACGGCGTTGACCTATCTTCAGTAGGAGGAGGTCACGACCCGGGTTACTATCACGTTCGTTCCGGGAGACCAAACGTCTTATCCTCTCATCATCCCAAGGTCGATTACTCGTCCCTTGGCGGTGGGTTCCAACCAGGCTACGGCCAATCCCGTTCTAGACGATCAAACACATCATCCTCTCGTCGTCCTGTCGTTGACTACTCGTCTCTTGGCGGCGGGTTTGAACCTCGCTCTAAACGCGGTCAAACTTACCGTGATCGGCCGTCTTACGACCGTTTCTACAACTATTAGCTAAATTACAATCGACGTCTGTTCCTTGTGGCTTCACACAGGGTTTGACACTTTCAAACCGAATATTCTATCCCAGCTCCCCTTTCCAACGTGATTCAATGAATAGTCATCTTCCAGGAAGATCATCGTGGCGTTTTGCTCTCACTTCCTGTACTTCATCGTAGTTGTCCTTCGTGTTAGAGACTTCTTAAGAATCGTTATACTTGTTACCTTCATTTTAGAGAGTGGTGCGGCGAAATCTGGCCTTTGTACCGTCAGTAGCTGGTATTAAGAAGAGGTCTTAGAAGGTCGGACGATCAAATCACACATTTCCATGATTCCGCGACTAGAATCGATCCACTACTTCTGAGAACCATGCTTTATACGAGATAATATCTCCAAGATGGATAAAACGCATCTGGAATCGTGGTTCCGTGTACCCGTTGTCGCCGACCYCGAAGTATAGACTACCCCAACCCTAACCCTAGTTCCAAAATGCGCCACGCTCCTTGTCGATACGACAAATGCTATTAAGCATGTTTGACATGTATGTTAGGAGTGAAACTTGAAAACCGCGTCTTAATTGCCGGAACTGTGGCGAATCGCGGGATAACCAATTCTGATGAATTCACTTGTAGCCTCGGGACAATTTTGTTCCGGAGCGAACTGACCGGTATCACGGAAGTTGCGAACTTTGGCTCCTTTATCAACACAAGTAGATTCGCAACATGATTTGTCAGAACCATGGTGAGACATATCACTTCATCCGGCAAAGCTGAAGTGTACCAACCATGCCCCGCATGACGAAATAAAAAGCAATGCACCACATCGCTCGACTTGACCCTATGACAGCCGCAGTCATGTACAACCAAGATCAAGAATAACGCAAAATGGTCGAATATACGATGCCTTGTCGAGGCATAGTCGCATACTCCAAAGATGATTGGAAATTGGAAGACCTCCTCACAAGGGAGCCCTTCGATGATGAAATGCTCGTGGAGATGATTGCTACTGGGATGTGAGTAGTACGAATATCAAAAGGCTTTCCACGAAACCCTGGGTAGACAGATTGTAACGCCTCTGTGGGTTTTCAGGTGCCATACCGACATTCTGGGTTTCGAGAACATATACCCCAGAGTACTTGGCCACGAAGGCAACAAAGCAATACTCATATTCATCAAAATGACCCGGGAAAGCTGATCTACATCACAGGAGCCGGGCGTGTACTCCGCGTTGGAAGTAAGAAGCACAGTTCTCGATTTTGTTAAGGCGACTTGGTCATTCTCTCAGCAGCGGCCTGTTTGGAATGTTATTACTGTAAAACCGGCCATCCCGCTTACTGCATCGATCATTCAGCCTTGACATCGCAAGCAAACGATCCGACTTTCGTTCTTGCTTCCAACAAAACTCAAGCCATTGGCGGAGGCTTCTTTGGGCAGTCCAGCTTTGCTTCACCAGTCCCAGTCAAAGTGTCTTGTGCCGCGAACGTCACACAACAGATACGAGATGCCGAGGAATTGAAGATGTATGCTCCTCTAGGCTGTGGTATCATGACTGGAGCCGGGACGATTACCCATGTGGCGAAAAGCGGACCGTCGGACGTTGTAGCTGTGGTTGGACTTGGAGGCGTGGGACTGGCAGCGATTTGTGCTGCAAAGCATAATGGCGTCAAGGACATAATTGCTGTGGATCTTGTGCCCTGGCGCATTGAGCTTGCAAAAGAGCTCGGCGCCACTGTAGGATTGCATTCATCTCCAGAGGCTCTGGCTAGCAAGGATTTGGGCGAGGCTCTTAGAGCGATGACTCCAAATGGAAGGGGATGTAATCACATTTTGGATACCACGCCATCGGTAGCTATTTTGGGACGGTGTCTGGATTGGAAGCCCTGCAGAACAATGGGGCTGTTTTTCAGCTTGGGATTAAGCCCGTCGGGGCGACATTGGAAGTTGATCTGATGGCGCTTCTTGTCAATGGCAGGCGCCTAGTTGGTGTGATTGAAGGCGATCGAGATCCGGTGGAAGCATTGCCCGAACTGGTACAGTGATCAAAAGAAGGAGTCCTACCTCTTGAGAAGATGCTGAAAGAGTTTCCCTTGACGACTTTCTTGGGGCGATGAAACAGATGGAGGACGGCAGCACCATCAAAAGCGTGTTAGTGTGGTAGCGGTGGGGTATGTCGTCGTATTGATGACGGTGGAAGTATATGGAATTAAAGGATTGGTAGTGGTCATGTAGGGCTATGCATCCTTCGTTCGTCATAGGTTACAGTGCTAGGATGTGCGAGGCTGTGGCATTCGATATCGATCGACCGAAGGATGAAAACCAACATCTTCCTTCGCATCCTTCGAAGAATTCTCGTATTAGGGCCTTGCACCCAAGCGTATAAGATTGAACGTGTCCGCCTAGTGCCTCTAATCATCCATCTCGTTTCAACTGGTCCTTAGCAAGAACCTTTTTTTGTTTACCAAAATGAAGTTCTCCATCAGCATATGTCTCGCGGCACTCCTCACCGCAGCGACTGCTCTCCCCTCTTCCCTCCAGGAGCGTGAATGCAAAACCATCAACGGCTGCAACGTACGTTTCCCACGATCTCCCAGACATGAGCGCAACTAATCCACCAGAAGTCATGTTCAGTGACCCCCAACACGTGCCCCGAATGTATCAGATGCTGCTTCGACACCTGCAGCGGCGGAACCGACAGTCCCAACTTCAAAGCGTGTTATGAGAGGACTTGCCTGAACAGCCCGGGTGGTTTGGGAACCTCTGAGGTAATTCGCAGATCCTCCTCATCTGGTCCCTCCTGCGTGACTGACATCAACTCCAGTGTACCTGCTGAGCATGAGCGGCGGCATATCAAGCTGTATTGGAAAGAAGGTGCTGGATTCAGGAGTTGCGCTGTGACGTCGTAGAGCAAGCGAGATCGTTTCCAATGTCAATATATCGATTTAAGCAGCATGCTTGGCTTGAACGGCTGTCATTTATCATCCGGTCTGTGGCATCCAATACGAGGTGCTGTGGGGCGCACTGAGGTCTATCGATGTCGCTTCATTCTCACCAGAGCTGTCAATATGAGGATTATTCATTGGGGGAAGACATCCTCGTTCATCCTCACAATGTCCCAAGGCCTCGCTCTCTGCATGCTCGATGAATCTAGGCTTGCTAGAATCCTGATCACTAGTAGAGTAGCCCGTCAATCAACTGAGAGAGCAGTTCAGGGCACTGCTTCTGTTGATAATTCCTCATATTGACAGCTCTGGTTTTCGTTGCGGCGTATTATGGTCCACATCGCGTCCATTCCAAGGAGTTCAWGAATGCTTCCATCTAGTTCGTAAAAGTAAATCACTCACTCAGAGCAATCGAGAGAGACGAGAGAGTCTGATTATGAGTTCCACAATCAACTACTCTGCGCAAAAGCCTCGCCCAAAACCTTTGCCAAGCGTTTGTACTCCGCCAGCAGATCTTCCACCTCACCCAACTTCAACTCGCTCGCACTATTGACCTCCAAGAATCTCTTCCGCGGAGGCTTGCATTTTTTCAATTGTGCTAAAGTCTCTCTCGCGTTGAGCTCATCATCGTCATCACGTTTCTCCTCTGCGCGTGACAACACTTCAGGCGTACGAGCTTTCGGGCCCTCCGCATTCGTAGTATCTCGGTTTCTCGATCGCCCTAGTGCATCGTGCGTAGCTAAACTTGTGGAACTTTCAGCCATGGCTTTCCCGTCCTTCCCAGTTAAGCCCGAGGGAGCTGGCACATTGCTACCGGTTCGTCCAAATCGTGGGAAGGCAGGCATCCCGAATCGGTTTAGCGGATTGATAGAGTTGATCGTGTTGGCGACAAAGTTTGCTCCATCCTTGACAACACCTCCAGCATCCTTTGCTGTCGCAGGAGTGTTGGTTTTGGACTGTGCATCCCACGTAACTCTTCGGCTAATGCTGCTTCCAACGGACTGGGCGTCAGAGCGAGAGCTATCGGCACTACGATCTCTCAGCCTGCCCGCACCACGACCACCGAGAAGTTCCAGCATCTTGTTCTCACTCGGTCCTCTGCCTGCGCCTGCGCCAAGAGGATCGAGAGGACTGCTTCTCCCGCTCCTCGCACTGCCAATGCTGAGACCATCTCCACCTTCAATCTCATCTTCAAGCGTGCCGAGACCAGGCGAACTGACCAATCTCCTTGCATCTTCGAGTGTCTTTGGTAGATCAATACTAGCTCTGACAGTGCCCAAATCTCCGTTTCCACCGAGACTACCTGTGGAAGACGCGATCTGTTGTTGCTGCTCTTTGAATCTGCCAAAAAGGAACTGCAGGGAATTATCAAGCGTACCGTTGATCGATTCGTAGACTTTATCAGCCGCAGAGAGGAAATTGTCACGTCCAACCTCGAGACGGTCTGCTTGCGTCGAAATCAAAGCAGAGATGCGGCGCTGATCCATTTGCGGTCGGATGGGATTGCTCGAAGTTGGTGTTGTGGGCAGTTTCGCGGCGGGAGTGCCTTGATCACTGGTTGCAGATGTAGCTGTCACGGGAGACAGACCGGGCGTGAGAGTCCGACTGACAGTTGGCATTGGTGGCGAGGATGCATGGGCTTTAGCTGCTGTTGGTGTAGTAGGCCTACTTTGCGACTTTGGTGGACCTTCAGGGAGTTCGTCTGCGCGTAGGGATGAGAGATCGACAGTTTCCAGGAAAGAGATGGCAGCTTCGAGATTGACGAGACAGTAAGCGGCCTCGCCATCCAATCTGTTTGATGAACGGAATCGCTGTATAAAGTTGAGATTGCTGACAACGTTGATGCCTTCGGGTGGGGATGTTATGAGTGTGTAAATCAGAGTGGGCAGGATCTCATCCGCAGATGAGGTCTTGGGAAACAGCTGAGACAGCGTCTCCACGATACTCTTGTGGGCTGCAGTGAGGTGCTGCAGCTTACCCAGAGGATAGTGCTCATCATCCATGCGCTGCAAAGCGTCCCTGGCCGATGACAGACTTTCATAGATCTCCTGCTCCTTCTCCTCGGCCGTCTTCCTCACGTCGACCTTTTCTGGATCGGGATCCATATGGAKCTCCTTTAGCCCAATACCAACCAGTGCCAGTGCCGCCGTTCTAGATCGTAGCTTCTCATCTCTTGCGTCGTCATCAGTGCTGCGGTGCTTCCATATCTTTTCGTATACTTTCTCGCAGACGCCCCTTTCCACTGCTTCTTCCAATGCCAATCGCTTAACCTCCAATAACCTCCTTGCCTTCTTTCGATCCGAAACTTCAGATGCCGTGAGCATTTCACCGCCCGAACCACCGTCATTTGAACCGCTCTTATTCCCCGAGCCCGCTCGTGACCTCGCACTCTTCACAGAGCTCTTGGAACTCGCGGGTGGCGTCTCTCGTCCGATTCTCGTTGACAGCGTTGCGATATGAGTTGATATGTGCCCCGCAGCCCGCTCGTAGAAGTCCTGAAACAGGTCTGATAGACCATCGGCGGTGAAGGGCGTTGGATGCACTTTAGCACTTAATCTTTCTAGAAATCGTTCGGCCGCGAGTTTGATCTCAACAGGCAATTCATCGAATGTGCTTGGGACCTTCAGCTCAGGTGCCGCTTCTTCAACATGATCTTCATCCTCGTGGCTCTCGAAGACGTCTGCTGTCCCTGCTTCATTCCGTGGTGTCGCTGCTGGTACCGCTGGGATTCCCGACTCTTGTAGCGTACTAGCTCGCTTCCGCTGAGATGGGCYCAAGGGCTCTTCTGAATCGGCCATACGAGAGAACGAGCGTGAGCTGTGTAGCGTCTGGCGGGGATTGCTGTCGTTCTGCGAGGACATCGTTGCCGAAGGTGGGCAGTGTATCGACCGATAGGAACCCTGAAGATGGTGGTGATTGTCCGAACAAGGAAACTCCGAGCTGGAGCGTTGAATGACTGTATCCAGTCTACAAGAGTGTCGGTGGAGGAGAGGAGAAGTGCCCACTCTTCGACAAGACAACTGCGCACACGGCAGCTCTTACATCCAAGTCCCTTAGGTAAGGGGTCCGGAGGCTCGCGGAAATGGGCGACCTGGGTCACGGAACCAACTGACGACGCAAGTTACTGTAGTTAATCGAGAAGACTGGGAAGCGTTGGAGGTGTAGAGCTGTGGATCCGCCAATTGGGGCGTGAAGAAGGCGGATCGGGAGTCAATCTGAGTGAAAAGCGGAAGCGTATTTACAGAGCTCGGAGCAGCTCGTGCTTGTCACCGGAGCTCTCTCAAGCAGAGTATAAAGCTCGCAGCATGACTGTCTGCCCGAGTGGATATATAGAGTAGGTGGTTGAATGTTTGCTGCGTCGAAGAGTGAGTTGAGCTTCTGCATCTAAAGTAAAGTAAGGCAGGTAACTAAGCTTCGCAACGCCGCTGGCCGCATCATCAACACTGCACATCTGCGCACCACATCGCCTTGGTCAACACGTTGAACCATCATCCACTTCCATCAAACCGGCGCAAATATCCCTCAATCACCCTCACCCATTCTGCATCAACCATAACAACCTCAATCTCATCCAACAAAAGGCACCCGCGCCACATCACCAAACAGCGACCACCAAGATGGCGCTGGACACGTTCTTCAACAACAAGATCGAGAGCATGAAGCTCGAGATCATTCAAGGCCAATCGGTTCTCCGGCGACTTGAAGCACAGCGAAACGAATACAACAGCCGCGTGCGGCTACTACGGGAAGAGCTGGGTCTGCTCCAGCAGCCAGGGAGCTATGTGGGCGAGGTGGTCAAGGTGATGGGAACGAAGAAGGTGTTGGTCAAGGTGCATCCCGAGGGCAAATATGGTGAGGAACACTCTTCCGATTGGCATGGCCCGATGGAGCGGAGACTAACGGCGATGCAGTGGTCGACGTGGCGGATGGCATCGACATCTCCAAACTCACAGCGGGCAAGCGCGTAACTCTTCTCTCCGATTCCTACAAGCTCTCATCACTCCTACCATCATCAGTCGACCCTCTTGTATCTCTCATGATGGTGGAGAAGGTCCCCGACAGCACGTACGACATGATTGGTGGTCTGGACGAGCAGATCAAACAGATCAAGGAAGTCATTGAGCTAGGCCTCAAGCACCCCGAACTCTTCGAATCGCTCGGAATCGCACAACCCAAGGGTGTATTACTGTATGGTCCTCCTGGTACCGGAAAGACGCTTCTAGCAAGAGCCGTGGCTCACCACACCGACTGCAAGTTCATTCGCGTATCGGGTTCCGAGCTCGTGCAAAAGTACATTGGTGAGGGATCACGTATGGTGCGCGAGCTCTTCGTGATGGCACGAGAGCACGCGCCCTCAATCATCTTCATGGACGAAATCGATTCGATCGGTTCCTCGCGTGTTGAGGGATCATCTGGCGGCGATTCTGAGGTGCAGCGAACCATGCTGGAACTCCTCAACCAGTTGGACGGCTTCGAGCCTACCAAGAACATCAAGGTCATCATGGCCACCAACCGTCTCGATATCCTCGACCCCGCACTCCTCCGACCCGGCCGTATCGACCGCAAGATCGAATTCCCTCCGCCAACGACCGAGGCCCGAGCTGACATCCTCCGCATTCACTCTCGCAGCATGAACTTGACGAGAGGGATCAACCTCAACAAGATCGCGGAGAAGATGAACGGCTGCTCCGGTGCAGAGCTCAAGGGTGTGTGCACGGAGGCTGGTATGTTTGCATTGAGGGAGCGAAGAGTACACGTCACGCAGGAGGACTTCGACCTGGCGACCGCAAAGGTGTTGAACAGGCACGACGACAAGGAGATGAGTTTGAGCAAGCTGTGGAAGTAGGTGGAAGAACAACCGGGAACTGTACTATATTCGCTTGCATTGCGGAGCGAGAACTTGAGCATAATAATGCTCACGTGGTGAGTCCGAGCCATGCTATAGAGACTGTACTTGAAGCGGCTGCGGCACAACTGTACCTAACGGCTCATTGCTGTGGCGTTTCTCACCCATCTTTAATTGATAGGTATCAAAGATGCTCTAACACCATTTCGACCCGTGCATTACTGTCACTGAGTTGTATTTGACATTTACTTCGAGACACAATTGAGCATCCTGACGACTACGACGCACATTATGCCAAGGAACGACGCGACATGACGCTGCAAGCGAGACGGGTCTGGTACAGTCGGTGTACTGTTGGTGAGTACGACCGGAAACCCACGTTCAGATGCTGACCGAGGTCGATGCGGCGACAGTGAGACACTGATCAGGCTCGCTGGCCGTGACGGCGTACGGTGTTGCATCTGAGCTCTTGCAGGTTCCTCCACCTATGGGGCAGTGTATTCGAAGAACAAGACCCATATTCCAGCTCATTGGACAACACCTGTCGAGTCGTAGCAAATCGACTGCCCATACACGCACATGCATAGACCACAGTCCGACTGTTCGGTCCATGAACCGCATCGCGATTTAGACTTCCGGTTGAGATCTGTTTGGTACTGCATCAGCGCCCTCATTGGCCAGACTGCACATTTTCCCTGCATACCACGTGTGTGATAACCACATCTGCTTTCGACGGCAACCTATCGACCCTGTTTTTGCGCCATGTCGACTGCTGAATATGCTCTGCGTGGCATCACGCCGTCGCTGCTAGCAGGTACCCGAACCTTTGGGCCGGACTTCACTTGAGAAACATGACCAAAGAAACGCTGTAAGGGATCGAACGAGCGTTTCTTTCGTGGAGTGGTAGGAGACGGCGGTGTGTACGCTGCCAGATCCATTCAGAGATGAGGAAAGAGCAACGATGTCGGCGGTGTTGTGCCACGAGGGATGAGAGATAATAGCAGCTTTGTCCGCTCAAATTTTGTGACTTACAGATCGTTGCTCATCCGTACCCACAGACACTGCAGCTATGACGGGACGAAAGCAGCTGCGCGTGTCAAGAAGACTTGAGTGAGTGGGCGAGTATGACTATTCCGAGTCAAAGCTGACGGAATCCAGCATGATTGACGATCGAATTGTTAAGATCAGAGCCGGTCCTGAAGGAACAGCAAAAGAGTTCTCAGTCCATGAAGCAATACTGCGAGAGAGCTCGCCATTCTTTCGCACTGCGTTGGATAAGAAATGGCGTGAAGGCCGCTCGCGGCGCATCGATCTTCCACAAGACGACGGTGAGGTCGTGGCCGCATTCCTTGACTGGTCGTACTTTAAGATCATCGCCTCCAGACCCGTGTCACCTCCAGAGCTCCCTATGGACGATGGAGAATTCGACTTTCTTGCACGTCTCTACTGTTTCGCGGAGAAGGTGCTTGTACCGTCCTTCGCGGACGATGTCATTGATGCCATGGCACTCAAGACCGATGATGTCGCCAAGGATGGTACGAGAACATTTCCCAGCCATTCCGCCATCACACTCCTTTACACTGGCACTCCATCCGGATCGCCGGCACGCCGATTCGTGTGCGATATGTACTGCGAGTTTGGGATATCTGCATGGATACCGAAAGAATCCGGTCTGAATCACCCCGAGTTCCTGCAAGACTTGGTGAGAGCTGCTCTAGGAGACCATCCGAGGAGGTCAACGAATAAGCACTCGAACTATCCTAGGCGTAGAAAGTGGCACAAGTGTGGTCCGGCAGAGGAGTTCTTACAACTGGCGCCTTTGGGTGAGCGCGCTGGGGAGGCAAGCTGAAAAGTGCAGTCTCCGAGTCTGAACACGCAAGTACTCGACGACCGCTGTGCATAGTGTCCATATGAGGACTGCAGTCTGTAGTCAGACCTCCGGTGCGATCGCTCCGCCATTCGTCGAACGGCTCTGCCGGCAGCAAGGGTTGCTATACTTCCAACAACCACCACTCCACTGGACGAGCACTCTGGTCAATAGCAGGATGTGGATCTCCGTTATTCTGCATGCTGGAATATCGTGCTTCCATCGACAGTTCTGTTGCTATGAACCGACATCTAGRGGGGCCCGGGACAACGTTGGACACCAGCCCGTTACAAGATCTCGATATGCAAATCCCAGTGAGACACTGTCCGCTGTCATACTCGTATGCGACAAAGGAGCTGCATTAATACCCACGCTCGTTGCGGGCTGGCTGGAAACGAACTTTCCCGCCATTTGTGTCGTGCGGTCAAAATTACTACAGCATAGCTGGGTCGACTACTGGCCGCCAACCAGGATCGAGTCAATCATGATAGAAGCCCGACCTCCCTTGAATAGTGCCGCCACTGTGATGATGGCGAACAGCACATGGTTGTGGTTCAAGAGAGTCTGGATGTCGCCGCAGCCAGAAGACTGGACTTATGCAGGGAGAGCACTGGAAGGCAAATCTTGTGCTGRGACCATTTGAATCATTGCATCATTCATTGGATGCGCATCGATCAGCCGCTTGTTCCAGATCTTGCCAGTATTATCATATCGTTAGCAAGCGATCGTTGAAGATAGATTGATTTGCCAATAGCGCGTGATGCTGGACAAAGCGTACTCGGGTACGGAACGTCGGCTACGCATTGCAATATCCGGGGACACGGCCCTTGCAATATAACAAGTTTTGGCCATAGCAATAGTGGGGCGTACACAAAGAGTCATGAGCCAATCGACCCCGTCATCGGCAACATAGAAACACACTGATCAAGCGGCGTGCAGGAGATGTGGGCGCGAATGGTCTGTGGAAGTCGGGCTGCACAAGCTTGAGGATGGGTGGCGTGCTTGTCCCCGGCATCTCCGGGGCATGGCGATGAGCTGCAATTCAATGTTGGAACCTTCACCAGCCCATGCCTGCCATAATTTCCTCTTCATCCGCGAAATCATTGCTGCTCTCCACTTGCGGGGCCTTTGTTCCTAGTCCAGCCTGCTCCTCCATGAGAGCATCCAACTCGTCTTCATCATCTGAGTCTTGCTGGAATGGCCCTCGTTGTGTTATTGGCCGAGCAGCAGCAGCAGCAGGTGGAGCAGGTGCAGTCTCTGCTAGAAGTGCGTCGAGCTCATCATCATCGGGCTCGTCGTCATTGAATGGTCCATTAGATTGTGCAAGTTTTGGTCTAGGAGCGCCRGCGTCTGCCATTAACGCATCAAGCTCATCATCATCTGGGGCATCGCGGCTGGTGGGCGCACTGTCTCTTTCGAGGTCCCCAAATATGGAGTTTTCCCGATCTGCCGTCGGCCTGGTAGTATCCTCTGCACCCCCAGTCTGCGGTTCCGGGCTGAGGTTCTGTCTATTTGGTTTGGTATCGTCCAGCCATGCCCTCCTTGTAATCTGCATCCGCTTCGAGTGTCCAACCTTTTCCACCATGCCGAGGGCATCGCGGAACTTGGCGCGTGGGTATAGATCGTCCAGCCAAAGCTGATATGTATTCAGCAGCCGCGAGATATCTGTGAATTCGTGACCTTTGCCTCTGAACTTGAGACGCGATTTGGCGATTTTGCGTAGCCTGGGAATTCCTGCGTCGGACAGCAATCTGATTGTGTCAGCCTACAGACGCGTGGACCGTCAAAGAGTGATGCTCATACCGGTTCTCGTCTAGTTTTGGGACAGGTGCTCTCTTCTTCTTCACCTGCACCTCCTGGTCCTCATCGCGTGCCTGCTCCTGTGCTGCGGTGTTCTGGTTGCTGTTGGCGTTGCTGTCGCGAACGGGAACGTCATTGAGGAAGTCCTCAACAGCGCCGTCAAAGTCCAACAGTCTGTCGAGATCGTCCATTGCAGGTGAATTCGCCCGAGCGTTTGGTGATACAGCCGAAGGCATGATGAGGTCGCTGTGATGTGTGCTTGGGCGATTGGCGAGGAGACGCGACCTGACGAACCCGACGCGTACTYGTAGAACCCTAGTTGTACGGAGCTGAGGCCGACGAGCTCCAATCTTCCGCAACATCACTCCAAAACTTCAAACATTCAATCTACCTTACACCTCTGTCCATCACATCTAGAAACCCAGCGCCCCTGCCTTTCTGCTGTTCATTCAAGCCAAACTTTCTGGACGTCCAGGCATCGCACCCACGTCATTGTACTGCGAGCGATGCAAATTTGAAGCGACCCACAAGCACGCCTGGCGTGCGCTGATAATCACCATCCCGATATATCATCCAATACCACAATATCATGGCGGCATCAAGCGCCTCCGAGCTGGTGGCAGTTGTGAATGTTGCCGTGCGCCTACGATCGCTGCTCGCTCGAGCGCAAACAGTCAAGCCAGAAACCACCGTCGAGCCGGCACTGCCCGTAGCGGATTTCATCGAGGATGTTACAGCACTCCATGATGACTTTGCCGACCATTACGATCAACCCTACAAGGTCAAGACTGTGGAGGCGGCAGTCCGGGAGATGTTTTACTCTTTGATCGCATCTACCGAAATCAATGACCCATCCTTCGTCCAGGTCTGGAATCTTCTCGACATAGTGCTGATATGCGGCGACTACGGGAAGTGCGATGCTGGTCTCGTGTGCCTACTACTAGAGGAGCTCCTCGACAGTCAGACTACAGATGGGTGCCGGACTGTATTTGACTACTTGGACTCACGGCGGGACCGGCTGGCGCAGAAAGACTTTGACAAGAAGAATCTGATATTCCTACGGGCTTGCAACGAACTGCTACGACGGCTCAGYCGTGCCGAGGATGCTATATTCTGTGGTCGTGTCTTCTTTTTTCTCTTCCGAACCTTTCCACTCGGCGACAAGAGCTCCGTCAACCTTCGAGGAGAGTTCCACGTCGAGAACACGACCAAGTTCGATGTTCCCGACGTGGCGACGGGCGAAAATGACATGGAAGTTGATTCAACTTCGACGGCTCCCGCGATCGAAGCCAGCACCGCGAAGCCAGCAGCACCCCCAAAGCCAGGGAGCAGGGCTGTGCCTATCAAAGCCCCGCAAAAGAAAGTTGTTGAAGAAGAAATCTTGTCCACCAGCGACCTGTATCCGATTTTTTGGAGGCTACAACATGACTTTTCGGACCCTACTCGACTTTTCAACACCGAGAACTTCGCTGCGCTCAAAAAGGGACTGGCCTGTACCATTGCCAAGTTCAAAAAGACCCCAACAGTAGTTCAAACAAAAGCTGGAGAGGAAGGCAAGAGGGGCACCAAACGTAAAATGGGCGAGAACGGCGACACCGCTAGCAACGAGCACCTGTTGGACAACTACAATCCCAAATACCTCACAAGCAGAGACTTGTTCGATCTAGAGCTCAGCGATCTAGCGTTCCAGCGGCACATATTGGTTCAGGCCCTGATCATGATCGATTTCCTCCTGTCGCTGACCGACAAGGCGAAGAAGAGACTAGCGGCATTGGCCACTCCAAATAAGTCGATGTTGCATGCCTTTACTTTGTCCGAAGACGATGTGAAGTGGGCGACGACGACTCGCTCGGATATAACCTCCTATCTCTCGATAAACCAGGAAGGCAGAGGTTACTGCCGAATGGTTGAAACTGTGCTCGCCCGGGACAAGAACTGGGTGCGTTGGAAAGTGGAGAGTTGTCCATCGATTGTCCGCGGCCCAGTCTCAACAGAGCAAGAGATGGCGGCGAGAAAGGGGGCCCGTGATGCGACTCGACCCCGGCGATTCGGACCCCGTGCTGACAACTCCATGGATCTCAGCTTCTTGGACGAAGGCAGCGGTGGACTCGAAGCGTTGAAGGACAGTTCCAGGTACACAGCGCCGTCAATCGAACAGTTGTTAGAACGTGTGAAGACGGACAGACTCGACCTGGAGTTTGCAGCTGACGAGGACGAGACACGGTCCTACGAGGCCGCTATGCAGAATGCCAAATGGCGAGCATTGCGGCAAATGCGGGCATCCGATCTGAATCTCCTGGACAAGATCGAGAGCACCAAAGGGCTGGATGAAATGCCCATCACAGCCGAAAGCCTCTCATCCGAAACCGAAGCTGATGCGGGGATCAATGGAACGGAGGCTGGAAATGAAGCGACTTCTACTTTGGAAGGATCAACGGCACTTGAGCTGGACCCGCCGTCGGTGCCGGGGGAGATCACTGGTATGCAGGACTGAGATGACATACATGATTGCAAAAGTGTGACATTGGAGAAGCTCAACCATATCTCGGCTGTCTGTGCTTGACCGTTGTGTGACGCTTGTCAAGTGAGGTTCGTGTGTATACGTACTGCCCAAAAATGGGCCCACGAGTTGGGCAGGGATCTCAACGGCGATCCGGCTCGCGCCCAGAGCGTAAAAGTCATTCTAGGACTGGCTATTCGCGTCTTTGAGCTGAACCGTGTTGTAGGCCAATCATTCTCTTGGAAAAATTCATCTCTCGGCCGGGACTCTTCCTCCAGCTCATCAACCGACTGAATGGCTCTATGCCGCATGTTTGCTCTTGACCATCGAATTATCGCAACGCCCAGTGTCTTGGTGTCTCACTGTTCAATGTCTCACTCTTGTTGTGTCGAGCAAGCTAAGTGAACTTTCCCGATGGTCTGGTGGCTGCTTCCCGCTCGGGACCCGTGGCGACGTACGTTTGGCCTTACGGGACGTTGACAACTCGCATTAGCAAGAGTATGCAGAAGTAGCACGCAAAGTAGCGTCGGGGAGTGCACCGGAATGAGCAATGAGCTGCAGACACACGCAGCGTGTTGGCCTCTCCGCAAACAGAAGCGTGCAACTCAATTGGGTCTTGGGATGAAGCTTGAATCTCGCTTTAAGCTTAACTTCGTCCATTGCGCATTCGAAAGTGGTACCATGCTTGTGGGATTCTGCTAGCTGCGTTGCTAGCTGTGCGCGAAGGACACCGACTCAGGAAGCCGGTGCGTCCTCGACACTCGTGGGTTTGTCACAGCTTCCACGAGCCCGGATGCCTCCCGCAAGTGGTGACGCGATCAGAGGTGGGTTTAGGCTCGCACTCCGCCCACCGGGCCATACTCTAATCTTTGGTAAGGATCCACTTCGCACTTGATGATGTGCTTCACCCCAGCACTCTGGTGGGAGACGAGAGCCTTACTGCGAGCTCGCAACGGGAACTGCGTTGAAGTGTGAGCGTACGACGGGAATATCTCGCGTGAGTGACGCGTCATACTTGCAATACCTTATTGCTTTGCCGGCGTAGTCTGACTGCTAACGGCAGTTGGAGTCAATAGTCTGGAGATCCTCAACTTGACCTCATGGTCTGCAATTGTTAGGCGAGGGTCGCTGGGAGCGCCTCATTATTGGCGATGTGTGTTGGCAACTTCGTTAGCGTGACGGCGTGCCCCATTTGCAGCTATCGTGGACCATCGACGAAGACGGAAACCGCAATTGCCCTCGCGATTCGTGCTCCATGACCTGGCTCGTGGGAGACCCTTAGCCAGCACCGTCGCTAAGCTGCATATATTAACATATGCCGAGTAATGATGGCGATCGTGAGCGCGAAACTCGTTCAAGTTCGGATCGTGAAGGATTCGCAAGACGCCGTGTCTTTGATCCTTTTTCAAATAGCAGATCGCACGAGGCAAGTTCGGCTAACACGCTCGCGAGAGCCGTCTAGTGTCGACAAGCGGCTGGGCAAGCAGGCGACAGCTGGCCACCAGAATGGTTGCAAGGAAGATCGACACACGCTCGTTTTTGCTTTCCGCGCTTGATTCGCACTTCACGTGCAGCGAGGCCCAACCCGGGCCTCTTCAATCTCTCAGTCGCAATGGCCGAAACACCGAGGAAAAGCAAGAAACATTGTGTGATGGAGCCGGGGAGTGTATACCGCTAAAGTACAGACAATAATGATCAGCAGTGGAGGTGTCGTTGAGGTGCAGTGCAGGGTTCTTCGAGAAGGCAGGAAGCTAGAGGTAGACCCACAATAGTAGGCAAGGTTGTTCGGCTAGGAATTTGGTAACACGCCCACGTCGAAGAAGAAAGTTCATTCGGTGCCGTACTTTATTGTGTTGCCAACGAGAAAGGACGAGAGTTTGACTCGCAGGCGTCTTTGCTAATCGAATATAGCCTTCAACAGACGACATCTGGTGATGTGTCGACCGCTGATCCATCGGTCCTAAGCGAGCTACCCACTATTCTCAGGTCCCTGGCGAGCATCAAACAGCAACAATCTCCGCCGCCGGCGACATGAAGAACTCTGCAGACCGAGCATCCGTCGCATGGCGCATACGCGCCAGCACAAGCGCCGTTTTCTCGCCATTGGAAGGAAGCGAGCAGATGTCAAACAGTAGACGTCTGAGGTCGAACCAGGGGCGGCAGCGTCGCCGACCGCGGTGCTGGCAGCGAGCGCGCAGACTAGGCGGCTGTGGCACAACGGCAGTGACCACGGCTCTTGGCAAACAGATCTCTCAGCGTCTATKGCTATGATATCGCCGGCAACAGCATTCATGCAGGGGTGACACGCGCTACAACCTGCACAAACACCACCTGACCATTTGGATTACAGACTTCACGACTTGAGAGAAAATCACCCCAAAAGAAGAGATTGGACTTGCCCCTCTGAGCTGAGCTGTGCTTCTTCTTTCGATTACAAGCGCCAACTACATTGATTACCCGGGGCGGTCCGTCAGCCATTATTGCCTGCTCGATCTCCGACTTTAGGCGGCTGAGATCTGGCAACAATGCTCCGAAACAGGTGCAACCGCTATGAACACGTCTAGCTTGAAGATCATGACCGTGCGAACGCCCCGACTGGGGTGAGATGCAGCACGGTCCAGACTCATCGAGTCTGTAGCGACTTCGAGTGTGTGCCCTGGTTCACCATTCCCACCTGCATGGAAAACGTACAGCACAAGTCGCATTCATTATCTTCGCCATATAATCAGGGTGGCGAGCTCTGCTAGGGGACCCTCACCCGCATCTTTGCTGTGGGTGTGCTGCTTTGCAGCTTTGCAGACCTTACAAAGTTGCATGCAGCAAATATGGCTCGGCGGAAATCTGCTACACGTAGGTACACAAGGCGGTCCACAACCAACTAGCCCCCGCAGAGGCCCGAGCCAGCTCTTCCACTCCAACTAGCATGACCGGGCTTCAACGGCTATCTGGCAGCCAACCACACACAGTGAGCGTGCATCCTGCCAGGTTAGTCTGCCATGAGACCCACCCTGCCCCATCAGAGTCAAACTGCACTCTAGCCCTGCCGGAGGGGTACCACCCGCTTCGATGGAGTCTTCACTTCGAGATCGCTCCAAAAGCTCATGRTCTTCTCGGAAGTACTGAGCGGGTGTTTCTACGTTTGCGGTAGTGGAGACTTGTGTTTCGCTTCCGAGCGCTTCTTGTATTCCTTCCGAACGACACAGTTCATCTGCCATTCGCCCATGACCTATTGCGGATTCAAATCTGCCACACCGTCTCTGGATATCGATATTAAGGAGCGAGCCCCAAGTTGGCAGGTCCCGCTGACTTCCTACCTGACTGACTGCAGCTCATTTCAAACGCCATCTATCTGGTTCCGCTCCCGACAGCAGGGCACAGGATCACACGTGGACGGTAAAAACGTACCCATCGGGCTACTAAGTCAATCGAGGCCTCGTAATCCAGTCAAGCATCAATCATCAACTCATCACCGTTTCCCAGCCGATACTGATAGTGTGTCTGCGTCCTTTTCGMCGGAGCATCTCGAGTATCTTTGCTCAGCCCTGTTCCAGCGCAGTCAACAACGATACTGGATCCACTCTTTCCGGTGCAGCTCTTCTCCTCGCAAGTTACACGTAACAGCACAGCCGTCGGTCTGGTTCATCGTACAAAGCGTCTTTGCGCCCCGGGATCAGGACAGTCACAAATCGCATACTAAGCACAGTATATCCCTGGATACTGCGAGCTCTTCGCTATTGCCGCCTTTGCCGTAGGCGCTGCGAGTATTCACCATCAATCGATCCTGCTGCCCATGACCTGAACCTCGAATCGAAACGTCACTGGCGCTACAGCAATCGAAGGTCAGTGCACAGTAAACAATCAATCGATTTGACGCGTACTCATTCCACCAGAGTGATTCGATCACACTGCCAACCGTCATCAACCCTCAAATGATTGACAACAGGCTCAGAGTGCCACCATCGCCGCCTTATTCTCCGCGCATGTCAGATTCCGTCAGGACGGCTGAGCATTATAGCCAGCAAGCTACTCTGGTACACGCAAGGCCTGAGTACCGTCAGTGTCGAGAGAGCGCGATTGCTGGCGCAGGATACTCAGACGATGTAAGCGCTTACTCTCACGATCCGACTGAGGCTTCTCTGCGACCATACAAGACCTTCAACTACTCACCTGGGTCATCTGGCGGTCCTTGTTCCCAATACAACATTGATCCATACACTCAAGTTCAACTTGGTAGTCGTCAAAAATCGAAATCGTCTCAAGCACTGCGCCATATGGGCTCTACAGATGTTCGCTCTGCGGCTCATGGCATTTCCACGTCTGCGAGTCCGGTTGATCGACTGACGCCTCACTCGCCGGACAACAGTGTCCATGATCAGCAGGACGACGACGATTTGATCGATTCTGCAGGAGAGGATCAAGATGAAGGGTCGGAAAAGATCCAAATGACTGCAGCAGAACTGCGAGCACACAAGCGGAAGATGAAGCGATTCAGGTTCGTATTTGTTAGGTATCATCAGGTTTCAGCAACATTGCTGACATCACGATAGACTGACGCACAGCCAAACTCGCTTCCTGATGAGTGAATTTGCTCGTCAAGCACATCCAGACGCTGGTCATCGTGAACGACTCGCACGCGAGATTCCTGGATTGAGCGCCCGTCAAGTTCAAGTATGGTTTCAGAACCGGTATGCCACCTTTTCTGCGGTAGAGATTGAGAAGCGTGCACTGACATGAATTGTAGAAGGGCAAAGCTCAAACGGCATACTACAGACGATCAGGCTCGCATGATGAGATCGAGAGCCCTGCCGGATGATTTCGACACCACCCAAGCCCTCCATTCGCCTTTTGGTGCTCAGCCGCCGATTATGAGCGCTTCGACTTCCTCCTTGGGTTCATTTTCGACTTACGGCGACCACGCAAGCATTCGACCTTTGGCTCTAGACACAACACGCGCGCTTGTTGAGTACGATCAGTACAACTCATCATACGCCAGTCCCACGGGCGTGAGTCCTGCATTGGGAGCATTTGCATTCACACCTCCACACTCGTCATCTGGACACATCTCGCCTGGGTCGTCTCACAGCATGCCACCGTATGCGATGCAACATCAAGCGGCATACGAAAGCTCCAGGCGCGGTGCAATTGGTCTTCCAGCTCTGGAAACTGGTTACGGTCCAATGAACAATCTACAACGTGCTCCACCGCACGAACAAATCACCAGGACATCTAGCGAAACTACCAGCTCTCCACTTCCAACGAGTGTATCCCATCCAAACATCCAATCACACATGTTTCCGGATCGCTCCTCTTCATTCTCAGGGCACATGGCCTACGATCACCAGCGTTCACACCCTCCAAGGAGTCTGGGGATGACGGATTCAGATCCATATCGCTCAAGCTATACGTGTAAGTATCTACCGACGAGATGGCCGTAGGCTAAGGCTAATATTTCGAAAGACGCGGCGCCTCAGACCTACTCCTCAAATGAGTCGCAACATCGACCGACGTCAGGACAGCATGCAACGAACATGGACCACTTCCGACGAGCTCCTGTGGGGATTACGTATGGCCACTATGCGCCCCAAAACTACACCTCTGCTCCCTACCAGAACTACGCCACACCATATGCYCCACGCGACGTTCACAATACCTATGCTCAGGAATCTCATAGAGAGACGCTGGCCCACACTCAGCAGGCACATACTCAGCTTGATGGAATGCATGGAGCGGATCGGGCATTCGCGCTGCCTGTTACTACCCAAGTTACGGAGACTTCCGGCAGCACGTCTATCATGCCACCGTCGTATTGATTATGGTCTGCTACCGCTATGTTGGCAGTCCGGTTAAACTTGGCGAAGTCAGGACTTCACGAATGACTATTCTGGACGCGACCACGAAAATGGACGTTCCCCTTGATTTGAGTGCCCGGGTTTGCTCAGCTCAGGGGGAGCCGCTGAGCCAAGAGCGACACAATTCTCTTCTTTCTTCCTCAACCCGATGCTACATGTATCTACAAATTCGATCTAGGTTTCCACAGCATAGAGACAGCCTCGATGGCGTCCATTGACTTTTGTTTAGCCGCGCGATACCCATACCCATACTCATTCTTGGCTTGTCTTCTGCAGACCTTGCTTGCCCCAGTTGGTTACGTGGATAGCATAATTATCACTTTGAAAGCAGGACAGACTCGTATTGCACCTCTTCCATTAACTCTTGGTCCCTCCATCCTTGGGTGCAGTCAATTCCACGTTTCCAATCTGGAGTCTCAAACCGACAGGAGAAGCTGGCCGTGGCAAGTGATTCACGCCAGCTCCGAATGGGATACGCGGGCGTCTAACAATGCGCACGCTTGATGCAAGCTAATCTGAGCAATATCGAGCAGCAATGATAGCCCTCGTCAAGGCGTCGATTCCGAAGGATGTAACGCAAAGACATCATCAAAAGCCGCCGATCCGATCGCAGCCTTTCATATCGCAGGAGCACATTAAAGCAGTCGTACAAGGCGATCGATTATACTATCACACCCGTGAAGACTAGCGAAGCCTCGTCGGTGAGTGAACGAAAGGCTCCAACTGCGGGTCAGATGTTGAAGAGACCAGTCGCTACGTGACTCGTTCAACACCATTGCTAATGCCTGCATCGAAGTTATCCGCAAACGATGTAGCAAAGCATACCAGGTTTGAGAAAACAGGCCTTGGACTGGTTGGTACTCTCCACAGAAAGCGCACCACGAGGTCGTGGGCTCTGCCCTTTCTCATCTATCAATCCCGCATCCATGCTCGCGCGTGCCCACCAAGGGAACGTCGCCCGAAGGCTTACCGATTCACCGGTCGAGATCCAATTGAAGGCAGTTTTGCAACGCCTAGGTCGTACGAACGCGTTGGGCGAAGCGAAGGCAACATCTAGATCGGAATGCGAAGCCGAACAGATCTCGCGGAAGGCTTCCATGCGATGCATTCGATGATGTGACCATCTTCACACAGCCACACAATCCGAGTCTTGGTCTCAAAGCATGGACTCGGACATTTAAATCCTGAAAGTGAGTGTGGGCCACCGAACCTGCTTCCACCTCACTTAGCGTTCCTTAGCCGACCGGCGCCGGCAAGTCCCTTCGGCACGCGACAAGGATGCTGGGTTTCAAAAACTCGCTTTTTCCTCAGGTGTGCAACCACATGTGACTCGTACTCCTGGATTGCACATGGAGCCCTGCGAGTGGGAGAAAACGTGCCGCGCCTGCCAATCTCACCATGCGACGCATCGAGTCGATAGGCGAGGCGAAGCGAAGACGAAAGGTTCCCCGTACGGATGTTGACGAGGCGCGTTCCTGGCGAACCACTATTGCCCGCGGACACGAGCCGGTCGAGGGAGGCGTCAAGATAATTGCCCGGTTACTGCGGTGGCCGTCCAGCTGTTGCTGTCAACTACAGACCAGAATGCATACGGGGTTCTTGATGATGGTATGGATCAACCCACGGCATATCTTGATGACTTTCATGGTCGCAGTCGAGGAAGGCTCGGACGCGATGATGAGGCAATGCATCTCTCGACTGGTAATCCAACCGCTCGACTAGTAATCGCCAAGGCCACAGCCACAAGCAAATACTGTAATATGGCTTACTTTGCAGTCATCCGCGCACGTGCAGCGGCAAGCAGTTCTGCCATGTCCAAGAGACAGGGCAATCTGTCCAAGTTTACTTAACATTGGCTTCTGAATTCGCGACATCACCCACTCCTAACTCTCATCACTGACACTACCCGCTATCCTCTGCAGTTGTCTGTCAGTGGCGCATGAACTTTCTGAACTGCAGGTCACCGGTTGAAGAACCAATCGGACTTGTCGCATGCGTGTAACTGCAGCTCGCCGTTTGTCAGACATGTCAGAGCTTGACTCACAAACACCACACGACCACATCTGTTGGCAGCCTGCCGGTGACTATGCTCGATGACGGGCAAATTACGGCGCAGAAGTGAGAAAAGGAATGCGCGACTCATCAAGTCCAGATGTCTGGCTGTTCCTGAAAGGCGACAGGATCTTCCTTCGCGTTTAATGCTAAAATGGAGAGCGTGGGATGCCTGCTGGATGGCATTGTGACATACGGTATGCTTTGTTTGGCATCAACCGACTCAAGTTTGCGCATGACGGTGGTGCAACTGCGTCTTGGGGGTGAAATGCATCGCAGACGCAAGGTGGCTGTTTGTGTATTGTTTTGGAGAGGGTTCCATGTTGCTTGCGTACCTAGTTTGAAGGATGGAAGGATTTCCATCAACCCAAGTAATATCGCTCGAGAACGGGTGGGAGATGGATAGGAGCGTGATGGCGAGGACGTAGTAACTCGAATACGATTTTGATGGACGATATTACCATGATAATACTTCCCTATGTCCATTTGCAAGTGTGCATATGCCATTCCATCAGCGTCCTTGAAAACCTTAGCGGCCTCCGCCGGTTGGTTCCGTATTGCCGCTTTTTTAGCACCGTTCAAAAGTAATTCCATCTCTTCTTCCTTTATACACCTCCCTCTATCGGACGTCAACACTGCGTCCTCTTCGTGCTTGTCTCCCATCAGACAGCACCGTTACGCTACGCGCAAGTGTCTTCGAAAACCTGCAGCGCGCCCCCGGCACTCCGCAGCGCCCTTTTTCCACTCCTCGACGGCGAAACATTTCTGCCTCGACACACTCGACGCTGCCGACCTCCGCCACGCGCGCCCGCGAGACGACTGACCGCTGAGCTCACCACTCTCCACTCATCACCCACAACCCACCCAGCCCGCTCATGACCACCGCGATCCCCGCAAGCTCGCCCAACCCAGCCAGCACCAGCAACATCGCGCCCTCATCCGCCTCGACTGCGCCGTCATCAGCAGCTGTCCCGGCGCAGCTGCCTGTGAGGTCGTACGCTTCAGCCACCAAGACGGCTACTCCATCCTCTTCGGCTGGGGCCTCCGCGCACGATGCAAAGTCCACTGCCAACCCGCAGATGAACGGAACCATGGCGCAAGGAGGCTCGCAGCCTGCCAACGGCATTGCGAATGGTTCATCGGACCACTCGCGTAAGACATCGGTCGTGATAAACGCCGCCGGTGCATCTGGCAACTACCCAAATGGCGGCCCCGTCGGCCAGACCGGACGACCTGCCATCAGCTTTGGCTCCATCAACGCGCCAGGAGCGGACTCGCAAGCCGCGCCATTCCAGTCACAAAACGCATCACTGCCCACACCATCGCGAGACCCGCGCGTCACATCCCCCGCGCACTCGCCATCCCCGATTCCCCAGCCTGCAGCAAGCGGCGGCAAACCCCCGACTGTTGGTCAGCACAATGGCGGCCTGGCCTTTGGCCAATTGCCAGCTGACACCGAGATTGTAAGTCATGTGCGGGTCATGCGTGAAGCGCACACTTTGCTAACGTCACAAAAGATGCGCGGTCAGATCCCACAGCAGCACGAGCGACGGCCATCGTCGCAGTCGATGMAGAGCGAGCTCAGCAATCAAGGCATGAATGCCAACATGAACCGCAACTTCCAGCCGCAGGGTCGTGGCCGTGGTGGTTATGGACAGAATCAACCATTCATGGGATCCCCGGGTGCACACTTCCGCAACCCGCAGGGTCAACCACCTCGTAACATGCCGCCCAACTTCCAGCAAGGAGGCGCTCCAGGGTCTCCCTTCAACCGCGCAGCCGCGAGAGCCAGCCCTTCTCCAATGCCTGCGCAGCCAAACATGCCTCAGGGCCATCAGATGCACTACCCGGGTTACAACCAGCACCACATGAACCCACAGCAGCAACCAGTAAATCACCCTTTTCTTTCAGCCGTCTCGTCGACTTCGCGGAATGCAACAGAAGCCCCAATGCGCAAAGCCCGCTCTTCGAGTGGCCAAGCCAATGGGTCCATGAAGCACGCAACAGTCGACAACACGAGACACATCCCTCTCTCTGATTCAGGTGAAATCGCGTTGAACAAGATTCTAACTACTCCAAACTCACAGGCTATGTATGGCATGCCGCAGTTTGACCCTTCTCAGGGCTACTACCAGCCATACCCTCCGTACAACTACTACAACGGTCAGCAGCAGGCGCCGCAAAGCCCTCGTCCAAACTACCCCAGTCCATTCCCTGGCACTCCCAGCCATGCCATGCAGGCTCCGTTCAACCCGCCTGGTACTCCCATGCAGCGCTCTGGGTCACAAGCTTCGGAGCGCCCGTCATCGAGCCTTGGACACCCAGCGACTCCTGCTCATAACCCTGCCGCGCCCTCACATACGCCTGTAAGCCACGCACAAGCCGGCCCTGCATCTGCGTCGAACAGCTTTGTGAGGCCTCAGAAGAAGTCGAATGCCATCAAGATCACGGATGCCAGCGGAAATGCTGTCAGCTTCGCGAAGCCTTCGCCCTCTCCCAGCAATGCGCAGCCTCAGACGCCAGTCATTGTCTCCACCCCGAATGCGCCCACCCCACCACCGCGCGTACCCAGCAGCCAGCATAACCGTGTCGAAAGCAAAACGACCAAGTCTTCCGAGGAGACTAAGAATGCATTTGCTGAGCAGGTCAAGCGCCAGATGGAGGAGACAAAGCGCAAGGAGGAGGAAGAGGCCGCCGCAAAGGCCAAACAGGGTGCTGACGCGGAAGCCAAATCGAAGCAGGCCGCTGACGAGGCGGCCGCTACAGAGACCAAAGCCAAGGAGGCTGCGGCTGAAGCCGAAAAGGTTGCTGCAAAGGCTGCTGATGACAAGAAGGCAGAGGAAGACGCCGCAGCAACGAAGAAGGCGCAGGTATCCGACGAGGACGAGAAGAAGCGCCTACAGGAAGAAGAGGATGCGCGTATGGAGGCCGAGATTGCAGAGATGGAGGCGCGCGAGAAGGAGGAGGAGGAGCGTGAGCGCGCCTTCCAGGAGAAGAGGGCCAAGGAGAAGGCGGCCCTTGCCGAGAAGGAGAAGGAGAGACTTGCGAATGAAGACGCTGAGCTCAAGCGACAGGAACGTGAGGCCGAAGCACGCGAGGAAGCTCGCGAACGTGAGCGCAATGGCGAGACCACCTCAGCTGCCACCGCTGGTGAGCCTGACGAGGAGGCCAAGGCTCTCTTCAACTCCCTGAAGAAGCCAACACTTGGACCTGGCGCCGAGGCTGAGGCAGTTCCCGAGGCAGAAACTTCTGAGGTTGCGACCGCGGTGCCTGCTCGCGTTGGTGGACACGCCAAGGCCAAGCCTGCTCACCTCAAGCTCGAGACGAACAAAAGTGTAGAGCGTGCTGAGCCAACTCCCGGCATGCAGGCGCTCAAGTCGGCACGATTCCTTGAGCTCAAGGAGGAGGCCAAGTATCCCGACGGCTTCAAGTCGCCGAACCCTGCCCCCAACCAGAACCAGCGCACTCAGGGTCGTGCCTACGACAAGGACTTTTTGCTCCAATTCCAACCTGTGTTCAAGGAGAAGCCCTCTGTTGACTGGGACCAGAAGGTTAGAGACACTCTGGGTCCTGGTGACGAGCCTGGATCGGCTCGCTCCGCGCGTACACCTAGCGGCATGACTTCACGACAACCTTCCCGGGGCTCTGGACCATTCCCCGGTGGCGCCATGGGCAGCTTCGCAGGCCCTATGGGTGCTCGCACACTTCCGCCCAACACCACATCCGAGCAGCGCTTCGCCGCAGCACAAGGAGGCATGGGTGGCAGATCGGCGTCGTCCGGGATGGGTTCCCGCGCACCGAGCAACCTCGGTATGGGTATGGGTGGAGCTCCAGGCGCCGCCATTGGTCGCACCAACAGCAGTCTCCAAATGGGTGTCAACTCACAGCGCCAAGCAAGCTCACGTGGTGGACGTGGCGGCAGCAAGCGTGATGACCGCCAACAAAGCAAGCGCCAAGACCACGATAGCGCCGCGAAGATGCCGCTCACTGCACACATGGAGATTGCACCGCTCGAGAAATCAAAGACTGGATGGCAGCCACCTAGTGTTGCCGGGCCCACTCCCGGCGCCTCCAGCGGTCCAGATGCTTCTGGCATGATGGCTCCTGACAYGGTGCAGCGCAAGGTCAAGGCTGCGCTCAACAAAATGACGCCTGAGAAGTTCGACAAGATTGCGGATCAAATCCTCGATATTGCCGCACAGTCAAAGAATGAGACCGACGGCCGCACACTCCGCCAAGTCATTCAACTCACATTTGAGAAGGCCTGTGACSAGGCTCATTGGGCTGGCATGTACGCCAAGTTCTGCTCAAAGATGTTGACCGCGATGAGCTCGGACATTCGCGATGAGACCATCACAGACAAGGCTGGCAACCCAGTCGTCGGCGGTGCTCTTTTCCGGAAGTACCTCCTCAACCGCTGTCAAGAGGAGTTCGAGCGCGGATGGCAGGCAAATCTGCCCGACAAGCCGGAAGGCGAAGAACAGGAGGCTGCCCTCCTCTCCGACGAGTACTACGTCGCTGCTGCTGCCAAGCGTCGCGGCCTTGGACTTATCCAGTTCATTGGTCAGCTCTATAAGCTTAAAATGCTTACGCTTCGTATCATGCACGAATGTGTCATCCGTCTACTCAACTTTGAAGGCGATCCCGATGAGTCTTCCATTGAGAACTTGGTCACCCTTCTAAAGGCTGTCGGTGGTTCCATGGACGAAGAGGAGCAAGGCAGAGCTCTGCTCGTCACCTACTTCCAGCGTATTGATGAGGTCATCCTCAAGAACCAAAAGCTCGCGAGTCGCCCACGTTTCATGGTCATGGACTTGATCGACTTGCGAAAAGCAGGCTGGAAGGGCAAGGACGACGCCAAGGGTCCCAAGACCATTACACAGATCCACGACGAAGCTGCGGCAGCACAAGCAAAGGCAGAAGCCGAGCGGTCGAGGACCAGCCAGCGTGGTGGCGGTGGTGGTCGCATGGGACAAGGTCGTGGCGATGCTCGAAACTTTTCCGGTGGAGGCATGCCACCTCCAGTCGACTACAACCGCACAACTGTCGGTATGGATGACCTGCGGAGGCTACAGAACCGTGGATCACGCCCCGCCGGCGGTGCACTTGGACCAGGTGGCGGCCTTGGACCTTCTGGACTTGGACCTCGCACTGGCAGCAGACGTGGTGCTGGTATCGGACCCGGATCCGGCAACACCTCTCGCACCGGAACACCTCCGGTCGATGGAAAGAAAGACGAACCAAGCACAGCGCAGAATGCTTTCAGGTAAGAACTGCCTCATCCCCATCTCTTTGCCTTCATTTGCTAATTTGATATCTAGCGCGCTCGCTGCTCTCGACTCATCTGGTGGTGATGCACCCGAAGAGCCCGAAGTCAAATCAACGGCAACATCAACCGACAAGGACGAATCTAACGCATAAGAGATACCCTTTTGCTTCTTCAGGCTGTATTGAATACTTCGGACTATTAATCTGCATCGACCTCGGGGAGAAGACGGGATAGAGCTCGCGTATCGAAGTGCGATCCCAACGTTTTTCGGGACCACTTCCTGTGTTAAAAAAAGCCTGCAACAACGGCAACGGGGTCACAAAAAGGCGTTTCTTGGCGGGATTTAGACATTCTCTGCTGCGATTTCACACCTTGCGCCTGGAAAGGTTGCTTACCGATGGCGATGCTCCGCTGTGAGCCGATTTCCGAGGAGAGGTGCGTGTGGGTGGAGACGCCTGCACTACACGACGAGTTTGGGGAGGAACTTGCTCTCTTTGCAATCTCTCTTTCGAGAATCTGCTGCTCCTTTTGCTGAGACCGAGGCGAGGTGTGGCTGTTGCTACCCCCAGGGTGTTGCGATGTAGAAAGGTACGCGCGTATGGAAGCACGGAGAGGGTGTACATACATTGCTACATGTAATCTTCGAGTCTGAAAAAATGTTGTCCTGACGCAATGAACTTGWATTTACAACATGCCCGTTCCGACTTAATTTGAGAGTGAGGTCAAACAATAGTATGCGTCCGTGCTTTGCTTGTCTCCACTTTTCCACAGCTACCCTGACTTCACCTCTCCGTTCTAAGGCAGGTCTCATCAACAACCATGAGTTCACGCTGTCTTCCATTTGTGAAGTCGGTTTGGGAGTCTTTCCGAGCCAATTCAGGCTTGGAGCCGAGGTATGTATGCATATTGCATTAATCCATCTTCTCCTCTATTGGGCCGGTAAAGGCGAGGTAACTAATCTTTGAACCATAGGCTTCTCGATGGGGTATGTCTGATTTCCTGTTTACCTTGGTCTAGAGAGAGAGAGAAAGAAAAAGATGCAATTTGGAGTTCATTAAAGAGATCTGAAAGACTAATGTTTGTCAAATCCATCCAGCTCCGCGTCACCGCCGCACGTCCAGGAACGGTGAATTTCGAGCTGGATATTCAGAAGGAACATACTGTATGTGCGACTCGCCGTTACCCCCCCTACCCCCTCGTTTTAGAGATTTTTTTCTTTCCCCCTCCACTTCTTCTGGCTGACTTGTTTGATGATGGTCTCTTTAGAATCGTCTGCAAATTTTACATGGTGGGACGATTGCTAGTATGGTTGATCTTGGCGGGAGTTTGGCTGTTGCTTCGAGAGGATTGTTCGCTACGGGTGTTAGTACGGATCTTAATGGTATGTGTATTTTTTTTTTTTTGAGAAATTTCGCGTGTTTGGGATGATGTCTAGGATTATTCCTTGGGATGGGGGTTGGCTGGTTGGCTGATGTGCATTGATTTATAGTGACATATCTCAATTCCGGGGGGAAAGTGGGGGATATCATTCGTGCTGAGGCTACTTGTGATAAATGTGAGTTTTTGTTTGGGCGCCGGGAAGTCGTCCAACTTCATTTTTATTCTTTTGAGGAGAGACGACTAATTTTTTTCTCTTTGATGGGRGTAGTTGGAAAGACTTTGGCGTATACTTCGATTCGGTTTACGAATTCAAAGGATGAATTGGTTGCTAGGGGGAGTCATACGAAATATGTCTCGTTGGCGTGGAAGGATCCGATGAATATTACGGATGAGCTGTCGCCGAGACCTTGAGGTCGTGTAGTAGTGGTTGGTTGATTGTATGTGCTTCAAGGCATGGATGATGTTGAATTTGACGGGAGGGAGATATTGGCTATGTATTGAGCTGACTGGGCTGGTTTTTAGGAGGTGCGAGTACCCAGGACTGTGTGCGCGAGGAAAATCCTGGATTTGCATGCTGTGCTCGGATTTGTTGCAGGTCTTTCCCCCTGTGCGTTGCAATCTTGTACATTCATCAACCAGTGGATCTCGGTTTCTCAAAAAGGTCGGATTGGAAGACTGCAAAAAGCAGCGAAGTTCGATTCGGGGGTCTGGTGGCTTCACGTCTTTCGAGCCGTAGGAAGAAGATGTGGAAAGTAAAGGTAAGTAAAATTCAAAAGTAAAGGTAAGTGAGATTCATCAATTTTACTTGTTTGAAGATAGGTGGATTATGCATTACTTGTTATCAATCACTCCTTTCTCTTCTTTCTCTTCTTCTTCATGATATACACATTTTCAAAAGGATATCTCTCGCTTCTTGCGCTGCAAGCAACTCCAAATATGTACACGCTATCACAACATCACGATGCCTTAATCCCTTCCATCATCCATCAACCCCCTTCCACAAGAGATGGATCAATAGTGGTGGTGCTGAGTGTGTGGGTTGGTGGCAGTCTCATGCCCATAAATGACACCAGTAGCAGGAACAGCAGTGGCATCCTTATCATAGACACCACCATTTCCAACAGTCGTGGCAGTCTCATAGCTAGGCCTCATATCCGGGCCCGCATGTCCCAGAGTGCCCGCAGGAACCGGTTGCACGAGATCGATAGCTCTCGCACCATTGTTGCCATCCGTCTGCGACTGCGTCTTCCTCTGCCAGAACTTCTTCTTCCCTTGCTCGCCATATCCAGTAGTGTAATCATTCGCGGGCGAAGGTCCATACTTCTTCTTCTCCTTCTTGTGCGAACGCACGATGAGGAGTTGCACCAAAGCGCAAACAAGGAAAAGGAAAGCGCCGATAATGGAGACGATGAAGACGGCTTTGTTGAGTCTGCAGGCTGTGCGAGGGGAGACGGCGTAGGTGACGTTGCTGTTGAAAGAGGAGTCCGCGGCACGACCTAGAGGGCCTGTGCGGATGTTGTTGGCGGTGCACGAGTGGACTGCTGAGCGGGTCAGGACGGCGATGGCGATGAAGCCGCCCATGACGAGGATGTTGAGGAGGACTGCGAGCAGGCCGAAAAAGGTGATTCCTCCGAGACAACAGGTCAGGACGACGGCGAAGAGGGTGAAGAGGGTTGCTACGCCGGCGATTCCTTCGACTGCTTTGGCGTAGGTTGGTATGGAGACATCTCGGTCTGCTAGGACTGCGAGGAAGTATCTGGGGGGGTTGATTGTTAGAGAATTCGATCGATGTTGGGGATGGAAAGGGTGAGTTTTACGAGTAGATTCCAATGATCAGAGCAGAGCACAAGAATGCCAGAACGTATAGGAACGTCTGGGAGAGGCGGAGGAAACCTCCTTTGATGAGACCCATGCTGGCGATACAACGATGAGAGAAGGGGGGTGGGGGGGTGGACGATAGAAGGGATGTGTGCTGGTATGGGGAGGGGAGGGAAGTAAATAAATAAATAAATAAATAAATAAAACAGACTCAACAACCCTCACCAGTAGTCGGGACTTGACAACATTCTATACTTCCCAAGTTTCATGACGGCACGCGATCTCCGTGGTGAAAAAACCCGCACAAGCAACAAAGGATAAATAAAACATGTCGTCGTCGTCGTCTGGCACAGCCAAGTAAAAAATCCGGGTCTGGATCACCACTCCAAGCAAGATCTTCACTTAAACAAGATCACAACGGTCTTTAGCCTTTACCGAGGAAATCACCATCTGCCAACTCTATCTCTCTTCTAACGAATCATTACTTGCCAACGAAGCGGGAAGGAAAGCTTAGCGTCACTAACAGCCGTTGACGTACGAGTGTTTAACGACGTCAGTAGTACCTCGATTTGAATTGCAAGTCTTGGATAAATCTTGCTGGATCTTGAATCTTGATGAACGATTTGTTGTTTTTTGGATTGGTTGTTTCTGTTTCGTTCGCTGGGAGTTGCCGGGTGGGTGCGAAACAAGGCACGGGATGGAATTGTTAATGCTAGACATCATCGCCTTGCAGACATCATCGTCCTGTAGACATCATCGCCTTGCAGACATCATCGCCTTTCTTCTTGCGAGGCGGCGGATATTGTTCCGCGGAGTGAGACAAACCAAAAAAGCAGGAAGTGTGTCTTAAAAGCTGGGGGAGATTTCCCGATCGCAACAATGCATTGCGTAACTATTGCATGCCGTGATGAAGACCTCTACTACGCTATGCGAGGATGTGGAGGGTGGTCGATTGCGTACTGCACTGCATGGTCACCAGCCATCTCTCTCTCTCCGTCACCAACACCATCATATCATCAAGGACCTCGAACTCCATCCCGCTAATGCTGAGGACCACAAGTTCCTGCATCGGTCAAGGCAGTATCGTAATGCAGTGGACGGAATGATGAGGAAGCCGCTTTGCCACTACATACAGCATGATGGAGCTCACGTAAGTCTCAGCCATTTCCATTCCCTTCCATCTCGATGCATCTGCCACGATGCCCAAGAAGGAGAATGTGAAGTCGCCGAAAAGCAGGCCGAGAAGCGATGCTGAAATGCGTCCCGGTCTGTCTCTTGTAAGGGTATATATAGTTCCCTCTTTCTTCGAGACATCCATTTCTTCAATCCATCCTCCTCTTCAATGTTCCAAAACATCCTCTCCTTACCAAGCAGCACATCACAGGGCAGTCCAGCGCAGCACAGTCTAATCGCTCACTTCTTGGCGAAAAAGGTACTCAAACTCTTCATACCCGTCCGATCGACCTTGGCCAACTTTTTGATCCCCTGCCCCACACTCTTCTTTCGCTTKGCCTCTTCCTCCTTCTTCCTCTTCTTCTTTACATCCTCCTTGTCCTGCTCATCTTCTCCCAGCACCCTCTTTCTCGAGAAGCTGTCGCCGATACTTCGTGATGATTGGGCCTCTTTCTTCAGAGCTGCTAGTCGGGCTAGGTGTGCCGTCAGGGAAGACCAGTCTATGAGGGCGGAGATGAGGGGTTCTAGGAGGGGAAAGAGGGAGGAGGGGATGTAGGATTTCAAAAGGAAGTCGAGTGATGTGCGGAGGCGGAGGAGATTGGCGATTTCCATGTCCTTGTCTTGCGGGTCGGAGGGGATGGTGGATGTTGCAGTTGTGGAGAGGCTTTTTTGGGAGTCTTGTTCTTTATCTCTCGTGGATGATGATTGAGAATCTTCTTTTTCATCTCTGGTGGATGAATTTTGAGAGTCTTCTGCTTTATCTTTGGTGGATGATGATGATTGAGAATTCCCTTCCATTTCTGCTCCTGCTGTGGTGGATTGTATACTCATCCCGCTCTCTTCCCTTTTAATACTCAAGACCGGGACATACAGTGCATCCTTGACGAATCTCTCCTCCATACTCTTGGGCAGAGGTTTGGAAGCCATTCTCCTCGCCTTGTGGACGATTTCGGCGACCAATTTGGGAAGGGAGAGGGCGTACATTCTATCCCCGTCTCCCATGTCCATGCAATCGCTCACGGCTTCGATGCGATGGGCGAGGATGGTGGGGAGATTGCCGGCATGGAGGAGGTGGGAGAGATGAGGAGCGGAGGTGGAGAGTTTGTCGAGGAAGTCGGAAGGAGCGAGGTACTCAGTCGAAAAAGAGGGCAAGTCGGCGGCGAGGTGGGGGAGGAGGAGGAAGAGCGGATCGATGGGGGTTGCCAGGAGGAGTGAGGGTTTTTCGAGAAGGTATCCGCTTTCTGTCGCTTCCGATGCATGAGGAGCCAGTAACCAGCTGCGAGGAGTGGCTTTGGGGGCGGAGATGTGGGTAAATTCATAGACGCCGGTGGTGGGACAGATGAAGTAGCGCGAGGAGTTGATCGTTACTATTCGAGCGTCGGAGGAGGCATGTTTGGGGAGGACGAGCAGGTGAGGCGGGCATTCCACCGCCGTCTCGAGGGATTGGAGGGTCACTTTGGTTTTGGTGGGAGCTGGGGTGGCATTGCCGGGTTTGGATCGTGTTTTGGGCATCTTTACTCCMAATGTAGGATCAATGGAGTTGTTATCGACTTTTCTACTGATGTTCGCGTGGAATGTCGAGGATCATGTACATATATATGTACTATCGATTATGCTCCGACAGACGAGACGAGACGCGAGGGAGACGCGAGGGAGACGCGTCGGTCGCGAAATTCCTTGGCCGGGATTTTGGACCGCTGATCCCCGTCCCGTCCACCTCGCACACGCACCGCGTGTCGTGCAACGTTGATGCATGAAACACTGACGGACGAATTGATTGGGCAGGAAGACAAACACGAGGGGCGCCATGCGACGACATCAATAACATCCAACATCAATTCATCCATCAAATCCATCAAATCCCACCAAATCCCATCCAATGGTCGTGGTCCGCGAATCGCCGCGCGCGAAAGAGTCGCCGGCCAAGTTGATGACTACATGGCCGCCGCAATCCCCGCTGCAAGCGCTGTGGTCGTCGCCGGGTGGGAGGAAGAAATGGCAGGACGGGCAAATCCGCGCCAAGGGCGAGAGATGTCCATCTCCCACTCCAATGGGGAGGAATATCATGCGGGACATGGACAGAGACAGGAACGGGATGGAGGAGGATCCAGAAGAGGAAGATGAGGAGGATGAAGAGACGCTGCAATTACAACTCCAGGCGCTGCAGACCAAGATCAAACTGAAGAAACTCCAGGCGGCCAAGAAGGACTTGGCCACATCTCCTACTCGTCCGCGAATGCCGCCTCCTCCGACGGTGGAAGTACCAACGAGCCCCGTGAGGAGGGAGAGAAGGCCGGAGGAGCAAGTGTCGCCGGCGAGGAGGAGATTGGGTCTGACGGAGAATCCTCGACCTGAACATGTCAGTTTGAAGCGACCTCGCCAGCAAAATCCCTTCAATCGAGATACTTCTATGACATCGGCACCCCATCCCACTGCTGCAACACGACATGTTCCACGCCCGCTCAGCTTCAACGAACGCCTGGCCGACAGCAAAGAAAAAGAGTCGCAGAAACAAGCCAAACAAGATCGTTTGGCCTCCATTCGCAGTTCTGCCTTCTCCAAAACCCCCGTCACATCATCATCCACATCGGCAACATCATCATCACAAGGAACGGCAATGCCCACGGAAACGGTCGCCGAGAAGTCCCGCAAAGCCCGTCAACGTCTCGAGCACATGACCGCAAACTCGGTCGATGCTCAATCCGGTGCGCGAACCGGCCATGACCTCAGTGATTCCGAAGAAGAAGACGACTCCCTCAACATCCTCCACAACAACTCCGAAGGCTACGATCCCTTTTCCAAGATCCACCYCAAACGCCGCCACATTCCCCATCCCGTCATCGCCAGAGAAATGGAAGGCAAGGAAGTCTACACCCTCCCGAGATTATTGAAGGAAGTCAAATCTCCCGACTACGATCCTCCCGATTGTGAATCCGACTTTGTTCTCTTCGCCGTCCTGGCTTCCAAATCCTCTCCTCTGGATCACGCGCAAACACATCGCACCGCAGGGACGAATCCCTTGGAGCCTGCAAAGAATAAATTCATGGTCCTCAAGCTCGTCGATCTCAAATGGGAAATTGACTGCTTCCTCTTCGGAACCGCCTTTACGCATTTCTGGAAACTCACCCCGGGAACTCTTCTGGCCATCCTCAATCCTGCAATCCTCCCTCCCAAAGGCAATCAACACAATGGGAAATTCTCCCTGAAATTGGGAAGCAGTGAAGACGCCGTCATGGAAATCGGAGTCGCCAGGGATCTGGCCCTCTGCAGCGCCATCAAAAAGGATGGAGAAGGATGTGAAGAGTGGGTGGATAAGCGTAAAGGCGAAGCGTGTGCTTTTCACGTCGAGTTGTTGGTGGACAAGGCGAGGAAACATCGCATGGAAGTCAACACCGTCTGGAGAGATCCCGACGGCAACAAAGACGACCGAACCAAAAGTCGTGCGGCTCGAGGGGGAAGAGGAGGGAAGAGAGGGGGCAATGGATCCTGGAGTCGAGAACACGGCATGTTATATTCCGTCCCCAAGAATTTCACCCGGGGAGGCGGGACCGCGAGTGCCATGGATCGGGATGATACCGACGCGTTAAACTCACTATCCAAAGAAGAGGCGAGTCGGAGGAGGATTGCCAATGCGCAGAGGGAGAGGGATCTGGCGGCGAGTCTGGCCGAGATGGGAAATGGAGTGGGAGCCAAGTATTTGAAGGCCACCATTACCAGTACCACCACCACCACCACCACCACTACTGAGAGGGATGTGAGGAGGAGAGGTGATGCCGATGCCGCGCGGGAGGAATTGTTTAAGAAACCTTCGGCGAGAGAATTGGGTTTGTTGGGGAATGTGGCGGGGAGCAAGCGCTTGAGTCCTCCGAGGGAGCGCAAGAGTCATTTTGGTTTGGGGTTGAACACTTCTACGAAATCAAATAACAGCACCGTGGGATGGGGCGGGGCGGGAAAATCTGGAATCGTTGGCAGGAGAAAGGATGTCCTTCCGGAGAAGGGACAGACGATGTTGAACGTTGCTGATGATAACAAGACCAGCGCGACGACGACTTCTTCTTCGACAACGACTAGAGCTAAGAACTTGGTGCGGACACGAAGTCAGGAGAGTAGTTTGAGGAGTACGAGGAGTACGAGTCCCGTGAAGAAGAGGGCGAGGCTACAAGTTCCTGATAAAGGAATTCGGGAGCCGGGGAGGGAGAGCTTACCTGGTGGTGGTGGTGGTGGTGCTGGCAGGATGGGCGGGAATAATGACCTTGATGATAATGATGATGACGATGATGAGTTGGAGATTGTTTGATGGGAGCTGGGAGATGGAGGGAGAGGAGGGTGCATAGGCAAGATCTGCATAGCATTGATATGTTGATGTTGTTGTTGCTGTTGTGTGCAGCTTGTGTGCAGCTCGTGTCTTTCCACCGTGTAAGATGAAGTCCATGGATGAATTCTGAATATGACTCTTGACCAACGTTTTTTTCTTGATATTTGGTAATATTCCATCAATTCAATCTCACTTCAACTACTTTTTACTTTGTAAACTGTCCTCCCAAATCCTCAAAACCTCCAATGTAAAAGCATCATCATCACGATGGTCCAAAACATAAAATTCCTCTAATATCGGCGCAAGTCGATGTAATTCCTCAACAGCTCTTTGAGCATCCTCCTCAAATCCCCCTCTTTCCTCCCCCATCGGTTCGTCCGTGGACCAGATGATTTCATCCATTCCCAGCGTTTTCAGAACTGGGAACAGAGGTTTCTCGTGGTGATGTTGAAGTTCCTGGAAATGACATTTCCCTCCTAGAAGAATCTCTGTCAAGTTTGGACAATTCCTCCCTAGAGATTTTAGGAGAGGGGTATTATTTTCTAATTTTTGCGCGAGTTCCACTTTTTCTAAACCCGGTAAGGATTTCCAAATATCGTTGAGATTTTCGGGGGAGAGATTCGTGAAGAGACTGGGTATTTCCTCATCTGTGAGACGTAGTTCGCGGAGATGAGGGAATTTCTTTAGGATTTCGGGATTTTCCTTCAGGGGAGGGAGGGAGGGTTGTGGGTGATGGGAGATTTTCAGGCTGGAGAGGTTTTGTAGAGGGGAGATTGTTGCCAGGAGGTTTAGAGGGACGTCCGGGTCGATTGTTAAATTTAGATGCCGTAGGGTTTTGGGTAGGAGGGGGATTAGAGAGGATAGAGCGCTGGCTTGGAGGTGGATTTTGAGGGTTTTGAGGTTGGGGAATGGTTCAGGGATAGTCTTTTCGCTTGCTACTAGATGGATTGCTGAGAGGGGGATTGGAGTCCAGGAGCCGAGGGATTGTAATTTTGGATTTGTGGCGAGATGGTGGAAGATTTCTTCGGGGAAATGGGGAGTGTAGTCTGCATGGTAGGATAGATTGATATCTATGAGTTGGGGGAAAGAATTTAGGAATTCTGGCAGATTTTCCGCTGGGATGTCGATGCCTATGTTGTCTAGGAGTAGAGTTTTTGATCTTGGACAGTGCGCGGAGAGAAGGTGGCGGAGATCTTCGTGCACGTTTCCGCCGTAGAATTCGAAGGTTTGGAGGTTGGGTTGTAGGTATTGTTTTATCCAGGGAGTCGTATCACTGGGTCTGTTGGTGTCTATGCTGATATGTTGCAGTTGGGGGAAGGTTAGGAGTGTGTATTCKGAATGAATGGATTCGGAATCGCCGTCGAAGGRGAGGGTTTGGATGTGGTTGGCGTAGATTTGTCGACGTGCTGGGGGTATGTGTAAGAGGCCGTGGGGTGGGGGTTCGCGCCAGAGGATTTTGATGCTTTGGGAGTGGAAGAGGGAGTTGACGCGGAGGGCGGAGCGGAGGGAAGGATGGTCTTTTTGGAGGAAATCGAGGATTTGAGAGAGGAGCTCTGGGAGGTGGAGAGCACGCTCCGGTGCGGTGACATTACTCATTGTTGAAATTAATTGTATCGGGATGGAAGGGATGGACGGCGAGGTATATGATTAAATGTCCATGTGAAGATTGAAGATGTGACGATGATTAGAAGCGGTGTCTCCGAAGGATTTCGGTGACTACCGGATGTCCAACCCCCCCGAGCCCTGTTCTTGCCTGATTTGGTGCCTGACAACCTCGCCTTTGCACGACGACATGGAATCTACAAAAGCTGATTTTCAAATAGTATTGCACATTCAATTAATTTAGATGGCGAGAAACGTATACGGACCGTTGCACTCGCGGTGCACGTGGCGTGCAGTGATGTTGTGATGTAGGACGGATGTCCTGAACTTTTCATTCATCTGGGTCGGTTTCGTGCCGGAGCGTGCCGTACCTTGTTTGAGGCTGGCTTCTGTGGGGAGAAAAGCCCCGGCCAGTCAGTCGACTGCGCCCAACCCAGGAAAAGCATATCCGGACACTTTTTAACGTGGCTGATCGATGGATCGTGATCGTGTCAAAAAGAAGGTGTAATTCAATCTTCGTTTGCGAAACCTGTCTTGGACGTACCGTTTCTAGCAAGCTRCCAAGCTTCCAACAGCCACGCCCTTCTTACATATCAGCTGCAACGGTCCTACAAGATCCGTATCATAGCCGATGCCATGGCTTGGCAATACAGGGTCCGGGGGAATGCGTCAAGAGGTTTCAGACTTGTGCTTCTTCGGCGTCTCACATTTGGGTCCGCTGGCCCTATGAATGTCATGATTGCACCAAAGACACTGCCGAAGCTCATGTCCATTCCATTCCATTCCAATCAATTCCAATAATCGGGTATGTAGAAGCCAGCTCGCTTCCTCTTCTAGGCCTCCTCGATTTCCTCTCTCCATCAGTCCATTTCTCCACATCCTGTACAATCTAATCCGGAATCAAAAATGAATACAACAACGCTCAAAAACAAAGCTCATCAAACAACCATAACRACCACCCCCATAAACTCATCCCACAACCCCGAAGAATGGACCAATACCTTCTGCTCCAACATCTGCGGCGGCGACTGCGGGACTTGCGTAAGTTCCACCCACATAAAAAACACCCCGATCTAACCCAACTGAAATATGGAAGATAGGAGCCTGGTGTTGCCCCTGCCTCCTCTACGGCCGCATCTCCTCCCGCTATAAAGCCTTCCCCGGAGACGACTACTCCACAATCAACACCTCCTGCTTCACATGGCTAGGATTGTGGGGTTTAGGAATCAGTTTCATCCCTCAAATGCGGAGGAGAAGGCAAATTCGAGACATGTTGGGAATTCGGGGGAGTGTGGCTAAGGATTGTTGTGTGAGTTGCTGGTGTGCGCCGTGTTCTTTGGCGCAGATGAATGTGGAGATGAGGGAGAGGGCTGAGGTGGCGAGAGGGGGAAGTGGTGCTACTGGTGGTGGTGCTGGGGGGTATGAGAAGAAGGTTGGGGGCATGGTTTATGAGGCGCGGGATGGGGAGAGGGGGGCGTAGGTTTTTGGTGTGAGGGTTGCTTTTTTTGGGGCGTTGTTGGGATTGGAGGGGATTTATCTCATCTCAAAGTTTCGTTCTTGGGAGAGTTTTGTATTCTGGAGCTACTGGGACCATTTTTTCAGCAACACTTCCCCTACGCAGCGATGGCGGAAGAAGGATATGAGCATTGGTGTTGGATGGTGAAACTTTGAGATGAGACGTATGAGGTTTTGTGGCAGAAGTTCACGTTCGTTCAAGAATTGACGACATAGAAACAATGACGAAGATCCGAGTATGGTGGAATTGAAGTGCCTAGGAGATTCTCTCGTGAATGGCCGTTATACAGCATATATTTGCTGCTTTGCTGGAGTATACAAAAGAGTGACTACAGTTGCTCCTGATCCTCCAAATCTTAGCTTCTTGCTTGCCGACTGACAGTATTGCGTCAATCTTCATAGTACAGCCRGTGCGGATACTGCTCTACCATGGGCTTCAGAAATATCATCACTTGAGCCTCATTTCGTCAACGGTGATGATACCGTCGTTGTTCACATCGTGCCTAGTAAGCAGTTAGCATTCGCTAGAGAATGTTGCGCAAGAAGACTTCTTCCTACTCGGAAAACTTCGCAGTCAGAGCCTCGGGGTCCGTATCTCCGAGGCTTGCAGTGTGAGTGAGGAAGTGCTCCAGGGTCATGTGGTCCAATCCCCCAGAGGCTTCATGTATCATGGCCTGATCAGCATTGGTGTAATCGACAACGAGTTCGGATCGAGCGAGTTTAGATGGGACGCATGCGTCACCACCAGCGGCAACGCGGCATACTAACGACCAAGTCATTAGAATTCTACTCTTCCAGAATGTCAACTTWGCTTTGCTGTCCCTCTTACCAAAAATGCGGCACTCCTTTTTCTCGACATCCCATCTATATTCCTCGTCACAATGGCAACAAAACATGTTGCAGCGGCCGTAGCCATTGCATTCTCCGCGCCGCAGCACTCTGCTATGACTTGGCTGATAGAGATGGCCACGATGGAGAGACCAAGAATCATGGGTCCCTTCATATTGCTGCTGGGGAGTTAGTGTCTCGACTGAGTGAACAGAGTGAGAAGAGATGATCAAGTTTCCTATCTCGGCTGGAGTAATGGCTGATAGGAGATGAAGTTGCGTTCTAAGATGTTGCCACTGTCTTATAGCCTATAAGCCCTTGCTATTGATATTGCTGACAGGTAGGAGCGCCGTTCGCACCGAGATTTGGCGTTTGTTGAGTTCCAAGGCCGTGACACTGTAGCACCGTGGGAAACGTATTGTAAGAAGACGACATGCACTTCAGATATTCGTGCAGGCAATCTGTGCATCACAGACGGAAGCCAAGGGACTATCTCGTAATAATCCACGCCCCAGTATTTTTACCGTGAGTCTGTTAATTTCCTGCAAGTTTGGCGCCCTGTRGTGAAGGTAGGAAGCTCTAACGCGGTATGCAAACCTCATGGTCTCCTCTTCAATACAAGGGCATCCACATACCAGACCCTGTGCTCTTTCCTTACAATAAAGCGGCGTACAAGGCGTGTCTGTTACAATCCTAGATAGTGCTACTTTTCCTTCAAGTTGCAGCAGCAAGCTCAGATAGGTCGAACATTACTCTGATCGATATTCTTCCGAGCTCATTCTGGTACGGATGCTAGATAGATATTGCTAAAAGTGGAACATGATGCAGGTATGTATTCTGGCCGGCTCGGAAACAGCCTTACGGCGGTGGCGTCGACTGTAACATCAACGTCAGCTGAGCTGAAGATGCGGTCTTACTTACGTGTACTACCTGTTCAGACCATCTCGCAAGTCTACGCTCTTCTCTCCGACTTCACACTATGTATGGGATGTTCTTTGTCGGTGTTCAAACGTCTCGGATCAGACCAGTCTGTTTCACGATGGAATTAAGACGGATTTGACCGCTACAAGTCCTATACAACTATAGCCGTATGTGCTTAGAGATGAAGTCAAGCCGTGCAACTTCCTGTATCTGTTTACCTTTGAGCTCAGAGTCTGTTGACAAAAGATACTAGATAGATGCCAACGAATTCGAAGCCTCTAGGGGATAACTAGGAAGGTATTTTTAGCGCGAGACGCACGTTCATAATGAATCCATGTTTCTCCTCAATTCGCGAATATAGAGAGAAGTGGCTTGCAAAAAGATGTCTGTCACATTCTTGTAGCGGTCTGGAAGATATCATCGGCGCACGAAGGTGCTCAGGGGCTAGTATCAGTTGGAAGAAAAAGTAGACCGGTCGGTCTTTGCTTCTGCACGTCCTAGGTGCTAGATCCAAGATCTGAAGCTTCAAAATAGTGTCACGAACGATGATGGGTTTGGGAAATGTGAGGCAGAGAGGAACTTTGATCAATATTTTTTTATTCACAGGGCCGTAGCCCCTTTTTTCTCAATTTTAATAGCTCGAAAATTGTATCATAACAATCTCGAAGAAGGATCAATCGACATCACAACTTCCCCCACATTTAATCAGGCACAGTGATGATCTAACAGTGTGAAACGCTTAGTAAAACCTCGAACAGACACCCCCCCCCTTATTTTTTAGCGACCCACAAGGTGACAGACACAAGTACTGAGACTTCCATTACATGTCGGGCAATTCATCGTTGGCCCTGGACTCTTCGATAAGCGACAAGTGCAGGTGCCGAAGAAGTTCGCGCAGATTTCACAAAGCTTGGCCACGGTGTTTGAACACATGGTGGTAGTAGGTGTGTGGGTGGGTGGGTTGTGGGTAGGCTGGGTTTTGGGTAGGCTGGGTTTGAGCTGGTTGGATGCTTTTGAGGCTTCGAAGATGTTTTTCGTGCTTGGTTTTCCCTGCGATTGGTTTTCACGATGGAGTGTGTGTGGTTGAAGCAGAAGATTTGTAGGGGAGGAAGGAGCTTTAAATACTGAAGAGGGAAAAGTAGAAAGTTATGGGAGACAGTGCTGTTGTGTTCATCTTTGGAGAGACTTTGTGAGGTTAGCTTTCATAATGCTTTGTGTCATTATTGGCCTTTGATGATGTTCAAAATCCTTTATCCAGAGGTATGATTGTTTAATAAAATCTCCGAAGTGCGGGTTCGATTCTTTGTTACTCGATGTGTGGTATTGAGAACTTCCCATTCGGTGGGTTGTTCAGTACGATGCATAAACTAAGGCGCAGTAATTTCGAAAGGGGAATCAACACTTCCCTTCCAAACTCGGATCGAAAGTTTCTATGGCAGAGCTGCCAATATCAGTTTCTTCCAATGAGATTAGCATTGTAAGAAGGTCTCTCGATAGTCTAGCGAGTGACTTTTCTAATGGAGAGGGTTCCCCCGAACCTTCTGGCACAGAGACTGTGTTGAGCGAATGGTCTTACAATCGACGCAAGGGGACCGTAAGACTCTTACTATGCTAAAAATTTCTCATATTGACATCTCTGGTCTAGGTTGCGGATTGAGATAGAGGGGGACAACCGTTGTCGATCCAAACATATGCACATAACGTCAACACCGCGATAGATAGAATCTCCCTCGACAAATTGTTGGCCCATCACTGTGGCTGTAGCGTTTTTGTTATTGAGCGAGAAAAGTAGTCTTGCTAACAGCATCTAGTATCGCAGAGATCTAACCAAAATTTTAAGATCAGCATGTTAGTTCGCACTCATTATGTCAAATACAGCGTCGGGTATCTTGAACTGCTCATGTCAGAGCCCATGTTACAACGCATAGAGGTCTGCAGTCTGCCCTGTAGGTCACAATGATTTCTGTCCCACGCGAGTAAGTATAAGTATCGATGTTTCATCTAGGTCATCGCTCTCCTGTAATTCCCATGGAAGAGAATAGATGCGAGGTGTGGACATGCAGTAGATTGGTGCGGCCAAAAGTTATGTGGATCAAAGCATGGGACAAGGCTGGGACTACCGCCATCACCAATACCCAGCGAGAATATGACGGCCGTTTTCCGGATGCTGAAATAAACGCCCTGCTATTACCACAATGAGCCATGACTGAATCGCCGTTTACTTCCGCAGCGTCGGGATGCTCTACTATATCCGCCCTTTAACACAAGTTGCAAAGACCGTATCCGGTGGAGACAATGTTGCTGCTCACTCAGTACCCAGTCTTCCACTTTTATCGTACATCTCAAAACCCCCTCTTCCCAGCAACGACACCCTCACAAGGCCCTCCTTTACCAAACAACTTCCTCAAATCTCCAGCCAACAGCTCCGGAACCTCAAAAGCAGCAAAGTGCCCCCCCGCATCGAACTTAGTCTGCTGCACAATAGGTCCATTACTCGCAGCCCATGATTTGGGCAATTTAGCTACTTCTTGTGGAAAGTATGCAAGCGCCAAAGGAACTCCTGGAATGTACATATTGACCACATCCATTCTAGTCACGCCTCCTTCCCCTACGGGATGCGCGGATTCGTAGTAGATGCGCGTGCTTGCAGAAGGTCCTTCGCGTGAGAAAGCATAGATGGAGATCCAAGTGCATACTTCGTCTTCTGTCCAGGGGTAGGAGTCGGTCCAATCTGATGCCATGTCAATAAAATTCAAACATGAACGCTGTTGCTTTGGGAGAAGAGACCTACCGTGCAGCTTTTCGTATATCCATGCTAGTAGCGCAACAGGAGAATCTGTCAGGCCATAGCCTAGAGTTTGAGGCTTTGTATCTTGTTCTTTGAGATAGCCATCGCCTTCCTCAAGGTACTATCAAACCACTCAGTTTCTGTCATGATTACTCAACGTCATGAATCACTGCCTTCAACCTACCTTTTGCGTATGAGCCAGATCCGCTCTCGTAGCGCTCGACAAAGCAATTCCTCCAATGGCTTGGAAGAAACTGATCGGATTCTTCCAAGGTTTCGGGAATCCATGGACAGGAAAGTTGGTATGAACGGCTTTGACACTCTTTGGATACAATTTGGACACCAATCTCGATAAGAAGCCACCCCAATCGCCACCTTGCGCAACATACCCGGWTTCATACCCACAAGCTTGCATCACGCCATGTAGAGTCTCCGCGTGCTGCTTCAGTCCGAAGCCTTTCCGTGAGGGATATTGAGACCAGGCATACCCGGCTAGAGATGGAGCCACAACATGAAATGCTGGGACGTTTGGATCTTGAGGATCGGTGAGTAGTGGTAAGAGTTTCAGGACTTCGTAGTATGAGCCAGGCCAGCCGTGGATGAACAGTAGAGGAATTGCATTTTCACGTTTTGAGCGTTGATGAATGAAATGGATTTCAAGTTCCTCAAAGCCCTGTACCTGGACAGGCACCGTATATTGTGGAAAGCTGTTCAAGTGCTCCTCTGCACGGCGCCAGGAGAAGTGCTTCTGCCAGTGTTCTGCAATGCGGCGCACGTCCGATAAAGGGGAGCCCATTGACCAGCCTGCATCTTGAAGCTCGGTGGGAAAGGTTGTAGTGGCGAGTTTGTTGTTGAGGGTCTCGATCTGGGCTGAGGGGACCGAGATGGTGAACGGTTTGGGGGTGCCGGTGGTAGTCATATTGCAATGCTCTTAATATCCGAAGATTTGTGGGCATCAGCGAACTTATACTCCGCGTTGAGGCATAGGATTCGCTCGCATCCTTGCAAATTCGTACATATCCGAAGGATCTAGCAGGCATACTCGGGAGTCCGGAAGTCGGTTGTGTGGAAAGTCTGTTAATTATGAGCACGGTACGAGAAGTACGAGCGATTTGCGTTTGCTATCTTTTTGTAAACTCAATGACAGGGGTAGAGCCCCTGCAAGCGTCACCCTAAGGGGTTCTTACACCTCTAGGGCTTTTCTTCACAATAGGGCTCGTCGGAGAACTGTTGGATTGGCTGTTTCCGGTCGGGATCTACATCGGATCTATCGTACAGTCTGTGTTGCTATAGCGCCCAGGGGCCTTAAATTGTCTTCACTTCAAAATGGATCTTCGTCTCGAGAGCTTCCGAGACGGCGTTGCATGCCGCAGTAAGACTCGGTCCTATCGATCTTTCGGCGCCCTTCCCGACTTTTCTGAATACCGCAAACAAGGGACTGCCAAAGCAGGGCTTGCGCCGCTCCAGCACATCTAGTAGAGTGGAAGGGCAGATGTGGCAGCTCTGCTCGAAGGGCAAATGTTGCAAGAAGTATAGAAGTACACAAGTCTTCTGACGTTTGCCAATATCAATGATGCATGCCGAACGCTAGGCCTCAATCCAAAACGGCAAATGCTCAATCGCAATCATGGCATTCGACCAAAGCACAACAGAAGAATGAGGAACATCTGCCTACTATCAACCACAATGATAGCCATMTGCATTCAAGACTTGCCGCTAATCACTCAGCTTGCCACCAATGGATCATTCAAAGGTTCCCACAGTCCAAGAAATCCCGCCTTGCCAGTCAACACAAGGCTCTCTTGCTCACCACTCTGTTGTTCAAGGGATGCTCGGAAGATTTTATACTTGTTATCATGCCAATCAATACTTTTCCAAGTCTGGCCAACTTCATCGCGGAAGGTCGTGTCGATCTCTGGTCTCAAAAAGTATGCCAAGGAATACCGATCTTCCGCACTGTCGCCAGTGACCGGGAGGACTCTGTGCAAACACGACTTGAGTCGGTTTCCAGTCAGGAATCGAAGTGAATCACCAATATTCACCACAGCTTGCCCTGGACGCACTTCCACATTCTCCCATTGACCTGTCAGCGGATCTAGAAATTGGAGGCCAGGGCCAGTGCAAAAGAGCAAGGTCAAGGAGCCCACATCCGTATGAGCGCTGTGTCCAAGTTGAGTCTGGTTCTGATCTACCGGAGAATATTTCAAAAGTCCCAARGCACTGGTAGATGGATGTTGAGGTCGATGTTGGATTGTAAGCTCGTATTGGTCAGAATTTGCGAGAGCGATGCTCAGCGCTCTAAGTACGGCCATTCCTATGGAGTGGAGCTCATTCATGGTACGTTTTAGGAGCTCTTTTTCCCTGCATAGGGTTGGTGGAAGTAATGCATCGGGTTCACCTTCATATTGTGTTGCAACACCATCGCGAGGGATCTGTTCGACACGGATGAGGTTAGCATGCTATACTCGCGAACACTCATGCAAGGAATGGAGATTCGAGGCTCGTCGCCTCTTCTGGCCGTGACTCGACGACTACGCTCGCGGATGGGTGGTTAAGATAACAAGAGTAGTCAGTTCTGCAGAGAGCCAAGTGTCACCACCGAATGATCTCTTCCCGATCCTGTTGTCGTTGCCGCCGAAAGGAGGATATTCTCGATTGTTGAAAATTGAGCGACACTCTTCAACTCCACCGGTCCTTGGTACGATACGACCGACAGTACTTACCAAATACGCTTCAAAGCCATCCTGAGTACCAAGCTTTATACCAGCATTTCTCCCCGAAGGTTTATAACTAAAAAAACTCAGCACAGGCTATGAAAGCGGCAAAACGACCAAACAACGCACCCATTGAGCTTATGTGCGCCCATTTTGTCGATATCGTAAGAAAGCTTTTCATGAAGCGGAAGGTCGTACAAGCGAATCGCAAGATCGAAACACTCGGCGATGTCGGCATTGACGCTACTCAAATCTGATCCCGTGTCTATATCAAGATGAAAGAATCCCTGCTGTGTTGCAGCGAATTTGAGATTGTCCAGAGCTTGGGGTTCCAGTTCAACGATATCAACCAATTTGACGGTCTTCAAAGTCGACATTGTAAAGATGTGTTTGTTGCTGGTGCACTGCTGCGATTGTTGTTATCACTTTACATGGGGCACGCTGGCTTTACTTGTCGAACAGATATACTGCCAAAGTGCAAAACAATCATGCGAATGAATGCACTCACCACCACCCCTCTTCATACCCCTGTAAGCCATGATAAAACGCCACCTCGTGCCACATTGGCTGCTCACTCACCGGTTTGCCAGCGCGAGCGGGGAAAAGATTGTTTTTCTGTTTGCCTTGCTGCACGTCAAACTTGGGTGTGTGATGCGTTGGGATGTAAGGCTGAATGGTGACACGAGTTCTCTTCCAACACCCGCCACTTTTCCAGAGCTCGAATTTCCGACAAAAAGACTTGATCTTCCTTCCTCGTACTTTTTACGCCACAAAGGAAAATTCTGCTATAAAGTATCGATCAAAGTGAAGGAAGGATGTCAAAGCAGCCATGGATCGAGACGCCTTTGATATGGTCAAAACGCCTATCTGGAATTTGCGGATGGTATGTGGGTTGTTGTCACGCTCTTCAAAGTAGGTACTAATTTCAGACGCAGCAACATTTATCTGAAGCTTGAGAACACTCAACCTTCCGGATCTTTCAAAAGTCGGGGCATGAGCGCTTTCGTACAGGCTCATCTTCCCAAAGAGGCACCACCCCACGTTCAAAATGGCGGGACTGAACATCAAGAAGAGCACACCACAACACACTTCTTCTGCAGCTCCGGAGGGAATGCCGGCCTTGGATGTGTTTCAGCCGCCGTAACGTTCGGTTGCCCAGCTACAATCGTCGTTCCCAATTCCACCYCCGATTATATGATATCCAAATTGGAGGATGCTGGCGCGACTAAGGTCATTCAAACAGGAGCATCCTGGTTTGAGGCAGATGAATATCTACGGGAAGAAATCTTACCGGCAGCTCGAGCAAAGGGACAAAAAGCCGTCTATGTTCCACCTTTTGATGATCCTGCTATCTGGGCAGGAAACTCCACCATGGTTGATGAGATTGTTAAGCAGCTGGCCACAGTTGACGAGCACTATCCGTCAAACATTCCACGGCCAGAGAATGGCGTCGTAAATGGAACCAAGAACGAGCCAGTCGCACTTCTTCCAGACGCCATCATCTGCAGCGTAGGAGGCGGTGGCCTTCTAAATGGAATCATGCAGGGATTGGAACRCCACGCTGCGTGGAAAGGAAAAAGTGCGGGTCCCAAAATTCTAGCCGTCGAGACTATTGGAGCAGATGCACTTTCGCAATCAGTGGAGAAAGGAGAGCTCGTCACCTTACCAGAGATCACAAGCATTGCTACTACCCTCGGCGCTCGCAGGGTTTCGGAACAAGCTTTTACTTATGCCATGGACAAAGAGCGGGTTACATGCGCTGTTCTTAGCGATGTGGAAACTGTGGAGGCCTGTAAGCGATTTGCAGATGACGAGCGAATTTTGGTGGAACCTGCTTGTGCGGTCTCCTTGGCTGTCTTGTACACTGGCAAGCTTCACGAATATCTTCCTGGTCTACAACCGGAAAGTCGTGTCGTTGTTGTCGTGTGTGGAGGGAGCGGTCTTTCTCTGGAGATCTTGAATAAGTACATCGGGGATTTCTTGGGATAGATAGCTGCGTGGACAGGCTAGATACATGATATACATGCGAAAGGGAAGTACCATTGCTCTCAGTCGAAGAATCGTGCTTGCAATGCTAGGAGCGCACGCTCTACTTCCGTGTCCTCGAATCGTCGGGCTACTTCAAGCACACTTTGAACATTGGACTTGTTGAATGACAGTGTAGACCATTCAAGAATGATGTTCGCGACTTCAGTGAATCTCTTCTCGATAGCGGCCACCAGTGGCTGAGAACCCCAAAGGTCGCATTCCGGTAACACGGCACCATGTTGAAGCAGGCATTTCACGATATTCGGTCTGTTCAAGTTAATGGCTCGTACCAGTGYCGTTCGTCCATGTTTATCCATTAGCTCCAGATTGGCATTGTAATTCAACAATGGCACGACGTAATCTAGGTTGTCGCGATTGGCGGCGGAAAGACACAAGGGATTCACTCGCCAGGCGTTGGTAGCATTGACATCTGCGCCGTATCGTAGCAGCGGCTCAATACATCTATGCGTTGTGGCCCTTACAGCGTAGTGTAGAGGTGCATCCCCATTGAAGGCAGTGAGGTTGGGATCGGCGCCATATCGTAGTAGGATTTCGAGCGCGACAAAGTCTCCGCGCATGGCAGCCCATGAGACAGCGGTTCGCCCCTGGTAGTCTCGCTCGTTGATCTCAGATGTTGAAAGCCGCAACTGAGACTCCAAGTCTAGGTCGTGGATCCCCAGGACCAGCTTATGCAAAGATGGAAAATGTCTTTGCTCGAGGTATTCTTCCGTGTCAAAATCTTTCTTAAGGGCAGCCACGAAAGCCTCATTTGTGATGTCCGACCCATCCCTGAAGGTGTACAGCTTGGAGCAAGCGACATCCATGGTGGAATGTTTTGCCTTGCATGTAAAGTACGGGTCTGCTCCCGCCTCAAGAAGGAATCTCCAGACATCAACATGACCTCGATCCGTTGCATAGACGAGAGCTTGCGTTCCATTGCTCTCATCGGCATCGAAAGCAGACGCTTTGCCTTCAGCAAATAAACGCCGAATGCCTTCCAAATTACCCTCAGTCGCGTATCGAAAAATGAGCGCTGTATCCGGGACGATTCTAGCGGCCCTTATAGTGAAGTTGCAGCTGTACAAGTTTTCGAGACTGAAGGTTGCTGACACCATGGCCATGATCAGCCATCTAGGGAACTTGTATTCGAACTGAGTCATTGGTGCCGAGCGTCTTCTGCAGCTATGTTGGTTGCAGGGGCCTGTGATCGACGCGGGATAGATGACCTCCAAAGCCAAGTTACCAATGATAGGACTCAACTTCTGCGCAGTTGCGAAACTGTGACTTTTGTGACAAGTACAATTACAGCCCCATGCGCAGTATTGTTGGTATGCAGCGCTGCGGGCTCGTTGTTTGGCTTTGAACGTACGTCGGGGCTCGATGTAATCCTCGGACGTCTCATTGGTATCAGATACCGCAACCGATACCCTTCTCTCTATAGTTCGAGTTCGACTGGTCACCGCGGACCAAGTATCACCAGCATCTGGCAATAGGGGAAGACGTTCCTGGAGCGTTGGAGGGTCGACTGTTGCACTAACGAGCACCCGTTGGTTATCGGTCTCGTCTTCGTCGGAGTCCACCTCGGTAACGATCGGACCTCCATTCGAGTCTGATGTCCGTCTCCCCTGAGGACGACCGGCCAGATCCTGGGATATCGCTTGCAGGTGGGTTTGTACTTCACCCATCATACTGTGCTGGCGGGTAAGTATCTCCAGCATTCCATATTGCATCAGGTGCTGGGCAGCGAACGAATCAGCTGCGGCGTCTGAATGTCGAGCAATCATGTCTTCGAGAGACTCAGATTGCGCTGAGTTTGCAACCGACAGGATCAGCATCACATTAGATTTGATGTTGATCAGCTCGGACTGGCAATCCTTTAGCTTCGTGAGAATGGAAAAGTTGCTACGCTTCATCCACCGGAACTTGACATGGCTTCCTTTGTTTGAACCATTGACGCCGTTGTTTGGTCCTGGATTCAGTATGCTGCTTTGACTGCCCTGCGCAATGGACACTCGAGGATTGCCTGTCTCGACCAGCAGCGATGTTTCGGGCTCCGTCTGGGATATCTGAGGTGTTGACGACACATCCTTTCCATCTCTAAGGGGGTTGAGCAGCACCTGCATGTTACTCAAGGTTTTTGAGGCTTTCTGAATCATTAAAATTAAGCGCTGCTCTGTTGCCTCATGCTGCCTGGATGGCTCGGCATGTTGTCGCGCCCTCTGAAAGTGTGCGTCGGCGTGTTGCAGAACGACTTCAATATCCTCTATGTTTTGAAGTAAGCTCTCTGTTTCTTGAGGAAGCTTTCTAGCTTTGTGAATGAACTTGACTGTGGAGCGTAATGTAGCTGCAAGCGTGATTGCGCCGACGGTAATGCTAAAAGGATCCATAGTTGCGGCGAAGGTGGTCGTTGGGTGGAACGAAGCGTAAGCCAACGTTTCAACTGCATCGGATCAATAAATGTATGCGAGGCCGGGTACACTACCCATGCCTTCACAGTGTGGCTGAGCGTGGAAAGATAGTGCCTCAGTACATGAGTGAGGAGGAGGCCCAACTGCGCCCGGCGGAGGCGTGCTAAGCAAAGACTGCTGCATGCTGCACCAAGTCAGCCTTGACTCTAAACGAGGGCTGTATTCTGGACCGTGTCGCGCGGGCAGTCAGTCGTAGGATCGAGCCCACAAGCAGCTGTCAAGCGAATGACGGAATCTTGGCAAGGATTCAAGTGTGACAATGAATTGATCAATATGACTCGTCGACAGCTCACCGGTGGGATACGCCTCTATAGAGGGAATGACCCAGAAACGTGCACGCAGGTGAGCCAAAAAGTAGCACGCGCATGTAGATCAACGAATAGCCTCCAGCTTTGAGCTCGGAACGAATCTCCAAGGCAGCCGCTCGGTTATGAATTTGCATGTGAAAGCGTGGGTCAACCGCTCGCTCAAAGAAAATCATTCTCCTCGGTTCAAAATTTCACTGCCACAATGATGTGACATTCAGGATGCTTCCAGGATTGCATCGTACTAATCTTCAGAGTCGAGGACTATAGCAGTCTTCCGAGTTTGTTTTCGAGGCGATGCCGTTGCCGGGTGGCTTTGCATCATCAGAACATCCCTCAAAGTGAAAGCCCACGTCTTCGGGCTTCGTGACTTGATGACGATTCTCGCCTTCTCCCTCCGCTGCCTTACGAATCGCACCTGCGTTTTTCTTCAGCCAGCGATACCTTGCGTCTATAGCTGGCGGGAGCTTGCCGGCATGAGGCTCGTCTGCTGTCATGCACAAATCGAATAGATCGCTCATGTACTTTACATCATCCTGAGAGCCAAATGTATGATATGCTCTTCCTTTTCCTCTTTGAGCGGAGGTATTAGTCACCCATCGGTTCATTGCCTCCTTGGAAGGCAATCTCAGGCGACCAGACCAGGTTCTTGCAATGACTGCAGCTTGGGATTCAGCAAAGGGGAATGCCAAAACTCGAAGAGGTAGAAGAACAAAAGCGAGAGTGGGGCGAGGTGTCCAGAACATGTGCAGATATGTGTTCGTATTGACACCAGTAGCTCCGTGCTCTTTGTAGTCGTCCAAATGTGACAAGAAGTCGTGTTCATAGTCGAAGCCGGTAGCAAACAGTATATGGTCCACATCTGTTTCGACGTGGCCGTCCACGAAATGAACAGCTCTTCCTTCTGACTGCAGCTCTTTGACTTGTGGGAGCATCATCTTATCGTCGCTAGTGTCGTTAGCAGAACGCTGGTACACGGACCTTGTCGATATCAGCAGCGGGGTCGCGCACTGTTTGACGATGTGAGATGCAAGATCTGAGCCAGAATGAGAGTAGCCGACGATTAAGACTTTCTGCTACGCATCAGCCCGGGTTTCAATAAGTCGGCACAAGACCCTGCCCACTTTGCCTTTGAAGCGCTCAGAACTCCGGAACTCGCTCGAATGGCTGATACTTCCTGGATATGATAGTTGCCATTCCTTGAGTCCCGTGACATCTGGAATGTAGGGCTGATTGTATCTTCCATTACATACAACGACAGCATCGTAGACTTCTTCGAAGACGACCGAAGTCTCCAAGCTCCGGTATCTTACCAACCACGGTTTATGAGTCGACGTTTCCTGCTCGCGCAAGGGCTCGACCTTCAACACCTCTGTGCGGAAATGGACCATGCCGGACAGAGCTTCACCGTAGGAGACTAGATAGTCGCGGGTAGTTTTGGCGTCAGGAAGAATAGGCGTGCCGTCTTTGAAGTTAGTGTCGAAATACTGCATGACGGGAATCGGTAGATTCGACTCCATGCCCTCGTATATTGGACTAGGGAATTTCCCGATGTCGCATATCGGCGAGGATTCGTCAGTATTCCAAACACCGCCGAGAACGCTGCGACGTTCGAAAACATCGATTTTGGCAAAGTGACCCTCGGCATGAAGGTATCTTACCGTAGTCAGAAATGGGTTTCCACAGGATGTGAGAGGCTTACTTCGCGACGGCGGCGCCGCTCGGACCTGCCCCAATAACAGCTACTGTCCGAACATATGTTGTGGCCGAGTCGTTGGTCGGTGCCGCCAGCCATCGAGGCCATATCGAGAACGTTGACCTATCATACAGGTTTGAAAACCAAGACATGGAGTCTGTGAGTACAAGCTGCCCGTTGGACCCTTTTCGCTCACACAAAAGGCGCTGCTCGACAAGACCAGACTGTTGTAGATGTCGAGGGTAGAAGGACAAATTGGAGAGCTAGCATGTCGCCTTCATATATCTGTGCAAGGAGGAGGCGAAGGAAAGACTAGGCCATAATCGAGCGGCTATTAATAATAAGGTTCTCACGCCGGGTGGTCGGAACTCGGAACCTACTTCCGGCGCATCCCGCATCCCGCATCGAGCCGGCCCACCCACTTCTCGTCGACTCAACCGCAGCTCAGGCAAAGACACACCCTCCATCGCGTATTTTCGGGCCTTTGACAAGACGAACGGCCGGTCCTCTTTTGCCCCTTGCGGAAGGCGAGCCCTCACAACAAACCAGAGAACGAAGATAGATTCGAAACACTTTGTAGCACATTTGGTGATTCTGGTCCTGAGCTGTCCACAGCATTGACGTGGCTGGAATCYCACCGCTCTGAGGGGACCCGTGTCACAGCCCGGCGAGTACCAGATTTACGTTACCGCGCCGCAGCTCAGGACAGGTGTGAGTCAAATGTGGATATGGACGAGATGGATAACACCCGTTGAAAGGAATCGCAGGATTGAAGGTTATCGCCCGTAGCGAATACAAAAGAGACTGCTAGATTGAGATACTGCTCTCATGTAGCTGTCGTCCAGCTTAGCTCGTTTTCGATATACTGCTCCCCGAAACTACGTCGAGCAGCAATAAAAGCCAACGCTCAAAGAACCGGACCTTTGACCGTACGCTGACAAAGACAGCATCATATCAATTTGGACGGGATTTTTTGCCGTAAGCATGTCTGGAAGCAACACTGGAGAGGATCAAGTGCCATGTCATGATAAGCCCAGTATTGGAAGCTGTCGACGCGGTGAAATCCAGTATGGTGAGATGTGTGTGACTTTCGACGTTTGATATGCTGAGTGTGAGTCTTGAAAAATACCCAAAGTATGAGAAAGAAAATTAATTGGTCCTCTGTAGACCTGCTTCTTTTTTGCTACCTATTCGTGAGCGCTGTCGCCTAACTTACTGTGAGAAGAGGCGGTCGTCTTCAATTTCACCGGCCCTTATGGTTTTTTTTTCGACACAGGGGCAAAGCCCCAGATTTCTTCGGTCATAACTTGCCAGCACATGTTCTCGATACAACCATGACAGATCAAGGCAATGTTCGCGAGGAGTAGGTCTTCAAATGGTGAGTATTGAAAATGGACATGATGAATGTGAGATTTGATCGAATTGAAATGCATTTGCCGCTAGTCGAATGGCCTACATGTCTTACAAACAAGGCCGTTCAGCTTTACGAGACGTCCTACATCTCTTCCTCAAGAAGAATAATATTCAGGCTAATAGTGAAGTCACAAGACATAGCCCTGGTAGACAAGTTATTGTGAAACTGAGTTGATTGCTTGCCTAGCTAGTTAAGTGAGTGAATGGCTGGCTATGTGTATCTAGCTATCAAGATTGCTAGAATCTCCCACATTGTAATTAAGTTGCGGACAGTGAACACAATTAGTAGTGGTACCATAATCCATTTCGACTCCAGGAAACGGAGGAAAGGTAGATGGAAAAAGATGAAATTGTAGAAGCGGCGCCGAAGTAACCAAAAAGGGTTGARAAACCTGAATATGCGGTAGACGCGCCAAAGGTACTGCAGGGGATTTTCCATCATCGCTTCGTCGTTGTTGGAGTAGTCCGGTCGTGATAGGTGCAAGTTGTTCAGGTTGAAGTCGTCGTCGTATCCCCAGGCTGGGGCTACTCGCCATTCCCATCCTCGTCGACTGTAGGAATCTAGTGGACGGTTGATTCGGAAAAGTCCATAGTGCGGATGTCCACGATTTGGCAACATATCGAAGTCGTACATGATTGCCATGACAAGACGCTGCGAAGTGAGTGAATTGGTGGAGTTGATTGGTTTCGATTCTCCGATTGGAGGCATGTCCGGAAACCGGCCGCCAACAGCTTCTCTGTTGAGACCCCGACATGCCAGTCGAGGTGCGTGTTCCTTGATGTGCTCTGCCGCATCTTGCAAGGATGACTCTGTAAAGTTCCATCCCTCATCTTCATTCACCCGTTGTACGTCGATGAAGTGGCAAGTCCATTCCCCGCCACGCTGTGGTCTGGAAAACTTCATGTAACAGCGCATCAGGACGTCTGTGAGTGGTCCACGAATGTGTCCACGACTCATATTATGGCCGCGAGAGAGGTTGAAAGGGAGAACAAGTTCCAGCTTGTTGAAGTTTTCGAAAACGTTGTCCGAGATGGAAGGTCCGGGAAGATTGACCGGCCTCTGAGTGGGGCGTGGGTACCGAAAGATAGGGGGACGTTGGGCGTCACAAATGTTGACGCTGAGAGTGTTGCGTTCCCTGTAGGCTTCCGTCGCTGGGCCGTAGAGACCACGAGAGGTCAGTTGTAGCGAAGTGAAATCTTGCAACACTGGGAGTACGTATGCCTCATGCTTTGCGTCGAATGGGTCGAAATGTAGGCCGACTTGGAGCCCGTTAGGCTGAATGACAAAGGTGCTGATTGCGAGCAATATCTCGTGGGGAAGCGATTCCAGAGTTGAAGACATGGTGGGAGGAGATATGTCTGCTGTCGAGCTTCGTATCTGTCGTATGAGTAGTGTTCTCTGAGTATGCTTTGATCGAGGCTGAAGCGAGATTTGTAGTGGATGGTGGATTGTAAAGCAGAGCGATGGATGTTATGATGGAGAGCTATCCCGTAGAGCACGTCTGCTTTAATATTCGAGATGTTCTTTCCTCGGCATCATCGGCTCAAGAAGTTCACAGGCGTTGTTGAAAGCCCGATCTTTGTTTGCACAAAGCAGGAGTCGAGAAAGCCGCTGCGTCGACAAAGGACAAAGCCTTTGTTGACATTGAAAATGCTATTGTCAAACATAATCTCAGAGAGTGGATCTGAAGATCGAACAAGTGCATTGTTGAGTGGTCTTCGAAGGAGAGATGTGCGAAGAATGCTCAAGGGGGTAGAGCGCCTTTGTACGAGACAATGTTGTCGGCTCCTATCGATTTTGGTCACTGAGTCGAGCTGGACAATAGCACTTCATATTATCAATGGCAATAGTCCTATAACATCCCACTCATTGCAAATAACCATGACCGTGACATGGGAGGGACTTTTAACAATAGGGGCATGATGTCACAATAGAGGGCTTTGACAGAGAATATGGATTTCGATATGACTATCTGCATAGATGGATGGCAGTTTCACGGCCCCAGCGCATTTGTCTGCAGTATACGTTGTCTGACCAGAAAATCCGTCCAATTCTGATTTCCCCTGGATGCCAAGCATTCACAAGCTTGCGTCCCATAACAGCTCTTCTCCAAGGCTTTCTACTTCCCTGACACCGCTTTCTTCATTACACACTCTGTCACAATATCTTCTCTCCTACTAACCAGAGTAGTCTCATCGTTCCGATCGCGATTTGCTGTTTTGAAGACTTGTCTTTGAGGCCCCCTACTCTTTTGAGCTGACAAGTGACCGCCAAATGATGGATTAAGCTTGTCCCTCTGAGTGATAAGGACCGTCAAAACTGCGATATTCTTGTCGACGTTTGGCGTTGCTCGAAGTATTTTGCTAGCTCTGTGTTTAGAACGTCAAGATATGCAGAATTGACATGGAGTGCACGCACTGTAAATTATCACTGATGTAGGAGAGGGGATGGTAAAGGATCTGCCGAAGACGGGTAACTGTGGATAAGCGCTCGAGTACAGCCCCCCATTACAATGAAACCCTTCTATCCACCCAGTCAACTCATCCCTACAACTCAACAACAAGCTTCCTCGCACTGACACCCTGAGACATCAAATCGCACGCCTCTTGAACACTCTCCAATCCCTTCCCAACCACAAACGGATCAGGCTTACATTTCAGCAACCCACTCTCCAAAGCACCAAACATCCAATCCCCAAAAATCCTCGGTCCAACATCTGTCATGACCTGCTTCTCCCACCCAAAAATCCCCCTCAAAACAGAATTCGGCAAGAGACCAGATGGCCCCTTACAAAAAGTCAAGCGCAACCCCTCGGGAACCTCCGGGAGAGGAAACATGGGCATTCCAGGAGGAATAACAGTCCCCACCACACGAGACTCCTTGTCCAATCCAAATCGATCCGCAATCTTGACACAAGTTTTCAAGACGTCGAGATCGATAATGGCGCTGAAGACTCCCGCGAAATTCAACCCCGAAGTCTCAATAGCCTCGACGATATTCCCTTCAACATCTGCATTCTTATAGTCGAGAACACGACTAGCACCCAAATCTTGACAGTACTGCAAATTGGCCTTCCCAGCCGTAGCAAAGACTTCATAGCCTGCAGCTCGCAGTAATTGTACGGCACAGCTCCCGACCGAAGAACTCGCTCCCCTGGAAACTCATCAGTAAGCTATTCCGAACATCTCTCATTGTCTATGTTAGGACTCACCAAACCAGAACAACCTCCCCCCTAACCTTGGGTTCCAAAACCGGCATCTCCAACCCCATATTCTCCTTCTCAAATAAACTCACAGCAGCAGTAACAATCGCAACCGGCAAAACAGCCGCTTCCTCAAACCCGACATTCTCAGGAATCTTCGAGATAAGCTGCACATCAGCTGTACAAAACTCCTGAAAAGCTCCGAATTCCACACACGCGAGAACTCGATCGCCGACTTTGAATTTCTTCTTCTGCTCATCATCATCATCAACATCCGAACCAATCTCTACAATGATACCGGCGACATCGCATCCGATGACGACGGGGAATTCCTCCCAAATGATGCCAAGGTTTTGGATCCCGGCATCACAGGGATTGATTGCTAAGGCGTGGACTTTGATGAGGATTTGGGTGGATGTTGGGACTGGGAGGGGTGCGGGGGAGATTTGGAAGGGTTTTTGTTGTTTGTGGAGGAGGGAGGCTGCTTTGTTGTTGGAGGGTGACATGGTTTGAGGGATCGTCAGATAAGGGGGTAAGAATGTAAACGGGGATGGATGGCTTGTGAGGTAAATCGAGGTTGTTGGAAGGGATACTTATGCCAGTCTTATATATGTTCTTTTGTCAACTGTAATCCCCGATATCACCGTTTCAACTGCAAGTTATGGCTGCAGGTTGTGACGGATATAAGCGAATACTGAGCTATCCGCGCTCGAGAATACGAGAGCGGGTTAGCGCCGTTCTGACTAGTGTACGAAAATGGGTTAGCTTGATCCTGCGAGAATGTGAAGTCAATCAAGAGGAGAGGCGTAAGTCACATTTCCTGATCTTCGAGCAGATGTTCGATCTTGATCGTATATGCCACATGCCACGTACCTCTGATTCCTCATTTTATCCGGTCTCCCACCTCGAAAGATCTTCGTTCCCTCGAGGACTATTCATCCCTTCCTCTCTCCAAACTCAGCAAAGATCTCGCGTATCCTCTTCTGATACCTTTCATTATCCTCAAGTTTCCTCTGGATAAATCCATCAACATCCTCATCCCACAGTCTCGCAAGAGCCATCCCTTCCACATCCGACCTCAACTCCTTGAAATACATGGGTTGCAAATGCTGTTCGAAAATCGCCGGAAAAGCATTCAGGCTCTCCCAAGCCATTGTATACCAAACTCGACCTGTCTYCCAATTCTCTCGTAGAAGTTCGCTGCAAGTGAAAGGTAGCCGTCGTGATTTCTCCTCTTCTTGTATAACATCAACGAAGAGATTATGCAGGGCTTCGTATTCCTCCAGCTGCACCCCTTCGAATTGATCAACACCACAGTTGTTGAGCCAGCTGGGTACTCGGACTGTTTGTATAGGACGGACTGAAGCGAATTCCAAATCAATCAGGCTGGTGATGTTCCAATCATCATCGACGAAAATGTTACTTTGGTGCATATCGTTGAAAGCGAAGACGAAAGGGCCGTTGCGGGAATCTTGGTTCCAGAATTTCGGGAGGAAAGCACGCAAAGCTATCAAGGCAGAGAGTTGGAGGTTTCCATCGTTCTGACTGAGGATCGAATTCGGCTGATGACGCATACGAAGATCGTGGTATCGGATCATGTCGTGGATGAATGGCTCCGTGGAATTGTAAGTTGTTGTCTGGTAAGGAGACGTTAGCTGAGCACAGCGCTGGGCTCCTGAGGGGAGAGTACTCTTGATACGCCCGTCGGGATCTGATGTTTGTTCCAGAAGAAAGTCAAATCCGAGATTGGCCGATTTGTCAAGGATAATACGCCACGGTCATTCATTGTCCACGAGCCTATTCGAGGCTGCGGTATTTTCGCTAGATCAAGCATGATGTTGGCGAGGCCTCGGTAGAGGTTGACCTTACGCTTGCTGTCACCGTGGTGCTGTTTCCAGCTCGTCCATAGCATTTTTCCCTCTTCAACATATTCTATCAGTAGATATCCATGCTCAGCAAGACTCTCTCGGCGATGGGGAAAATAAGGCGCAAGCGTCTCATCGTACCACCATGCTATGCATCGCCTGAAGAGCCAGTATATGCGATTGATCATCGACTCGTTGTCGATTGAGGTGAACTTTCGCAGTCAGCAGAGAGGACCAAGAACAGGAGCGGTCTACATCCGAGGGACCTGACCTACCGACTGTGTTCCCGGAAATCCCATCTCAAGAAGGCGAGGGATAGGAATACTAGGACAGTTCCCTCGAAGCCAGATGTAGGTCGCCGCTTCACAGCGAAGCTTCTCGTCAGCACTTCCTGGGCTGAAAGACTCGCCGACATTGAAATGAAGGAGAAAGCGAATCATGGCTCGTCCTGGGCGATTCGTGTTCCGAGATCTGTCGATGTGGATTGGCAAACATATGTTGAAACTCCCAGATATCCATTCAGGCTCTTCGCTCAGTCGGAATTGAGCGGTCGAGATGCCGAGATGACGGGCCACAAGCCCCTCGATCTGCGTTCGATGTTGACAGAGGTATTCGCGAAAATCGAAAAGGTGCTCCAATTGAAACAGGGCTGGGATCATGTCCAAATCGCTGTCGAGCGCTTCAATTTCAGTGATGGGACCCTTTCGCGTCTCAATCACCCGTACCTCCTCCATGGTGACAGACGATCAACGACGTCTGTGTGTACGAGCCGGCATCAGACATACGGCCGCACGCTTCCGACGAGGGATTATGTCATTCAATGTAGAGCACTTATGGTTTGGAGACGATCAAGAGATGGCACGACCTTGACTTTGTGATTGAACAGGGAGCGGTGTTGGCCATGCGATTCACCTTCAAGAGTTCACCCGTGCCTCCCCCTAGCTCGGGCCGGCCCGCTCCCGTCTGGCGCCAAAAGCCAATCACATCCTCTCACACCATCACTCCTCCTCCACTCTTTTCTTTGCGCCAGAACTACTTGGCTGAGCCTTTTCGGCATTTGTCATACGTCGCTGGCCTGAGTCTGCAGTGTTTCCGTTCCAGGATCCAGCGTTGGAGTTGCCATCACTGTTAGAAGCTCCAGTGCCAGTGCCGCCTCCGGAGCCAGTGCTTGTTGTTTGAGTTTCAGCTGGCATTCTATGATATCCATCAAAATGTCAGGAACTGCGTCAGAATTTAGGTGGGTCGGTCATAACTTGCTCTGAAGTGAATTATCGAGCTCAAAAATAATGTTGTAGGCCGAGAGCTCCACCACTTAGCTGCTCAAAGGTTGGGCAATGCAGTGCATTTGTAGATTCGACCCTAGAAGCCTAGTTTATGTTGAGGGGATGAGTGGTAGTAGATAGATGGATGGTGTGTAGCCATATCATGAGATAGGGACAGGAGATCAATTTCACCTTCTCCCGCCCAAAAACCCAAACATTCCACACAGTTCCAGATACAAGCGTCAACCCAATCTACCCCGTCATAGTAGGTAGACACGCAGGTACACGCCCAACACCGCCATCCTACGCACGCCCCAACCCCCTCAACTCATCCAACAACCCACACGTCTCCTCAGGACTAGCAATCCACGCCGTAGTAGCCGCCAAACGCGCCTTGAAATCATTACTCCCCGCACTCAAAAACTGATCCCCCACATGCAACGTCCTCCGTCCCTCGACTCCCCCCAGGAATTTCTGCACGCACAACACCCCCCAACTCTTATCCCCGATATCCACAAACACATCATTTCCCCCATTGAAGGCACAAAAGGGAATCTTCTTGCCGGCCTCGCTCATTTCGACCACGCGTTGCGTGACGAGGACAGTTTCTTCCAGTTGTTCGCGGGAGAGCCGGTGGCCGGGGGGTGGGTAGATTCCCACAGCGCGGGATTTCCGCAGCACGGAGACGGGGAGGGACATGCTGAGGATGCAGTTGTTGAGGGCCGCTTCGGCGGTGTCCAGGAGGGAGGTGATTAGGGGTTCGGTCCAGGCGGACATTTCTGGTAAATGCCATTGGGATTCGGGGACAAAGTCGAGTTTATGTTCCGCGGAATGGTTGAATTGGAAGAGGAAGTTTGCTTCGCCGCCCATGACGACCAACTGACTTGGGGTGTCTTGGGGGATCGCATCCAGGAGACCGTGAAGACGAGCATGGTAGGCTGAGGCGGATGTGTAGCCTGCGGCTGTGACGATGCCAATTTTGACTCCTCGAGACATGAGATCGAGGATGCGTGGGATGACGGGATTAGAGGGGGAGAGATTTTGGCCGTCTTCGTAGAGGGTGACGTCTCCATCGAAGGTGATGAGGGCGGGGGAAGGGGACTGGGGGGTGGAGATGGAAGTGAGAGATAGGCATTGGGCGGTGTTGAGGATGATGCGGATGTCGTTGAAGGAAGGAGCCACGAAGCGGCGGGAGGAGATGCGACGGAGATTATCTTGATGGGAAAAGGCGGCTACAAGATGGAATCTTCATTAAAACGACGGTTGATTCATGGGGGAGATGGGAGGGTTGGATCACCTTGCAGTGGTAAGGGGGTGAAGAAGGTTCCCACACTGGGGACCAGCAGTTTGAGTTTGGAGATGCTTCCGGGAATGTTCTGATGGGCGATGTGGTCTGCTATGAGAGCTTCGACATCGGCCATGATCTGAGCATAGCGGGAAGCGGCGGTCGAGGCCATTTCCTCGACCGAAGGTTTGTCGGATTCATGGAGATTGGTGGGTTGGGAGAGGAGGACAAAGGGGACGGCCAGCAATCCTTTGATCCATTCGATGAATTGATCCCGTCGATGGGTCTATTCAATATGCTGCTTCAATGTTTGTTTGTCGGGGTGAGATATTGGTTGAGGATTACCTTGAGGGCGTCTAATTCAATGATTAGTAGAATTCCATGAATTCGAGATGCTCGCACTCACATTCCACACGATATCTGGTCGTCATGATTCCAAAATCTTGATGTAAGTAAGAAGCAGCAAGAAAGGTCAGCCGGGAAATGTTTCTGTGAGATGCACGAAGGACTGGACAGGCAACGGCGAGCTCCGACCCCAAACGAGCTAGCTCTAGCAGCAAACATCTAGGTTTCGCATGTGACGCGCGGGTGGACGGGCCGGACGATCAGCCTTGCCGATCTCCACGATCTGCTCCACTCCATCTCTTGCCTTGTGCATACTGACATACATACTTAGCATCACACGACATCCATGACGTCCTCCCTCGCCTTCCGCCCGTGGGACGTGGCCGCCTCCACCGATCCTCCCCCGCTCAAAGATACGCTCGCGCGAGTGGCGGCGGAGCGGGGACATTTCCGCGACATCACCGAAGCCGCTCTCCTCGCCGAAATCGAAGCGAATTCCTCGTCGTCGGAGAAGGATGATGATGAAGATGACAACGACGACACATCCGACACTTCGGCCGATAACGAAGCCGGTGGACAGGCGAAGACGGTGGGGGAATTGTACACGAGCAGGAATGAAATGCTCACCTACATCAATGCCGCCCAGCAGGAAATCGCCATGGCTCTCGACTTTGTGTCCCTTCTCTCCACCGTTCAATTCCCTGCGGCAGCGACGACCATCTCTCCCATGTTGAAGAATCAGGGCATTCCCATGGCGAGTCTGGGGATGGATTTCTGGCACAAAATGCCCGCGGATCCCGTACGAGAGGAGGAAGAGGCGAAATTGGCGAGGGCCGTGAGATTCTCGCAGCTGAGGGAGAGCGCGGACGATCTTCTGGCTGCCGCAGAGAGATTGGAGGGCAATGTCAGGCGGGAGCGGGTGTTTTGGGAGCAGATTTTGGGGGTTGAGGAGAGGGGATGGAGGGTCAGTCGCATTCCTCGCGCCCACGGTTTGCTGGGTGTCCACTTTGGTTTCAATGGCGCCGCGAGGGAATTTGCCGAGAGAGATTTGGCGGCGTTGGTGGCGGGAGAGGAAGATGGCGGAATTGTCTTGGAGAGAGGCGTCGGCACCAAACCAAAGGCCATGAGGGTGTTGATTAAGAAGGATGGCAGGGTGGTCGGGTCTTCAAACTTACCCAACGAGAAATTCGATGGGGAAGAAGCTGGTCTCGAGGCTAGAATTCGAGCTGCGAGAGACTCCCTCTTCGATGAGGAACTGCAACATGAAATGGTGCGAGAAGCGAGAGGTCTCCTCTCACTGGGAGTCAACATGCAGGGGAACACCCTCTCCTTCCCCGCCGACGACAACCACACCAAAACTATCGACCTCCAACTCATTTCCCTCGATGAAGACAATTCCCTCCCACCGGATTCCCTCCACGGCTCCGACGACATGGCCCAAGCTCTCCTCCTCTCCGCCCGCCTTCTCCTCTCCCACTCCCACCGCGAAACTCTCGCCCGGAGATCCCAACCTCCCCCTCCCATGTCGGAGAAAAAAGACACCGAAACCCCGGTCCTCGCTCTCCTGCGTCCTCTGTTGAGAATACTGAAGCACGTCAACGATATCTTCGTGCTAAATACATACCTCACAAACTTACAAACCGTCCTCGGACATGCAGACATAGACATCAGATCTACCCCCGCAAAATTCACCCTCCCTCTCCCCTCAACCCCGGATTCCGCAACGCTAATAACAACTCTCCTACAACCCCTCCGCACGACCGCCAATCTCACCCTCCCTGGTATCGAAACTTCGCCAATGACGTTAGATTTCCGAATCGAAACTTCCCCCACGACGCATTCCTACACCCTCATCCTCTCAACAGAAAATCAAACCTACAACCTCCTCACCCTCGAAGACCTCTTCGAAGCCGCAGATGACTTCCTCGCCGCGGAACTCATCGCTCGTCTCCACTCCGCCTCTCCCATCCAAGGCGCCGTCTGGGAATTGGATAAACGCGAAGGCATCATGATGCGTCTGGGGCCCAATGGCGAAGATGACCGGGAAATTTTCAGCTGTAGAATCTGGGGTCAGCAGGGCAAGATGGAGTTGCACAGGGAGGGCGCAGATGGCATGCATGTGGTGTGGGGTGGGGAGAGGGAGGAGCTGATGAGTTTGTGGCAGGCTTGGAGGGAGGTTGTTCCGGCGGTGGATCTCGATTCGCATGCTGCGGAAGAGGAGAGATAGAGTCATCTTCTTGGAGTGGTTGATGCGCAGGGGAGGGATTGGGGGTATGAGCGGTTGTTTTATAAGTTGCAGCGGGAGAGTTCGTTGCAGTGGGCGAGGTTGGATATACTCGAGCCGGATGATCCTCGTGCAGTGCAGATGTTTGAAAGGATGAGGCTTCTTTACCCTGACCCTTTCGATCCAAGTTAGCGGTGTATACAAGTCTGCGGACTCTAAAATGAGATGTGGTAATGAAATAACTTCTTACCAATATCGTTTCTAGTGGGATTTGTCTGTTTTGCACGCGGCGCGACCTTTTTTTTTTTTAACCCGAAATTGTTCAAGATGGAACGTGTGCTGGTATTTCTTTGATGCTTTCGATCCGCGACATTTCTTGCCTGTCTTCTGACACTTATTCGGGGGTTCCTTAAGGTAGGGTAGCGACTTTATCAAACAAACTGAACAAGAGATTTTCCTGTCCGGAAGGTAAGGTAGGTAGAAAGGGATCAAGGGGGAGAGACTTGAGCTACGTATGTATACGTTATCGAGCTGTCTTACGATCCCATGCGGACTTTGTAGATACTAGAACCATGAAGTTGCGGTATATACGACCAAGACTTCCTCCACCTTGTTCGTAAGATAGGTAGTTGTGGGTTATATACGACGCGCTCTCTTCAATCTCCCCTCCCCCCAAATCCCCAAGTATTCCTCCGTGTCAACGTCGTTCAATGAACGAGAAGTAAAGTAGGTAACACCATCTTAAACACCCTCCTCCATCATCTTCCCATCCCTCTCAACATCCCTCCCAACCATCCCCCCAACCCCGCAACACATTGCCTCGCTACCCGGCGGCATCCATTTCGATTTCCACCACTTCGCATCCGGACAAACCCCCAAACCCCAAAGCACTCCGCAACTATAAAGCACCAGCGTAAAAATAAACACAATAATCAACAAAACAGCAGAAGTATCCTCCCCACTCCACTCCTCCTCCCCCCGCGAAAACTCTCTCAAAAAATTCCAGCATCGTATCTCTTTGACATGGCCAGACGGTTCGATTCCATATTCCAGCTGTTTCTGGACATGTATTTGGGACGAATATGGGGATTGAGGTGGAGAGGAATGGAAGGGGGATTGAGAGGCCGGAGTGCATGAGGTAGTTTGGGAAGTAAGGGAGGAAGAGGGAGAGGGATGGGAGGTCGGTGTTTTTTTAATAGGGTTCGTAGTTTTGGGGGCATGTATAAGGCGAAGAGGAAGTTCAGGAGGGAGAAGATTGGGTGGCGGTTTTTTTAGATTGTGATGAGGATGTTGTTGGGGTGGTAGTTTGTTTCGCTCATTATGGTGTTTGGAGATGTTTGGTGATTGATCGTGTTGTGTTGCTGATGTTGCTGATGAGATGATGATTTTACGCACGGTGGATGGTAGGGTTGTGTGGGTTGTGAAAGAAAGGTCGTTGGATGTCAGTGGAAGATTATGCAGAAGGATTTTGCGCCCGAGAACCTGTTCACTGTATAGCTCACCATGGTTCCAAGAAAGTTAAAGGAAGGTCAGGTGGTGGTCCTGTGGGTAGCCACTTCCTTGAAGGGCTGCCGAACCTGCCAGGAGCTGAGCATATCGATCCCCARCATTCCTCGGAATGACATCTAACCTCGTTTCCAGTTATTATCTACTCTCCGTTCGACCACCATTGGCCGCCATGTTCTACAGTCCTCCGAAGCTATCAATCAGAGCTGCCGATGTGAGAAATCATCATAGAGAGCAGCACCATCATCAACTGCCAGGCCACTCCGCTTGGAAAGAGAGCTCTAGCAGCTCCATCGTCGTCGATCCCGCCGAGAGCGAGGTTTTGACATGAAAAATTCAAAACTGACGGTATTACGTCTCGACGATCGATCCTCATATCGATCGTCTTGCCATTCGTGGGTTCAGATTGATCAGTGGACATGTTCCCCTGTCACCGTTGATTTACATGTGCACGCCGAATGCCAGCCAAACAATTTAATATCTTGCTTCCGTTAGTATTGCAGGAAGATCAGAGGCGATGGTGCGGATGACTACACTTGTTCAAAGGTGTTTGATCTGGGCTGCCATGAAGGTGGCTTTTGGACAGTGACACGACGATATTATAGTAACGGTATGCTGTTGTCGACTTCATTCTGACGGCGGATGGCCAGCTTACAGTCTCCCCTGTGAGGATATCGCTGAGCGCAGGATGGAGCATGGTTGGAGTGGTCTTGGCGTAGCGAATGGTGGAAGAATGATTGACTTTGGAGGACTCAACATCTGAGTAACTAAAAGGCAGTAGATATGTCACATGCATCAGTCAGTTGAGTGACCAGCCACCGTCTTTTAGATCCAGCTGGACGGGTTTTGGAAACCATAAGACGCTTTACCGACCACTGGCAACGAATTCCTTGATCAGACCGTCTTCACTTCTCACCTAGGACGGAGAAGCATATGATGGAAAGCTCTGTCTGGACATCAATGCATTGCGACGCAGATCTTACGGCCGCTGATAGACCGGCTGAAGCGACTTCACGTTTATTGGTAAATTATAAACTGCCTCCTTGAGCGATCAGACGGGGCTATCAATTTCCTCTCCTGGAAAGCATGTACATCGGGAAGATACGAGAGAGACTTCATTCATTGAAATCCCGGAGACCTCAACATTGCAACAGGCAAAGAACCTCACTCACCTCATCAACGAATCCCTCATCTGCTCGCTTCACTCTCGAATCGCACCACATGGGAACCTTTCCAAACTACCTTCCCTCTTCCCTAAACCTTCCCCTCCCTGAAAATCATCGTCCCTCCCCCAGCGTCCGTCCCCCATTCGCCACAACGAAAGCGAACATAGCTTCCACGCCCTCCCTCTGATGAATCTCCAAAGCCTGCAAATGCACTCTTGAAAATTTCAGATTTCTTTCAGCAGCTACCTTCTCAAGCTGGAATTCTTCGCCGTGCATGCCGATCTTACGCAATTCTGTGATTGAGGAATTGATGTGGCGGAGTTGAGTTTCGAGGGATTGGATGTTGGATTGGAGGGTGAGGATTTCGTGGGGGATGTTGAGGGGAAGGGAGGAGGGGTGGTTTTGGGTGGTCATTTTCGTTGAGGGGAGTTTGGGGGTTGTGGTGGTGGGTTGGTTGTTGATGGTTGGTTGTTGATGGTTGATGTTGATGGTTGATGTTTCGGAGCTTTTGTCAGAGAGAACGACTGATGAGATGAAATGGATGAGGTGGATTGGGAAGAACTTCAGTATACATATCGGTGACAGTGGTCGCGTGATTAAGCTGAGTGCAAGGGGCTATGATTGTTTGGTCAGGCGACCAATTTTTCAGCAGCGAGATGAGTTTGCTTCTTGAGGCTGTTGGGTATCTTGCCACATGTCTCGTTTCAAATGCCACCCTAGCCTTACAATTATTCCATGTTGCTCATGAAAGCACGAGATGCGGTCTTATGAAGCCTCACTTCAGGCTTCCTCCGTCTCTCAGCTGTGCCCGACAACGACAGAGCCTCTTCTACCTCGTGTACTTCGCTTGACACTGCGCTTGAAATCCGGACTAGATTTAAAAGTCAGCTAACTCCTCACAACCAGGCTTCCACCATCAGCCGAAGACTCACGTATTATCATAAGTATAAGGTCCAAAATCCGGCGTCCCGCCCAGCGTCCCAAAGATATTCCCTATACGAAACGTTATAAACCTCTCACTCATCTCAACCAATCCAATCAGTAGTACTCACCAATATAATTCGTAGCTTTGATCCCTTTAGCAAAAGTCTCATTCCACCCCCCAAGGATCTCCCCAATAATCTCCCTCCCAGCCAAATAAATATTTTCCACAGCGGGTTTAAAAGCCCCCTGATCCACATACAGCAAATTCGTAGTGGCCGCTTGTCCCATCGGAGGTCGATCGAAATCAGAAGCAGTCCTCATAATCATAATCCTCGAGAAATCCACCAGCTTATCAACTGCAGCTCGAAGGAAAGCTTCTAGAGAAGCATTATCTTCTTGTGCAGTAGTACAATAGTTTCCCGTCCCATTCGTGATAAGTCTCGTGAAATTCCCGAAAGCTTCCGAGAGGAGGTCGCCGCTGTAATAGACATCCGAAGTCGCGACATCACATTCCACGACTTTAGGAGGAGCAGCACCAGGAGCGTAGGCTGGGGAAGAGGCATATTGCGATCTGTAAGCTATAGCCGTATCGCTATCATTAAGCGTAGCTCTCCTCGCGAATTTCGCGGCAAGATGTTGAAGATCTTGATTCAATTCATAGACTTCTGTTCCGTAGATTGAAGTTGGATACTCATCGGGAGCTTTTGCTCCCAAGGGAATGTAGCCTGTGGTGTAGTTGGATGGGATATCCCGCATGTCGAATTCTCGTTGCAGAGCTACTTGTACGGCATATCGGGCGAATGTCACGGAGCAGATTGTGGCTACTTTGGGGTTGACACCGCCGATTCCGGCGATCATGAAGTAGGTTGTTGTGAGATCGAAGTGAGGGGATCGGACTAGGGAGGAGATTGTTGTTGCCGCGTTGATTTCGCTCTCGCCGGTTGTGAGTTGGCAGATCTCTCCGTTGGATGTGCAATGGGCTTCTGGGAAGAGAGGGCTGAAGCCGGGGACTGTGATGTTGTTTGCTAGGAGGTCGAACTCTGGAATGCCATACCAGATTTCTGCTTCGGGGTCGCTGGATTGGGGAATTCAGTATGTAGCTGATGGCTGAGTCTGCGTTTTGGACTCACAACATCGATATGATAAAGACCTTTGGCTTGATTGTATCCCCATAGCTGGCCACAGCACCGGATAGTAGCCCGCCAAGCGTCAAGGCTCTCGATATGGATGTCCACATATCGCAGAATTGAGTCAGGAGAAAGGATCGAAGGATCAAACCAAGTACGGTCATGTTTTAGAGTATCAACTCCGTTGTTGTTGACATTTGAGTCGGGCCTTTTTTTTCCAGTCGTTGCCGCCAATGGGTTAGAAGTGTTGATAAGCAATCGTAGCGTCGGCTTGTCTTATCGCCAAGCGGTCGATGCCGAAACAAAGTTTGACGTAATGAAAGTTTAGGCACGAGGGAAGTGAATGATTCTGGTCTTGTTGCATGTGATCGTCGCAGCATTATCGCCATTTAGTGCTCATGCTGTAGTATAACTTGCAATCCGTGGACTGAACATATGTGAGTCTTTCACTTACACCGAGATGAATACAGGGAACCCCTGTCCCTTGAATGAAACCCCGTCAATTGCTGAATCAATTGTGAGCGCGCTACCGATCTAGGGAATAGCGACTGTAGCTCCGACTGTAGTATAGCCTGCTACAGGGGATTGACGCTAGATCTGTCTTGGTATACGCCGTCTCAATTTGAAGTCGTGGAGTTGATTGACTTGAATATTAGCAAAGTCGTAGGGGACAATCTTGCGAAGATGGGTTATACCGATAGCCTACGGACCTCTCCGGCATAAAGCGCGCGTATCATCTTGAGCATTGATGACGTCCTGTTCAAGATGGTCGAGCCAGCAGTCGATTCAGAGAGCAGTCGTAGAACAACTAGCCGACGGAAGGAATGAGCTTGGGGCCGAGTTCGATGAATGTCTTGCCTATAGCATGTAGCAGGCCAATAAACGCCGAGAAGCGTACGAAGGCTTTGTAGCTCAACCTGCTTGCATCTTCGAGCAGCAGGAGCCTCTTGTCTTGCACGTGGCCATAGATTCGTTACAGTGGTCTCAAGCTCACTTACTTGGAATGATGCCAGATCTGTGAACATGATGGGTCCGCTCGAGGACGTATAAAATCTCGCGGCAGACCTCTTCGATCAGAGGCGTGGTCATAGGCACGGCGACGACATCACATAGAACTCATCGCTTGTCAGTTCCGCGGGATCCAGTCTGCTACACTTCGGAAACCTGGCTCCCAGGGCTATGCGAAGCTAGATCAAAGCCAATGCGAAGGATCGAAGGAAGCGTCGGGCCTCCACTTCCTCGCTTATATATACACAGCCCAGTCCATTCTGGGGTGCATGAACTTTGACTCACGGGATCTATGGCCTTAGACCTCAGGTTCGATGTAGATCGATAGAAAAAGGCCGTGAAATGAGGCTGGGATTGGTCGCTTAGCCTGGCTGGAGGTGCAGGTATATGAAGTTTCCAGCGCCTAGCGCCCCCAATGCCAGGCTGTTATGATCCCCAGTAACGGAGTTATGTAGTTATGAGTCCATTGAACAGGCCTGAGAAGTCTCAAAGCTCGCCAATCCATTCCTTTCATCTAGATGCCGTATCTTCATATCTATCAAATCATTGAAGGTATATCATATCGTCCAGGTCATAAATCTTCGTCCGTCCATGAATGCAATCGCTGTATAGTCATATTCGTTCAATCATGAATGTAAACGCTACGCTCAATCGTTCTTTGTTTCAGTCATCTCGTTCAAGCCAATCCGCGCTGCCGAAGAAAGGAGGAAGGATTTCGGGTAGGAGGCCAAGGTATAGTGGAGTTCCTCCCAAGGTTCGCAGGCATCGGATCCACTGCAGTTGGCTCATCCTCTTTCGGACCAGGAGACAACTTCGTCCATAGTCTTTTGCAAATACTCGCGTTTGCTTCGCCTCGATTGAGGTCCACCACGATCAAAGCTGTCAAAGTGATTGGGAATCCCAACACGAAGAATAGCCAGACGGTCTTTGTTGCGTTGAAAAAGTCTGGTGACATGCTGAGGAAGCTGGAAGTGAAGTTTAGTGGGATGAAGATTGTGGCGAGGAATGTAAGACGAGCCAGTTCCTTGTTCTGTTGCAAAGCATTCTTGTTCTGGTCAATGGCGCGTCGACTTTCTTCGATATTGATCGCATTGGTCGCAGTCGTTTGAATGCTCATGATTCGCGCATGACAGTCAGTCATGTGCTGTTTGACAATCTTGAAGTCAGGCCATAGAGACAACATTGAGGAGCTAGTTTCCGGACAGACTGGACTGGGAATCTGCATCGCAGAGTCGAAGGGGGTCTGCGGAATGTGTGGGAACAGCCGTGCGATAGCGTCGTTGACCATCGCTTGGTAGTATCCGATGTTGCGTCGCCATGGTGCCAGTTTCTTCATGAGATCGTCCATCTGTTTCGGTTCCGCTCCCCAATGTGGCTTTTCCATTTCCCATTCGATGAGGCCAAGACGAGCAGTCATGTATTTTGCGACTGTCAGCCATTCGGCAATGACGAGCTTTAGCACAGGCATTGCAATCCATTTGGGATCAGCATGTATAGATTCAAGATCGGTTGGTGTCAATTTGCGGGTCCAGTGTACCACCTCATCGAACAATGATGAGCCGTGTTCGAGTCCATCGGATACACTCGGGTCGTCCTTGACAGCCTGCATCGAGGGCGTATCTTGAAATGGTCGGTTACCACGCCATAGAGGATGACCGGTCTTGACGGTAGGATCGACAAGCAGGATTGCTGTGAGTTCATGGTCAGGCCTGACATGATTTGGAAATTCTCAACGAAACTCACCTGTTACCGGCTCTCCCGCTGACCTAGGCTTGATCCAAACAGAGGTCTTTGCCCTGATGAGTGTAACACTCGCACCAGCCCGGTCCAGCAGTCCATTCTGTAATTTGAGGCGGCTGCGGTCACTGTCAAGTCGGCGAAGAACATTAAACATGCCGCTCTCACGTTCAGCCTTCTTAAAGCTGTCCTCGTCCTCAAAGTATCGTGGCCGCAGGTACTGGAGCGTAAAGTGAGATCGATTTCTCGCATCGATATCGAGATTTGGGAGTTCTACCCATCGATCCCTCGTGTTGTGAAAGAGATAGTCGTTGATGTGGGAGAGGAAGAACAACGGGTCAACATCGTAGAACTCTCCCAGCATCTCAACCACATCGCGCGACAGGTCTTCGACAATCAGGAGTCTGGTGTGAATGTGCTCGCTGCTCTGTGGCGATTGCTGAAGGGCGTTCTTGAGTTTCTTGGAGTCGTCGAAGACTTTGTGATCCGGTGGTGCGCCATTCGTGAAATCAACCCTACAAACCTTTGTTCGCATTGCACGCTCCTCGCGACTTTGGAGGCCGGGACCTTTGCGAAGGAACTTCCACTTGGGGGGCGCTGCTGTCACCTCCATCCAGTGTGCGAGATACTCCAGGTGATGCCATGTCTTCCACTGCGACAGCTTCTTGATGTGTCTAAGATACGGCCCGGCGCTAGAATCATAGTCAGACCGGTGAGACGTTCGAGTGGCATATGAGTGACTAACTTCTCCACCGCCCATTCAGCGGCCCATCTCGCAGTGACTTTCTCGTACGCATCTCCGATATAGTACGCTTCGCCACCCTCATCGGTGTGAGGCTGGATTGCATCTTGGTACTCTATCACCTTTGCCTTGAGGTCATCCTTGAAGTTTCTGAACTCTTCCTCGAAGACTTCGCCCTTGAGGGATTCGGGGCATTCCAAAGGATTCGAAGCTAAGACCGGTAGTATCGTATTGGCAGATTTGATCCCGTGGAATGGCAGGGTATGCCCGTTCCGTGGAGTCGCGAGCTCGTGTTCATCGTCCAATGTTTTGACTTTGGGGCCGCACCAGGAAGAGACAGCATTGCCCATGGTTTGTTTTACAGCCGTGCTCGTGTGATGTAGCTTAGTCCCGTTCCCATTCAACCTGTGAGCAAAGACACTAGGCCAGACAATATCGCAGGCTGGCGGCGTGTGGTCTGATATATTGTACCTCTCACCATAGACTGGTTTTCACCGGTCCCCATTTGGTTGCCCTTCTGCAGAAGCGGGCGGCCTCCGCATTGTTAGAAATCGCGCCTTAGCGTGTAGTGTGCTTCATCTATTCGTTCGCTTGGACAGACGCACATGGGCTGTGCGTTAGTTTGCTGCTGAGGCTGGCAGGCGGGGCGGTGCACGCAGGCAATCGGCCAGCACAATCAGCAGACTGGGCTGAGCACATGCGCAGCACTCCCCTTCCAAGGCATGATAACTATGATCAATACCACGATGAATGATGGTGAAAGAAAGCTCAAACGACCAGGACACAAACACAACGAGAGTGGCAAAGGCGGGGCTCAAAAAGAAGAAAGCCGGATTCCGATCTCGTTCGCCCATGCAGTTGTTTCGTAGCCTCCGCTCCTCCACCGCCCCTGAAGACACTACCATCAGCATCAAAATGTCACAAAACTCGGGGATTCGCGATTCAATGGCTGCGGCACATCCTCAGCTAGTCAATGGAACCGTCAAAATGTCCGCTGATGAGCTCTCACGCTACACAAAGGATAATCTTCATTCTTGGGACGCCATGGCCGAACACTGGGAGATATTTCAATCACCAGCCGATGCGAATGGCAAAACCGAAGATGGGAATGACATGTTCACGCAGTGCTTACTCCCTGTTGTTGACGAGCTAGTCGAATGGGAAGCTGGGCAGACAGTGCTAGATCTCGGTGCCGGCAGCGGCATCATTGCTCGCAGATTCGCCAGTCAAGGCGCACATGTCATCGGACTGGACTACTCAGAACCCATGCTCCAGAAAGGTCGTGAGCGAAGTAAAGTGGAGAAGTTGAAGGGCAGTGTGACGTACGATTTCATTGACTTGATGGATTACGACCTCATGGCACAGTACATGAAAGACCGCAAGTATGTGGAACGTCATTCCGCTCCTGTTCAACTGCTGACGCGTCGAATCGTAGCAACGAGAAGTTCGACATAATAACAATCAGCACAACGTTGAAGTCCTTGCCAGATCTAGAACCGATCGCAAGAGCACTTCCTTTGATGCTTGCACCAGGCGGACGGTAGGTCCATTGATTAATAATGCAGCAGTCAGATTCCAGCTGACTCGTGTAGGGTCGTTATAGTCGATCTGCATCCTGTCTTCTCAAAGCCAGCAGGCCATCGTGGTATGGAGATATACGAAAACCCGGCCACCGGTAAGCAGCAGCTGGATACGTACATCAAAGTGCCAAAGTATCTCAACATACCTCCTACCCTCAGCGAGGCTGTCCGTGGACAGCCCGAACCTCTGGTAAGCTGTTTCTGATCGCTCAGCGAGTAACTCGGCCTTATAGCTGACTCTTCTTAGTGGGTATTTCACCGTCCATTCCACTCATTGTTAGCCCCATTCTTCAACAACAAGCTTGTGCTGGATGCCATGCGAGAGCCAGCTTTCAAAGGAGATCCAGTCCCATCCCAGGCACAATCCTATCACAACTTCCAGCAAACACCGATGTTGTTAGCCTTTCGACTACGGCACATGGCATGACACACTTTGACTCTGTTGGACGCGTGACGGCCCGCGTGTGGGCCTTAGAGTGCGTGGCATGCAGATTGCAGTCTTTTATGACACTGCCTCGGCCATGCCAATACCACAAGATGGCTGGCGGATTGCTTTGGCCTACGACGGGAGGAAACAAGAGACCAAAGCAACGTGCCGGCTACGATGCAGCATTGTCTTCGTCGATCTGGTGTGTTGCTGCGCGGGATGAGACGTGCCTATCTGCTCGGCTGCTTTATCAGAATCCGGCGAGTCGAGATACACTCGAGGCACGAGATCCACCATTGACGATTCGCTGTGTAGAGTCGGCAATGAGGCCTGAGTCCGGAAGACTTCAGTGTGGCAGTGGTTGATATCATACAATGCTGCGGAGATAAGCCTTTTCAAGCGAAGTTCACGCTGCAGAGCGTCTCGCGATTCATCTTCAGAGTTGTGGCTGTATTGTGAAAAGTGCTGTGCTGTGATCAACTATGCTGATAGTTGTGAGGTGCCTCGAAGTAGCCTGGTATTTCAATCCTGTTGATATCCCTTGAGCTCGTCTGCATTCCAGCTCAGAAACTTGCCGCTCAACTCCTTTGGTGCCGAGAGAACCAATCTGGCCATCACATTTCCCGGCTGCTCTGGTTTCAACAGCCCGCCCGTCTTCTTGAGTTCAGCGAACCTCGCCCGATCGCCGGGGTACATTGCAGTATGGTGTTTCTCTCGAATATCTTTCTGCATCTCTGTATCCACCACGCCAGGTCTGATTGCCATGCTGATCACATCCTCCTCTTCATTCGCAATTGTCGCCGCCAGATGATTCATTGCAGCTTTGGCGGAGCCATACGCGCCCCAAGTTGGGTAGGAATTGCTCGCCGCGCCGCTGGAAGTGAAGAGAATTGTCCCGCGAGTTTTTCGTAGGGCAGGGAGTGCAGCTTGTGCGAGGGAGACGGCGGAGAAGAAGTTCTTATCGAATGCGGACCGCCATTCTTCAGGTGTACTGTCGGCAAGCTTTTTGACGGGGTCCAACACCCCGTGGTTCACAATCACACCATCTAATCGCTTCCAAGTCCTGACTGCCAAGTCGACGGCCTTTCTGCTCAAGCTGAAGTCGCTCAGGTCGCCGGCCAGAAATTCCACTTGGTTGGGGTATTGGGTTTTGAGGTCGTTTAGAGGTGCTTCGCTTCGTGCTACGAGAACCAGGTTGTGGGACTTCTTTAGGAGATAATGTGCTGTTGCGAGGCCAATGCCGCGAGACGCGCCGGTGAGGAGGATTACTTTGGACATGACGGAGCAATGTTGTGTGGAAAGACGATGAAGAGATGAAGAGGGATGAGCAATTGGAATTCTGGGATCCCACCTTCGGCTTCGACCTCGAGGATCAACAAGATCAACAAGATCACCGACCTGAGGTTATTGCGATATTGCTTGTACGAGCACTTATGTGTATACAACGTCTCAATAAGAAGAGCGTAAGTCTGAGCTCCTCCTCCTCTCTCTATCCATTTTTATATCTCCTACAGTCTACAGTAAAGCAAGATGGCTCAATCGCCACAAATCATGCCCGCCACCATTATCAAAGGCCACCAACAACATACTGTAATCATCGGTCCCGGCATCATAGGCTGTGCTACAGCACACTACCTGCCTCGTGAGCAGAGCCTAGATGCCGACAATAGCATCCACTCGGTCGAAGCAGACTGGACAAAACGTGAGCCTCCAGCTTCATTGGTGAAGGGTTGTCTGCGAAGGCTGCTCCACGCACAATGCTGGTTTACCAGCGATCACAAACACTGTGTCTGTGAAAGAGGATGATCACGCGACTTGGGCAAACTTTCCCGGCTGAATGCTAACTCTACGCCGCTTCTACACCGTATGAGTACGAGCCTTGTCGAAGGACTCAAAGACAGCCATAAATGCAGCCAAACGACTCATACTGGTCAGGCCCCAGGCTGGTTGGCGAATGGCGGTAGTCATGTGGAACAGGCCTCGGATGCAGCATTGCAAGATGTCAAGAACAGGGATGGAGATGGCGTGCCGGCGTGGTTGAACAGACCCCTTAGGGATCAGGACGAGATCCTTGGTGAGGTGGATAGTCGTACAAGTCGATCCATTGCATCTATCAAAATTCCTCGCACAAAAATCATTGGAAGCTGAAGTTGTCCTGCACCAGCGAGCAAAGGCAATCGCTTTTGCTGGATCAAGCTCTGGGATCACTTCATCGTGCAATAAGAAGCATGAGACTAGAACGATCTCATGTACTCACCTCCTCGTTGCATCGGGCCTAAGACACCTCGAGTCTACTGCACATTGTTCCCTGTGGCCCTCTACAAGATCCTTATAAGTCCATACGCTGGTGACAGTCTTGTTGTCCGCGGTTCACGCTGGACGAAGGATCGCGAACAGACGGGCTGACGTGCTGTCTTTGCAACCGCGCGAAGAAGTTCCAGTCCGGAGATCTTCAGCCGCGTTGGGAATGAAGTCTGCACTGTAGGCCTGAACTGCGCCAGCATCCCATTGCCTGAGCCCGCCACAGCGGCCGCCGTTGTCGAAGGTTGTATGCAGGAGCTGAGGGCTGTTGCAGCGCGCTACTTGGGCGAGAAAGAGTATGAGGTTCAAGTCGTGAGAGAGGGTTTGTGCCTTCAATCTGTGACTTCCAAGGGTGTGCCTATATCTACCAAMCTCGCCGCTGTATAGTAGAACGCGTACGGGGACCTGACTTCTTCGTCGCTGCCGGGCATGGTCCCTGGTAATAGGCCCTTAGCCTTGCCACTGGCAAAGTAGTTGCAGAGATGTTGAACGTGGATCAAAAGACCGGCTCAGCGCTGATATCCATGGCCTGGGCATACAGTGAAGCTGGCCAGCGGCGCCATGCACATGTACACAGAGGCACGCTCTGATCGTCAAGCACATGCTCTCCAGTCGGCAATGATGTGTATACCGTCAAAATTGCCCTGCTCTTATCATCCATTCAGTGCATCCAGTCCTACGCGATGCAGCATCGCAGCGTCAGTGTCCTCTTTCTTCGCTCCCAGACTAACAGTAACTCTCATCTCCGAGAACCAAACCATTCAAATGTTCCTGGCTGCTGTTGTGGTTTACCCGCATTGTGTCCGTCAACTCGAGACCCATTCTTTGTAGTTGCTGAGCCAGCGTGTTCGTAGCTCGCCAGTCTCCGTCTTCTGCATTTGTGGGTTCAAGCGCAACGCGGCCTCGGCGGCGGGCCCAGCTGAACGTGTGGGTGTAATCGTGAAGCGGTATGGGATGGTATCGATAGGCAGTCGTACCAGCTCAAGGAGACGCTTCTTAGGTTGCTGTTGCTTTAAGCAAAGGAGCGTCTTTGGGGCGCAGCATGGCTCGTTTCTGCTGGTGAGCGGAGGACAGAGGATTGTGTGCATAACCGAGACCGCGGTCTTCCACCGGGTTGGTTTGATGTGTTGCTAAAGTGTTTTGCCGTGGTCGAAGAGCATGAGAGACAGCGCACAGAGGCTTTCCGGTCAGAGAAACAACCGTTGTGATCGATGAGGTGGATTGAAATATGAACAGACCTTGTAGCGGCGACCAATGGCCGCGCGCAGGATGACTTTCAGCTTGCAGGGGGAGAGTTCTGCAAGGATGCCTCCAGCTCAGTCAACAGACTCGTGATATGAACGATGTCTCTCGAACTACACGCGTAGACAGCATTCTTACCTGAGCATCTTGTCCACAGTAGTCCTGAGCTGGCAGCTGTTCCCTGTAAGCTGCCCGACAAGGCATCTGCTTCGCAAGGCCCTGCTCCAACAGACTTGCCTCGAGAGCCATACCGATAGACATTGGCCTCCTTCCGGACTCACACGAGCGCCCTACTATCGAGACTCTCCTTGAGAGTCTCGACTGTCCGCTGCATGCATCAAATTAGACTGCCCAACGGAGACCAGGCGCAGAGCTCAAGTTCCGCACACTTCCCCCTGATTCCCTCATCTACATCGTTCAATGCCTCGTTCAATGCCTCTGTGCATCGATCCTACCTGTAAATCTGCATGTAGTCTCCTCAAGGCAGGAGATAGTGTCCTCGCAGAGCAGGAGACGACCGTGAAGTGAATAGCCCCGTGCGAGCTTGGTCCACCGACCTCCCGCTGCCTGCCTTCCCGCTCCCTTCTCCTCGACGCCAACAAACATCCACCTTCTTCCTTCCACCTACACCACAACCACAACTGCAACCTCAACTCCCTTTTCGTGTCACTCAGTAACCATCACAAGGCGCACTGCGCGTCTGTCTCCGTCTGCCTCAAGAACCCGGCAAACCGGCACGCAGGCGGACAGCATCGAGTAAGTCTCACCGTCGTCGTCGTCGTCGTCGCCGTCGTCGTCGCAGCCGCCGTCACCATCGGCGCGCTCGACACCAGCACCTGCACTGCACTGCCCCTCCCCCCTTTACCGCTCCACTTCCTCCCACCAGTCCTCACTGCTGGCCATTCTGCTCGCTCCACCGCTGCCTCGACAAAGACACCTTGACCACCCCCTTCTCAACTCGCCAACATTGAACACCTCATACTCTCCTTACTCTCYATCAACTGACACCATCCAGAACGACCGGAGTGTCACCACGACGCTCGTCGCGTCACCTCGTTGCTGAGCCCGCGCCTCCAGCGCCAACAACTCTCAACCTGTCCCATTGACTGCCGCACACCTGCCCCTCTACACTTCTTCTCACACGCCCGTTCAATTGACAAAAGCCAACGCCATCACAAAAGTCGGCAGTGAACCTCAAGCCGGACTTCAAATTCACTTGCCTTTCCAGCCCCCTCCTTTTTTCAAAAGCTTGTTCCCCACACCAAAGCAACCAAAAGCACCGTAAGTCATCGCAGGAATGTCTTCGACACTGGCCACAGCCTCGGCCGCAGCCTTTACCGCCATCTTTGTGGCCAAATACACCAAGACTGCCGTCGGCTGTTACACGTACCTCACATTCAAGCCACGTCCAGTCAGCGATACCCCCAAGTACACATCCAAAGATGTCAGCGTGGTGATTCCAACCACGTACGGCAAGCCAAAGGAGCTCCTGGAGTGCGTTCAGGCCATCCTCAAGACCGGTCCAAGCAAGATCTTCGTCGTGTGCTCCAACACAAAAGTCAAGAAGTGCAAGGAACTTCTGAACGAAGATGATCACTTCGAGATCACTGTCCTTGGCGTCAAGGAGCACAACAAGCGCGACCAGATCTTGACCGCACTGGACTATGTCGAGTCGGACATTGTCGTCCTCGCCGACGACGATGTGTTCTGGCCAGATGCCGCATACCTCAACCTCTTGCTCGCCATCTTCGAGGATGATCAAGTTGGTGCAGGTGGCACCCGCCAGCGCGTCCGCCGTGATGAGTTCTCCGGTGTGCGTGGTCTTTGGCCGCGCATGTGGAACTTTCTCGGTATCGGCTACCTTGAGCGTCGCACCTGGAACAATGCCACCACCAATGGTAAGTCTCCTGCACTACCCCTAGTCCTGTTAACCGTWCTGACCATCTTGATAGCGATCGACGGCTCGATCTCGACCCTTTCCGGCCGCACTGCCGCATACCGCACAGTGATCCTTCAGACGGCTGACTTCCGTTTCTACTTCAAGAACGACTTCTGGCGCGGAAAGCCCCTCAACAGTGACGACGACAAGTGTCTCACGCGCTATGTGTACAGTCTCGGATGGAAGATTGCGAWCCAATTCGACCCACGCGCTGTCCTCGAAACCACGGTTGAGACCGGGTACAAATACCTGGAACAGTGCAAGCGTTGGGGCCGCGCTCACTGGCGTGGAAACTTCACCGTCATGGAAAATGAGAAGTACTGGTTTTCCCGACAGATGCTCTGGGGCATGTATGTGATCTACTTTGGATCATTCCTGACTCCAGCTGTCCTGTGGGAGGGGTTGATGTGGATTGCCCTCTACGGTGCTGTCGGCGGCACTGAGTCGGCCTCGCTGTCGTACATCCTCTTCGGCGTCTTCATCCTTGTCACCAAGGTCGTCAAGTACATCCCCCACTTCCTCCGCCACCCTACTGACACGATCTTCATTCCCATCGCCGTCTTGTTCAGCTACTTCCACGGATTCCTGAACTTGTACTGCTTGTCCACCATGACCAAGACCCACTGGGGTTCTAAGAAGCTCGGCAAGGAGGATGATATTCAGCCAAGCCACCCAAATGGCCGTGTCAAGGTCGTACTCAACTCCATTCTCGGCTTCTGTGTCGCAGGGATCGCCAAAGTCAAGAAGCCTCTCAACACGGAGGTCAATTCGCAGGTTCAGCCCAAGGTTCAGGTCGAGGACGACAACAATGACGATGGCGACGAATACGTGTTCGTGGTCAAGGTAAGCATGACGTTCCTGTCCCGTCCGCCCATGAGGCAATACTAACTCCTCTCAGCACGCCACTCCTGGCCATGGAATGCGTTTCACCGTTGAAGATGCCGATGCCGATCAACCCGACGTCGCGGTCCCCGGCTTGAACCTGAAGCATGTCGAGAAGCCTCAGTTCAACGAGTCCACTCTTCAATACGACGTTGCTGTCAAGTCTGAGCTTCCCTCTCCAACCGATGAGGAGACTGAGAATGGTGTAATGGGACCTCTCCTTCCGAAGCTGGGCGAGAAGCAGTCGGGCGACGAGGGCCGTGACGAGGGCGCCACCTCCACGAGAACCAACTCCCCACACAGCTCTGGCGATGAGTCCGTCCTCGTGCTCATCGATTCGACGTCAACCTTGGACGACGCGCCCGAGGAGATCCTGGCTAGGGACGCGGCGAACAAGGCTGCCTGCACCGGTGGCGACCCCAGACTGGAGGAGATCTACGACTCCCTCCCACCACTGGAGCGTTGCTAGAGAACTCATAGGGAGTCGTACAGCGTGGAGGCGACATCTTCGCATGGCTGCAACGTTTCCAAGATTCAACGAAGCATGATTAACGATTATGATAACATGGCTGGCAGTCCCGGCGTGGACAAGGGGGTGCATACTAGACTGGCGTGGCTTCACAGTGTCTCCCTGCTGGAGCGCAAGGGCGTCGTACCCTCACCTGTATCATAACAAAAGCATTGCTGGCATGCATAATCGCAGCACGCACAGCGCATCGGATGCACCTTTCCTCGCGGATTGGGAGCGCCCAGCCAGTGTAGCTGCTGATAACTCAAATGCATCAGAAAAACCCCGAGTCCTAGTTGTGTTTCGTTTCGTTGTTATTGTCATTGTCATTGTTGTGATGTTGAAAGAAGTTGTCGTAGACTGCGGAGAGGCCGGGAAAGGAGGTACATGTACCTTAGATGCATGGGTACGCTTCAGCCACACGCCGCGCAAGCCACGCTTYTCCTCCGCAGACTTCTTTGACGCGTTGTGCTCACCGCTACCTGCCACTTATTTTGTGCGCTTACGATACCATGGCCTTGCTTGACACCTGTCATGCGTTGAGTTTGCGAGGGAACATTCAACAATGCACAGAGCCTGATGGTTGATTGGTGGCCGGAGCGCTGTAGTTGGTCGTTGGAACACTGCTATGTAACTTATTGTWCCTCACAAATGATTCACACACCATCCACTGTGATCGCCGTGGCCGAGGTACCTTTGTATATTTGACAAGCGCGCTTTCCCACCGAAAGCTCCGGAGGTGGAACGCATTCTTGCGGCTGATCCATGGCTGTAATCGGCTTCACAGTCCAGTCCACCAGCAGCGGTGTCTATATCGGTGCCTGCACACGCAGTCGCAGACGCAACTCACACTTGGCAAGTGATTCCAGGTGACTCCAACACTAGGTACTGTGTGCCTATCTATACAAGACAAAGGTCTTGTTTGCCGGCGAAGACGGACAAACACTGCAGTCGAAATTTTGCTTGTGCGTGTACTACACGTCAAACTTCATACATATGTAGAGGTACATCCTCTTGTGCCCAATCGAGAAACCCCAGCTGCCCCAACCCGCTGGACCTTGCTGCAGGTGCCCGCAAATACCTGGATTAGGTATCGACTTCAAGTTTCCAACCCCACCAAGGCCACCCGACTGACATGGCTGCCACAACCACCTCCGGAATCGCCCTGGTAGTGCTGCACTACTTGGCACCCATCGCTGTTGGCCTCTATTTCATCGCAGCAAAGACCTTCTCCATCTGCCTGCTCCACGAACCCGCGCGATCAACAGGATCGAAGGCACGACGCTATCCCGTCATTGGTCTGCAGCTGATTGCCCTGGTGACYGTCGCCTCGCAGGGCATCAGTGCACTCTTGCAAGCAATTCGACAGCCCGACTGGAGTGCATCTCAAGACTACGTTGTCCATCTCGTGCTCCTTTTGGCAGTGCATAGCTGCTTCGCCTTGGGCCTCATAGAGACCAGCAATCCGCTATGGCATCCCTATCTCGGTTCGTGGCTGGTGGCGCTTTGCTTCGACATCGCTCTCATCTCCTTGAAGTCCACTTCGCCACTGTTGGTTGATAACGATTACTCGAAGAGCCGGATTGCTCTTTCCATCGCCAGAGCCTCGGCCCTGGTGCTCCTCTGCATTGCCACCAGCTGGTGGATCCTTCAAGACCGCAGACGGAAGATCAAGTTGGACGACGAAAGCGAGGCGCTGCTCGCCAACGGTAACAGCAACGGTCACGCTGCCACCAAGTCTCCCACGTCGCCGACCAGCACCGCAACTTTGATCGAAGGTTCCGATGATGGTGATGGCGGTGCAGACCTGGATTCCGATGGCGACATCGACTCGGAGGCTGAAGAGCCCGAGCGAGACAAGGAGCTCAAAGCGCAGCAGCAGCGACGTCTGCAGGAATCTGGCAGTTGGTTTGAATACCTCAAGGAGTTCAAGATCTTCATTCCCATGTTACTTCCCTGGAAGGATCGTCTTGTGCAGGGCTGTTTCGTGGTCATTGCTATCATCATGGCAGCCGAACGCGTCCTTCACATCTTGATACCGCGTCAGCTGGGTATTCTCGTCGAAGAGCTATCCAAACATGCAGGCACCGGAGCGATCCCTTGGAATGCCATTGGTCTGTGGATACTTTACGCTGCGTTGGGATCTGGCGCAGGACTTCCACTCATCAAGCAAATCGCACAACTGCCGGTGCAACAGTACGGCTACAAGGCGATTTCAACCACATCTTTCCGTCACATCATGGGCCTCTCGATGAATTTCCACACTGAAAAGAACTCCGGCGAGCTCATCAGGGCTATTGAACAAGGCACACATTTGCAAGACTTGGTCGACTTCTTCYTCTTCGAGGTGGGACCCATGTTCTTCGATCTGATTGTGGCGTTCATTTACGTGGCAGTCCTCTTTGATATTTACATGTCTCTCGTGCTCTTCGGCGTCGGCATATCATACATCTTTGTGGGCGCCAAGGTCACAGCCTGGACTATCAAGCAGAGACGCGATTTCAACTCCGCCTGGAGATTGGAGTCCAAAGTGCAGAATGAAGCCATCAATAACTGGCAGACTGTCTCGCACTTTAACAGAAGCAACTATGAATCCGAGCGGTACAGCAAGACTGTCGACGACTTCAATCTGGCCGAGTGGCGCTACTTCACCGCATACTACATGGGTAGCGGTGCCACATCTTTCATCATGCTTGCTGGACGTCTAGCCGTGACAGTGCTGGCATTCTGGCGTGTCGCAGGCGGCAACGCACCCGTCGGAAACTTCGTTACTTTGGTGAGCTATTGGGGAAGCATCGAGGTTCCTCTTACAAGTGTTGCATACTCTGTCCGGAAGGTCTCGCAGATGTTGACCGACTCTGAGCGGTTGCTTCAATTGCTTACCACAAAGCCGACTGTCACGGAGATTCCAGGAGCACTGGATCTGAATGTAAAGGCTGGTGAGGTCGAATTCGATCACGTCGACTTCTCCTATGACGTTCGTAAGCCCACCCTACGAGACATCACCTTCAAGGTCAAAGCAGGTCAAACGGTCGCTTTCGTGGGCGAGACTGGTGGTGGTAAATCGACGACGCTGAAGATGCTGTATCGATACTACGATGTGTCAGGAGGAGCCATCCGGATCGATGGGCAAGACATACGGAACGTTACACTCGACAGCTTGCGCGATAGCTACGGCATGGTGCCTCAGGATCCTTCGCTGTTCAACGTATCGATCATGGAGAACATCAAGTACGCGCGACTTGATGCCACCGATGCCGAGGTCAAAGAAGCTTGTCGCGCTGCAGCTATTCACGACAAGATTGAGAGTTTTCCAGATGGTTACAAGTCCATGGTTGGCGAGAGGGGTGTTAAGCTGTCGGGAGGTGAACTCCAGCGCGTCTCTATTGCGAGGGCTATTCTCCGTCAACCCAAGATTGTAATTCTGGATGAAGCCACGAGCATGATCGACGCAGAAACCGAGGATCTCATTCAGAAAGCATTCAAGCGACTAACGGCCGACCGGACGACGTTCATCGTAGCGCACCGCCTCTCAACCATCCAGCATGCCGACCTCATCTTGGTCATTCACGACGGAGAGATTGTAGAGCGTGGAACCCACGATGAGCTGTTTCAGCAGAATGGAAAGTATGTCGCGCTTTGGTCGAAGCAGCTCAACAAAGCCGTAAAGGAGGTCGGCGGTACGCTAGATGTACAGAGCGTCGTGGAGACTTTGATTCAGACGAAAGATGATGATGACGCTGCCAACAGAGATGGCAATAACKACAAGTAGTAGCAGACACGATACGACGGAGGCGCCAATTGAGCCAGGCATTTTGGGCTGCATTGTCGTTTTCGCTCTTGGAGAATGCCACTGTGATGACGAGAAAGTGCTTTTCATGTGCCATAGTGTTGCTAGTACTGTTGAAGCAGAAAAGCCCTCAGACATGACATGAGTCTCAGTCAAGACTTACTATGTAGAGCATCGCCAGACTGAATGAAGTAACTTAATGGAAGCTGGCATTCCTGAGCGGCAAGTCTCATCAATGCCGAGCAACGGGCAACGCTCATCACGTCCTGAACTCTCGTGCTCAGCGCGCTTTCATCTTCTTCGACGACATGCCCACAACAGCGGTTCAAGTCTTTGATGCAGCACAGCATACCATCATGCCATGGAAATTTCGTGACCGGCAATTGAAGGAGTGATTACAATCGACCTCGGCTCAGCTTACGAAGATCATCCTCCATTGCCGYCCCGCTGCCGTGCTCATATCAATAGACGCCGATGTAGTCTATCCCGAAGCTATACAACCTTCCACGCAGTATCCGGACAGAATCTTAAATCGTCAATCGTATCATCATGGGCGAAAGCAATCCAGGAGCCGGTCACAAGAGCGCACCCGTCGAGGTGTCATGGCTGAAGCGAGACGTCCTCCTCTTCGCTGCCAGCATTGGAGCCAAGGCGCCTGATGAGTTGAACTTCCTCTATGTAAAGCTATCGAATTGATTGAAGGAAACCGCACCGGAGTACTGATATTCATTCCGTAGGAATTCGACAAGAACTTCGCTACCTTCCCAACGTACCCTGTGATTCTCCCGTTCAAGAACACTTCGCAAGAAGTGATCGACTTCTATGCCGCTCAGCTCAAGAGCCGTCCCGAAATCCCCGGCGTTCCCAAGCTCGACAGCACCCGCGTCCTCGATGGCGAGAGAAAGATGATCTTCCACAAAGCCCTCCCCACGTCTTCGGAGGGCAGGAAGTTTGAGAGTAGGCACAAGGTCATTGGAGTGTATGACAAGGGCAAGCCCGGAACTGTGATGGAAACGCAGACGGATATCGTCGACGCTGAATCGAACGAAGTCTACGCCAGCATTATTGGCTCCGCGTTCTTCGTTGGACAGGGCGGCTGGGGAGGCCCCAAGGGTCCCAAGGGAGAGAACTTCCCCCCTCCAGAGGGCAAGAAGCCGGATGCTGTGCACGAGAACCCCACGTCCGAGGACACGCCTGTACTCTATCGCCTCAATGGAGACTACAACCCTCTGCACATTGACCCGACGCCCGGCAAGAAGATGGGATTCGGAGGTGTCATCATTCATGGGCTGTACTCGTGGAACGTTACGGCTCACGCTCTGGTCAAACTACTGGGCGGTGGAGACCCCGCGAGCATCAAGGAGTACGCCGCGCGATTTGCTTCACCGGTGAAGCCCGGTGACACTGTTGTTACGGAGATGTGGAGGACAGGTAACAAGGATAGCGAGGGATGGGAGGATATCAGATTCGTGGCTAAGGTCAAGGGTGGCAAGGTGTGTTTGAGCAATGGAAGGGCGAAGATGAGGGTGGCAGCACAACAGGGTGGCAGTAAGTTGTGATATGATCGATGCATACGATGTTATGAAAAGATATGTAAGGCTGTATCATTTGGGGTCAGCCAGTTGAAGCGCTCTCCCGTGTTCCTTGTTTGTCGTTGCTGCCGTGTTACGCGAGATTCTATCGATCGCCTCTCCGATTACTCCTCCACCACTTGCTAACGTGAGATATCTTCCGCAATGCTGTCCACAGCCATGGCCACTCTCTCTCAATCGATCATGCTCTGGACAAGGATGCAGGTTCCTCGGGCCTCAACGCGACGTTGGTCCCGGGGCAGTGGTCCAACAGCTACTCTCTCCGAGAAGCGCCGTTTGCTCATCCCTGTGCTGGATGCCCACCGGGTTAGCGCAGCCTGTCACGGGCGCAGTGCAACAGACTGGAAGCAGACCGACCGTCTGCGGTGTGAGCAAGGGTCTTTCAGCTTCTGATATCAGTTCTTTGTTAGGTTGCAGTCGCATTCGATGCCGCTGCCGTTCTCGAGACCACGGGATCATCAGCTCCATGTTCCAGCAGCCTGAGACCATCAACAGACCACCACCTCAAACCTGCAAAGGCCCCTGGCAGCCGGGTGTGAATGAAGTCGAAATCACACGCCATGTGATGACAACTCTCGCTCTCGCACATGCCGACTTTGCCTCTTCCAAGGCGCCCTGGCTCCTGACGCAGGTAGATTGGTGCTCTTGATTACACCAAAAGATCTGCGAAACCAAACGCGTGCAGCTCCAGGCTGTCGGACTGACCGTGCCTTACGGGAGGCATACGTGTGCATTGGGTGAAGAGCATGCGTGTGAGGGGCAGAATGATAAGAGCTTACGCATAACAGGGATCACCGCTGGTGATATATGAACGCAGCAACGACAAGAACGTCGCAAGCCGACAACGATCAGACTGCGAGTTCATCCTTGAGACAGCCGGCTGGATTTAGCTTCACGGCCGGGTATCGAATCTCTTTGCACGTGGCAGAGAGGCGAAGAAGCACTGTCGAACCTCTGGGCGAGCCATCCTTGCTTGCCCCGGCGTCGATCTTTGCGTCTGCGGCGTTTAGGATCTCTGGTTCCTGTCTCCCAGACACTGACATTGTTCCCACCATCATCATTTGTCCTCGACTGCTCGAAGTCTCGATCATCTCGTCAACTCGAGTGCAGCTGCTTACCCCATAATCACGCCAGCTTGACAGCCGCAGCGCTGTACATCGTCGCCGACGACGTCAACGACGTTACGATAAGAATTACCCGGACAAGCCCCGCCGTKGGCCTGACGAGCAAAGGTGGAGGACAAGCTACGCGATAGCTTGGGGAAGCGTTCGCAGTCATCACAGACGCTCAAGGTCCTTCAAGACGCAGCACCGTCGAACCCACAACGCTCGCATCCTCCTCGTCGGCCAGGACACGTTTCGACGAAGAGCTCATCGGCCATCCCCACACTCTCAACGACAACGGCGACCGTTGCTGCAAGCCAAACGAACGCTACGCRTCCTGCCGTTCGTCCGGGCAGCAGTGCCTCCACTATCAGCATGGAGGGCCAGTATACCGCAACTGATCTTTTGCGGCAGTCTCTGACGCATAGTCTGCATGGGTAAGTCGTCCCTTTCGTCATTTGCAATTACAGTTCTCCACACTTGGGCATGGGGAGCTACCTGAATCTTTCCACTGGAATAATCGCCGGAGCTCCGTAATGAAAGCACCGCAGCGAGACGCAACGCAACGCATCGCAACGAAAGCACCACAATGCAATGCTCCGGCCTTCACGACATGTCGTCTGTGCATCATTAGTGGGTCGCAACTTGCAAATTCCGGGTTTTGGGTACGGTAGATGGGAGATTTCCACCGATCAGGACTCCGGAAGCAGAGCCATCCAGAACGGAGCAACACTCCGACGCAAAAGGAGAAGTTGTTCTGAAAATGCTCGCCGCATTCCTCCAAAAGAAGTGCCGAGGGGCCGGATTTGGGAAAATCTCAACACTTCAACTCGCGTGAAGAGCGTGGGGCAAAATCCGCAGACCCTTCAATCGCTCTTTTGGCGCTTCATCGGGCGGCCTCGGTCCGGTGCAATGCGCCAGAGAACGAATGAACGAGTCTTCGTTTTCACCATTCCGCGAGTCCAGTGTATCCTCTTCCCGTATCCAAGCGCGCGAGATTGTTTACTTTTTTCTTGGTCAATTTCCACCTTTTGTGCAAATAACAACAACCAGCGTCAATCAGCCTTGCGAATGTAGCGAAGATGGCTGATCTCCTTCGCAGCAGCCAAAGCACTAAGATGCAGCATGACGATGACCACGAACACATTGGTTCCGCCTCATCCACCCCACCCAACGGTACGGCAACGCCGCGACCAGACCTCCACGACAAGCGACTGCCCGGGCTGTCGAGTTATTTTGCGCAGGTTCGTGACTCCATGCGCTCCAACAAACCTTCCGCAGAATCCGTCGCTCCTGCAAATGCAACTGCACCTGCACCTGCACATTCCCAAGAAAGCACAGAAGCGACACCCAGCGCGCTGGCAGGAGCATCGCTAGAGCCGCTCGGCGAGACCGAGAACCAGAAGCTCGGGTCACCGCCGCTTCTGCCACATGAAAAAATCACACCTCCACCCCCTCCCCAACAACAGCACGCCTACCCCACGCCTCCGCTGTCCAACTCCTCATCATTTCTCGCCATGGGTGACGTCGAGGCCAGCTCCGACGGCTCGACTGTGGCTGCATCTCTCTCGCGCCTGCCCTCGGTGGCGTGCACGGAGAATGGGCAGCCGCAGTCCACACTGCCGTCCCAGCTCTGCCGGGATACGTTGTCCAAATTCACCAGCCTGAGCATCTCCCAGCCCGCGATCTCCGCCCACATCACCAGCCCCTCTGCAGATCTTTCACGTGCTGCTTCCATTAGCGCTGCTTCCGTACCACAATCCCCAATCTCTCACTCACAGCGCCTGGAGAATGCGGTGCTGACAAGCCATGCTGCTCAGAACACCCCTCCTCACACCCCGCGAACTGGCTCGTACGTCATGAAATCGAAAGACGACGAGGTTGCAAACGTGCCACATGCGAACAACAAGACGAGCCGCTCCAGCTCCGGCGGCTCCCGCGCACATTCGCCTTCGCTCCGGCAGGCAAGAGGGCAATTGGAGGTCAGCATAGAAGAGGCGCGGGGTATTCGCCCAGCCGTGGACCCATATGTCGTGTGCATCTTTCAGCTGAATGAGGACATCTCTGGCGGACCAAAAGAGGACGAAATGGACACTGCGGTGGAGAATGAGCCCGCAGAGGAGAGTCTTGTCAAGGGTGTGGCGATGAAGCGGTTGGGCAGTGGCTCTGGGACACCCATGGCGATTCCAGGCTTGAAGAGTCGCCAAACGAGCCAGACAAACATTGCGGGCATGAGGCGGGGTTCCAACAACGTCAAGCCTGGCCATGTGGAGACAACCGATCCGATCTGGCGGCACAAGACTACGTTTGATGTGGTGGGTGAGAACAATGAGATTGACATCTCCGTGTACGACCGAGCGAACAACGAATCCTTCATCGGTCACGTTCGGTTACCACTCAACCTCGACGACTACGAGCACCAGCATGAGGACTGGTACAAGCTGCGATCTCGAGAGGGCCGTAATGAAACGGTCACAGGCGAGATCCATCTCCGCATTGCCTTCCATGTGGCAGGCAAGAGGACGTTTGGCCCAGACGACTTCGAAATCTTGAAGTTGATTGGAAAGGGAACATTCGGCCAAGTCTTCCAGGTGAGAAAGAAGGATACCAAGCGCATCTATGCCATGAAGGTCCTCTCAAAGAAAGTGATTGTCCAAAAGAAGGAGATTCAGCATACCATAGGAGAGCGCAACATCCTTGTGCGGACAGCCACGACCGAGTCGCCTTTCATCGTTGGATTGAAGTTCTCATTTCAGACCGCTGCCGATCTCTACTTGGTCACGGACTACATGTCCGGCGGCGAGCTCTTTTGGCATCTTCAGAAGGAAGGTCGTTTTGTCGAGGAGCGGGCAAAGTTCTACATTGCAGAGCTTATCCTGGCACTACGACACCTGCATCAGCACGACATCGTCTACCGTGATCTCAAGCCGGAGAACATCCTGCTGGACGCGAACGGCCACATCGCACTCTGTGACTTTGGCCTGTCCAAGGCGAATCTTGCCAAGAACGACACGACCAACACCTTCTGCGGGACCACTGAGTACTTGGCCCCAGAAGTTCTGTTGGACGAGCAGGGTTACACCAAGATGGTCGACTTCTGGTCCCTGGGAGTGCTCGTCTTCGAGATGTGCTGCGGTTGGTCACCATTCTACGCCGAAGACACACAGCAGATGTACAAGAACATTGCGTTTGGCAAGGTTCGATTCCCCAGAGATGCGCTATCGGCGGACGGCAGAAGCTTTGTCAAGGGTCTGCTCAATCGTAACCCGGCACATCGTCTGGGCGCCAAGCTAGACGCCGAGGAGCTGATGGCCCAGCCCTTCTTCCACGATGTGGACTGGGATCGGCTCAGCAAGAAGCTCTGCCCACCGCCATTCAAGCCAAAGTTGAAGGGTGAGCTGGACACCAGCAACTTCGATCCGGAGTTCACCAACGCCCTCGACGCTGGAGGAGAGGGATCGTCACTGAACGCTAGAGCCGCCGCCCTTGCCAGTGGAATCAACACTGACAGCACTCCATTGAGTCCCACGATGCAGAACCAGTTCAAGGGTTTCACTTTTGTGGACGAGAGTACGCTCGAACAGCAATTTGGAAACACAGATCCAGGCATGGACAGCTCCATCGACAACAATCGTCTATCGCGTACCTTCAGCAATAAGGCCGGTGATAGAATGAGCGGTCTCGAGCCGACCAATGCGCCCAATGTCGACGAAGACTTCAACCACGGCATGCTCGATGACATTTGAGCGTACCGAATGACCCATGAGACATGACTGGATTTACGACGTGCATCGGCTGGCGCATTGAGAGGCCTCAAGGAAGGACTGTTGCATTCAATGAAGCGAATACCCCAAAAGCACGTACACCTACACATTCACACCCACAACGACCTGGCGGCTCATACGCCACGTCTCTGTGCATATCACCCCTTGCACATAGTGGTGTTGCCTTGCACATCACAAGACATCAGTACGCATTGTGTTCCTTTTCATGACATCCAATAGTAGGATGTCGCGACTAGCAGAGCTTATCACCTACGCTTTGCCTAATTCCTCTGGAGCGGTCGTTTCTTCTTCGCAGCGTACACACATGGGCGGCATCGTTACCTTTTGTTGCTCGGGGCGTTTCGTTACTCGGGTGCCATAATGCGAGATTGCCTTAATTGTTTCAATCCGAGGGTTTTGCGCGCGCGGAAGGCTGAGAGGAACGATACCAGTTTGCCGTCGGATGTTTGATATGAACTTCTGCAGCGTGCGGGGAAGGGTTTATATGCATAGCGATCGTTCTGTTAGCGCTGAGTGAAATGCAAAGGTGTGATTAATGATGTTTGGGAGAGGTGTAAGTGATTCAACTTTTCGTTCAGGTGATTCCAGATCTTCAGGTAAATCAGCTGTCTCCTATCCTTCATGTACTGTGCCGTCTCCTTCCGCATCTTCACATGTCAAAACTCTCTCGCTCTTTCTCGCAGCTGAGCTGGAGTGAATACAGCGAGCGTCCAACACTAGCTCCATTTCTGCACGTGATTCCTCCCGGACGCTCGTTTGCTCCCGCATCTACGTTTCTTCAGAAGCAAACAACTTTGCACTTTTGCGCCTCGACATCACCGAATTTTCCAAGTAACACCAGAACACTCGATCCAGCAGGTAAACTGTTGTGCTCGTCATACACAAGATCGAATCACTCAAGCAGCTGGGGTACACCATTCATCAAAGACTACGGCCTTCATTCAGCACATCGGAACGCTATTAGCTACCGCGTGCGCGCCAGCAGTTTGAGTTTCTGATATCATGGACGCTGAGGATCGGGCAGTGGACGATGGGCGCCTTGAGCTCAGCAATACCGAGGGAAATGTCACTGGAACACCACCAAACACAGCGGACGAGGAGCGCCTTGAATTCAACAGCACCGAGGGAAATGTCACTGAAACACTACCAAACACTCGATCCAAATCAGGAGGAAACGGCGTGCCTGATGTTGAAGAGTCTTCGTCCGAATCCACGAACCCGCATGATGAGGCTGTGGGTGGCGAGGCTACTGATGCTGGTCCGAATGCCGAGTCGCCAGAAGAAGGCAAGGAAACCTGCTCCAGTGGAAACAGTGAATGGCGGGACGAAGAACCGCCTAAGCTTCAGGTCAATCATGAGGCACTGAAGCATATTGCCACTTACTTCCTGCCCGGCAACCACGGGAAGTGCACTGAAGTTCTCACTCTTACGAAAGGAGCATACCACGAGATCCGCGAGCTGCTATTCGAAGATGGCTGGAGCTGCCTCGGTAGACTCACGCGCAACCGGAAAGAGGCGCTGGGCGTGCTTGAGAGTGAGACTGCTACTGTCGATTATGTTCGTCGGCATACTACGATCCCTGTGCCCGAGATCTTCTTCGTCAATTTCAACCCAGACCATGTTGTCGGTGCCGCTTTTGTGCTTATGGAAAAACTTCCCGGGCGGCACCTATACAAGACTTGGGAAGAGCTGCGTCCTGCCCACATGTACGCAGTCATTGAGCAGATCGCGGATGTGATGGCGCAGCTCTGCAAGACGAACTTCAACTCGATTGGATCACTGGACGTCAACGGCGAGATCGGTCCACTCCAAAGCCTTACCTACTCACACGAAGAGCGCGGTCGAGGACCCTTCCAAAACACCACCGACTACATGACGAGTTTTCTGCATCCCGTTGAGCGACGAAGAGAGCCCATCATGCAACTCTACGAGCAGATCGAGCCACTTCTGGTCAATTTCATGAACCAAAACGGCAACGATCCCATCCTACAGGCTCCCTATCGGCTCACTCACGCAGACTTCGACGGGCAGAACATGCTATTCGAACAGCCCGATCCTGATCAGCCTCCACGACTCACCGGCATCATTGATTGGGACCAAAGCCATTCAGGCCCACTCTACTACCTGTGCAATTACCCAATCTTCATCCGGGACTGTGACATGCCGGTCTACCGTGATCAGTACGTTCGAAACCTTTGTCTGAGACAGAGCTTGGTGTTCTACTTGTCTCGGCATTTTCCTAGGGGCTCACAAGAGCGTCGCGATGTTCAAGAGTGCTTTCGTCAGAAGAGCTACAGTCTGAATGGGTTTGAAAATATCTTCATGGGAGCACACTGGAGACCTGAACTGGAATTGGGGGTGGTGGAGAGCTACGCAAAATCTTACAATCCAGATCCGAATTCGAGTCGGGATTACTTCCCTTACGGGGGCAAGATCGATTGGGAACCAGACTCTGAGTTGGAAAGCGAAGGTGAGGACTCGGAAGAGAATCCAGAAGAGGACCCAGTAGAGCACCGAGTAGAGCGATCAGAACATGGCCAAGAACAAGACGCAGAAAGGTAGTGAGCTTGGTAAGAAGAACAATGTATTCGGATCTTCCGGAAGTGGCCCTATGGGCGTCACGTTCAGTAAGGAGCTACAAAACACTACCTTACAGAGCACCAGAATGATGCCGATGAGCCTCGTAGAAGTTATTGTATTAATTGTCCATTCAGTCTCTGAACTTAAGCACGGAATGAATGGAACGATAAGCTTAGGGATGAAGCTGATCTCAAGGCGACCCAAATGATAGGACTGGATACAAGATTGGGAAAGGAGATCATGAAAAGAAGCAGGTTTGCAAGCTACTAACTTCGCTATCCCTAGTGCAGAGCTGTCGATATAAGGATTCTTCATCGAGGCAAAACACCCTTAGTCATCCTAACTACGTCCTAAGGCCTTGCTCTCCGCAGGCTTAACTATTGTGGGCCTGCTAGAACCCTTGCTAGTAGCAGAGTGGCTTATCGATCAACCGAGAGAGCTTTCCAGGGCACTGGTCTTGTTAATAACTTCTTGAATTCCCTGGTGCTAGGAGTATCGTACATGCTAATCTTGCCGTCATAATGCCATGCAATACAATCACTGCTCCTTCGTCCACTTCGCCTTTCCCTTTCTACCCGGTTTCGTATTCATGAACTTATCATCCTCCGCCTTTTTGTCGTCCTCTCTCTTTTTGTCCTTCGCCTTGCTCGCAGCTATGATCTTCGCCTTAGCCTCGTTGTTGCATTTCAGACACCCTTCGTTGTTCTGATAGAACCAATTTGTGTGAATCGGACAGACGGTGCAATGATCACGACAGAAACCCATCTTAGTGCGAGAGTGGTGTTTGCAGCCTACGCAGTGGTGCGTTTCGTCTTCGACGTCAGGCATAGTGGAACTGGTAGCTACAATATTAGCATTGACTTGTGCGAGTAACTTCGAGACACTTACGACTTCGGTGTGAGGATGTTGTAGTAGTAATTGTTCTGGTTCTGGTTCTGATCCTTGTTGTACCTGTTGGTTCCGCGTGTTGTTTTTCTCAAGAGTCAACTTGACAGCGTGGTCAAATAGTAGCGAATGCAAACGAGCTGTAGCAGTGAATAGCACAAGACTGCAGTGAATCGTGGCGTCTCGGTGAATAGTCATGTTCGCTGATGCGCGTAGTAGCAAGGGCAAGTAATTGACGACGCTCGTGGGTGACAATAGTACACCTTTTCGAATTCACGTATTMACATATGCGGTCAACTCCCTAATGAATGGGAGCTATTTAGTTCCTGATGTGAATGCGTGGCGCTGCTATTCTACGAATGCCGCTCCGCATGCTTGAAGCCGAGATTTTGGTCATTCACTGACGTTCGCGCTAACAAACTTTAAATTAGCCCATATCTCGTGGTAAAAGGTGCGGCACACGGGACAGTAGTGCCGCTTCTTCATGTGTGCGTGTGCGGGAGGCATTGCACTATCGGGAAGAAAAAGTTAGGTATGCGCTTCATAGGTAGGAGATGCGACTGCTTACACGTTTTGATGCCTGACCTCGAGGCTTGCGAGTGAGATCTTCCTGTGTGATGCGAGATCGAGGAAGATAGCGTAGAAGAGATGGTCAAGTCCTTGGGCTTTGAAGAGTAAACGCCGCTTCGACATCTTCGGGGATCTCCGGAGGCTGTGTGGCGCACGGAATTATATCGAATTTCTTGGCAAAGTTGAAGTGAATGAATGTGTCTCCGCCAGTCTCGTTCCTTGTGAGACGACCTGCGACCTCCAACGAGAAGCACATGACTCTAGGTATTGTATCGGTGGAGGCTCACTGATGAAGGCATCAAGATCGAAACAGTGGCATCGGACGTGACCATTCATGCTACGCCAAAAAAAAAAAGTATGGAGTCTGAGGAGGTCGCCGCTGCGAGCATGTAAAAAGATGTGTGTATACTAGTGGTGATGGACGTATATTCTGCGGTGTAGATGTGATGTTGATGATCTGAGTAGGGGAGATATCCAAAAAGGAACTTACTGGATTGATTTCGTCCTTTCTGTCTGAAACTCTGACTATATTGACCCGTCTGTTTGCTTGAAAGACTCTGTTCGTTACACCGAAGAGGTTTCCACCAACAACATCAAACATACATGTAATCTCCTCATTGGCAGGCAAGTAGGGTGTCCTGACAATGAACATACCACTACTGCTCATCCTCAAACAGCGCTCTTGTGTGTGTCAAACTATCTTCAGACGACACACCCACAATGACTGTTGAACATTGCGGCAACGAATGAAATGGAGTGAGCTAGGAGCCAGCACATTCATCGACAACACCGTCACAGTTAGCCGGAATAAGGTAGTTCTAACACGCTTGCAAAGCCATCTAGGCTTGACGCTTCGTTCATTCAATCTGCAAAGCAGTGAGCATACCATCCCACCACATCAAAAACGCACCGTCGGTCCTCATACCTTCCATAAACCAGACCATGCCATAAGATTCATGAAACCCACAGAAGTAAGACCCTGTTCCCTAACCTTTTATCCTGACCACCACGCAGGTCGATAATGATGCCACCTTCTATGCCAGAACGCCTCATTCGCCCAACGCCCGGATAACATCAAACCGGGTACCCATTGAGGCCAATTTTCAAACCCTGGCGCTGACAACACTGACTCTCCGTGCCCCAAGAACGTTTCCATCCCAACTCCAAATCGCGCGCCTGCATAAAAGCTTTCCTGCACTCTTCTGGAAGCTCTTCGATGAGGTCTTGAGAGACTGTGCTGAGGCCATTGGGTCCTGATGAAGGGTCGAAGACGTGGCCGTCAGGTCCTGGGTAGCCTGCGTTGGAGAGAGGTGCAGAGGAAAAGGCCGTGTCTATGACTGTGAAGTTTCGCGAGATCACGGCCGGGACTTTTGGGAAGACGGAACGAGTGTGGTGGTCTACGTCCATTGCGTCGTGATTGTGGCCGTTGGTATTTCCGTTCGTGAGATGAGGTTTCGTTTCAGATGCCGCGGGCTCGGGTGGGATTTGCTCCCATTTGGCATGTGTTGGCTGCATGATCTTTGGGTAGAACATCATGTTGGTGTTGGGGTCGTAGACACCGTCAAGATTCGCTTGGCGGAGGGATGCAAGTGTGGTGTTGAATTTGCTGCGAGATCAGTTAGTCTGTGATCTCTTCCCACGACACGCACAACATACCTCGCCTCCTTCGCATGCATGAATTGCCAGTTTTGTAGAGTGCAGTTGTTCCTCCGCTTGAGCGCACCACTTTGCTTTGTATGTGGCATGGTCCCGCCACCCGCCTGAGCTCGATATACCTCGCTTGCACCGAACCACGCCACGTATCGATTGCGGTTGTAGGCTTCCTGCGAGTCAGGGACATGGTCGTCTGGATCTGCGAGCTCTCCTTCCACATCACCGTTCGCCCTCGCTTCCGCAACTTTGTAGTCGTCTATGATTCGCCGTCCACCGACAATGATCTTGGCTCCAAATTCGCGAAAGACGGAGCGGGCAGTGACCACTCCAATGTTCCGTCCTTTGTAGCTGTTGGGTAAGATATCCCTGTCGATCAGATCCTTCTTCTCCTCATCGCCAACGACGACCTTGTAGAGCTTGGGGTGCTTGGTGAAGAAGAGGTAACTATCACGGAAACCACAACAACGTGCGGGTTCCGTAGAAAGCATGTACAGGCGTTCATCCTTGCCCATGATGGTGAATGTGCGCACACGATACTCCCGCCCTCCTTGAAGATGGCCCTTCTTATCGACCTTCTCATTGCCCTCGGGATCGTCGTCGACCAGCGCTTCGTCGTCCACCACATCCAATGCCCGGCCGTTCTTGTCGATGATGAACCGCGGCGCATCGGAATGGGCATTACCACGTCCGCGACCTCCGCGCCCTCTTCCCCGCCCACTACCTCTCCCACCGCCCGTGCCTGGAGGGCGGCCTCGTCTCCGGCGCATTGGTGTGCCAGATTCGCTCCCATCGTCTCCGGTGGGGTCCGGGGTGTTGCCATAGCCTATGCGTGACCGCGGCCGACCTCCTCGCCCTCTCCGTCGCGGGATTGTGGTGACCGTCGGAGTCGCATCGTCGTCGTCATCCTCGTCGTCGTCGTCCTCTGCAGCTGGGGTTGMCGCTTCCTCGTCTTCCTCGTCCTCCTCCGCTACATCTTCTTGGGGAGTCGCGTCGCGCGCATCGTCGTATACAACATCGCCGTCTCCCTCTGCCATTTCCTCATCGGATCCGTCGTGCACCACTGGAGGTGCGGATACGCCTGCAGTCAGGTTAGTTGCTTGCGACATTGACATTTGTGGTGGATGGCGCGGAGGCGCTTACGGGTATTTGTTAGGGAGATTCGCGTGCTCTTGCGGCCCTTTTTAAACGGCATCTCGGCAATCGACCAGGGTGGTCGAGGGTTAGGATGCTTTGCGATGGCTTGGCGAGATCAGAATGTGAGCGTGTATAGCTTTCCGCGTCCCTGGATTGCAGATGCAAGATTGACCTGGGACGCGAGGGAGCTTCCCTCTAGCGGGTGTTGATTTAGCCGGGATTTACCCGTCGCCATTCGACACATCCCACGTTTCATTCATTCTTGCTCACTCAACATTACATATCTAGACAAGATGCCCGAGTCCCGCTCCCGACAGCCGCTGGCATGGATTGACTGCGAGATGACGGGCTTGGATGTCGAGAATGACAGCATCATGTCGTTGGCTTGCTTCGTCACGGATTATGAGCTGAATGTGCTGGATGAGACGGGCTATGAAGCAGTTATCCATCACTCGCAGGAACAATTGGATAAGATGGGCGAGTGGTGTACGTCCCATCATGGCGACTCTGGCCTCACCGCCGCATGTCTAGCTTCTACCACGACCGCCGACCAGGCCGCCACCGAGCTTCTGGCCTATATTCAGCAGTTCGCACCAGAAAGAAAACGGGCTTTGCTAGCTGGAAATACCGTGCATGCCGACAAGTCTTTCCTGGTCAAGGAGCCTTGGAGAAAGGTCGTCAGACACCTGCATCATCGAATTCTGGATGTCAGTGCCATCAAAGAGGCCGCCAAACGATGGGCACCAGAACCCATCATCAAGCAGAGTCCGCAAAAGGCGGGTCTGCATGAGGCCAAGGCTGATATCCTGGAGAGCATTGAGGAAGCGAGATTCTACAGGAGAGTCTTCTTTCAGACGCCTGGTGGCGAAGTGTGATGGGTGTAGGTCAGCGCTTGCAAGATTGGTGCCTCCGAATTGAACACATGGAGTGTCTCTCCATGACATTCTGACGGTGGCAATGAGACACTCCAAGGTTGCCAGATCTTAATGCTACATTCTCGCATCGGAGAGCCCGGCTGTCCTTACTGAGTGATTGGCAGTGACATCCACGGGGCAGAGGCACGCCGCATGCAGCGTTGCGGTCATTGGGGTCGGACAGCAATGCAAGATGCCATGGCACATATACAGGTAAGTAGGTCATATCTAAGCCATCTGACAGCCATTATTGTCTTGCTGTCCGTTTGTACATCCAAGCTCAATGGAGGGACGATGAGAAGAACATCGGGTACACATGCATCAAACAATGCAGGACTGAGAAGGACATTAGCAATTCCAGTCCTCAATATGCCTCATCTACCCAATGGAATTCCACAATGTGGACGCGTTTTAGCGTGTCACTTGAGACGATCACGATTGTGACGATCATGACGTATGTTTACCCACGACGCGGCATTGGCATTGGGAGCTGCAGCGAACAGTATTTATTCCAGACGGATTGAAGACTTCTCCCCGGATCTCACGCCACCAGAATAACACCACCTTCACATAACTCACACAACATCTAGCAGTCACAATGCCGACATCCAAACGTCCATCGTCTCGCGCCGCAGAGTCCGAGCCCGACCCAAAACGAGTCGAGACAGACCAGACGAACAACACCACAAATGATAATGATTCAGGATCAGAAACACCAGATGAAGCCACCTTGGAGGTATGACCAACCATCATCTTCTCCTCCGATCTCCAGCCAGCAACTAAAGCCGACAGGCTCTCGAAAACGAATTCGAACCCTACGAATACGTCTGCCTCAACATACCACCCTATGGCCGCGACACAGATGAAGACGACGAAGACCAAGATCCAGAAGAAAACTCCGACGACGACCTCCACAAAAAGCCCGCCTCGGAACATCCAGATCACAAATTCATCATCCCCTGGTCCGCCTTCAAGAAATACCATGATTACTGCCGTTTCGCCACATATGTTGATCCGGATGCCTTTGACATGTACATTTACAACGACTACCAAGCCTACGGCACAATTCAGCTGGTCGAGAATGCCGTACGCTACCCTTTATTCCCTCACCTTACCGCATGCACACATGAAAATTAACGAGTAGTACAGCTCCACGACCTCGACAAAGCAGTAAAAGCGAAAACCACCAAACWAATCTGGAGCGAAACAGCCTTCCTAGCCCACTTCCTCAATCACCCACTAGCAGACCAATGGCCTCTAGCCGACGACGGAGAACGCGTGGAGAACCTCTGCAGCTTAATCGGCTGTGCAATCCTGACTGCACTCAATGTCGTCGACGAAGCAGACCAATTGAAAAAGGACTCCGAGTACCGTGATTTGGGCCTCGTAATGGCGCTCTACATTCACCAAAGCGAAATCTCTGGACCGGATATGGAATACTCGTATATCAAATCTATCATGCAATATGCCAAGAAAGCTGGGATTGATCTTGTGAAGGATTCAGGAGTCTGGGGTCTTGAAGCGTTCGTCGCAGATTTGGGAAGCGTGGAACGTCTCACGGACATACTCGACTCGTCTGCGTTGCGCGTACACCGTGACATTCAGGCGCAAGCGACGAACTACTTCGCCGGGTATAGAGGGTCCTGGCCGTTGTGGAAGGTCCATTATATAGCGAATCCGTCTAGTGGATCTCCAGTCTTCGTCCTTCAGCAACGAGGCGATGCCCACCGCGTCGTGCTCGTCTACAGTGTTTCCGAAAAACATTGCCTTGTTACCGACGGTAATGAAGAGCGTGAGGTACAAGTTTCGGGTCGACCGGTTGGTGTAATCGATTCTAAGAGGGTACTGACGCTCCTTAGCCAGAGCAGCCATCGCTTGCTCCAGCTTATGTACGTCTATTATGGCGATGGTCTGAAAATGGGCCACAGGTATGGCTTGAGACTTATCATTGGGGTCGACTCCCTTCTTGACGGGCCGAGGTTGCTGAGCCCGCGATTCCCTCACCCGCCCCATGGTTTCGTACGTAGATTCTGTCATGTTTTCGTACGAATGTTGTGGCATGGTTTCGAACGAATATGGTGGCATGGTTTCGTACGGATTGTTTGCATTGGGCTCGGCTCTCTTGACTTGCGATTGAGCAGGCTCTTCAACCTGTGAGTCCGGCGCCCGCAGCATGGTCTCGAACGAACAGTTTGGCACGGTTTCGTACGAGTTGTTTGCATTGGGCTCGCCTCTCTCAACCTGCCATTGAGCAGGCTCCTGAACTTTTGAGTCCGGCGCCCGCAGCATGGTTTCGTCCGAATGGTTGGCATTGGGCTCCACCTCACCAAGCTCATTTTCTTCCGCATCGAGGTCGGGGTGTATCACGCCATCATCCGACTGTGTTGCAATGGATTCCTCTCCACCAGGCTCCATCCTTTCCCTGTCCCRCCACTCGTGTGGCTGCCCAAAAACATCCGCTGTCGAACGCCCACTCGACTTGAATGCGGCGAATTCATCATGACCAAAGGCCCCTTCTTCATCAGGATGCAGGGCAAGAGTCTGCGTTTCCTATCCGTGAGCCGCCTTTGAGATGAAGCTGGGACTCGGGCTACTTTCTGAGGTGCCAATTATGTTCTCTATTGCCTTCCACTCCTCTGAAGTGGTGGAGTCATGGCTCGGGCTCCTTTCTTGGTTGTCAATCATGTCCTCTTTGAACTTCCGCTCCTCTGAAGTCACGGAGTCAGGCTCCGGGCTACT